AAGACGACTGCGAGCAAATAAGACTGCAGTCCAACACATCACAGGTCATAGATTGGGAAAGCTTCTCTGCAACTCGCGATGCCAGAGAAATTTGCTGATGAACTTGCCACGAAAATCGCTAGAGGCTGGAAATTCGAGTCCTTCAAGCCCGAAAACGTCCGTTTGTTCTTAGATGGTGTTCATGATGGGTATCGTCGAAAAAGACCTCGTCCTGATGATCAAGCTTTGAATACGAATGAGGACTGGGAGATGGTCGACGATCCGGATAATCCTGACTGGGAAACGGTTGATGGCCTCGATGATAATAACACTGACTGCGAAATGTACGATATTATGAACACTGAACCTACCCCTGAAGAACGACCTTCCAATACAAGGGGACCATTCAGCCAAGATGTATCAATCGTGCAAGAGGCACCGTTTAATCAACAGCGACAAGAGGGATTATTACATCGCAACAGACCACTCGATCAACAGCAACCATTCACTCGAGAGGAAGTATTCGATCAGGACGAATCAATTGATCAAGAGGGATTATTGGACCAACCACAAGCATTGGATCAAGAAATGAAAGACGTATTCGCCATACGCCGAGAGCGGATAGCAAAAATTATGGGATATTGACTCCTGTGCGTTGCCTTACTTTGAACTGTGGTATTTTTTTTTTTTTTTTTTTTTTTATTTCAATACCAAATTGACAAAGGAGGACATTCTACACGCTACCCAGCGCGGTTGCTGGCGTTATTTGCACTTGTTTGCTCAACTATTACACTCGTGTATGAAGTTATTGATGGTAACCGGATATGCTAGTTATCTCCCTTCAAGTCTTGTTTTCAAATGAAACTGAAAAAAAAAGAATTTCCCTATGGCATTGGCAGCTAAAGTCCATCATCATGTCGGAATAGTAAAAATCCCTTTAAAAGACAAAAGTGAAACTGGCCGAGTATCATAGGGCAGCCATGAGCATTTTATTTCTTAGTCATGCCGAACGAGTTCAGGCCAGACAGCAAGTTATCCATCCATATCTGATCTCTAATTCGAGGTTTTCCTTATACGGAGTGCTCGCTGCCGGCGCCCATGTTCAATGATATACCGCGCCAACCCTTCATTATCACACAGCTCCCCACTAACCGTAGCCCATTTAGAATTTGGTGAAACCCTTGACGGCCTTGCCGGTACGGGGGAGAACACGGAGGACGTTAAATCGAACCTGCAAGTCAAGCACAATTGTTAGATATCACTGCGCGAAACTTCCCATCATGTTTAATTCCCCAACAGGGGAATCAGCCACATAAAACTCCACGGTCTAAAGGGGGATCTTCCACGTACAGTCTTGCTCAAAGGTCTGCACTGTCCAACGGTAACCTGGTCACCTTCTTCAACACGGAAAGCGGGAGAAACGTGAGCGGCAAGGTTCTTGTGTCGCTTCTCATAACGGTTGTATTTGGGGATGTAGTGAAGGTATTCTCGGCGGATAATGAGGGTACGGTGCATCTTGGTCGAGACGACGGTGCCGGTCAAGATACGGCCACGGATGGAGACAAGACCGGTAAATGGGCACTTCTTATCTGTTACAGCGCAGATATATGTTAGACGACTTCCATATCAAAACCCGAATTGCGGAACACATCAACAACGCTCAATCTGACGCGTAAAAAGAAACGGAGCATAGCATTTCCATATCCCTGTGCGGGGGAGGAGCCTTGCTATACGTCGCAGATTCGCAGAGTGCCGGGACGGTTCTCAATGGGAGCTTCAACGCATGATGAAAAAAAGGCCCGTCCATACCGATGTAGCTTCCCTCAATCGCGGTCTTTGGGGTCTTGAATCCTAAACCGACATCCTTATACCATCTTCGGCCACCCTTTCCGACCTTCTTGCTCTTGGACTTGACCTTCGAGTTGAGGAAGATATGGGGCTGCTTCTGGAAAGCGCGCTCCGACTGCACGGTCAACTCTGTCGCCATAATCGCGGTATATCGGCTTCCAACACTGACTCGGGAGGGTTTCTCGAGCTGGCGGGCGGGGAGTTGTTGTTGGTTGAGTCGATCGGTTCGTCGTCGATTTTTCTTCCAGATTGTGTGTGGTCGAACAAACCGCCGAATTCAATGTGGGAGCCGGCAAACGGCGCTAGTCCTGTTTGGAACTAGTGGGTCTCGGCTAGGGCTTTTTGGTTTGTTTACAGCGCTAGTCCGGAAACGGACGCCAGTGACGCGACCTCCGTCTCTCGAGCAATCAGACGACAAGCCTCGCTGGAGATCGTTGAACGGTCGATTGATTGATGACTTTTGGGCTAGGATTGGAGTCTCACGCGCTTTGGATTTTAGTTGGCTACAGATACCCCATTGTTGTTTGTCTTTCCGGAGTCAGTGCTTTGGTTTCTGCGACGCGCAGGCAATGGCCTCCAGAGGTGATGCTCGCCCTCGATCACGGCGGTCTATCGCGCCGATACCCCAAACAAGCCTCCGGAACGGTGGTGATAAGGAGAATTTTGCACTAGATGCAGCTGCAACCAAGAGGACGAGCCTACAGACAAAACCCGGAAGGGATAAAAAGCTTCGAAGTAAGAGTCTCGGGCCAGGAGGGCTCGATGCGCTGAAAAACGGGAGCGGGAACCGGCGCAAGGTACTGACGTCTTTGGAAATCAGGCCGTCTGCTTACTGACCGCTGTTATGTTCCAGTCTGTCATGCCGTTTCCTTTAAAATCGATTCTTAAACCTGCAATCCCGGTATCCCCGCTCCAATCCATTCCGACATTCGAAGAAACGCGAAGAAAAACACCCGCGCGCAGCCCCCAACGACCGAGTAATTATACAGGCAAGAATCTTCTTATTGACTTTTCTACTCCACCCTCTGCCCCCGTCGTTGGGACTGAAAACCTGCCAAACCCTTATGATACATTCAACCCTACCCCGGCCCGTAACGGGGGACAATCGCGATCTGAGCAAGAACGACAAATAGCGGAAAGAGAGCGAGACGCGAGGGAGAAGCATGAGCGCGCGAAACAGCTGGCACTCGAGCAGCGCGCCGCTCGAAGGAAATCTATGGGTATGTGACGAAATCTTGATTTATTTGGGCACATATAACAAAATTATTAACACCTGCAAAGCAAATCGGCGAGTTTCTTTTGCTCCAGAGGCTACACTACATACGTGGAATGTTGTTGAGCTATTGGAAGATTCAACAGCTTCCTCCACTTCTAATTCCACCCGACGAGCTTCTTCATTGACATCAGCACCTCAGACTCACCCATCAGATCCTCCTTATACTCCTGATGAAGAAAACAATGACCTCGAACAATTCTCTCCGGCGGACCAGCGGCACCTACACCAACGGAGTCGGAGGCGCAGTTCCGGGATTTCTCCAGATGAGTTAGATAATATCGACGACGCATTTTCTTCAAGTCCATTTAGTGGTGACTTAGATGGTGACGATACTGGTATAGCCTCTTTAGCTCCCGACAATGATGATGACATTTCGGACTCAGACGTCGATAATGAAAGCACTGCAATGAGTCTTGACAATGCGACCGGCCGTTCAGTGGTATCAACGCGTTCCGATGGTTCCAACACTGACTCAAGCACTCGGCTTGATCAATCGTTGCGGCTAGCGGCGCGGATTGCTGGGACAAACGGCATTGATTATGATGAAAATGAAGATTTATCTGTAGCATATGCCAACCATGAAATCGCTGGCGCCTTTAAACCATGGATTAAGAGAGGGGCTGATCGCTCGGAGCTTGATGCTGAGGACTTGAGCTCGCGACTTGACCAAGAGAATATGAACCCCTTTCGTCAGTCAACGGGATATCCGCAATCTCAACCTGGCGAGGACGACGTCGAGGATGGTATGGATTTGACGAAACCGGTTGGAGGAATCCTTTTACAGAAGGAAAATAAGGATTCTGAGTATGGCTCTAAAATCGGCCGACGGTTATCTACCGCAATATCACATACGGATGAACAGACCATGGAGTTTACGAATGTGATCGGCGGCATTCATAAGGACCTCTCGCCTTCAAAGGGCTTTTCTGGAGATAGTGATATCGCAGAAGACGAGGAGATGACCATGGAATTTACATCGGTTGTTGGGGGCGTGCTTAAAAAGAATATTCCCCAGCAGGGGATCTCAATCACGAACGGGGAGCAGACATATGGAACTCATGAACCGGAGAGCGACCCTCTTTACCCAGATCTAACGGAAGTGGATATGGATATGACTGGGGCTGTGGGAGGCATACTCCCTCCTATCGAAGAGCAGACAGAGCCTCTCGAGGACGAAACTTTTGGAATGGAAATGACCAACGCAATTGGCAAAATTTTACCGTCTCTTCGGCCCACCGCAAGCGCTAGACGCAATGATGATTTAGAACCAGAACCTGTTAGCTCGCCGTTTCAAGAAAACATTATGCCATCTCCGCCGAAACCTACAACACCATTGCGTGTTACATCTGTGCCGTTCTATGATGGAAGCCCTAGCTTGTCGAACATGCGGCTCAACCCAGGGAAATCAAGAAGTTCAGGAGCTCACTTCTCTACAACCCCGACAAAATCAGTTTCTGGCCAAATAACACCAGTCAAAAGGGCTCCGTCGGTTCGGAAGTCCCCCCACTCCCTGAAATCGGTAACGCCTACCACTCCTACAACCACTCCACCATCGCGAAAGGCCCATTTGTCTCCAAAAAAGATATCCAAACCGGAATCCCATCAACCCACGTTGACGCCGGGGTCTATTTTTCATCACAACAAGGAAAAGGGACAATCCACCCCCACGATCGTCTTCCAGGCCCGTAGACGATCGCCCTCGGGATTAGGCATTGACAAAGAAGGCCTTGGATCGCCTATTGTGGCTGCTATCTTGGACAGGAGACGATCAATCGGAGAAGATGCACAAGAGTTTACCCCGAAAGCACAGATAACACGAGGTGTTCGGTTCAACGAGCCGAGCGAGCTCAAAAGGGGCGGCAGTAAAGAAGAGCTACAAAAGTGCGACCAGCATGGCACTCTAGGAACGGGTAGCCCATCTACCGGGTGTGACGCTGGACAGAACATCCGGGATCTGATATCTAGCCTGACTCCAAAGAAGAACAAACTCAAAAGCCGCAAAAGTTTACACGTTGGAAGTGCCAAAGGCGTACTAGGAAAACGGCCCGTTGAACTTGACATGGAAGAGGACGAAGAGGACACACCAAAGCGACTTAGGGCTAGAGAATCTAGCCCTGTCAAAAAAATCAAACTTCCAGCTCCTCCTTCCAAAGCGGAAACCGTAGGAAGAATATCTCGGTTTTCCCCCAATAAGACAAGAGAGTCGCCCTTCCGGACCGTTGTAGCTACCCGTGAGCCATCACAGTTTAAAGGAACTGAACTCGAAGCTTCGGCGAATGCCCAACGCCATGGTATTACTCCTGAAGCTGAGATCGTCGCCGATGGAGATTCGAATCCTGCTGTGGTGGAGGCTAAACCTCTACAGTTATCGGAGTTTCTCGAGATGACAAATATTCATTTCATGGAGCTCACTACAACAAAGCGGCGGCACACCTTAGCTCCTGATACCGACAAAAAGCATATCGTAGATGACAATGATGAGGGGTCAAAAGACATCAACCTTGAGGATTGTGTTGCTGCCGGTTTTTGCACCATTCCCATGCTGGAGCTATATCAACACGTGAGTGTTTTGCCTGTAAGAAGTGAAGTGTTATGTTTTTTCTAACCGTGTCTTCCTAGTCTTGTCGCGAGCTTAAATCATATATCTCTGAAGGTCGACGAATAATTCGTTCGATCGAAGCTGAAACTTATGCTGAAAACCCTCCCCTCTTCCAAGAATATGTTACCGCGCCGCCTGATATCCGTCTGTTAATGGATAATCAGTTCCGCAACGTCAAAGCTCACGCCAGGCTTTTAAGTAAATCTATGTGGTATGAATGGCGCATGAAGCTTCTTGAGGGTTTAAAACAAGGCTTAAATCGTCACGTTGAGGAGATGAATCAAGACGCCGAAGTGCTATCGAAGAAAGAGATATTGTTGGATAACATTGTGCCTGAGCTGATTGAGAAACAGGCGAGGCTACAAATTGACGCACATAATCTTCAGAAAGCAGTAGAGGAGATGGAAAACTGCGATCAAGAACAACTGAAGCAGGCCAGAGAGAAACTAAAGACCATGGAACTCGAAATAACTCAACGGAAAAGGGATTTGCATGAAGCACAATCAAATTTAGAGAAGAGTTCTGATATCATCGAGAAGGGGACAAAGCAACGGATGCAATTACTGAAGGAAATTCAAGAAGCAGACCACATTCTAGAAGAACGCCGGGGGTGGAGTGTAAAGGAAGTTTATAATCTGAAAGGTGAGCAATCCAAATTGTTTGGGTATAGGATTGAAGCACTAATCCGTAACAGCTGCTGCCCAAGACCTGGAGAGAAGCTCTGGCTGGACGATTATATCCGTAAATCCAACCCCTGATTCGAAAGACGGCGCAACGCTCTCTATGCGATATGGCGACGAGCTTAAACTTGACTTCCACCCAGAAGCATTTCACTTCCAATCAACTTCTAACTCAGCCAAGGGTCGACAGTCGAAAAATATGCCTGTCATGCTTTGTTACTCACCACAATCCAGCCGAGCAGCCACCGCGGGCGATGTTGGTCTAACCGCTGAGATGGCACTGATGCTTCATGCTCTCCGTATGCGTATATCCCATCTTACCCAATCATCCATGTCTCCCAAAGCATTTCTCTCTGGTATCTCCCGAACATGGAGTACGGCCTCTTCCATGCGAAACGAGATCTGCATGCTTGGATACTGTGGCGTTACTAAATCCAAGACCGTTGAAGCCAACCCTGGGGAGCCGGCATTGCTCAAAGTTCGATGTATCCTTCTCGGCTACAGAACAGAAACGAAACGCCACAAGAAATCTCCATTGGCACCCATAGTTCCGGTTGGGGGCAAATGCAAAGCCAGGATCGATGTTGACTTTACTATCAAGCCCCGCCCCGTGCTCGCGAAAAGCGAAATTGAAGGGCACGAGGTGGAGGTTGACGTGGACGTTGATGTGTCTGCGGGTAAAATTTACGGTTTCTCAAAGAGTGATGACGAGTTAGACATGTCTGAGGAGCGAATTGGTGAGTTTCTTACACAGTTGGTTCAGCGGCAGGATGGGAAAGGGAAAGCATTTGGAAAAGGTCTATGGAGGGATGCTGTAAAGGAATTGGAAAGGAAGGTGTTTTGTTAAACTGGCGTTTTTAAACCCATTTTTGAACTTCATTTTCCAGGCGGCCACATTGTTTGAGGGGGGATTTGATAGGTGGCGTAAATGATCTAGCTTTGATAGGGCGAATCCTTCGTACTTGTCAGTCTTTCAGGCGATATAGCTCTCAAGCCAGTCTGGAAACACAAGAATATTTTTGCAGCTTGCTCTGCAGAGTACTTTGATGTTCTTATCCTCTATCGCCAATTGGACGGAACAGTGAGGGTAAAGATATTATTATATGGATCTATCTTACAAGTGCTGAAGAAATGAGCGACATCAATCAAAACACACAAGAAAAGCACCCTTTCAAACACCAAATCAAACACTGACAACAGCTAACAATCAAGAGAAAAAGAGAATTAAGTAGGACCAGCCAAAGGTAGTTGCTGGTCAAGGAAGACATGATCGCCTTCTCTTTACCTTGTCACAAGCTATGAGCAACCCCGAAAACCCGAAAGGTACTCCGCAAAAGCAACAGATCTCCCCCAACACCTATGATAATAGCATTTTCCTTCCATATTCGGGCGCCATCCTCTTCTCAATTGAAAAAAAAGAAAAATCAGAAATCAAAGCTGCATATAATATCAAGATACAAGGGGAATAAGAATAGGTTGTGGTGAGTTGTGTATCACCGTTTGCTTGAAAGAGGGTCCGCCCAAATTTATGTGCAACGAAGGGCCACAATACTCGTGTCCTTGTAGAATTATGAAGAATCTTGAAACGCTAAACTCCTGTCGACTATGGATGCGTGTTGAAGGTATGAATATTATCGCGACAAGCGGTGGGAAACGACTTGGAAAACCGCAAAAGTTCCTGCGGGCAGTTAGTTCAATCTGAAGATGATCACTCGGCCAGTCTTTCTTCTGTCCGGCTATCAATCTCGCCGCTTGCAACCACTTCATCGCCATCGTATTCTTCTTCGGCGTGGGATTGAGAGTATCCGGAGTGTTCCTGGGCTTGAACCCAAGAGTCTCTATCGCCTCGCATCGGCAGGTCCTGACCCGCTAGATCCACACCATCTCGACTCCTACCCATGTTGCTACGACGCCTCTGGGAGAGTGTACGTGATCGGGCCGATAGCTTGGAGTTGACAGCGGCATTGGATGAGACCCAATTAGTTAGTGCTTCTTCACAGTCTTGGATAATCGCTTTGCTCGCTTCATAACCATCATAAGCAGGCCGTGTCTCGCCAGGCGTCACGGGAGTGTCGTCGATCAATTCGAGAAGGTGTTTTCCATAACCAGCAATGATAGCTAGCTTTTCACAATGTTCCCGAAGAGAATCGAATTGATAACTGAAGGCGGATTTGACTTTCTCGCGAGTGATATTTGAGAGCTGTGCCTCTGCGACAAGAGATTCCGCTTCTGCTCTGACCAATTCTTGCTCCAAAACTACCAGCCGGGGTGAGTTAGGGTCTTTGTACTTTAATTGAGCAATCTGGTCCGTGATTTTTTGCTTCCCTATGTGAAGACTCTAGTCAGTGCCCTACATCAGAAAGCGATTGGTAGTCAGGAGCTCCATACTGTCTCTGCTTGGTTGCACTGATGCCTCAATATTGCGAATACTTTTGATCGTAACACGGTATTGGTCATATCGGTCAACCAATTGATCTTCCAGCTCGCCAACTTCGTATATTAAAACTCCGAGTTTATCAGTGACGTCCGATACGTCCTCATCACAACCTTCGCCCCAAATCGAGAGTTGTTGCTTGACCCTGGTTAGTATCCAAGTGCCATGATAAGAGGACTGCCAAAACATACAGCCACTTCCATCCGCTCCCTCCCGACCAGCTCCATGCTTCTCATTACATTCTTTTCCATTTTAACAAGCTGTGAGAGCTTTTTCGCTAGGTCAGGGCCGAACGCTCCGGCGGCTGATTTTCGGAAGGCATGACCTAGGAGATTCGAAACAAGTTAGCATAAGTATGGCTAGATGCAACAGACAATGAGACCAGAGTGACCCAGCGTTATCCGCTAAGAAATCTTTGGTAGATTCAGGGTAGTATTGTGAAAGAACGGCAGGCGGCACCGATTCGAGCTTTGCGCCTAACGCATGAGACGACCAAGCCGACGTCGACGCCGCTGAAGGGATCAGAAATATATCAAAACTCACCTAAGCTGCCGCCTCCAAAGATCCTACTCGTTTTGGTGGTCGAAAGCGGAGGGGGTGGGTTTTCAACCTGTGAAGCCGTAGGCGCCCGGGAATGGCGCATGGAATACGTACGATGCATGGTGAAAATACAATTGCCGAGCTAAATCTGAGAGAAGAAGTTGAAACGATATCCTTGAAACGAAGCGAGATACGGCTACTAGCCGTGACTGGGCGGTGTCCTGCTGCTGTGTCGAGTCGTCGTCGACAGAAGTGACAAGTAGTCAAGGCGGGGAACGCGAGCCAAGCTGATGAGCTCCTTAGGGAGATAGATTGCGAGTTAGCTGCAAGCTTTCAGCGAGAGAACAAGATAGATCACTTTGCTAAATAGTCAGTCCGTGGGTTGGAAGGGTGAGAGCGGGAGACACGAAGGGGGGATGAAGAGGGAGATTGCAGCAAGCTTTGGCGGTGATGTCAGTCACGATCGCGCGGCTGTCACTGCCAAAGCCCGATATCAACGAGAGCTCGGCGGAAAGACCTGTTCTCTACATCCATCAGCTGTCACTTGCATACACTCTAGACAAAGCCAAAATGCCTAGGGGTTAAAGCACCAGCTGGCTATAACGATTGTGCGTCATCGACCTACTCGAAGCTAATTGCAGCTATTTGCAGCAAGCTCTCGTTCATGTAGGTTTACAGGAGCCTGGTTGACGGCGAAACTGGTCATCTAGACTTCAATTGACTTGAATATTTATCTGGTTCACGCAAAATTGAGCTCGATATTCTGTCTATCCAGGCCTAACCAGCCAATAAGCACCAAAGATATATAGCAGATACTTCCACCGAACCAGGCGCTTCTTCTGCAAAATCCTGGTCTACCTTCATTCTAAACGCGCCATGTCATAATTTGGTACATTACCGTTCATCAGTCATCAGCTAGCATTGGTGGCTTTTCGTTTCTTCTTCCGGCTTTTTTCTGTGCCTTGCCCAAGTTCATTATCGTGAACCATTGGTGCCCGACCCTTGTTCTGCCTTTTCCTCGATGGTTCAGGTGCATGGCGTTCTGGATCTTCAATTTCGATCGTAGGAACCGACGTGCTCCCTGCGTCGTCGGCTTTTCGCTTGGCTGCGGTTTCGTCTCTCAGCCGCGTGAATGCTTTCTCCATGCGACTCTGGCCACCTGTCCGGCGCTGTGGAGCAAAAGCACCGGCACCTTGAGAACCTTCGAAAAATTGTGTAATATTGGCTTGGGTGCCTTCCAGCTCCCTGCGATTGACATCCCGGATAACTGGGACGAGTACTTCGTCAGTCCGTTCCGGGGACCATCCAACGGCGGTCATCAGGAAGTGGCGAAGCGCTTCCAAATCAGGGACACCCCATTGGAATGCTGAAGGATCGGAATCGACTTCGGGTTCCAAGTAAGCTGCATCAACCCGCCGATCAGGAAATGCCGGCGGAAGGAATAGTTTTGCAGCATTTTTCTTGAATTTCTTTCGAAACTTCGAATGAACGTCGTCTGGAATCGAAACTCCCATTTGCACTTGCGACCACCAGTCTTTGAAATCTTCAAGGTCTGAAAATTCCGTTAATATTTCCAGCGCGGTGACCGGGCCGATGCCGGGGATGCCTTCAGTGTAATCGCTGCCCAGCAAATGCGCGAAGCTAATGAGCTTTTTGCGATCGAGGGAATACTCTTTCTCCAAGTCGCTAACAAGGTAACATTCCACGAATTTGGCCTGATTGAACATGTTCTTGTATACTCTCGTGCCGCCAAAGAGAAATGTATCGCTATCGTCTGTTACGATGCCATCAACGAGGCCCAAAGATACTAGCTCCGCGCACTGCGCCTCGGCTTCCATTGGAGCGGTGATATAAGGGAGCCCAAACAGTTTCAATAACTGCTGGCATTCAGTAACCATTATGTGTGATACCTCATCGGCGTCTCTTCTGTCCTTTTTCTGCTGGGCGCGTAACTGCTTCAATTCGCGATCAAACGCATCTGCATTTTCGGCTTGGCTTTTGAAGTTTAGCGTAGAAGCGAACCTGGCGTATTCCTCCGTCTCGGCTGCAAGCTGATGAATTAATTCAGCCTCCTCGGGATCGGAAAACTGGACTTCTTCGAATAGTTCTTGTGTTGTATCCTCTGCTAGCTCAAGGGGGATCACCGGATGTGAACTAGGGTTAACTCCGGCTCCAATAACCCGAGATATATCCACGTCTTCAAATTCTGCCGTTGGAGATTTCTCTTTCACAGTTTGCTCCAAAACAGGACTCTCCATGCTTGCATCGTTTTTTATGGCGTCTGATACAACAGCCGCAGATCCCGCACTCTCAAATAATAACCCAATATTTGATTTGGCTGGAGAGCGACTTGGTTCTTTGTGTTGTTTATCGTCAAAAACTTCGGACTCAGAACGTAGAGAACGTTGCACTGTAGGCGGGAAACGTGACTCGATTTCGACGTTGGGGGACTTGGGGGACCCGTCTTCAACTAAATCGATTACCTCCACGGGCTTTGAATTAGCTGAAATATCACTATACTGAGTCGTCTGCTGATATCGGCTTTCACCAGAATATTCCCCGTCGGGTTCCTGTTCGATAAACTCTTGTCGTTGTTTGTTCCCTGAAAACCAAGGCGGTAAAGGCTTGGATTTTATGGGTTCATTATTTTCAGTCCGCTCAAACCCGCCGGCGGCCTCGCCAACCGAATCTATTCGGGCGGTTCCGCTTTTCGTAATTTTCGTAACTTTGAATGGCTTGAACGGAAGCGGCCCGTTGAACTGACGGGCCGACGACTGCACGGTAGAGCTCGGATGGATAGGTTGAGACTTTGCTATGGCGGCGAATAGGTCCACTCCATTGTCTTCTGTCTCTAGTACTTGCTTTGTAGAATCCCGGGCTGAGGCATCGGCAGCGGGGTTCAACAAGTTCGATTGTCCATCTGGAAATGGAAATCTGGCCATGTCCTCTTCGTTATCAGAATCATTTGGTTTTTCCAGTGACAACTGAATAGCTCGACGGAGGTTTTCATCATCGTTATCCTCGAAAAGCGGGTCATAGCCTCCTGTGGAGGGTGCCATCTGGCCCGAAACAAATAATTCATCATTATCAGCAGCTTCAGTATCTATTGGCCTCTCACGAACAAGTCCCGCTGCCTGACGGCGTGAGTCATAAAGGTCTCGTCTTTCCTGCGAGACTTGTAGTACATGTTGGGGAATGGATTGATCGAACACGCCTTGTTCAAAAATTGGGAGGTCGGGAAGTTGGCTAAGTCCCGAAATTGGTACATCCTCAAATTCGATGTCCTCATCCTCCGATTCTTCGTGATTGTCAAGCTGGTTGTCATCCGACTCAAGGTCAATCGGTTTGTTCTGGTGCTCGCCATCGCGGTTCCCAAAAACTCCCAGTGCCCATCCCCCTTCAACATTATTATCTTTGACTAAAACATATTCTTTATTTTTCTCGCCTGCAATGCGGGAGCTTGATCCATAAATCGGGTCATCACCATTCATCCCATTGATGTGCATTAACCTCTGAGTCAAATCATTACGTTCCTTGACGCGTTCGATCTGAAATCTGGAAAATGCCATGCGGTCTTGAAACATTGTATCAAGCTGGTCTTTTGAGTAGCCCATTCGGAGCCTGCTCCTTATTCTTGCCGCATTTAAAATGTTGTAGCGATCGCTAGCAGGCAAACTCAAGAAAAATGGACTGTCAAAATCAATGCTGGAGAAGTCATAAAGATTTATGTTTTCTCCAGAATGAAACTGACGAGCATATTCTTCCAGTTCTTCATGGGACATAATCCTTGGGTCGTTTGGAGCGCCCATCTCCTCGAGAGAAACGTCTAATTCCGGAAGATGATAGGCATCCTTCTTGCGAAATTGACGATTTTGTCGCCTCTCTTTGGGAGTCATAAACACTTCTTCTGCGTACACCAAATTTTCTGGTAAAGGCTGTTGTTCGTCGACCCGAGCGCTTTGCTCTTTTCGTCTCATCTCCTCCTCTTCTGCCAACTTCTGTAGCTGCACAGCCAGCAGCTTACTCGCGGTCTTAGTAGCATCTTCTCTCCTACCTTCTCTCCGCTTTTTTCTCGAAGCTATCGTTTGACGCTTCAATGTCGGGGCACCCCCGTCGAAAACGAAAACAGGCTTGATCCCAAAATAGAGTAGTTTGCATATTCGCCTGAAGAACCCAACAATATGGGCGTTTCTCAAAGCGTTGCCTTCTTTATCGCGCACCGCTTTCAAGAACTGATATATCCATATCGACGCATCGACCGCGAGTCGCTTTTTGTTTAGGGTTTCAAGTTTAATCGGGCGAGCACAAGGCTTCAGCACAGTCCACAGGCCTGTGACACCCATGATTCACAAGCGTACAGACTGCACAGAGAAGCCGCAAAGGAGAGGAGGGCATTGCAAAGCCTAGCCTGGGACTGGCTTCATCTTGGAGAGTTGATGCTTTGGCCTTGAGTCCGGTGGTCGCCACTCATCACGACGTTGAAGTTGCGCGAAACACGAACTCACGTGCTTAATTTATCCCGACTGGGAATAGCGTGTCATATTGCTGACTAAGATGGCCCGGCTGGCTTTCAGCACATCACAGCAGGAAGCCCGATATTGACCAATTTTCTCTTTGGACTCGGTGGCACATCAACGGCACAATTCGATGTCATGCGTATCAGAGGTCCGTCAATGGAATCAACGCCGACTGGAGGCTAAGCAGCAGAGCTAACGACCTGGTAGAACCTGGACGCTTGTCTGCCAATTACGGCAATTCAAGTCTTGAAGATATTGGAGAATGACCTTGTTCTCAGCGGCCATGGCCCGTACATGGTCATAACTAATGATGCTACTGGACAAGTCCTAGATCGTCGTCAGGTCTTTCAAAGAAATAATGTCCATGGCATCCTAATTTTGAGTGACCCTTTGTCACGGCCCGGATGCAAAATCCTTGTTTGGGGAGGGCAATCGCTCCGGCTACTAGAAATCGATCTAGAAAGCGCCAAAGCTGAAGGAAACTTTCCAGTCACCTTTCTCAGCTCGGAGTTTGTTTGTCCGGACTGGATATTGGATGCTAGCTTTTACTGCCCGCCTGTGGACAACGCAGAATTGCCATCAAGGTATACCGGGAGTTTGATCACCGCACACAATGTGGTCCTCGGCGTGGAGCTGAAATTCGATTCAGAACAATCAGGAGTTAACTTCGAATTACATGACATCGCCCCTAAATCAAAGCCAATTCTGTACTCCGCGGATATTACTTGGACTTCACCGAACACTATTTTAGTTGCTGCAGGCACCGTGTTTGGAGAAATCATTGTGTGGACATGTTATTTGGAATCTGTCTCTGGAAACAGTTCTCCATTTTTGAACTACTCAATTTGTGTGCACCACTACTTCACGGGCCACGAAGGCTCGATATTTGGAGTCAATATCTCAGAAGAAATCCAGATCGAGAATGAGTCGTCGAAACGGCGATTTCTCGCAAGCTGCAGCGATGATCGAACGATTCGAATCTGGGATATATCTGCTTGCGGCTCTGCCATATTCCACAACCGCGATGGTCTATCCAAGGATCGATTGCCGCGTTCAACCGGATTTGGAGCTATAGCCGATGACGCTTTCAACCTGGACCAAGACGCATGCGTAGCAAAAACAATGGGCCATGCATCGCGAATATGGGGTGTTTATTTCTTAGATATCTCTTCTTCCCGGGATCACGTAATTTTCAGCCTCTTATCTCGCGGAGAGGATGGAACCTGCCAGCTATGGAACTGTCAGATCCAACAAGGAGCTGCCCAAGGCGACCATCGAATATTCACAGGAAATGCTGCAATTAACCACATATCCACGCATGCATACCACACGGGCAAGAATATTTGGTCGATAGCCATTGGCAAACAACCCAATGCGTTCAACATTTACTCTGGAGGTGCAGATGGCAACCTGGTTTCATTTACACTAGATCGAAACTCAGCTTCCTTGCGTATTTCAGGGGAGTCAACAGGTGATTATTCGCCTGACGAAATGCTGCACAACTTAGGCCTTGGAAACGAGAATACTGCGAACCGCAAAAAGGGTGGAAGGCCTGCATGCTATAGTTTCGTGTCCGATGACAGCTTCATCGCTATTGCACCTTCAAGGAAAAGTTATTCTTGGTCAAATTTCATCTGAAGATGGCCGAAGCGGGAAGGCCGCCATCAAACCCACTGGTATCCTGGAGCGTCATAGGCACTCTTGAAGGCGTGGGCTCCCAATGCCTGTCGTCCGGAGACGCCCGTTCAGGTATAGCAATTATTGGATCACCAGCCGGTGCAATATGGTTATACCACCATGGTACAAAGTCCATTAATAAAATAACCCAAACCGAATCAAAATTATCAGGCATCTTTATCGTCAATCCCGGCAAAACCCGTGTTTCTGGCACTACATGTACGTCCTTTATCACGGTATTTGTGAACAGTGCCAAGGCGATTTTATTCACAGTTCGATCTCATACGGAGACTGAAGTTGTGTCTAAAATAGTGTTGAACCTGCCACCAACTTTCTTGGTGACTGCTGCTTTGTCTTTGAGAACGATTCCCTGGCTCATATTAGGGTCAAGGCACGGAGATATTGCCATATATGGGCTCGACACAACTTCGGACACTGGCCAGATTGATCCTATCTTCCATTCACCTGGAGTCCATGCAAATGATGCTATTACTTCAATTATCAGTTTGCAAGCATCAGACGATGGAAAGCAAAATAAACATACTATCGTCACTACTGGACGGGATGGCTATTACCAACTTCATTTGATCCAAACCCAGAACGGAGACTCCCGACTAGTCACGATCCGGACTTTGCATAAGGCGTGTCCGCCTTTCGGCCCCAATATCGAAGGAGCCGCGTTAGACCCTAAGACAAATGACCTGATTCTGTATGGATTCAAGGGTATTTATTTCATTGTGTGGAACGAGTCAACGCAAACAGAATTAATGGCTGCAGAATGCGGAGGCTGTCATCGGATGTGGGCATATAAATCCGATGGTGAAGGACGTAGAATGCTGATTTGGACGAAAGCCTCCCGCCTCTACTTATTTTCCAGTGTGAATCCATCGCACAGAGTCCTAAGGGCTGGTGGACATGGAAGGGAAATTAAATCCGCACACTGTTCGAATCATTTCGTTAATGATAGTCGAAACCCGCTCCAAATACTCGCTACAGGAGCCGAAGACACAACCATTCGTTTTTTCTTCCCTGAAGTAACGGGTTCGGGTCTATCAGGCCGTGAGCTGATGTGCAAATTGACCCTGAAAAAGCACACAGCGGGTATTCAGCATCTGCAATGGTCTCCTTGTGGCCGATTCCTCTTTAGCAGCTCAGGATGTGAGGAACTGTTTGTCTGGAGAATATCATCGATTCCCGGGTTTGGCATTGGAGCCATGTTTTCGGGGGAATGTCCAAAGAGCAAGCCGGTTTCTGATCTTCGTATTATGCATTTTGATATGCTCAGGCTAGGCAATGCTGATGCCTTTTTGCTTGGGTTGGCATATTCGAATTCAGTTGTTACGGTAAGCTTTGAAGTTCTCTGATCCGCAAGCTTTTCATTTTGTACTGATAGACTTTTAGGTGTTTTACTACGAACCTGGCGCTTCGGGGGGATCCTTTGAGCTCATCGCACGGGGCCAATACTCGACAAATTGCCTCACGCATATCCGCTTCATTATTTCAGGACAGGAATTACACCTCCTCACCAGTTCAACCGACAGGCATCTCGCACTCTGGAATCTCACACATTCTCTTGGCTCGATATTCCACATCCACGAAGCCGCCGTGCAGCGAGATCCAACCCGCGAAATACCCGCCGTTCCATTCGAGCTAGAACACAGTCATCGGCACCCCGTCCACCAGAGCAGCATCAAAGCGATGGAGCTGCTCCAGATCTCAGAGACAGATTTACTCGTAATCTGCGGAGGCGATGATAACTCGCTATCCGTCTCGCGGCTTACGCTGTCGGGTTCAACAGAAGGCACCGCATCGTTTACCTCGACACTGCTGCCGCGCGCGCATGCGTCGGCGATCAATGCAATTGCAGTGATTGGCGGTGTTGGGCGTCGCCGTGAAGGCGGGTTTGATGTTAGTATTGCGTCTTCGGGAAATGACCAGCGGTTGAAAATATGGTTTATTCAAGGCAGTCGGCAAACGCAAACGGCGGATGTGACTGTTACCTTGAGGCAGGATATGTATTCTGCTGTTGCCGATATATCGTCTCTGGAGGTTCTAACCTCTGCCGAAGACGGGAGGGAGAAGCATCACTTGGTGGTGTGCGGGGTGGGAATGGATATGTGGAAAGTAGATTGAACGGTGGATGACTGCGCTTTGAGCTTGATGTCCGGCCTCTCCTGAAGAATGGAATATAAATTCTACAACCGCGATCCAAAAAATGAAAAGAAAATAGTCTCAAAATCTCTATTAACAAGAGTCACGGTAACGCATGCGATTCGCGGGACATTTTGCTCTTCGCCCTAATCTTCGCTCCAAACGCATAGAACAAAAATGGTATCGGAATCAACGCAATAGCAATAAAACCCAACAGGCTCTGTGCCCACGCGATCCCCATCCCATGATACATAAAAGCCGTGAAGAACGGAAACGCTCCTGCAATCATGTTGCGCAAAAAGGTACTCCCACCCACAGCACTCGCAGAAGTGCTGGGAAAAGTATCGATCAGATAGCACAGAGCGGCCTGGAAGATGGTGAAAAACCCAAACCCGGTACAAGCGGCACCAACGATACTAGCAAACCAGAAGATTTTGCGAGGCGATGTCCAGCCCATGATGAAAAGCCCTGCCACGAATAGGAGCGATCCGGCCATCATTGGGGGCAAGCGTGCCTCGGGAACGGGTTGGCGGTTGTTTTGTCTAAATTTTTTGATATAATATATTTCGTTGAATAGACCCGCCACGGCACCCATGAGGATGCCCACAAACACGGCTAAGAATGGAAGGGATCCAACAACTTGATTCCAGCCTCGTTCTTCCTGGAACATGACCCTGTAGGCGGATAGGTTCATATATAATAAGCCGTATACGAAAGCAGCGTATAGAGCGACGGCGATGCATATCGGGGTCAAGAGTAGTTTAAAGGGAATGACAAGATAAGTATTCATTATTTGGCTTGTACTCACTTCATTTTCTTCGTGCCTAGCATGGAGTGCCCAGTTGCCGGATTCATGGCGGAGACGGCGTGCTTTGTACTCTAAGAGTTTTGTGGCACAGGATTCGTCGATGAAGATGATGTCGAGTGCTAGAAAGAAGAACATCATGATACCGGTGATCTATTTCAAGTTATCGCCCATTAGAGATTGATTGTAGATAATCAATCTGCTTACATAGTCTGTCCACCGCCATCCGAGGTAGCTATGAGAGATGGAAGCTGCTACGAATGGCCCGATCGTAGGCCCTGCCATGACAGCTAGCGCAAAGCCCACCGTTGGTGCACCACGGTGTTCAGCCGTCCAAATATCGGTTATGATACCTCCAGTGTTTGATACGGGCGCAGAGGAAAAGAAACCGCAAAAAAACCGGGTTATAAGGGCGGTCTGCACATCCTTCGACACAGCGGTCGCAATGGCGAAGATAGCGGCAACGAAGTACGGGAGGATGATGGCCGGCTTACGGCCATATATGTCCGACAGTGGTGCCCACAAGAACGGCCCGAGGCCGGAGCCAAAAAGAAAGAGGCTCACGCCCAATTCCCCAACTTCTTGAGAAACCTGAAACTCGGCAACGACTTGTTTCGAACCCGGGGAGAATCTACGGGAGGGAGCGTGAGACATCAAGGGCTAGGGTGGATCGGATAAGTCGAGCTCACATTGCGCTTGCCCATGTCGAACCTGCAACCGCCAATTAGATGTGAAACGTTTCGCAGCCGAGGGTGGTGCGTGGCGTACCAAAAGTAGTCAATGCATACAGCAACGTCGTGAGTGCCTTTTTGCGAAAAGCCCAATTGAGAGGGTTATACGGGTCGTTTGAGCCATTGAAACAAACGATCACGTCGGCAGACGTTTTCTCATTTCCCAGAGGATGTGTGAACGGGCCCAGCTGGCCCTGCTTCCGGCATCGAAGGCGGTCGATCACGGAGTGAAACTGCGAGCTAGCTTCAAGGCTTGGTTTGGATGTCAGTTGTCTTCCCAGATCACTCTGTAAACTGGAGTCATCGCGGTCGACGTTGCCCTTTTCCTCGACGGTGAGATTGCGGTTGGTTTCATCGCACGGATTGCGATATGAGGACTGACCCTGAGATGATGTCATGGCTGGGATTTTGAACAGGCGACTTTCAAAACATTTGATAAATCACAAAAGAGCCAGGCCAAACGACATCGATAGAAGAGGATTCGAGGGGGAAGAGACACTGATGTCCACAGCGATAGTTTGCGGGCATTCCTTGCTTCAGTGCCATGTCCGGCTCTATCGACATTGATGCTCGAATCCACTGTCAGCGAAAATGCACGATGCACATGGTTCGTAACTTGCTGGCGCATGCAACTGGGGAGCTCCAGGCACAGGCATTGAGGTAGGCGATATAGCCCACGGCTGGCCACGCGACACTCTGTAGCTTTGGGCATATCCAAGGCAGAGGATAGAGTTGGACCCAAGCCTGTCAAAGCTAATTCACGCCGTAATCTAAAAACACCTGGATCTCTCCTGGAGATCAACATCTGGGTATTGACCAAGGATCCAAATTCAATATCGAGACAATGACCAACAGCAACATCGTCAAGTGTTGATCTGAGCCTGAATTTTGCTCGAAGCGGTGAAACAAGCCGAAATGTTTGGCCTGTTTGGCTGTGCCCCGATGCGGCCTAGCGGCCACCTCAGCCACGCACCAACCAGGCTTGGCGGTACCACGTATTGCGAGCGGCCCCGCGCTAGAGGCCCGCTCCCGCAGCCTGATTGGCGGACGCCGGCCTAGCGTGCGGAAAGCGTGTAATCTGCTTACCTGTTCCTCGCGTTTCTCAGCCCAGTTGGCCCTCCAGCCACGGCCTCAGCCCTCTTTAGCGCGTCATCATCTGCTCCGCTGCACTTATAAAAAGCGACTGTCTCCCGGTGTGCAGTCCTTCATTATCGTTACTTTGTTACTTTGCAGCTACAACATTCGTTCTGTGTCGAAGCAACTCCCTCGCTCATACATTCTATTTAGTACCACAAAGATGGGCAAGGCAGGCAGAATAGCGTGTATCTTCACGCCGTATGCCCTCTCGATCGCTTCGTTAGTTTGTCTTGTCTTGGTCGCTCTCGGTGCAACAAAGCCAAGCGATCCGCTGAACACCATATACTTCTTGAAGGTGAGCAGACAGCAGCAGTCAGCACTGAAGCTTACAGAGAGCTAACGACGATGCGTGTCTAGGCCGATTTGCATGATATCAAAACAGACTCCTTGGGCATCGGCGAGGATTTGTACCCAATCGGAAAGGGGCTGCAGCAAGCACAAGCCTCTGGAAAGCTCCACGACTACTACATCGTGGGCTTATGGAACCACTGCTACAAGGACGGTGAAAATGGCGACTACAAATGCTCTGAGAAGAAAGCAAAGTACTGGTTCGACCCGATCGACGTGTGGGATCTGGGCGACGATGTGCGAGAGTTTATTCCCGACTCCTTGGAAAAAGGGTTGAACACGTATAAAACGGTCGCCAAGTGGCTGTTTATCGCGTACGCCGTCGCCATCGCTGCCAATGTTGTCCAATTGGTTGTCGGCATTTCTGCCATTTTCAGTCGATGGGGTAGCCTGGCAACAACCGTTTTCGCCGGCGTACGTACTTCTTCCGTCACCAATCATCTGTTTTTTGCCTATTTGCTGACCCCTTTTCCAAACGTAGATTTCCATGCTCTTCACAATCCTCGCCTCCATCACAGCGACTGCACTATACGGAATCCTTGCCAGTGCCATCAAGACCGGCCTGAAGCCATTCAACATCGGAGCAAGCCTGGGTTCCCGCATGTTCGCCATCACCTGGCTCGCCACCCTCTTCGCCTTCGCCGGCGGAATCTTTTGGCTTTTCAGCGTCTGCTGCTGCTCCGGACGATCTCCGTATGACCACAGAGACCGCAAGGGACGACGCGGCGTCGTTGCTGAGAAGACTCCCTACACCTATGAACGTGTCACCAGCCCATACGGAGGCCATAACATGGGTAACTCAGCCGTTCCTCTCAACCCTGTCCAGGGAGCTGGCTACGAGCCATATCGACACGATCCTCGCGTCTAGGCCTTTTTTTTGTCATCATGCCATGAAACACGACGTTTTTCTAACACTGGGATCTACGAAGCAAACCAAAAAAAAAATGAAATTTCATACTGGGAAATAACGACTAATGGCCATCAATAAATATGGTTCGTTTCGACAGCAATGTTCTGTATATAAATACCCCCTTTTCGTTTTTGCTTTCTTCTGGCGGCGTGATGGAGTCATGGGGTGTCACTCTCTTGTTTAGCCATTGGGCTTTTCGCGTTTCGGCGTAATATTCTGAGGCTGCTGGTTTCGTGGGTTTCGTGGTCCGCTATATGCATGTTATAGATCTATGGCTACTCTTTGTTTCGGAGCTTCATGCACAGACCCAGATTCGTTCGCCTTATCATTTACATAGTGGAGATACAGAGCTGGTATAAAGCGTCGATCATCGTTTAGTAACGGTAAATAGCATCGCCAAAGGCGGATACATATCTATAAACTATCACAACTAGATCGCTTCCTGATCTTCATCACATCTCCCATCCCATAGTGGTCATCTGCCCTTCCACGTACTCATCACCCGAACTAAACAGCTGTTGAGGCTGAATGACACCATTCTCATCCACCGGCACAGCCTCCGCATTCGCTCCCCGATATCGACCCAGTTCGCCGCGCAGGTTCGTAAACGCCCGTGCAAACTGTTTGAACGGGGTGTTTGGGTCTCGCCACCAGTTCGACGAAGGTGATGCCGAGCGTCCGCTTGCGAGAGGGTCCTGAGCTTGCGATCCTTGGGTGGGGGATTCGGGCCGCCGATAGGGCGGATAGAATGAATCTGTGGTGTAAAAGGCTTCGTCGATGGACCGTGCGTCTTCGGGTTGCGACAGGATGGATGCTTCATGGTCTATGACCTGTAGAGGTTGTTTTCCTTTTGATTCCCGACGACTACTACTCGAGGCTTTCGTGTTTGCGATGTCTTCGACTTCAAGACTGGGTTCATTAACGACGCTATCCAAGGGCTGCTCTTCGGGATTGATACCATCACGGTCGTTGCAATCGGAAAACGTGGTTTCGACCTCAAATGACATCGTAAGTTCATCTTCCATTTCAATCTCTTCAAATCCCAGAGTGCTTCGCTTCTGGGCACCTGAAAGGATCCTGGAGTCATCTGTGTCGCCGAGCTCAACACTAGGAGACTTATGGGTCTCACAGTTATGCCATTCTTCGCTATCGGGAATGGACACTGAATCATGTCGTTGTCGATATGCTGCTTTTTCCTTCCGAACTTTGGTAGTTTGCGTGTCTCTAGGGTTGCCGGCTGCTCCTGGCTTCATTTCAAGAGCGTCTGCACTCTGCTCCGGTTCGGGTTCGGATTCAGATTCTGTTGTGCATAGGTCTATATTGTCAGATTGCTTCTGAATCTCTTCATGCCATGCAAGAATGATATTAAGGCTTTTCACAGTAAGATTCCTCCTTCTAAAAGAAGGAACCGTAGCACGTTTGAAGAAATACTGCTCGTAAGACTCGGGCGTTTCTTTCCTTTCTTCGCATCCCTGGGCATACTTTTGGTATTGGTCCACTTCGCGGCAGACAAAATCATCCCACATGATTGACTTTTCCAGTAGTCCTTTTGAACGCAGAGACTGCAATTTCACACAAGTATCCATAAAGCGGTGAATATCACCGGCGTAAGAGGAGTATGACTGCTTAAAATTGTGGTATATCTTTTCAACCGCGGACGATGGTGAAGGCCTTCCGAAATAAATCTGGCGGAGGCTGGCGTTGGAAATCCGGTCCTTTGGGGCCTTGTCCGTTTTAGGCGTTGTTTGGCCATGTCTGGTTTGTGAGTCTATTATTCTTCGTTTTGGGCTCCGTGATGGCGGGGAAGAGCAGCTGTCCAATTTTCGCTTTTTGCTAATTTCAATCAATTCAGCATGGTTGCGTGTAGGATGGGGAGATGTTAAGGACTTTTTAGCACTAGATTCAGTGTCCACGGGGGGGAAGTTGTCTCGAGGATCAGCCTGTTCCGTTTGCGTGCCAGCATTAGAGATAAAGCCATCTAACTCAAACGCCAGTTGCCTCCTAGCCATATCATCATCACTGTCACTATCGTCAACTAGGGCAGGCGGCGATCGATTAACATTGTCGCTGCCAAATGTTGCTGGGATAATAGTCTCTAAAGTAAGCTTCATTGTACTATTGATATCTTCACTAAATAGATTATCGCCACGGTCCAATAATTGAGCAGCTTGAGTCCGGCGCTGGACAGTGTTGGTGGGGACTTCCGGGGATCGCTTAACTTGAGTAAAAGAGGCTCCTTTGGATGGCTGTAATGCTGGTGGAGCGCTGGATAGTGGCTCTCCTTGGGTACATTCCGTATTTTGAATTTGGTTGTCTTGGGTCGAAGTCTCCAAAACCTCTGGGAAAGAAATTTCAAGCTCCGAAGCCTCAGAACTGTCGAATTCACTAGGTTCAGGTTCAGGACCTGACTGAAATGAGGGCTTTTTAGCACTCTTGAAAATCTGTCTTTTTGTTTCTGAGTTATTTAACTGATCCTCCGCATTGTTGAGTTTATCACCGTCACTTTGTATGCATCTGTAGGAAGATGTGGTCTGGGATATATGAGACATGGCCTTTTGAGGCTGTTTTGGCGGACTACTATCGGGGGGAACGGAAGGCCTGTTTGAAGCTGGGGACGATGGAGGCCACTCCTCCTCATCCAATTGACGGCTTGAAGGGCTTGAGGCTGGTGAGTGGACCAATTCCAATTGAGTCGATGGCTGATCCGACGGTTCTGACGCTTGAGGCGCAGGAGGGCTTCCAGTTTCCTCCGTTCTTGCATTCTTTGATTTGTGGAGCTCCATCTGAGTTTCGTTCCATTTTCGTAGCAGATTAATGGGGACTCTCCCTGGGGTCAAAATCCGACCAGCCGCAGGTGGCACCCAAGCATCGGGACTATCTATAAGTTCCTGCTGGTCTTTTGGAATGACAACATCTCGCCGTCTTATTCGCTTCCAACCTTTCCAAGGGTCAGTATCATCTATGATTGCGCTTTTGCGATGTTCAGTCGTGTGAGGGCCGTCCGAACGCTCGTTGTTGTGATTAGCAGCACCAAATTCTTGCAGGGCGTTCGAACTGGTTGCTGGGATCGGTGACGGAATTGGGGGGTTATCGGAATTTATCTCGACCGAGTTTCCTTCATTTGTTTCCTTGTTGTGCTGGTCTCTTCTTGGAAAGTGAGAGACCTCTCTCAATCTCCTTGCTGTATTGGGCTCATCGTTCGGGAGTGGCCGTATTGCATCTCGATCGCAACTCGCTTCCTTTGTTGACGGCGATCGTACAACGATGAAAGCGTCAGGCGCCTTGGAAATCTCGATCTTTTGTCTCTTCGAGGTTAGCATGTCTAGCAACTCTGTGGAATTTGATCTAGGCCTCATGTTTATCGGCAGTGTTGTAGCTTTCTTGGGCAACTCAGATGCTTTCTTGGGGTCAATCTGGGACAGAAATGCTGTTTGAGAAGCAAAATACAACTCAGGCGAACGTGACGATTCATGGTTTGCAACAGCTATCTGCGCCTGAGGCTGTGCTGTCGGGGTATCTATCTCCCTGCGCTCCTTGCCGTTCCCGGTGGACAGCCATTCTCTGGCTAGAGCGAGTATAACGCGCGACTTGGAGATTTCATGCGGATTACCAAAAGCACCAGCCCCTTCGCAGCCTATAATTTCGAAACCCCGAATATCCAGCGCTACTGAAACCGCATGTGACTGATTCGTTATGAGGATGTCAAAATTAGCGAGTTTCATAACAGCTCCTTTAGTCCCTGCGCGAATATCAGATTTGTTCTCGCGACGATATTTGGCTACGGCGTCATCTGAAAAGTGGCCACGGATGGAGGAGACAGAGTCGGAGAGCACTGCCCGAAGACGAGATTGGTGATCTTCCCACTAATGCGCAAGGTGTTAGTGTTCAATGCCGCAAATATGGTCGTCGGTCATTACCTGGATGATTTGAGCAACCTGCGGGCCGCGCACCCGGACCCTACAACAGGTACCATCGTTCCCTTGATTTGTGAGCTTTGCTCGAATGCGTCGGTTGTTGGGGGGTCCATCCAAGCCAAGGGAGATGGCTTCATGGACGTAAGCATGGACCCAATCCTTCATCAGATCCATTTTGGATATGCATCGTTGTTGACATGTTGGCGAGACGGAGAATGCCGCTGTTGCTTTCATCTGCGAGATCTGTCTGCCATTTCAGTCTTGTCGTCTGTCGCCAACCGAAACCCGCGACGCGTGATCCCGCGTTGCGCTATGCCATGTTGAGACTAGCGTAGGAAGTCAATATTGCCTGATTGGGACTAGCCTCCAGCCACATGTATCCTGACTCATTTGGTCTTGGCACTATTACTCAGCAACTAAGCGTCAACGGTGATTGGATGGGAGCGCCACAGGCATGACGCTTGGGCTGTGACGTCGCGTGTTGACAGCCTCACTGGCAAGCTCAGCTTCCTTGACGAACGCTGTCTCGCAGCAAGGTTGAAATGGATGAAATCGATCCTCTATCCTCGAGTTTGCTTCTATCGCTCGATAGTCACCTGTGCCGATACCGTCTCGGCTCGCCCGCGGGCCCTTCCTCACATGTAGCCAGCCAGAACTCTGAGCTTTTCAGGCAGGCAAAGCGAATCGATTTGCCGTGAATCGTCGTGGACAGATTTAGGCTGGGCTAGCGTCGACGATATTATGCCTGTTGTGGGCTTTGACTCCTCTTCTATCATTTTGCGATGGCATCACAGAGGTCCCAAGCGACGTCCAGCCCTTCTGCATCATCCATTTTCCTCCCCCTTGGCCGACGGTCAAGGCGTGGTTCCTTGGCTTCATGCAGCAGCCAAACTGAAAGAGAAAATCTGAATGAAGCCCTAGACCAGATTCATAATGCAGCTTGTCACTCCGACGCCCTCACCGTTTTCAACGAATTCAGCAATCCACCCGTGCCCTCGACGGCAGCAGGCAATAAACCGGGTGTTGTAGGAGATATACAAGGGGGACTCAGTGGGCTTTATAGCCTTTTGAGAGCATCTGTTGGCGGTGTTAAAGACATGGTCGGAGGATCAGCCAAAGCGCCTGATTCAGAAGCCCCGTCAGCGAAGGCCCCTGTGCCCGCACCGTCTCAGTTAAGCTTGTCTGGGTTGGGTGGTTCTGATAACCAGTCTTCACCGGCAAATTCTGCGCACGCATCAAAGGCCCAGTCGCCTGTTCTAGGAACCTTCGCCTCACAGAGCGAAGGGATGACAAGCTTCTCTGCCCCTAAATCGTCTAAATTGTCTTCGAAAGCGCCAAGTGTCTCGTCAAAGGCTTCAATACCATGCACTGGAGGGTTAAAACCATCTCTCACCTCTTTAACGAGAGTGTCTCCCTCTGCAACTGCTGATCCCGCCGTGAGCGAGGTTAACGTGAACGCCGTTAGACCCGGCATACATCACACGCCCAGCAATTCGGGTAGTTTGTCCGCGAGTGTTATCGCCCATTCGGATTCAACTGCCTCTGACCGCATGGATGGCTCTTTGCAGATGTCCTCACTTCAGTCGTCGCAAGAGCTAAGGTCAGGTGCACCGCCTCGGTCTCCTGGGTTACTGACGGATGAAGCACGTGCTTATGAAGGCCGGGAGCGCGGTATGGCTGGCTTGTTGCATTCGCAGGGAGCTCCGTCCTACGAGCGGGTTTTGTCACCTACCAAAGCTGCAATGCAAAATGAATTGACAGAACTTGATGCAACGTTGCCACAATCCCAGTGGAATACCAGAGAACCCGAACTTTCTCATATCACGCAGCCTCACTCGGGAAACTCGACTACGTCTTTACCTGTGGATCATTCACCCGTGCAGACATCGATGTCAAATAGTGTTGCGAAACTATCCACCGGCGAAAGTTCGATGAATGACACTCGAAACCGCTACTGTTGCTACATCGGTGTCTGCGACGGACAGGGAAGGCTCCTCGGCACACTCTTCGAAAACTTCACTCGTAAAGCCACGAGAGAAGGTGACGCCTCGCATTAGTCAAAGTCGTTTGCCTGGCTATGGACCAGCACGTATGATGTCCTCAACTTCCTCCGGAGCTCGTTCTTCTACAGCTCTTCCTCACATTTCATTCGATACTCCTGAACCAGTTCGCACCACTCAGACCGGCGTCCAAGTATCATACGACCTGAACCACCCACAAAAGAGTAGTGCTACTTCATTCAAGAACAAGTTATTAAGCAGAGAATATTGGATGCGTGACGAGAATGCAAAAGATTGTTTTCATTGTGGGGAACCATTTTCCACTTTTCGGAGAAAGCATCACTGTCGTACCTGCGGGCAAATTTTTGATTCTAAATGCACATGCATCATACCGGGTGCTACCTTTGGGCATTCTGGCTCCATACGAGTCTGTAGGCCATGTGAGGCCGTGATCAACGCACACGAATCCGATTCTTCAGATTTCAGTGGAGACGATATGAGTCCGGTGATTGTCAACTCCCGCAATTCTGAGAGCTTAGGAAGCGGCTTGAAGGCCCGACTTTCTGCTGAAGATGATGATTCGTCTTCGGTGGTTTCTCAATCAGTTGATCAAGTCCTGAAAACTCCGACAATGGCCATTCCTGCAACTCGCCGAACTGGGGACGGAAACAATCGCCGCTCCGCAATACTCGAAATAGATTCGGATCGCCCGCTTACAAGGCCTACGTCTTCGAGATCTTTGCGATCTTCGCTAAATGGAAGGGCTCTCACCGTGGCGCACAAACGCTATCATTCCCGATCCCAATATGTTCGCGGACTCAAATCTTACCATGAAGAACGAGCACCGTTTCAGCGTCGAGTTGGAGAGGACCATTCTGCTGATGCCAAACTGCACGCATTTCATCGAGATAATATCATCGACCCAGATTTGGCACAGTACCTTTCAGACGATGCCTCGAGTGCTGATGAGCAGCCGAACTTATTTTCCGTGGTCTCCGATAGCGCTCTTTCTAAGAGTGGTGGAGAGGCGGAGAAGGCCGCTTTTGGAGGTTTCCTTGCAGCAGTGAAAAAGGGCCGGTCGCGTTTTGGTGAAAGGTCTGGCCATGGCGCGTTTGCCAATCGTGAGTTAGACGACGGCAGTGTGAGCAGTTCCAGAGCCGTGAACCTGGGCCGTTCTACAAGGCGACGGAACCTGAGTGTTGCGAGCAGCATCCATCAACGTTTGTCACCGAGAGTTCCTAAAGAAAACCCGTCGGTAGTCCATTACTTTCAAGATCATGCTGTGGCTCCTGCAATCCCAACTCCTGGCCCTGGTGGATTTAAGATGACAAGGAGCTCCTCAATGAGGGGCGCTGGTGCTCCTCCCGTTGAATTAAACAAGGCTAGTCTTCATCACGTTAGAAAACTCCTTCGACAACTTTTGAAAGATGCATCGATCCCACATTCACACAGTTGGGAAACTGCTCTTCTGCCGATTCTTTTAAAGGCCACAGATGACGTGGAGCCCGACGTCCAGCACGGTGATGACATGGATATACGCCATTATGTCAAACTCAAAAAGATACCCGGTGGCCGCGCCGGCGATACGTCTTACGTATCCGGTCTAGTCTTCACGAAGAACTTAGCATTAAAAAGCATGTCAAGGAGTATTCCGCGCCCAAATATACTCATCATTACCTTCCCCTTGGAATATGCACGGCAACATCAACATTTCATGAGTTTGGAGCCAGTTATACGTCAAGAGCGCGAATTCTTAGAGAACCTTGTTGGAAGAATATCAGCGCTGAGTCCCAATGTTCTTCTGGTCGAGAAGAATGTATCAGGCTTGGCTCTGCAGCTCTTGGAAAAGGCAGATATTGCAACGGCTTATAATGTTAAGCCATCCGTCATTGAAGCTGTGTCAAGATGTACTCGGACCAAAATCATAACATCGATGGATAGGCTGATCGCTGCGCCTTCATACCCCGGTCAATGCGGTAGCTTTGACGTTAAAACGTACGTCTACAATGGCCGAAAGAAAACGTACATGTATATATCTGGATGCCCCAAAGAGCTTGGCTGCACGATTACCCTCCGAGGTGCTAGCAACGATGTTCTTGTTAAAATCAAACGGATTACGGAATTTATGGTGTACGTCGTGTATAACCTCAAACTCGAAACCTGCCTCATGAGGGATGAATTTGCGAAGATTCCAACGTCAACTCAAGGCACTTCTTCTTCGATAAAAGATAGTCCAGCTGCCTCTTTCAGCGGTAAACGTGAAGATAGTAGTTCTAGAGTGGACGAATGCACGAAAAAGCAAAAGGCACAGAACGAAGGAACTCGAGTGCATGGTAGTCAAGAAGGCGAACCAGCTGATTCAACGAATACTCACTCGGAGTTCCAGAGTGCCAAATTAGATGCTTCACAGTGTACTCCAGCCCCCGCCTTTTACGAAGATATGGTCGAGAAACATCAAACAAAGATATTATCGGCTTCGCCCTTTGTTCAATTCGAACAACCTTATCTTTTAATGCGTGCAAGGGAGTTAGAGAGGCAACTTGCTTATCTTAAGCGGCTACGTGATCAAGATTATGCCGCCAGTACGCCTAGCGATGAGGCTGGAAAGTCTCAGAAATTCGTCCTCATCACACCCGAAATGATACACGAATCACCCTCTGGTGCGTCAGAAAAAGCGAAAGAGGTTTTGCATGCTTTGCACGACGCAGAGTATGATAGAGCCTTATATAACTACCAAACGCAAAAGCGGCAATGGGAAACCTATATTTCCGGGAATACCAACCTTTTTGATCCTTACGGACACCAAAATATTGTTGTATTATACAGTTTAGTGTGTACCACCACGTCCATACCCTGCTCGGGCCCAGATCTATTCGCACTTGATTTCTATAACGACCATGGCTCCGATAGGATTTTCGAAGCAGACTGTACGCTCGGCCAGTACGTTGAAGATCTGTGCCATAATGCGAATACCGTATGCACTGCAAATGGTTGTGAAGAACGTATGTTTGACCACCATCAGCAGTACGTGCACGGCGATGCGCAAGTCAGCATTTTCGTCCAATCATATCCATCCAAGCTTCGTGGCTTGCAAGATACTATTCTCATGTGGAGTTGTTGCAAGGTTTGTAGCAATGAGACGCCTGCAATGCCCATGTCAGAGAGCACTTGGAAATACTCTTTTGGAAAATATCTTGAGTTAGCGTTTTCCAGCACGGCGTTGCATGTCAGAGCCGGCGTTTGTCCCCACGATCTGCATAGGGACCATTTGAGATATTTTGGTTATAAAGACGTGGCGCTTCGCATTCACTATGACCCGATTACGCTGCTGGAGATTATAGTCCCACGGCCGCGTGTCACATGGAAAGTGGACAAAGACCTTCGGCTTCGAAACGAGATATTTACCAAAGCCGAGAAACGATTAACGAAGTTTATGAATTCCGTAAAGGCGCGGTTACGGGGAATTAATGTCGAGAGTGTCGTCCCGGAAATGGCCCAATCTTGTAAAATGGAGGTTGAGGCGCTTATTAAACGAGCCAACGATGAACATGCAGCTCTGATCAAGCAACACCAAGACATGTACATGAACTCGAGGTACTGGGAAATTATACCTTTGAACCGGGTTATCTTATCGATTCAAGAAAAGGTTGTAGAATGGGATGCAACCTTTGCCGAGTTTGAGCACAACTACTTCCCGTCTGAAAAAGATATCAGGCGACTAGCAGCATTGCAACTCAGGCGGATTTTCCTTGATAAGGACGTTTCCGTTACCTCTCTTACGTCGAGCGATGAGGGTGCTGTGACTCCCACGGAACCTGACGAACGAGGAGCTGAATCAACGACTTCTCCAAGCATGGCCCGTAGGATGACCTTGTCACCTCAGCAAGCCAAAAGCGTTCTCGCTTCCGTTGTCGAGGAACATTCCGGCAAACAAAACAAGGACCATGGCAACGAGGCGCAATTATCGCCCTCACTTACGCCAAAGGTTGGGGCGACTATTCTTCCTGAAACTGATATGACTTCCCAGGATGGAGTCCAGCATCTGGACTTGGCCATCCCTAACAGCCTTGCCGAAAGGCTTTCCCCGCCGAGAAACAACCACGGTCAACTTGGCTTTAGCGAGAGTCGAGGCTGTGAAACTCCATCTCCCGCTGCAAGCGCAGACGCCAATGACATGGGATCTCCTTTAGCGATTGAGAAACCCCCGATTCCGAAAAGCCTCCCTGATAAGGCAAACGAAGGCAATGGTGCTTTGGAAACTGTTGATGAAACGGTTCCCAAGGTTCGTCCCTCAGGAATCCCAAGGCCTTTACCTGAAAAGTCGTTTCGACGTGCGTTTCGAGCACGATCCCCGCCGCTTTTGCGGACGCAGTCGCAGCCTGTACACTTGCAAAATGACAGGGGTTTGTCCGCGAGACCGCCTCCCGCAAATCTTGATCATAGTGTCGACTCTACAAGGCAAGTTGACGTCTCTCTCGTTCATGGTGAAGAGCTCAAGTCGAAAGGGAGCGAAAAGCGACTCTCCGAGAGGCTTGGCCTATCGTCTCTCAAACCTGGCAAATTGACGTCGGGCCATTCGCTGATACCGCGTTCCATCCCTAAAAAGCACAATTCAAGAGTGTCGTCCCTTGCAAGGCATTTCGAGCAGCTCAGTCGCGAATTTGAAAAGGAACGGCAACGAGAACGAAAACAACGAGCAGCACAGGGAAAACAATCGCGAGCATACCCAATGGCATCTTCAAACCCCATAATGGAAGTCTATAAAAGCGTGAAAGACGCAGTTGACCCGTCAAATGAAGATTTTGTTACTAATTTACCTTCTGCGACAATTTCAAAAGAGTCAAGTTCCTTAACGGAAGAAACGGAAAGCCGTGCTTCACCAGTAGATCGTCCACAAAAGCCCGAAGAGCAACAGCTAGACGTTGAACCACGACCATCAGAGGAGTCTCTGCGGGATAGCAGTCACGCGCTATCTGAAACTGAAGGCGATGGCGAGCAGAGTGAAAGTGAGAAGTGCTTACTCGAGGAATTTCACTCAGTGGAAGGCGTGAACAACATACCCACAGAAGAGATCGTGTTAGAACTGAAGGAGTTGCCAAAGCACGAACGGAGCTCTTTGGTCAAAATGCTGGCTAACTTCTGGGCAGAACGCTCCGCGAGCGGCTGGGCTCCTCTTGACTATCCTTTGAGTGATACCGACCATGTATTTGCCGACTGTGACATCATTGTTCGCGAAGATGAACCGAGCTCTCTAATCGCGTTCGCTTTGGACTCGGAAGATTACAAGCAGAAGCTTAGAAGTATCCAGGAGACGAATGAGAGAACCCAGACTCAGATGGCGGCTGACCCTGAGAATCCGGATACAGAGCCCGAAGTCGAGCAGTCGTTACTCCGGAGCACTGGAACCCATTTGAAGTATCAGTTCCAAGAAAACAATGCAAAGATGCTCTGCAAAGTATTTTTCGCAGAGCAATTCGATGCTCTCCGGAGAAAATGTGGCGTATCAGAGCGAATTGTGGAATCCTTATCCCGGTGCATGAAGTGGGATTCCAAAGGCGGCAAAACAAAGTCCCTCTTCTTGAAAACGCTTGATGACAGGTTCATTTTGAAATCGTTGTCGACAGTCGAAACCCAGGCGTTCTTAAAATTCGCGCCGGCATATTTTCAGATCATGTCTGAAGCTCTGTTCCACGAACTGCCTTCGGCAATCGCCAAAATGTTCGGGTTCTACCAGGTTATCATGAAAAACCCGGTCACTGGAATAGAATTCAATTGGTTTTTACTTCTCATGGAGAACCTGTTTTATGATCGCAATCCTACTCGCATCTTTGACCTTAAGGGGTCTATGCGCAACCGCAAGGTACAAAGTACGGGAGAGCAAAATGAAGTCCTCCTTGACGAAAATATGGTCGAGTTCATCTATGAGAGCCCGCTTTTCACAAGAGAACATTCGAAGAAGCTCCTGAGTCAAAGCGTCTGGAACGATACCTTGTTTTTGGCCCGGCAAAACGTTATGGATTACTCTCTCATGATCGCCATTGATGAAGGTCGCCAGGAGCTGGTCGTTGGGATAATCGATTGCATAAGAACGTATACTTGGGATAAGAAATTGGAATCATGGATTAAAGACCGGGGGTTTGCTGGCGGTGGCAAGAATCGTCCGACGGTGACGAGTCCAAAGGAGTACAAAAATCGCTTTCGAGAGGCGATGGCCCGATATGTGCTCCATGCGCCAAAGTAAGTCACTTCTCTTCTCTTCCGGACAGAGCCAGTGAAAAGCTAACAGGGGCCCTTTCTTATTCATAGCCCCTGGCATCAGTTCCAAATTCCAAACTCTGGCAAGCTATTCCTCAACGCCCTCGATGGCAGGCAAGCGTCCGATCCAGGAGATAAGCAAGCGGATGCAAGGTCCAATGTCAGCATTCCGTAGGACTTTGGTCCGAAAACCTCTTATATACTCTGTACCTTTTTCACGAAACTACGAAAGAAATGCATGATACACGACGGTTACGAAGCCATCAATGATAATCTCGACTTGTTTGAAGCGTGTCCGCTCCTTTGTAATTTTCCCTTTATACTAGAAGTAATCATAGTAATATACCGCCTCATGGATAAAATTCAATGTTCGGACTTTGCTTTGTTTTGGCGCGGCTAGTGATGTCAGCGGTCTCGAACCACGTTAACGATCTAGTTTGCTGCGTCGTTCTTCTCCTATTGATCCTATTTTATATATTTTAAGACGATATCATCTATTATCCTATCTAACCTCTGGAACAGTCTCCAATGGAGCAGGACCATTCCTTTGAGCACTCAGCTGCTGATGGCAGTCCGCCTGGTGCGGCTAACCATGCTAGAGCAGAGGATGGCACACCGCAATACACTCCTCCACTTCTCTCTCTCCCGTCAGAGCTCCTCTATGAAATCTTCAATTATTTACCAAGCTTATCGCTAGTATCTTTGTCCGCGACATGCCAGTTTCTCCGAGAGCATGCGAACAACGAACTGCTTTGGGCCGCTTTGGTGAATTCCAACCTCCATGCCCCTCTCGATTGCCCCGCGCCGTTCGAGTCCTTCCGATCCCTGTATGCCGCCCACTATCCGTTTTGGTTTCTCGTGCGGAAAAGAATATGGTTTTCAGACGTGCATAATACGGGGAAGCTGATTCTCGTTCGATATAACGCTTCGCGGGGCCGTATCGAGGGGTTCCGGATCGTGGCAAGCAATTCGTTTCGTCAATTCCAAATATGGCCTGTAAATGCGTCTGTGATAATCAACTCTTTCGATCCGGACGTGTCGCTATGGCTGGATGATCCGGTGATACTGCTCAATAAGAATGTGGCGTCGACGTTTACTTCCAACCCCACTACGCGGCAGTGGGAGGTTCAGATGCCCATGGACCTTGAGTCTCAGGGGGTGTTCAGCTCTTTTCTCTTTTGCGACAAGCGATCTCCTCGACCTGATATGTGCCCATCATCGGTATGGCCACCAAGTCGCATTCCAACGGATGAACGGGTCTGGATTCCGGAATCGGAGACCGGGGCGGTGGAGACCTGTGGCAGTCCGATGCGCCTGGGTGATCTGTCTGAATCGGGATTTCGAGTGAGAAGATGGATACAGTTTAATAGGAGTCAGATAACGTCAATGGAAATTGGTGTACGCATCGACGGTGTAGCCACCTATGGGACACTGAACCCAGAGCTCTACACGCCAACAAAGGACAAACCGTATAGAGGAATATGGGTTGGGGATTATTCTGGACATGGATGCGAGTTTTTATTGATGGTGCACGGAAACCCGGATCCTCGACCAAGTTCATATTATACTAGGGAAACGATGGAGGAGGACACCACGCCGAGTAGTAGCGCAGAGAGTGCTCAGGGAACCGGCTCCGAGGACATACCTGGTGGAAGCCTGAAAGCTATCAAACTAACAGGCGATCCAAACATCCCTCGTGGGGAGATCAGTTTTCAGGCCGACGACATTGGACCCGGTGGAACTATCCGCATTGCCCATGAGGAGCCATTTGAGGGAGCAAGGGTTTTGCACTGTCGGGGGCAGGTCGCTGCTACTAATTTTACTTCGAGTGAGACTTTCCCCTTCTTGCTTAGCTTTAATAAGACTGCTCGGGGAGTTCTCCAAAAGAATTCTGCATGTAAAAAGCTAACCAGTCGTATTAGGTGCATTTATACCCACAGAGCTCTTCCTTGTTTCGCATGACTGCATTGCACATTATTGGGGGGAGTTGGGGCGTATAGTATATTATCGACGTGTTGATATTGATCAATTGATGGATCAATAAATGCTAGGATAATATCGTATCTGTTTCCCTTTATGTTGCGCTTCGGACTGTTTCAAGTTGATTTTGGGGAAACATGTCAGGGCAGCCATGATGGATCTACTGAATTTTTCCCTCAAAAGATGGTAATGGAAACGAGAATGCGAAGGACAGCGAAGGTTCGACATGTTGCCTCCATACATTATGTTCGTTCTCGAGGATGTCGGAATCGCTTGGAGACAGTGCAAAATGCAAAATGCAAACGAAACGCCAGCTTGTGTAAAGTCGATACCAAAGGAAAGCCAGAGCGCCGGGAAACCATGTATATATGTACATCGGTCATGGGGAGAACTCCTAATGTCATAGTTGCGGATGAAAGAATATATGAAGGGCGTAGATTGTCCTCCTAACCAATTGCCAAATGGTCGAAAGCTGTCGACCTGCGCAACCAGCTTGAAGGGAAGGAAAGCATTCAACAATCGTAAACCCGTAAAGATAGCGTGGCCGGGATGAAGACAGAATCCGCATTAACTAGCGCCGTCTCTCAAACCAGCCCGAGGATCCCAGCACGGCGACGCTCTGATCCATCACCCATTCCCCGACACCCAAGTAATTATCGACCCATCGCTTGATTTCTTTGTTATCGGTGACTTTGTCTGAATTTAGGCTGGGGCTAAAGTAACGTGTGCAGATCCACGCACTCCGCCCACCCGCAACGAACACCACTGCCCGAGCTCAGCACCCATGGGGAAAGGTGGTGGGCTTGGGGTGAGCGGGTGGTGGAGGCAAGTAGATGTGGTTAGCCGGTCGTTGGTCTCCACGAAGAGGTTTGAGGGAAATATTTACGTGAGGCCTGTGGAACGCTTTATTCCAGCGAGGAATGCTGAAACTAAAATGGTCGTTAGTACTAGCAAAACACTGCTGCCCGATCGAGTTGTTGATGACTCGGGGAGGTTTCCCTGGAACCCATGCGATCACGGACAAGCGACACAAAGAGAATAGATGGCAACGTACTCAGGACAGCATCGAAGGCATAATGAGTCAGGCGGCCGAGCTGCAAGTTCAGTCGTTCGTTAGCAGGGAGCTGCGACTCTGGGGACGGATGGAGGCATACCACCATAGCTGCGTAACTGGAGAGGGAAAAAGCTTTGGAATTGAGGCGTCAAGAATGGTCGAGCAAGACTATGCAGTTCCCCAGTTTTGAGCGGGAAACGGGTATGTTGGCATCCAGCAGTTGATATCACGGGCGCTTTGTCGCTGGCGGTTGTCGATGATGATGGCTGGGGGACGGACGTCAGTGGACACTCCCGCCAACCGTAGCCGGCATGTGACTGCTTAGTCATTATTTGTCGGACATATATTAAGCCGCAATCCGGCATTAAAATGCACTAGCCTTAGTCTGGTTTAGCGGGCCATTAATGATGCCTGTCCCGCGCTAGTCCAGAACCAGCCTGGCGCAGGGCTGCCAAGGCCGCCGGTCCACCGCTCGACAGGCGCTAGACCAGGGCCGGCTAGCGCTGAGCCAGCCACGCCGTCCAGGTTGTGCGATAAGATAACGGTGAGCTTCCAGGCCAATCAGACAGCTCAAAGCCGACAGCTTCTACAATAAAAACAAAAAAAAATATCGAAAAATCGCGCGCTTCTGCTGTGCTTCCAATTCTCCCGGCTGTAATTTTGCGCTTGTATTTTTGATGTCTCTCCTAGATGGGAGAGAACACGATCTGGAATGGAGAAAGATGCAAGTCTTGCAGCAGCTCGTCGGCGGTGGATGACGTTCTTGGAGTGAAATCCTAGCTGCGGGTGACGTAGCATGTTTGGACAAGCAGGGAGAACTTCTCAGTGCCCAATGGCCGTTCTTTGGGCAATCCGGCCGTTGAGATGAGGCAGATGATTTGCCCAAGTAATAATCAATTCAAGCTGAATTGCAGTCTTGTCTGGCTGTGGAGCTGTGCGGGAGATCTGGGTAGAATCTGATAAGCCGTCGCTGTATGAAAAATACGCCAAGTTACCAACGCATCTTGTCCCCTCTTCTCCCAACAAAACCGCATCATTGACCGATTCTCCCAGCGAGTCGACTAGACCTCACTTTTCTTCTTCCACTGTCATTCCTCGCTCTCGCCAGAACGCACTAGCGAGCTGCAAAGAATCTGCCAGGAGAAGCAACAGATCTCCCTCTGCAAACAAAAGTTTATTTAGCTGGTTCCTCCTTCACCACCCAAAACTGCCATGTCGCGTAACAACCAGAACACTTCCTCATACATGGCGAGCTCCCTAAGCCATCTGTCCAACAGGATGAAGCTGGAATGGACTTCCAAGCTGAGCACCGAGTACCAGCCCGCAAAGAATTATCGGCGCACCTCCATCATCTGCACTATTGGTGAGTTGGGGTCTTCCTGCCCGACGCCTGTGACTCTCACGACGTGATGGTAATGAGGGTTACTCACTGCAACACATGTCTCTTCGCCTGCACATGATGCTGAATTTGAGCATCTCTGAACATCTGTGCGCTAATTACCCTCCTACATAGGCCCAAAGACAAATTCAGTGGAGACGATCAATATCCTTCGCAAAGGTTTGACAACAAACATCCGTTTCCAGCATTCCTGTTTTCATCCTAACATCAATTTTGTAGCCGGACTAAATGTTGTTCGCATGAATTTCTCTCATGGAACACATGAGGTATGTGTATTCCATGGCATTTACCGCCCAATGGCTCATAGCTAACCTATGACTTCTGCCTTCGCAGTACCATCAATCGGTCATCAACAACGCAAAGCAAGCTGAGAGAACCCAAACTGGACGCCCTCTTGCCATTGCACTTGATACTGTAAGAAGACCTACCGGCAGCATTGCAGCCCGCCGCCTTCAGATCTCGCAACTGCCAGCTAATAGACTTCGTCGATGCAGAAAGGGCCGGAGATTCGAACTGGTCTCACCCCGGATAACAAGGATATTCCGATTTCGGCTGGTACCGAGTTGAACATAACCACCCATGATGACTTTGAGGCCAAAAGCGACAACAAGAATTTGTTTGTTATTTGCATGCTCAAGTTTAAAATGTCGCATGGATTTTGACTAACTCATTGCGTAGATACGTCGACTACAAGAATATCACCAAGGTGATCCAGAAAGGCAAGCTCATCTACGTCGATGATGGAGTGCTGTCGTTTGAAGTTCTCGATGTTGTGGACGACCAAACGCTCCGTGTCAAGTGTCTCAATAACGGTACCATCTCATCCAAGAAAGGCGTAAACCTTCCCGGCACCGATGTTGATCTTCCCGCTCTTTCCGAAAAGGACATCGATGATATCAAGTTTGGTGCGAAAAACAAAGTTGATATGATTTTTGCCTCTTTCATCCGCCGCGGTGAAGATATTAGGCGCATTCGTGAGGTCCTGGGAGAGGAAGGCCACGAGATTCAAATCATAGCGAAGATCGAAAATCAACAAGGCGTCAATAACTTTGATGAGATTTTGGAAGAGGCAGACGGCGTGATGGTGGCCCGTGGAGATTTGGGCATTGAAATTCCAGCACCAAAGGTTTTTATTGCCCAAAAGATGATGATCGCCAAATGCAACATCAAGGGGAAACCAGTCATCTGCGCGACACAGATGCTCGAGTCCATGACCTACAATCCTCGCCCAACACGCGCCGAAGTTTCCGATGTCGCCAATGCGGTCCTTGATGGGGCGGACTGCGTGATGCTCTCTGGCGAGACTGCCAAGGGTAACTATCCAAGGGAAGCAGTGGCCATGATGCACGAGACATGCCTCCAGGCCGAAGTTGCCATCCCATACTTTAGTGTCTTTGATGAACTTCGCAACCTCTGCCCAAGACCAGCCGACACTGTCGAATCCATCGCTATGGCAGCCGTCTCCGCAAGTCTTGAACTGAATGCAGGCGCAATCCTGGTGCTGACCACAAGGTAGGTTTCGTGCTCGATGTTGGTTGAACATTGGCTCCTACAGAGCATTTGCACTGATATTGCGTTCTCTATAGTGGGCTTACTGCTCGTCTCCTGTCCAAGTATCGCCCGGTGTGCCCAATTATCATGGTCACTCGCAATGAGGCTGCTGCTCGGGTGAGTTGGCCGCCTACAGGATGTGATTTGGAATGTTTTATACTGATACTCCCGCAGTACTCACATCTCTACCGCGGCGTGTACCCATTCTTTTTCCCCGAGAAGAAACCCGATTTCAACATCAAGATCTGGCAAGAGGATGTCGACCGCCGCCTCAAATGGGGTATCGCCCAGGGCCTCAAGCTCGAAATTATCTCCAAGGGCGACTCTGTCGTCTGTGTTCAGGGATGGCGTGGAGGCCAAGGACACACCAACACCATCCGCGTCGTTCCAGCTGAACCCAACTTGGGCCTTGCGGAATAAACAATCCATTGCGACGTGCCTGCTCTTCCTTCTTCGCTTACCCGGACAATTGGTAATCTCACTTTATAGAGAGCGGGGTCATTTAGGAATTTGGTACTCCATTCGATTTTCTTGCTTAAAAAAACACAATCTTGCTAGCATTGACAGTGATCTGGATTTCCACTTCTTGTGCGTACGTTTTATGCAGACTGCGAAGGGCGGCATAGTTGTTTCTAGGTAGTAATGAATTGATGATAAGCCTGGATCCCTGAAATGCGATTTACGCATCCCGGCAACGTTTAACTCAATACGGCATGGTTGACTAGTTAGGCGGCACTTCTCAAGTCGCGTCGAAAAGGGGCTGTTGCCTGGGACCATTGCGCGTGGACCGACGCGAGCACGCAAGGTAAACAGTGCTTTGTAGCGAGCCGTGTGAATCGACACCAAATCCAAACAAAGGGATTCAACGACGCGTGTTGATAATTTGCTGGTTCTGTTTATTTACCCAGTCGCGTCGAGGGGAACCTTGAATGATTCTCAGACATCACAGTCCGCCGTCGCGTGTTTCAAGTTGGATTGCTTCGAGAAGCGGTCAACACAGAGGTGTCTCAGGTTCCAGGCGTGCTTTCAAAAAGTGTTACTCTGTACTTCTGAATGAAATGAGTGAGTAATCTTGTGTTAACTTATTGATGCTCTCGTTCCCATATCATTCACCTACCCTTCCCCAAGCTTCATTGATCCCACTGAGCTCGAAGCCATTCCCCTCTATCAAATATGCTCAACTTCCCAAGCATGGAGTGCCCGCTAACTGCTCCAACCCAGAACTGGGTAGAATCCAGGCCCAAACTACTGAATACGTACCAATCTCTACTCTCGCGGCTTGAACATCGGATCGACTGCAAAATGCGAGTTACAGACCATGCTCCCTACACACCGAAATGTCGCTCATCCAACCGGGCGAAACGGGGTGCGCCTGGAGGAGCCGATTCATCCACTGGGTTAACACCGCATATCTTGCGCACTCGGCTGGTCGCATCGAGTCCCGCTGCGCCGACCAATGCAGAGCCTACGAAACCATACGCAAAGGGCAAACCCCGCCGTCATACCACTCCTTTTCCTCAGTCGAATAGCAAAAAACGTAAATTGGGATTAGCCGCATCGCCTAAGGAGGAAGTTCAGCTATGTCAATACGTCCCATTTAGCGATATCGTTGATTCGAGGACTAGGAGGCGCATTGCTCGCGCAGGGTTTAGCGAGGAAATGAATGCGATTGAGGAAAGGAGGAGAATTCAGAAGAAGCTTGAGAAACAAAAAGACGATGAATTGAGACAGTTGAAAGATGAATTGGATCGATTGAAAAGCGCGCGAGTTGACCGGGCTGATACGGTCGATGTTGTGTTGCAGGACGGGATAGACACCGAAGACGACGATATGGATTTTGATGAGGGTATCGACACGTTCGACGAATTCAACGGCCCACATGCTCCTGAATTACATTGCCTCCCGGCGTTGATGGATGCTGGGACACAAGTATCGTTCCACAGCTGTCGTGGGGAGGTCCAGTCGCTGAAAGAAGGTCTTGAGCGAAAGAAACTGGAGCAGCGCACGCTCTTCCAGGAATGGCAAAGAGTGGTCAATAACCCCAATCCCGACATTGAAAGAACCGGCATGGAACCGGCACTGTCAACACCACCTCCTGATTTAGCGGCCCAGGTCATTGCCAGTTTGCGCGCAGCTACGGCTCGCGCTGATGAAGCTGCTCAAACTGTAGTCACGGTTCAGGAAGAGCTCTCTACCCACGGCTTCGATGGAGTTGACGCTATGGAGGTCATTACCAACATCGGAGCCCGCTTCCGACATGCCAGAATGGAGCTTGAACGAGCGGTACCGGGCGAAACACCTAGCGCTAATTTGTCAAACTGGAGCACGACTATTGACGCCCTGGTTGAGCGAATACATCGACTCGTAACAGACCTAAAGAAGACACAGGAGCAGGTCACTGGGTACCAGGAACGCGAAACCGCGCTTCGCCGCCAGTTCGACTCAGCGTTGTTGCGATATGAAGAAACATGCAAGAAAAATGAAAATCTAGAAAAGTATACAGAAACGGTTGCCGAAGACATGCTGGACGCACGAATGAAACTGCAGAGGCTGGGCAAGGAGATCGAGAGCCACGCAACAGATAAGACTCGTCTGACAGCCGCCTTGGAAAGTTATAGAAAAGACGTCAAGATGCTAGAGAGCTTGAACGAGAAACTGGAAGACGAGATTACCGTCTCCAAGCAACAAATCGACGATCTCGAGATCGCAAACAACAAGTTAGACGAGAGGAACGAGTTGTCCAAGGCAAGAATCGCCATCCTTCAAAAGAACCTGTCCCGCGAACACGACCTCCGTCAACGATTGCAGTCATCGCTCGATCAGTGCAACTCGGAGATTTCGAATCTGAAATGGCGAACAGAGCAGCTGGACACTGAATACGAGCATGTCAAGGCCGTGCTCAAGGAAGCAAGTGCAAAAGAAGCGGAGAATCATGAGAAGCAAGTCGGAACCCTGAACGCTCGTCTCTCCTCAATATCTACCTCCCTCGATCTCTCCAACGCGGAAAATGGGAAACTACAGGAGCAGAAGAGTCAGCTGGAGCGTCGTCTGTCGGATTTCCAGCTGTTGTTTTCTCGAGAAGCTATCCAGACGGCGCAACGAAGAGCCAAAGAGACCCTCGAAGCGTTTGAGAAATGGCAAGAAGGGATAGAGCTGTTGGAGGAAGTTTCGCGCCGTGAGGGCATGATTAGAGAGGAAGCGCGCAGCTTCGGTGCCATTGGAAGTGAGCCGATTACCCCTGGGCCGTGCACGAGGTTCAAGAACGTGGAGATGGTCAGGAAGAAGAAAACGACCAAGGACTTGGATAGCCAGCCATCTTAGAAAGCAATGTTGTTGTTTTGATGTTGAATTTCGCGTCTCGATCTCGATTCCAGTTGACGTCATATGGCTAGACTTGATACTCCAGGCAAAGCTGGATGTGAACGGAGTAGCTGCAAACAGGGCTGATGGAACAGCGATACATGAATCCAGGGACAATGTGATTACTTTGACCAGGTTCCCTGTTGCAAAGGCACATGCATTCACAGCAGGTGGTTCCCTAACGTTTACCTCGATCTCAACGACGTATACTCATAAATCTACCAACCAACACCAAATCTAGCAAAATGGCATCAGAAGAGCCAGCAGAACGATACACGCTGAAAGTTACCGCGGGTCCTACTTACGACTCCAAATCACACCGGATCGTCCCAGTGAACGCTGACGAAACACTGGCAATTGAAACCGAGCACTCGACCGTGAACCTCTGCGTACGCATCCAAGACTACAACGGTACATGCAAAAACACCCAAAAGCTCCCGCTTCCCGCGTATGCTAACCACCCCCCTTCGCCCCCCAGGCCTACCACCTAACAGCCCCCGCACAAGCAACTACTTCTCCCACCCAGACCGCCAGTCTAACCTCTACTCCATCGCCATCAGCCTCGTGCCCAAGCGCACCATCCCCGGCTCCGAACTGGTGTTTGGCAACGACTTTGACCATCCCATCCGCGATCGACTACCGCCGGGCACAAACTATGCGCTGAAGCTTGCGCAGTGGACGATCGATCCCGGTCTGGAGGGAGACGCGTATGCGGATCGGCCTTATTTGTACGGCGCGGCGCTGTCGAGTTGGAATTTCTTTCGGATATGTGAGCGTGAAGGGGGCAGCGAGATCGGGGTCGACGGCGAGGATGCCAACCATCTAGGATCAGTCGAGTTGCATGACCAAGTCATTGCTGAAGGCAGTGAAGGCAGTGGCAAGCAGGTGCGGGAGAGTTTGAATATCCCAGACGATGCGGATTCGCGGAAAAAACACTTTTTGGATGTGAATAACCGCCAAATGTTCGAGTTCGAGGCTGGACGGCTGTATAAAGCCGACTTTGGGAATCCATATCTTGGGTTCAGCGGTATGTGCCTGGCTTTGACTTCCGGCACTATTATGGCTATATATGATTCAGGACTGACTGGGTGTAATAGACTTTACTCTGCGATTACCTGGGTTTAGCCTCGATGTTGCAAAATACATTGACCAGAAAAACCACTCGCTGCGCTATGTGTTGAAGAACAAGAATACTGGGGATATCTATTTTGTGGTACTTTTCACTCTGCTACTCGACAATGACGACGGCGACCAAGCGGAGGAAGACGGTGAGATGCAGCAAAGAAGGGAACAAGAACCAGAGGAATCAGAGGTAGACTAGAACAACATGTCTGCATAACGAGAAACCCCCAATTGTGTATAAGGCGAAATGGAGCCGAAAGGTATATCTGGGGTGGCCGAAAATTCTCTCAATGCAAGACTAATATACACAACCATTATTTGTCTAGCGGTCCTGAAAACATAAAACGTCTAAAGGCGTCTGAGAACGTCGTCCAGCACTTCTTGTGTCGTAGCCTTGCCTCCTAAATCAGGAGACAAGTACTTCCCTTCGTCCAAGTTTGCATCGACGGCAGCGTAGATCTTTGCTGCGGCCTTCTCCTCTCCAAGGAACTCAAGCATCAGACCGGCGCTGCGTAGCGTGGCGATAGGGTTCGCAATACCCTTGCCTTCGATATCAGGGGCACTGCCGTGACATGGCTCGCCAATTGCAAAACCGTCTCCAACATTGGCGCTGGGAACCAGGCCCAAGCTGCCGACCAACGCAGCAGCTCCGTCAGAGAGGATATCTCCGTAGAGGTTGGGCGCCACGATCACATCGTAATAAGATGGCTGGCGGAAGAGTTTGTAAACCATGGAGTCAACAATCTGCTCTTCAACCTCGACGGCCGAGAACTTTTGTTGGGACAGAGCCTTGCGAGCAGCTTCGCGGAACAGCCCATCGGTCTGGCTCAACACGTTGCTCTTGTGGGTGATCGTGACCATGGGGCTGGATCGGGCTGCCGGGTGTCCCGCGTCGCGAATCTTTTGGCGACGGAGTGCGATGTCGCCTGCAATTGTCGCGATGCGAGACGATGCGCGTTCGGATATTCTCTTGATGGCCTCCGCCACCTTGCCCTCGGGGGTGTCGTAGGTCTTTTCATCCTTCACGTAGAGGTCCTCAGTATTCTCACGGACAATGACCAGGTCAATTGGGGCAGCAAGTTTGGCCCCTGCAGTCGTTTTCACGGGCCGGACGTTGGCGTAGAGATCCAGGCGTTTGCGGAGGGCAACAATGGGAGAGGAGTATCCCGCTACCTTGGTGGTTGGCGAGCTAACCAGCGTTTGGAGATTAGTATCTTGTACTCCGTAAGTGCATTCGAAACAGCATCACGCCGAAAGGAAAAGAGCCATTTACCTCACTGCCCCAAAGAGGGCACCGTCGCATTCTTTCTTCAGGGTTTCAACAGTCTTGTCGGGCAAGGCGGTTTTGGTCTGTTTGAAGGTGTCGAAGCCGGCTTCCAAGTCGACGAACGAAAATTTCAATCCCAGCGACGCGGGAAGGGCTTCCAGGATGCGACGGCCAGCCTAAGACAATGTGAACGATTACTCAATGGTCAGTCTGCGAGGCGTTGGGGCCGCCCGTCCACGTTGCCGCATACCGGAATGACCTCTCGGCCAATGCCGTCACCGGGGATGAGGCCTGCTTGCAGGTTAGACCAGAAACAGTGAATGGGAGCATGGAACTGGAAGCAATTGACCTATTCTGAGGGTTCTGGAGGCTGCCATGTCTGCGTGTGCGTGCTGGCGACTGCGGGTTGACTGGATTGTTCTCTTGCTTTGCAGCGAAATCGGCGAAAACAGCACGGTCTTGGCAGATATGGGCGGATGATCATTATTCCGCGGGTCGCTATGTACTTCGTAGGTATGGACTGTTTTCCAATGTGTATTGCTTCCGTAGTTGGCGACGATTATATGGAAATAATTCAATTCTACGAGCTTAGAAACAATGGAGTTGGGTTGGGCGGCATCAGGTTGTATCGCAGCTATTATCTGGAGCTGCAGGATGAGACCCTTGAGCTTGGGATCTCACTTTGCTGCAGAAGTTATTCTTAGACCCAGAGAACAGCAAGTCAAGTAGGGCTGAAAAGGCCATGTCGCCTGTATAAATCAATTAACTGCTGGACGTCTCAACAAAGAAGCCTTCGATCGTCTTCTGATCACCGTCCATCTGCTCTTGTCGGCCCAGTGGGTGTGCCGAAGCCCCTTTTGCGGCCTGGAATAATTGGGCAGCCGCCTTAATTATAACTAGCCCATGCCCCAAACCGCCCCTAAACATTTCTTCTCCCTTCGATCCTGGCCTGCGACACCCTCTGGTCTGCATCACGCACGCGCTTTGTTTCTGCTCCCGAAATGACTGTCTGTTTGTTGCGTCTGATCTCGAGTTAGCCACCCGATCACGCCGCCAACGCGTTGCATCTCCAGACGCCCCGGCAACCCGCCCACTGAGCAACCTCGCCTTCACACTCCTTTGCGTGTTTCATAATAATCTCCTCCTCGTGTGCGTTATTTAAACAGTGCCTTTTAAAACATCGCCGTCGACGACTTCTCCATGCTTGTTTTGCCCTCCTCGACTCCCTCGCAGTGACAGCCAGCACGCAATGTCCGACCGACCCGCGACTACAGGCGTCCGCAGCCTGTTGGCCAAGTTCGAAAACAACATCTCGGCCTCCCCTCCCTCACGCGGCAGATCCCCAGTTGGTGCCGACGGCTCTGCTGCCGTTCGTCCGCTTTCGAAAGTTCGCGCGAGCTTCATTCCCGTCGAACGCAATGGTGGCTCGGGTTCGCCGCTGGGATGGCTGAGAAGGACCGATTCGGGCGATTCCCCGGTGAACACAAAGCCTCCCGTGACGCATGAGTTTGGAGGCCCCATTGACAAGTTTACGCCTCTGTCGCCTACGGGCTCTGTACGCATGAACGTTTTCGGCAAATCGACCCCTTCGACGCCAATGACCGAGAAAAGGGATCCGGCCAACGCAAACAGCACGATAAAGCATGATATCCCGAGCGAGGTTATACAGGGTTTGGGGGCTATCTTGAAGGGCTCGCCGTTTGAAGATTCGAAGCCTCCGACTCCGCCAAAAAAGAACGGTTCTCCCCTGCGAGAATTGGGTTCAGCGCTGCCCGAACCGAAAGCAACCGTGGCTCCCGCAACCAAACCAACAAGCCCACCGAAAGAAGCATCTCCGCCAACCAAGGAACATGCGCCCGACCGTAAACCAGCTACCTCACGCCCTTCAAATCTAGTAATCTCGAAGGAATCCGTCAATCAAGGCCGTAAGAGCGCAGTCAATCGAGGCCCGAAGACGCCGCCTGCTCCTCGAACCCCGAAGCTTCCAGTTACCCCCGAATCACAGGTTGCGAAACCAAATGCGGCCAGTCCTGCCATTACAAAAGAGACAGCCAAGGTTCCGTCGCGAGTCAACACTCCGAAAAGACCTGGTCGGTCGACTTTCAGCCCAGCGGCCCAAACAAAACACGTCAATCCCAATAGGGATAATGCCTCAAGACCCGGTTCGAAGAACACATCCCCTGACCAGCCCAAGGTCCGCCACAAGTCTCCAACACGCCCCGTTCGGCTTCCCAGCTCGATGACCGCCCCGACTGCATCGTCCGCCGCGAAAACGAGTAACGCTTCCTCACGCCCTGCCAGTCGCAATGGCGTCAACGTCGACAATAAAGCCATGCGTAAACCTTCCTCTCTACGCGTCGATCGAGCGGTAAGCGGCCCCAGAACCACTGCGCCCTCGACAACCGTGCGAAAACAGCCCTCTCGTGCCGCACTCGCGCCGCCACCCAACATAGGCGTTGAGAGACCAAAGTCGCGCACGAGCAATGTCAATGCTCGAGCACCTGATGAGTCGTTCCTCGCAAGGATGATGCGGCCAACGGCGAGCTCCGCAAATAAGGTGCACGATAAGATCGAAGCTAAAAGCCCTCCAAGATCCACTCGAACAGCGAGACCTGTACGAAAACCAGCAGATAAAAATCATGCCAATTCTAACCATCCGCCAAAGTCAAAATCTCCCGAGGTAGCGAAATCACCGGTTCAAAGCTCTCCAGACGCAGATTCAGCCACTGAGACCTCAATCCCACAAGTCCCTCAAGAGCCAGAGAGTCAAGGAGAAATCGTCGAGCCGCCAGTGCGACAGGAGGAACCTGATTTACCTGTGGCAGAAGAAGCTCCCGCAGCTCCGACTGTTGAGGCCAAAGAGCCTGAAGCGGCAGAAGTATAGCCACTCTACCACGGGCACATCTATATTGTCTCCCCTCAAGTTGAATTGGAGCGTCAATATCCTGTTTGTGGTTGGATTAAGATTCAATCTCGGCTTATTACAACTTTTAGTTAAACTGGTTGATTTTACTTTCCCTGTTTTGGTTGCCAGTTGAAGATAAATCAATTCCGACAGTATCTCTTTTGGCATTTTCACCTCCTGGGACCATGTCTTTTTTCTTTTTGCTTCTTTTCAGCCATTTTGATTCTCTCTAGTTCCAGGTCTTGTTTCAATTTTCTTTTTTATCATAAGCAGAGCGAAGATAGGAGCATCTTTTTGTGTGTTGTGTGTGTGTATGTGCTTTTTTTACTTTTTATCAACCTTTTCCTTCCATATCACACATTTGTATTCAATATTGGGCTTATAGCAAATGGAAACCTACTCTTGAAATTGTAATGTTTTATTTTTGGTCCTTGGTGATGTTCATGACAGTTGACGAGTTGCCGGTTGCTTCTTGCCCACCGCTTTGATTTTCGAGCAATGGCGAGCTGCCTCCAGCTGTTGCAACCCAGAACTCGACTGACTCTGAACTCGTCGCTAACGGGTAACTAACTATATCTCAGGTATTATCTAACTGTCACAACCAGAAACTTAAAAGTTGTTTGCTATATATATTGCTACGGTGCCGATAAAGACAAGGGGGCGAACAAAGCTGTTGAGCTAAAAAAAAAAAAAAAAAAAAAAAAAAAAAAAAAAAAAGAACAAAAGAGATGGGAATCATAGACCGCTCAAAAAGCAAGAGGAAAATGGGCATCTCACAAATCGACAAGTCTGCGAGCGTAGAAAAAAAAAGTGTCCAACAGGTCCGTAGAAACTGCTAACAAATATCATTACCTGTCACAGCTTCTTTTCCAATTTCTTGAAAAGCCTATTAACCCCTTTCTCAACACGCATCGCGTTCTCGGCAATTTTGCTAGGCTTCCTATCACCTGACGGAGCCAGGCTTCCCGATCCGTGCCTTTGATGGTACGTGTGTTCGCCTTCGGTGGGTCTGTATACCTGGTTATGCACGTCGTATTGGTTGGCCATGGGCCGTTGGGTCTGGCTATATGAATAATCCGAGTATCCCCCAAGCGGGGGCTGAGGCTGCGAAGCTTGGGGTTGATACGGCTGACCATAAGGTTGTTGCTGATTGTAGGCAGTCACGGCTGGTTGCTGCTGTTGCTGGAATTGGTTGTATTCGCCGCCCGGGGGTGGTCCAAAGCTCTGTTGCCGGTACACTCCCGTGGTGGGTTCTTGGGCTGGAGGGTGTGGTGGGTAGCTGAGGGTCGCCGAGTGGCCTGTTGAGGGTGGTCCAGCGGTTGGTCCAAATGAGAGACTACCCCCGTGAGGAGGCGGCGAAGAGACAGATGTCTGCTGATTATACCCTTGCATTTGGTTATGGCTTCCCTGGGAGAGTCCGATCGACGCGGACTGCGTAAAAGGCATGCCTTGCTCCTTAGCGGCCGCAGCCGCCAGCCCCGTTCCGGATGCGGAATCCGATGGCGGAGGAGTTTTCTCGCGGTGTTTGATTGGCTCCGGTGCAGCGGGAGCTGCAGGATTGTAGGCGAGAGGGGTATAGAGCTCTGCCTTCTCCTCCTGGGCTTGAGTGGGAGGCTGCCCCTCAGGTCTATCTAAGGGCTTCGCGGACCCCATCGAGGGCTGACTAATAGCCGTAGGTTGTTTTGGAGGACCACCGGCGGGAGGTGGAGGAAGATTTGCGGATCCAGTTGGCGATATCTCACCCGCGTAATTGTTGTGGTACCCCGGATTAGAGATGGCGACTTGCTCCAATTGCTGCACAACGGTGCTTACGGGTGCTGCATGCATTGCCGGCTGAGTCGCAATAATATCAAGTTGGGTCGGCTGCAAGATTCGCTGCACTGTCGAAAGGAAGAGCCGTGCATCCTCTGTGGTCCAGAAGTATATATCCAATGTATGGAGTTGATGGAGGGCGCCGCTAGTATCTTGCGGGTGTCCGCTGGCCAGTGACCATTCATGCTCAGCTTGGTTCGGTAGCTCCCCCGATATGCTCGGGCGCTGGGCGTTAACCGTCAGGGTGAAAAGCGTCGGGAATGTATCTGAATTTCGCAACAGGGCGGTCCCCAAAGCTACGGAATCCAGTATAAATAATTTCTCCATATTGAGGAGATGGCCTGTGGGGAGAACGTACAGCCGGCGAAAGCATCTTGTTCAGGAAAGCCTGGGTTATTTGCGATTTCGATTCGCGCCTTGCGCTGCGCCGCATCGTGGTATATGTAAAGGTAGGATCCTTTATCAAATCGGTGGAGCAAAGGCCGCGGAGACGGTGGCGAGAAATAATAGTGAACGTCCGCAAATCTGTTGAACGGTTAGCCGTGTTGCAAATCATGCAGAGCGAAGTCACTCACAGCGTCAGTGCACGCTCTTCTCCAGGTAAGGGTGGCATTCCAGTGGGCTATACACTGGAAACTAGACAGATCAGACGAAAGTATGCTCGACAGAGTCCCGCAGCAACTTGATTGAGACAGCCGTCAGCTAAACAAAAAGCACAAAACACAGCGGAATGATATGCTAGAAGAAGAACGAAGGCGTGTCATCGTCTTCATCGTGGCTGACGGCAGCCCCGCGCTTAATCGAATCACACTCGACGATGCCTGGGTCTTTGCAACCAGGGGCCACGCGACGAATGGCAGGTCGCTTGGAGATGCACCGGCGCTTAGGGGCGCTCCATGATTGGCCAGAATGTGTTACATTATTACAAGGCTAAACCCAAATGGTCTGTAATTATGCTACCCCTTATTATACAGCCTTGCCTATTCTAGACCGGAACATTAGAATATCCGATGGTTTTTCGTCTTCTTGAGCTTTACCGCAAAAAACAGCTGGCGACGGCGAGAAGCGCAATCAGCGATTGCACGCAACACCTGTGACTAGTGAGGGCTTCAATTGGGATCGACTGCAATACGATCCATTCTCTAGGTAGGTTTCAATGGCAGCTTATCCAGGAAGCGACTGACTTTATACCAGGCTTCGATCCACTCTCGCAAAAAGGGCCCCGAAGCACTGTCGTGATCGAACAAGTGGCCCGCAGGGCCTTTATTCCCTACATAGCCACCGAAGATGTCCCTTGTCAACCTTGCGCATGTTTGTTCGCACCTGTCGAACGCCTCCAAGGCCCGGCTGTCGTTAACATCAGTTCCAAACACGAATCTGCATCGTTCCCTCCTGCTCGCCCTCCGTGATGCTGGGTTCATTTCATCCGTCGTGCTTGGAGGACCGAATCCCCCTCCTTCTCACTTTCTCCTGAACCTCCCCACCATGACCGACGCAAAAGAAACGCCGATCGCGGAGCCCGTCACAAGAGAGAACGTTGCCAGTCGTCGATTATGGCTCGGCCTGAAGTACTGGCAGAGTGAACCTGTTATTTCCAAAATGACGGCTATCAGCAAACCCACCAAGCGTATCACTCTGGATGTCCCTGCTCTGCGGCGAATCGTCCGGGGTGACCAAAGCAATACCGTGTACGGGCTTCGGTCACCTGGGGAATGTATCTTTTTGACCACGTCACAAGGGCTATTTGAGGCCAGGGAGTGCGTGGAGAGGAAAATCGGAGGGATGGCGCTGTGTAGAGTGATCTAACCGGTGTGATGCTATTGCATGACGGATGGAGTTTCCGGCTGGGTTTTTGAGTGTCACCCTGAACAGTCTTCATTGGGGCTGGCACGACATTTTTGTATATTATGGCAGACCTTCGACTTGTGTACTCTCAACAAATGTTTACTGAGCTAACTGGGACGGACGAATAGACAGTGGTTTGTTCCTTGGTGCATCCGACGGTCCCGTTTGTATTCTGGAATTTATCATACGAGATCTCACTCTCACTCGTCCACTGGCCTGCTCCACAAGACCATCCAGTGTATGCGACATTGGATTACCCCAGCCCGGATCTCATTCTTCATTTCAATCTAGCCTAGATGCCCAGTTCTCGCGGGCCTGCGGTAAATGAGCTCTTCATTTGTCGAGACTTGCATCGTCAAACAAGTGTGCTATGCGCCAGGATTACTTCGGAATTGTGGCCGTACGTCCAGGGTGCTCCCCACGGCTTGAAAGGTAACTATTAGTTAGTTATTAAAATTGCCGTGTGCAACGAGCTTGTTGCTGTGAGCCCGCCGTTGTTAGCCAACATCAGCCGTCGTGATGCTACCTCAACCTCTTCCACTCGCAATTCTCAACTCTGCTTCTACCCCAACAACCTCCCGCCTACATGACCAACCTCCACGTAGGCTCCGGGCGTCCTTGGCTGTGGATTCTTCCTCCTCGTCTCCTTCTGCTGCCTGTCACTTGGGTCTGAGGAACTGAAGCTCAGGCTGTGTGCCAGGCAGAACCCTGCATTCATTGAACTGTCGGGAACTTCACGTTGGGCGCCTAAACCTGGTGCCGGTCTACGATACGGCCCCCATGCGAGCAGAAAAGCCACAGGTAGGACGGGCTCCCGGTTGGGCTAAACTAGATCTAGCTAACTTGCACAAGTTCCTGCAGCTGACACTAATAGCCTTCTCCTTTACTGCCGGTCGTGAATATAAATACCTAATCCCGGAGATGAGCCTACGTTGCTGCCCAAAGCTGCCCAAAGGCTTGGTTCCCGCGCAATCCATTTGGCCATGCCCCATGTCACAATGTCTGAAGCACCCCTTCGCACCCTGGAGGCCATTTTCCTGAGACTCTTGATTCACAGTCGCGACAAGCCCCTTCTCCCTTTTCGTCGGTCGTGCGGCCACTGACCAGGGTTAGAGCCCACCCCGTCCCAGGAAATACGGAAAAAATCCAAAAAGGATGCGATTCGGTCGCTGATATCATCTTCAGCATCTGTCACGCGCCTGGACATCTGATCAGAAAAGGGGAATCCCACGAATGGCAACGACCTAGTATGACGAAATCGTTCTGAGTTCCCCCGAAGATCTTTCCTTCTCGATACGCCCGCTCCAATATTGCCTCGGGCGCTTTTGCTCGGAATACTGTGTTTTTCGTGGCTAGCGGGCGTTGATGCCTAATAAGGGGGCATTCTATTCACCCCTGTTAGGCGAGCTTTTATAATCCGTTGATCATATCCAAGGCGCCCTCTCCCTCCCTTGAATCTGCCAAATTTGTACCCACATTAGTTGATGATTTGAATTGTTATCGCAACCGAACATGGCATACCATACCAATATTGCTCAATTTGGAAGATATGGCGACCTCAGAGATTCGCCGTTTGGCCCCGGGGCCGGCGACCCAATTTCATTCCCTTCGCGAAGGTCGGTTGACTTGTATCACTGCTTCCTGATGGAACTCGGACTTTGCTCACGAAATATGAAAGCCCGGATATCAGCAGGGACCACGGGATACCTGCGCCTTGGGACACTTGTGAAATTTCAAGAGCGTACAGCCACAGGTAATTGTTCCCACGAGTATACTGTTAAATATGACACTGAGATTGCATCATCCAACCAGGATAGCTTCTCCGCAAAAGGACCAGCTTTCCCAAAAGCATCCGGAAACAGCTTTCTCTGAGCGGCCCGAATTCTCTGATGCCTGGAGCTTTTATTCTAAGAGCAATAGATTGTCTTTATCTCCTTTGTCCTATGATCAATATTCTCATCCACCGCCACATTTAATGCCCCGGCCAATTGCGCAACAACTGGCGCAAGCACCAACCAGTAGCGCCTGGGAAATGCCCGTTCCAACCCACAATGATAATCGCGCCCCAAAGTCGCTCATTCCAGGAGAGGCAAGCTTATTTCCAGAGCGATTGAGGCGACGAGCTACGGATACCACCAGAAGCTCGGGACGGTACCATTCACAACGGCGACCAGGCAACCGGGATGAATTTGACGGACCAACCCAGTTGCTGGAAATGCCATCTCCCATAACTGTGGAAACCCAGGAGGAAGACCTTCCTCCTTTGCCTACTACCTTGGATATGCAAGAACAAGAGCAAATCCTTTGTGATGTTAATGATCGTTTATCCAGATGTGCCTTCGATTTTGTTGCGAAATACCAGTTTCCTATTCCCGTGGAATCAGACAAAAAGCACGTCAACGGCCCACAAGACCGCGAATGGACTGAATGGGTTTATCTTTTGAAAAGGCTCGCCACCAAGCGGCGGATCCCAGCCAGGGTGCTTTATAATGGCCAAATCAAGCAGTTTATCACGGTGTTAGAGAATGCCTTGGAAACACGCCACGTGGTCAAAAACCAAAGCCGTCCTCTAAAAGATGATCGAAATGTTCTTCAGTTTATTTCCGCAGGGACACAGGTTGCGAAGATTCTCAAAGATGCTCCAGCCATGGAATACTTTGATTGGTTATATGTCCAAACGGAGAAATACATCCACGAACGGCGAATGCATCGGGGGAAAGCCGTCTTTGATAATGCCCGCTAGGAATGCCCGTTGTACTGTTTAGTTTTTTTCTGTTTTTGCCCCGTTTACTCCGGTGAATCTCCTGCCATCCAGAGCCCGGAAACTGGACCAATTGCCAAACCTAACAGCTCACAGAATATTGCAGATATTCAGAAGATGAGAGTGGCCTGCGGCGCGATCCCCTCGGCACTTTTCGCCGCCTAGACGGAACTAGACTGCGCGAATGAAGATAAAGCCGATGCGCGAGCAGGGGACTCCGTTAGAAGGTTGAAGATATTCGTTGCCCTGGATCTACAGTGCGAGCCAGCCAATATTCCGATGTTATGTTTTCTCGGCACTTTTTGGATACGCCCATGATCCGGACCATCCGAAGCCATACCTGTCTTTTCCGTGACCGTTTCCGGTTTTTAGCCCCGGATCATGTTTTACTCGATTTTTATTTCTACCCGTCTGGACTTCTATACGGTCTAAGTTCGTATGGGTGATTGATTTGTTTTCTGCTTTGGTTTAGAACTTCCCTGGGCTTTTTGTTTTGCGATTTGATATCAACATGTGCTTGGCTTGATACTCCCGGGAGACATCATAGCCTTCCGTTGGAAATGCTCTCGTTTGTACACATTTGCCTTTAATAGACCGTCATGCTTCCTATATCCTTTGCTTTCTAGTTGGAGAGAAGTTGCAGTTTTCTAATTTCTCTTAATAAATGTGCATCTTACCTGGCGAAATGTCGAATCTGGAGCCGAAAGTAAGATACTTTGTCAGAAAGTGGCAGCCCATGTTGAATTGGGAAGCTAGGCAAAGTGGCCCTTTTTTACATTTTGGGGGGTATTTACAGCATACATTGAATATATGTAAAAATCCATCATATATGGAAAGGGGATCATCCAAACGCAGTATTTTTCGTGAAAAAGAAGCAGTCCATGTATCAGATCTTTATAATCCCGACGAACCGTTTTTACTTACCCGCGGCTTCCTCCAGATTTGGGCTTTTTTTTTATTCAAGCCCAAATATCCGCCCCGCCCCATGGATGACGGCCGTGGCCAAGGACCTCACACGGCGCCACCTCCACATCCAAACACCTACCAAGCCAACAGCCGAAAACAACATCGTGCCCAAGACTCGAATAAGCACTTTGCTCTGGCGAGCTGTGGCGTGCTCGACTTCAGAATACCGCTGGTTCCCAAAGCTGACGCGAGAGTACTGCGTTGACCAGCCAAGGCCGGGCGCATAGCGATACAAGGCCTCCTCGATGGCTTTGCGGATGCGATACGTGTGCGATTTGACGCCCCAGCGCATCTCGATGTAGTTGCGGCGGGAGAGGTCGTTGATGGCGTGGGCGTCGGGAACGCGTTGCTTGGTATATGCGTTCAATGCCGCGGCGCGCGATTCCTTGATGCGAGCGGGATTGTTGGCGTTTTCTGAAGAGTATACGCCATGTTCATCGAGGAGCTCAAAGAGGATGCGGACATCTTCGAGGCCGGCGTTGAGGCCTTGGCCGTAAAATGGGAGCACGGCGTGGGATGCGTCGCCGAGGATGACGACGCTGGAGTTGAAATGGTGAGGGGAGCATTTGATGCTGATTAATGGGAGGTGTGGGTTATTGATAAATTGCTCCTTTAGGGCATCCGGCGTGATGAGCTCTGATACCCCTGGGAAGTGAGTGTCGAAGAATTCGTGGAGTTGGTCTGGAGATTTTTCGAGTGCGGCAAAGTGCGCTGATGGGGCGAATAGGGTGCACGTAAAATGCTTGTTTGGTGAGGGGAGGGCGATGAACATGAATTCGCGCCCTGGCCAGATATGGAGGTGGTTGGGAGAGATGCGGAAGCTGTTGTCATCTGATGGCGTGATCTGGAACTCACACCACAAGGTATCGATATAGTCCTGTTGATAATCCATCCGCGCGAACTTCATCAGATGGAACCTGGTGGCTGAATGCGCTCCGTCCGCGCCGATCAAGAGATCAAACGGAACTTCAAGTTCCGGAGCTCGAGTGACATTGATAGATTTATCATCCTGGCTGGAGGCCGCTTTAAACGTCCCAACCGAATCGGTTGGGTTCCGCCGTTCAAACCAAGCTTTGTTGCTTTTGAAATCAGCACCAGTCAGCTTATGGTTGAAGAAGAGCTTGACGTTCGGCGTCTTTTCTAGCTCATCTAGCAAGACCGTGTTGAGCACCCCGCGGTCTATCGCATTGATATACTACCGTCCAAATAAGCAATGCTGCCCCTTGAGCTTCAGGGAGGGCGTTCAGGTATGACTGACTCGTCCGTGAACATCATATGCCTGTGCCTCTTCCCAGAGTGCTCCATTGGCTGCACGGCCATGAATCATGCGCCCGTGCATAGGAATCGCTTCCTGGAGAATCCGCTGAACGAACTCGGGACGGTTGGTGAGTTTCATGGAGTGAATTCCTCGCTCCGAGATCGCCAAGTTGATCGACTTGGTGAAGTTGAGGGGAATTGTCGACGGATCGCGGAGATCTGCCAAAACAGTGAATATCCAATTACGCCACAATTGGGTAAAATCCGAGGTAGAGCAGCAAGCCAATTATCAACCAGCCGAAATCGAGTGAGGGATCACTCGAACAACACTCGAAAGCATGCCATTGGCTGGGAAACGGAAATGTCACAGAAGCCATTGTTGCGATTTAGACCAGAGATACGGAGTGCATGGTCCAAGAGATCGACAGAAGAGAAGTTGGACAATCATCGGGAGCGAGGAAAAGATACATGAAGCCAAAAAGTAGTTGTGATTGATAGAAGGAATTTCACATCAAAAAAACCGTTCTGTCGCGTGACGTACCTCCGCGAAGTTCATAGAGCTCGACATGATCGCCTCGAGCGGCCGCATAGAGGGCTGCTAAGGAACCCACTGGCCCTGCGCCCACAATTACAACTTTGCGCTGGTTCGAGCTTCCTGGCATATTGTCGACTGCTCGAGATTCCGCTTCTTCTTTTTTGGTGGGGGAAAAATGCCAGAAAAAATCCCCGCGAGCAAACGTAAAATAGCCGCGGATGATCACGCCTTAGCGCCTCCCACGTGATAGGACGCGGCTAGGGCGCTTGTTGCTCGTTGGTTTGTGCGGCCGGCAGCCTTTGTCCACTTTCACGCTGCAAAGATTCATCCCGATCGATAAGGCGGCGCACGGGGAATAGTCTCGAGATATTTCGTGGTGGTCAGCGAAGCGCTGGGGACTAATTACCCAACTGTTGCGATAGGAAAAGCCGTCAGCGCGAACGCCTGTTTGACGATCAAGAGCGTATCTGCTTGAGCCCTATTTTTACAGTCAGTATTGGGCAAAATGGGCGACTTGGACGCAAAAAAATGCATTGGTTTGGAGTGCAGCAACCCGGCAGGGAGTCTACGGTGTCCGACATGCCTTAAAATAGGCATCCAGAGCAATTTCTGTTCTCAAGATTGCTTCAAGCGTAGCTGGGTACGCTTCCGTTCACTCCCACAAGGTGCTGAGGCCGACGATATTGCTTTTGGGCGGAACTGATTTTGGTGACAGGCTGATCATAAAGCAATCCATAAATCCAAATGTGATTACGATGCCCTCTCTTTTCGTCCTGATCTCCGCAAAAGCTGACCCCCTCCATTTTTTTTAGCGACGTACGATCCCTTCCCAACATACCCATACACTGGCAAGCTGCGACCGGTGTATCCTCTAGCCCCTCAGAACAAAGTACCCTCCGATATAGTAGCACCCGATTATGCCAAGGATGGAATTCCGCGCTCTGAACAGAAAATATTTGGTCGGAACAGCATCAGAATCCTCACCGAGAAGGAACAGGAAGGGATGAGAAAAGTGTGCCGCATGGGAAGAGAGGTGTTGGATATCGCAGCACGCGAGATAAAACCGGGTGTGACAACCGATCACATTGACAAGATAGTCTACCAAGCGTGCATGGAGCGAAAGGTGAGTGCTAGCTATTTGGCCTCTGATGCCGCTAACGTTAACCTGACTTGCCAGGCATACCCGTCACCTTTGAATTATATGAATTTTCCCAAGTCAGTGTGTACATCAGTCAACGAGGTCATTTGCCATGGTATCCCCGATCAACGACCGCTGGAGGACGGAGACATTATCAATATCGACATCTCAATATACCATGGAGGATTCCATGCAGATCTCAATGAGACGTATTACGTGGGAGACAAGGCGCTTGCAGACCCAGACACAGTCAGAGTGGTGGAAACAGCCAGGGAGTGTTTAGACAAGTCCATTGAGATTGTTAAGCCGGGAATGCTATTCCGTGACCCTGGAAACGTCATTGAAAAGCACGCCAAAAGCCGGGATTGCAGTGTCGTGAGAACATACTGCGGGCATGGTGTAAATCAGCTGTTCCACACTGCCCCAAGCATTCCTCACTATGCAAAGAGCAAGACTGTTGGATCCGCGAAGCCGGGCATGTGTTTTACGATCGAGCCAATGATTAACCTGGGGTCGTATCGGGATAAAACCTGGCCCGACAACTGGACCAGTGTCACCATAGATGGGAGGAAATCAGCGCAGTTTGAGCATACCCTTCTGGTTACGCAGACGGGTGTTGAGATCCTAACAGCAAGGCTGCCCGACTCGCCAGGCGGGCCGGTTCAAATGCCTTCCATGGACGGCGAGGCACCCAAAGCATGATATTTTGAGTTGTGATTCTGCAATGTGGGCGATATCATATTGCGATCTCAGCAGCTGGAGCTAAAATTTACCATCATTACTATAAAAAGCAACGATGCAGCTACATACATGACTTCTTAGAAGTAGCATAAAAAAGGCCATCATATGAGATCACATTGAATCTAATGGTAAGATAACTGTAGCAGTAACACGCGTCGATATTGGTGGGGAGGAACGCTGCACGGCGCCCTGGCTAGTCCGAACCTTCTAGGCCTCTCTGTACGCCCGGCTCGCGGAGATTCTTTCTACAGCCATGTACTCCTGGATATTTCGGCCTTCTCGCTATCTTGCAGGCCATGGCCGCCAACGGTGAGGATTCGATGTTGTCGGAGAATACGCCACTCCTTGCCTCTCAGGACGCCGTATCGAATGGTTCGTTCACACGGGTTAATGGGTGTTCCGCCGTAGACGAGGAGGCTCCGAAGAAAGGCGATCTCGATACCTCCCGCGCCGCTCAATTTCAAGGCCTGCCCGATGCCCAGAAGAGACTAAAGTATATCGTCCCGGCGGTGTCGATTGGAGTAAGCCAACACGCCGTCCATCGGCTTTGGCGTTGTGAACGACCAGCTAACAGTGAGCACCCAGGTGTTTCTTTCTGCAGCGGACCAGACAATCATCGTCGCGAGCTATGGAAAGATTGGAAGCGACCTCAAGGCACTCAACCTCACGAGTTGGATCGCCGCATCCTATTTCTTGTCCCTGACTTCCTTTCAACCGCTGTATGGACGGCTCAGCGACATTTTCGGTCGCAAAGCATGCCTACTATTTGCCTACGCCGTATTTGGGCTTGGATGTGTCTTCTGCGGCCTGGCCCGAGATATCAAAGAGCTGATTGCTGCAAGAGTATGCTCTCACTCGATCTCCGGTTCCTCACCTACCTGCTAACAACGTTGTAGGTCTTTCAAGGAATTGGAGGCGGAGGAATGACCACGGTCGTCAGCATTCTCTTGAGTGATATTGTTCCTCTTCGGGATCGTGGCATATGGCAAGGTGTCATTAATATCATATATGCGACCGGATCTGGCCTCGGTGCACCCCTAGGTACGTTTGCTTCGAAACCATCAATATATACTATTGCTGACCACTTCTAGGAGGGTTCATGACCGATTCTATCGGCTGGCGCTGGTGCGTACTAGATTCCTTACTGGAACCCGGCGTGAAGACCTAAACCTGACTTGCATTCTACATACAGGGCGTTCCTCGCGCAAGGTCCATTGTGCCTTGCAGCTTTCGTGACTGTTGCGGTCGTGTTGGAATTGCCAGCTGTCGACGAATCGCATTGGAAAGAGAAGTTAAAACGCATTGACTTTTTAGGAGCCACTATCCTCGTCCTTGCTGTCTTCAGTTTTCTATTAGGATTGGACCGTGGAACCAACGTCTCGTGGATGCTTCCATTGACGATCGTATCATTAGTCGTATCGGCCGTTCTATTTGCAGGATTCGTCTGCGTTGAAATATGGGTCGCTCTCGACCCGTTCGCACCTGGTCATATCATCTTCGAACGGAGCATGCTTGCTTGCTATTTCGCCAACTTTTTCAGCTTTGGGTCCTGGCTTTCGGCTATCTTTTACCTTCCCCTATTTTTCCAAGCGCGGGATGGTGTTTCTGCCACGGGAGCAGGCCTCAGATTGCTGCCATGCATAATAGCAGGAGTAAGTGGCTCTTTGGGCGCCGGCATATTCATGAGGAAAACCGGCAAGTATTACTGGGTAACAATCTCCGCATACATTTTGCTACTTGTTGGTCTGGTAGTGATCTATTTGTTCTCTGGTCCGATCTCTAATAACATCTATCTGATCGTCATTGGAATGGTAATGTGCGGGTTTGGAAATGGCATAGGAGTTACGACAACCCTAATTGGCTTGAGTACGTTCTGTGCCCATTCGAATTGCTACATGCGGCCGCTAATATCTTATTGAAGTTGCAAATGCCTCCCCTGAAGACCAAGCCGTTGCTACCGCTTGCTCATACTTATTCCGATCGCTAGGTTCCGTGATCGGAGTTTCTCTTGCTTCTGGAATAGTCCAGCAAACACTTCGTTCTAGCCTCCAGTCAGCTCTCCGCGACAACAAAGATATCGATAGTATTGTCGACGGCGTCAGACAGAGCCTGGATTACTTACAAAACCTCGACCCTCGCACTAGGGGCATTGTGCGAGCGTGCTACGGCCATGCCACTAATATCAGTTTCGGCTTTATGGCCATAGTGGGACTCTTCACGGTTTTAAGCGCTGCTTTTATTCGTGAGCAGAAGCTGAGTGGCTGACTGAGCTTGTTCATATGGCCTATGCCATCAGGACCGAGTCGACTGTTAGACTGTCGAAACTTCACAAAACCTTGCGATGCCCATTTTGGCGAGAACAGGGCCTTGCCGTGTAAAATCTTCATTCTCAAAAGCCTCGCAGAGCTGGAGGCTCATATAGCATCCACTTCTCGATTTGACCCAAAAGCAAAAGCATGTTAGTTAATGGAGAATCTAGCTAGGACTTTAACTACCTATTCACTTGCTGTAAACCCTCCTTGTTGAATTGTAAGAGCTACAGATGAGCCGGCATGCGGTTTTATGTGATGCCAAGAAATGTGGCAGAAGCTCAGATAAGCTGTCTAACCAGAGCTTTGCTAAACCTCCATTCGCGGTGACAGCGACATGTGCACTCTTTCACAACTGCACTTCTTTCTAGAGGACTTTGAGGCTGGTTGCAGAATCTGTTTACCCTACATCTCTCCGCCATGACGCCTTGCCACCATCGTGAAAAGCCCTCCTGACAGCCTCGTTGCAGCATGTTAAGCAGCCGACCCTCGCGCGCATCGCTCGGTCGCTATCGCCCGGTTCTCTATATTGCCACCGGTCTCGCAGCAGCGTATGCCGTCCTCTTAATCCACCGGCATTTCTATCCCTCCCCTCCTCCCCAGACTGGCCTTCACCGCCGAAATGCGGTCCGGCGACCCGCAAGACGACGCGGCGATCCATCGTCGGCCGCACGCAATCATGCCGAGATGTCTATCTCAATGGAAGCCATACGAAGGTTACAGCAGCTAGAAACAGAAACCGAGCCGTACGGAACTTTCAGAGTTGAAGTTGAAAATGGTCGCTCATATCAATGTTCTCTAATGCCAACAGAGTTCCCGACGGACGAAGAATTGCAAAATATACTCGATATTGGTATTGAGCAGGCAGTGTTGATGCGCAGGATGATGGAAGACGCGTTTTTGGAGAACTTTTTCGCTTTTGAATATCCCCCGTCGCATCATGTGTCGGCGTTGACGGGAGAATACGAGTGGTTGCATGACCAGCTGCTGGACCTGGGGTTTACAGAACGAAGTGTCGTCCGAGCAATCAGGAGGTTCAATGGTGACGCCAATTTTGGCGAGGAGTTACGCCAGAGGAGGAATAATGGCGAAGCAACGAGCCTGGCGATCAGTGGAAATACAATATTGGAAGCCCATCGGGACGTGACAGAGAACGCTCCCGATGATCAAAGCCTGTTCTCGTGGCGAGACGGTAGTGATGATACGGCGCCTTCTAGAGAAGGACAGAACCTGTTGAATCTCTTGTATCATATTGCAGAAGATCAAGCGAGACGAGATGGATATATCCACCGTGGTGTCACCTGCAATAGCTGTGGAGTTATGCCAATACAGGGGATTCGCTATCGTTGCGCCAACTGCATCGATTATGACCTTTGTGAAACTTGCGAGGCAATGCAAAGCCATATCAAGACGCATCTATTCTACAAAGTGAGAATCCCGGCACCGTTTCTTGGTAATCCCCGACAATCCCCAGCCAGTCTGGTACCCGGGAAAGCCAATGATGCTTCCTCGTAACCTGCCTCGAACCCTGGCGAAACGGTTGATGAAGGAAACAAATTTCGAGAATACTGAACTAGACGCTCTTTGGGATCAATTTCGATGTCTGGCGAATGTGGAGTGGCCGAATGATCCGAATAAACTCAACATGGCGATTGATCGTAAGACATTTGACCGATGCTTTGTCCCAAATACTTCCGCTCGACCTCCGCCACCTAGTCTTATCTACGATCGGATGTTCTCCTTTTATGATACCAATGGCGATGGCCTGATTGGATTCGAAGAGTTTCTCAAGGGCTTAGCTAGCTTCAACAATAAGAGCACGCATGAACGATTAAAACGGATATTCCATGGATATGATATCGATAGAGATGGTTATGTGGAAAGGAAGGACTTTCTACGGATATTTAGGGCGTATTATACCCTTAGTAGGGAAGTGACAAGAGATTTGGTTGCCGGCATGGAAGACGAGTTCATTGAAAATGGCACCTTGGATGTCATTCTAGGTAGCCAACCTGTCAGCTCTGCTTTTCCCGGGACGGTGACTTCGGGCGACCCGTCACGAACCGGTGATGGCAAGCAAATGGATCTGCATGGTGACATGGAAATTGTCGATAACCAGGGAGTTCTACGAGATGATGGAGAAGACGAGTGTGATAGGCACGTTGTGATTGGAGACGCTGCCGTAAGGAATACATTCAGTACTTCACAATCCGGATGGTTACAGCCGTCGCCCCAGCTCCGGCCATCAAGCTTTCATGGGAATGATGTTCACGACGAAGACAATGATAGAAACGATGCGTCATCGGAGTTCTCTGCGGAGTATGGTGAATACCCGCATCCTGAAGTGGTCCAACCGCGAGACATAGTTAACGCCTTGGGCGCTTATGTTCCTTACGAAGAGGTTATGGATCACCTTGACCGCGTCCGCATCGGGACATGCGTTATGGAGCGCCTTAACTCTGAAACCGAGGACCATATCGAAAATGTGAGGAACGCTGGTATTGAGGAACGATGGAGGCGACGACGCTTCTATATTGATGTGGAAGATGGTGCCACCGTCCCTTCATGCTACCACGATGAGGATGAAGATGCACTTGAGGATACAGACGAGACAGAGTCACACGTTCCGTCACCCAGATCAAGGTCATCATCGAAAGTCCGCTTTCAAGACGATGTCACGGATAACGAATGTGAAACGCGATCCAACTTGTCGACGTCGTCGCGGAGTATCCCGATTGGCGAGAGATGGGGCGGTTATGAGATTCCGGAGGCCGAAAGAGACGTTGGAAAAGAGATACTTTACCAGGTCACTCAACAGGGCCTGAATGAATTGCTAGACACAATCTTTAAGCCCAAAGAAGATCTCATAATGGAAGCTTATCGCACTCGTGCTGAAAGGAAACGCTGGGCCAAAGAAATTGACGAGTTCGCACTGGCGCAGCTCAAACGCCCATGGACAGGCAGTGATAAGCCACACTCCGGTCCCGCCGCTGAGGGTACAGGAGCAAAAGTGGATGAAGTGCCTTCTCAAGAGGACGGCCTGGGAGAGTTCTTCATGGGCTATTCTGCGGTGCCTGAAGACCACGAACGATCAGATTCTCCGCAGGTCACGGAAATCCTGCCCACGGACTTTGTGTTTTACACCGGTCCACAAAATCGGCCAAATGGCACTGAGACCGAACCTTTCCCGCTTGCCCCCGAAAACATGCCCTTCGAGGTCGAGGAAAAGGAAGACAGTGACGATGGTCGTGCATCTCCAGCCCCGGATCCCCACCCTCCCGCAATTCAGACCAGACTCAGCAGATTCTCCTGATTTCGACTCCTTGCAAATCAGCGAAGCCACTACCTCGAATACGCTCGCCAACCGCTCCATCGGACAAACTCACTCACCCATCTATGAATCCCCGCCAAATTCCGTCTCCAGCTCTGCGCCCCGGCATCAAGCCCGACAACATCCTAGCTCAGCTCTTCCGCTCCGCCTCCGCTTCCAGCAACCTCACCACCCACCATCGTCTCACACCAGCCAGGTAGCCAACCCATCGTCGTCTTCAACCGCTTCTTCAACAAACTTTGCAAAACATCGCGTACCTCCGCCTTCCCCTCCTGTGCCTCCGGGTCCAAAGACGCTAGCACGCTGGTATCGCTTGAACCAGGTTGAAAAGGAAAGCAAGGAGCGGGGTGGAACGGGTGCGAAGTTAAACTTTGATGAATTTGCGATGCGAATGCAGGGCGAACGGGGGCACAAGTTGGGATTTGTGGGTAGCTGGATTGATATGATCAGTTTTTAGGTGCCATGGATGCGATGAAATGATTCAATTCATCTGATTTTGGTAGCAAAAGGGCGTCGTTTAAAGGAACGGTAGCGTGTTGTTTTCGATATCTATATGATGATTTTCGCTAAAGGTTATGAAATGAGACGATCTGTATTATAGTCATTTATTGTCATGCGACTAATAAGCGTTCATTGACGATAGAAGTCTTATCTTATCATCCCATTTACAGCACGTATATTAAAAAGCCTTCGAGCAGACTCGGATATCAGATTCAGGCCCTAAACATCTAGAAACCGAAAAGGTTCTCCTCCTCCGTATAACCCCAATCCTTTAGCGCCGGCAATACCGCTTTTGCAATCATCGCCGGCGGACCGCAAATAAGAGCAATGTTCCCCTTTTCAGGAGGATAGCAATACTTCTTCAAATGATCCTCAGTCACAAACCCTCGTTCGCCTTTCCAATCGTCTCCCGCATGTGACAGGATATGGTCGATTCTGAATTGATCCGGATGCTCCTCCATGAGCTTTTGCATCTCATCTCTCAATAAAATATCACTTTCCATCTTGTTCGCATCAACAAGGGCGATCTTGGTATTATCATGCGGGTTTTTGGATTTGAGAATGTCTTTGATTAGCTGCCAGCCCGGAGTTATTGCAGAACCACCCAGGACAAGCGAGATGTGCTGGAATTGGAGTTCTCTGCCGTCAACTTTGAACTTGCCATGCCCTAGATAGCGGATCTCGCCCATGGGGCCTTTGACTTCGATTTCTTCACCGAGGCGAAGCTCGTGGAGAATATTACTAATTGTTCCTCCTGGCATATCCTTGCTAGGAAAGTAAGATTTGACAACGAGGTCAAATGTACCATCCTTCTCCTCTTCAAGAATTGGCCTGACTGGGGTGTATGAACGGGTGACCATTCGATCGAGGAAATGGAATCCAATCTGAATGTGTTCACCAGTATGGAGGCCCAGGCTCTTTGTTCCTGTGGGCAGTGCGAATTTGTAGCGCTGCGTGTCTTCAGACAGATGCGTTTTCTTAATCAGCTTAACGGGTATCCATCTGAGAATTACTGGTCAGTTTTCAGTATGTTTTGCAAGTAGAATAGCTGAGTATACCTCTTTCGATCGAGAGCTAAATCCTTGGGCGTTTCTGAAGAAGCTGCGGCATCTTTCGCCGCCTGCTCCTTTTGCTTATTGATAAAAGCCTTTGCCTTGTCCGTGACGACACCGATGACGCATTCTATATACAATGTTAGTATTTTTTTTTACAGTACTTTAGTTCCCAAGCATACCACTGAGCTTTTGTTCAGCATAATCATCGTGAATGCTTTCGAATTCTTCGGTCGTGTCCGCGTGGACCTTCCCAGCATGCCCCATTATCGGACCTTTGCCACCGGGATGCCAGCTTAGAACACTGGAAGCGTCGTAGACTTTGCCGTTGATCACGATCCAACAGTCACCCTCTGTGTTATGCTTTTCTATTTCCTCACGTGTAAATTGCTTCTGTGGTGCTGATACTTCGTGTTTAATACTTTCGATTTGCACCTCAGCGGATTGCTTCAACCCATCCGCCTTTGCCAACTCCTGGTTCAACCCGGGTGCTGGAATGTCAAGCACAGGGCACCGCTCTTTTCATCCGTGATGGTTTCTGGTCGAACGACATACCAGCAATTATTCATCATCCTTCATTATATTAGCATTCTCATTAAAAATAGGGGGTGTACCATACCCCATGAGGTTCCAAACTGGCTTTTCTGGTTGAGTATTTTTGTAAACATTAAAGCATCTAACCGCAATACTCTTTGCATTCAAAATATGGGCAATCTCCACATCAACATGCCAGAATACCCATGTCCAAAACTTCTTGCCATGTCTAACTGGTGCTTCAGGGAACTATTGCTTGTTAGCAGTCGAAGGGATTGCACCTCGGAGATGTCAACGACTTTGCTCTGTAGAACGCATACCTTGCGAGTGCAATAGAGCCAAGTTTCTCCGCCGTCCAAGGTGACTTCAACCCTCTGGACTTCACATCCACCACCATCATAGGCCAATCCCTGGATTCTATATCTTTGCCCACGCTTGACAGTTTGGAGTTCAATTTTCTCGTTCTGGGCTGGCCTGACAATCACTGAATTCAAATTCTGCTCATTGCAGGCAGTACTCGGGTGGTGAAACATCGTTCTTGCAAATTCGGAATCCTTCTCGATAACAAAACTTGGAAGCACTCGGTTATCATAAATATGATAATAGCTCGTATTTTCCGTCTCAGATATCCAAATTCTCGATAACCACTTGATGCACCTGCCACCGACGTACCCCGGAATCATTATCCGTACAGGATATCCATGATCAGGAGGCAGTGGCTTATTGTTCATCTCGTATGCAAGAATAACATCGTTGGTGATATCCATCGCGTATTCTAGAGGGATACATGTCGAGTATTTGCCCTCACTGGGGTTGTCAGCCCCTTCAAAATTCACCCAGAGGCGAGCATGGGAGTGGGTGGAGGGTGCCAACTTGACACCTGCAGAAACCAGAACATCCCGGAGCAGAGCGCCTTTCCAGAACGCGCAACTAACACCACCGGCGCCCCAGTCAAAGCCTTTGGAACGTCTGATCATATTCAACTCTTTCCTCCTATTGCCATCACAGGCCATTGCAATGGGGATGTTGATAGCATCGAATTTGGCAAGCTCATCCATTGTAAGAACCTTTTGGCCGTTGTTTATGTCTATTTCATGTGTCTCCCATAAAATATGAGGAACAGAGGAATGATTCCGAACGTAGTGTAAGCCATTTGGCGTGATTAAGCCAGCTTCAAACAGGGTTGTAAGATCCGGTTCCGCATTCAGTGGATGTTTTCCGGTTAGGCGGACGAGAGATGGATTTCGTGGAATCCAATTGTCCGGGGTAAACTGATCGGCTTCGTCAATGGTGGTAACAGCAGGCTCATCGGCTACTGGGGAGATTCGCTTTCCGGAATCAATCTCGAGTCCGTGGATATAATCATTTTCGCGTTTCAATGCTCGTAAAAATGCCAATTCTTGCGGCGAGTATTTTTCATGCAACTTTCTCTCTTTGGATCTCTCTTCATGTTTGATTTCTTTCTCCTCTTGTTCATCTCGTTGCTCGTCTTCTTCCGGTGGATGCTCCGTACTGTATGCCTCGTGATGGGTCGTTATTTCACCACGCTCTCTTCTCCATTCATATTCCTGCTTTGCACTCTCGTCTCCCTTCTGTCTCTTCTCCTGCTCTTCCTTCTGCTGTTTCTCCTTTTCCCGTTTCTGGATATTGACCAGCCATTCTTGCTCGTATTTGATGAAACTTTCCGTAGTATGGAGCACATATCGCCAGCCAGAGGGATGTTTCGAGGGCATCCGCAAATGGTAGTCCTATGACCAATCAGTCTGTGGTTCTTGAGCAGCAGGAAGACGCAATGCAAAAAGCCTCAGGGCTCCAATCCGTTCAGATAGAGGCAATCGTACCTCCTGGTCTTTCATAAAATCCACAACGGTCAGTAGCTCCCCCCTCTCCCTTCTCTGACGCAATTCATCTGCCAATTTCCTCGCATGATCGAGAAATTCCTTGTCCTTGTCTAGATCACCGTCCGGGTGTGAGACACCAGCAACTCGGCCTTGCTTATCCCGATATCCGATACGATGATGCGGTACTTTTTGCCAATCCGGTTCCTTCTCGATGTCCTTCTGTGAGGAGCCGGGATGGTAAGTAGGCAGCGTTCTGTGAGGTTTGTCGATTTCAGCCATTTTTGAGATGCTTCGAAAGGGTCAGTCTGCAGGGACGGGTTTCATTGCTGAAGCTGTTGGTGACAATAAGAGAGAATGTCTTGTTAAAATAGATATCAGTACCCCGCATTGCTCTCCTCCGCAGAGCCGCCAGTCTTTTGACTGGACTGAAGCTGTGGTTGGCGGTGGTGCTGCACTATTGCAGGGTTGTGAGGTAACCAAGGTGGTGAGTTACATCATAGTTTGTCCAAGCAACTCAAGCTAAAAGCCAAGTTCATCGGGAACCACAGACAATTGTGAATGCTGAGAATGGGCCTTCTTACCATCGCAAAGGGATAAACTTGCTCTTATTTTCATCTGGAGCTCGGTACTAGTACGAGGATCGCGGAGTTGGGCAGTTCCTTACTGGCCAGTGACTGCATTATCAGAATTTCCTGCTGTTCAGCAGATACCAGTGGCCGTCTACATCTGAGTCAACAAGACAATACTGAAATAGACAGTGCTGTGTACACTGCTGCTATGGCATAACAGCATTGCCCCTCTTCAATTCTATGAGGGCCTTGTCATCCACAGCTGCATCTGCCATGAGTCGCAAACTGAATGAGGAGAATATGCCGTCCTTGTTCCAAATGCGAGACCCAGGCAAACTATCGCCATAATGCTCAGTTGGCCTTTGGCGCATACAACCCTTTTGTGTTGCAATCCAGTGGCATTTTAGGACATCAGACCGGTGTGCGGGATGGCGACTTGCTCACAACCTTTCACCAGTTGTTGCTCTATCAACCAAACTAAGAAAAGGGTAACTCTTGGGAATTCGCTGTGATTTCGGTTTAGGTGTAGAGAAATCCACGCAATTGTCCGTTAGTTGTCTCCATCTCTTAAATGTCAAATACCTAACCCTCTGAGCATGAGGTGAGTGAGCAACACAAAAGGATGTATAGATGCTTTCCTAATAAGCGTTTGTTATGTGTTAGATGCATAAACAAAATCCCCAAGAAACCAGGTTGCAACACTGAAAGCCCTACCCCTACCCGGAGAGGCCTGTCGCAATTCCAGGATGGATACCAATACCATTACAATGGATGGCCGCTGTCCGTTTGACCCACTGTTTGAGTTGACCACCCATGTATGTAGCTGAGCTCCAATTTGAACAGGGGAGAAGGAAAAGTATGTGTTCTGTCGTCGTAGCCTTTGGCGCCTTGGTATCAAGATGCACGCGACTCAGTTGAGCAACGGTGCTTGTTGGCAAAAGAATCGAAGACTGAACCAAGCAACTCTAAAACCCCGGGGGCTTCTTTCTGGTTGTCCTTGTCAAAGGCATGTAGGACTGGCACTCAACTTGTTCATGGCTCCAGCCCAAGACCTTGTGACTTCTCCAGGCATAAGCTCCTACTGCTGCTTATTGATATTGTAACAAAATCCGGTAGACTATTCTCCAGCAGAAATCTCTTCGATTCTAGAAAAAAACCGAAGCATATCCTGTATCCCGTATGACAGGCACCCGGGTTTGAGAGAAAATTGAAGCACACAATCCACCATGTAGCAGCGCAATGTATCCTTTAGAGAATGCCAGTTCATAAGAGCTTTATAGTAATAATAATGATGATAATGATGATAATACGAACAAAAAAAGGGGCAAAAACGGTGAAGAGTGACTAAGCAGCCACCGTCTGTAATCCGGTGTAATTTTCAATACAGAACCCACAATGTAACCTTGTCCCCGCCTCTTTGTAATACTGTTACATGTCAGTACCCGTTCTGCCCTAAAGACGGAGCTAGCTGAACTTGGCGCCAGGCAACCCTAACTCTATCACAACGACAAAAACACCCCAAGCCGCCCCCCGACGTTGATAACAAACGAATGGCGTGGTGCCGGGCTCTCAATATAGCCCTGCTGGAGGGACGAGAACGACTATATTCCAGGGTCTATTTACAGGGAGGAATGGTGATTCTGGGTCTCACGCCTCCCGGCCGGATCTGCGACCCAATGGGGCTGATGCAACGCTTCTGCAGGCTGTGTGGGGAAATCACGGAACATTGGAGAGACAGTCGCCGAGCAGTTTGAGGAGCTGTTCCTTTGGCAAACGGCCTGCGCAGTGCAGTAGGAGAATGGCTGCCAGAGCCGTGTCAGATCGATCTCGCTGCCAAGCTGCCCGATTTTCGGCTGCCAGAGCCATCATCAGCGCCCAGCGGTTGGGTAGCTGTTATCCCTTTAGCATGCTGCCTTTTGCGCACGGAAGGGTATGGGCTGAGTCTGAGCTTTTCTTACCTCGTTCTGGATCATCCTCTTCGTTGCCAGCATTTCTTGCTGTTCCGTGGATGATGTGTTGTGTCTGTCCCGCAGCTCAGTCAACGACGTGATACTAGCGTTGAGGACATTTCGGACACGGTCGCTCTCCGATAACAGCATCGTCTCGGTAGTTTTTAAAATCTCTTCATGGAAGCCTCGCCGTTCCCAGGGACTCCACCCGCCAGCCGCATCGAACACGTCGGCGATAACCCTCGGCAGCCGTCTATTTCGGCTCAACCGTTGCTCATTGGCTAACGGAGATGATTCGCCAAACGTCTCGTTATAATACGCCGTTACAAGCGTGTCGAAGCTGTCAAATCCAGTGGCCGCGACGCACTCCATAATGAGCTCAAATCTCTCATCCAATGAGGCCTGGCTGGCCGACATGGGCGGTGAGCTTGGGGTATTAGAAACAGAATCCATGAGGTCGACGGAGCTGGCTGCGAAATTCTGCACACTTGATTGTGCATCTCCGGTCATCGCTGTAGCAAACGGGGCTTTGTGCGTTGTTGGGGTCAGTATCCCGGATTTCCAGAGGTCAATGGGGGTGTCCAAACCGAAGTCCATGGACTCGCTGTTTTGCGGCACGAAAGTTTGGGCGCCGTTGAACGGCCTCTTACTATATAACACTGCTGCTTGTTACTTCACTGCCTGTTCGAAATATGGGGTTTGCAGTTTACCTACTTGTGGTATTGTCCTTCGCAGAGTCTTCCTGTGGGAAGGGATTATGCACTTGGTGGTTTAATCTTCCTAGTTGTTGCTTTGGGACGTGCATATGGTCGAGGAAGAGCCCGTCGTATATCCTCGATGCCCTGTCGGTTCGATCTTCTAAGAGGGGGGAACGGGCTTGCGAAAATGACTGAGAGCCTTGGGGGTTATCTAGAGGTGCTCTATCATTCTTATTAGTTGGCTGCTCTTCAAAAGCTGGCGGTGGTGCCTGAAGCCGTGGGTTCAACCTTTCTGTTGCTTTCGGTGATCCTGAATCTCTGGGTGTTGGTAGACCTGGAGCGCACATGAGCGGATCAGACACCCGATTCTCGGGTGCATTGCTTCGAGTCTCGTTCAGTTGTGATCGGGCTTGTTCATGATACGCGACTTTGGCCTGGAGTTCCGCAAGACGCGCCTTCATGCGCTGGCCTTTAGCTAGTCAAAAATCAGCCCCTTCTAAGATGAGTGAAGGGTCATTACGGTAGCTTCGTTGCGCAACCCGATTTTGAATCCTCTTCTTCTCCTTGCGGTTTTGAACTCCCGTCCAGTCGTCTTCGATGCTCACTTCGCCGGCGTTTGGGAGAGAATATGATGGCACAAGAGGAGTTGATGAGGAAGATCCTCCAGTCGCGCTGAAAGCCATGCTGGCCGGTGAAGAGAATAGAGAGAGTGAGTTTGAATGACAGAATCCAAAAGTAGCAGCTCGACTATCTAGTTTATGATAGTTTGATAAAGGCACCAATGGCCCCCACAGCACACGTGAAAAGAAGGTAGGCAGAAACCCTGTCCTAAGACTCGAGGCTAGGATGCATGGGAAACCCGAAAACTTCTTCCATGGCGAGAACTGAAGCAGCTGAAGGTGGACGAGCTGTTCTCTTCTTGACGTGTTGAAAGTCAGTGCTTTAAACCTACATCGCTTCAGTGCGCTGCGTCTGGAGCTTGCGTAGAAGTGCTTCAATGGGGACAGCTGCGGAGTACAGCCGCACTATTTGGCCAGGGACGATCTCCGTGCGTCGAGGATGATGATCAGTTTTTGAACCTTGGTGTCTCGCCAGGGGATAGAGTAACATCGGATTGGAAGTTCCCAGTGTGTTTACCAATACACAAGTCCATTATCGTCTCCGATTAAGTCCTAATTGGTGAAAGGGAGCCTGTATATTCTCCTTGAGATGGTCAATAAAGGCCCGTCCTCCTGGCCACTCGAAGACCCGGAATGTTCGAGCAAGACCTTGGCTTCAAATCCCGCAGAGGTACAGTACCATTCGGGTTCTTCAGCTCACACTTCACTGGCGTGGAATAGCATGGGCTAGCCTGTGTGGATGTGACAGTTCCCAATCCAACAGTTAACGCGATGAGGAGAGTGGCTGCTAGGCATTTGCGCCGGTAGCATGGGGGGATATTTTTAATGTTGAGAAACCTAAAACAAGCCAGCTCCCAAAGTCGATTTGTCTGCGCGATATCCCTTGCGTTGACGGAGAGAATTTCCCGGCATGGAATGACAATGTCGAAACATCCCAGCCTACGCAGCCATTGTGCGACGATCTCTTCAACCTTGTTTCCTGCTGGCGCGAGACGAAGGAATGGACTGCAGGAGTAATGAAACTCTGTCCTCAACCCGCAATCTCCTAAGCCCTGGAGGGCTTTTGGCCGTTGTGGGCTGCTGATCCTGCATAGAATCCCTGGAATTCACAAGGATCATCTTTTTCTGTGGTGAATCCTGAAGCTTGTTACGGCTGGGCAGTCTAGGCCTTGTAAGGTCAGCACTGGCACAATGCAGGGATCTGCCGTATCCGAGACAAGCATAATTAGTCTGTTTTCAGTTCTTCATCATCCCTCGGTGATCCTGCGAATGATAGCTTGATGCTGCGCACAGAAGCCTCCAACCCTAGGCTCCTGCAGCCCCGGTCAAAACGTGCGGGCAAAACAGCTGGAGAAGCACTGCGGCAAAATGGATGCAACCGCCGTTCCTTTCGGAAGAGGGGCGGAGGAACTGCGCGTGAACCCACTTCTGTTCGGAGAAGGTGGTGCAGGGGCTGAGGTGTTACAGACGATGCAGCCTGCAGCTCATCGGTTGATTGGGAATAGGGCTCTCCACTTGATATGTCGGAATTAATTTTCTGGAATCACAGAGGTTCAGCTCTGGCTAGCTTGGGAAACCGTCAATATTGGATATCCAGTGAGGCTCGAGAAAAGGTAAGAGTCTCTCTATCTAGTTTGTTTTTTGAATTTTCAAGCTGGTTTTTTTGCATAACTAGGTAAAAGTTGCGGTCAGTTCTCACTGCCGGCGCACCTATTGTAGATCCATGTGATGTCCTACACGATAGAAAATCTAACCTCACGCCTGACAGTCTCCGCCATCTCCAGCAGATGTTCGCGGCTCTTGCGGGAAAAGACATTGAAATACGCCACCCAGGAATTAATTCCTGACAGCGGATCAGCGACATTATCGCCCTTCTTCAAAAAGCAAAAAGACCTGGAGACGAAAGCTGCAAGATCAGGCCGCCTCTCGAACAGTTCTGCACACACATCCCCAGATTCGTACACACCGCCCTTCTCAACTGGGATAAATACCATCTCACACCAATACTGTGGCCCGTGGACAAACATATGTGAGAGCTGTTTGATGCGTTCCTTATCCTCAAGAGCAAACAGTAGCGCAAGGGCGCAGTAATCAATTCCATATGTGTGGTTCACCGCACTCAAAGCCTGAATACCCGGAGGCCGTGGATTGACCTCTATCAACCAGGAAGCTGGGACCCCTTTGGCAGGGATGTCGCGCTCGAAGAGGTCTAGCACGTTGTTCTTGATCGCATAGTCCATGCTCGAATTTTCAACGCGAGCCTCAAGATGATAGAATCCATCTCGAAAGCCCATTCGAAGCAGACTTTTAGTTAACGCGTCTTTGAGCATATCGAGCTCGCTTTTCGGAAGTTTAGACGGAAGCACATTCGCTAGCTCAATGAATGTTTTGGCATTGCCGCGACCGTTGGCATCCGCGCTTTTTGGAAAGTCATCGGAGACTTCGAACAGAATCAGCTCTCCATCACAGAGCACAAGGTTCGCGTCCACCTCTGGCCCCTCGCAGTATTTTTCAATGACAAACTCGTTTCCGTGGCGGTCAGTGTGGATGGCCTGGACACCGGTTTTGAGCTGTGAGAGGTTCTCGGCCCTGAAGACGCCCTCAGAGAGGAATCCGTTGGTAGGTTTTATGATCAATGGGAACTCGAGGTTGTGCTCTTGTACGATGGCGGCGGCTTCTTCCGCACTAGAAGCCACATATGCGTGATGTCCTTCCGAAACGCTGGTTTTGAACTTATCAGTAGCAATTTCGTATGCTGACGGAGGATAGGTCGGCAAGGATAATTTCAGGGCGGCTTCTGCAACAGGGAGTTTGTAATGGTCGCGGAGTGTTACAATACCATCAATTTGACCGTTGTATGATCGCACCGCTTCCACGATTCGGTCAACGAATCCGGCATCAGGGTGAAGCGGACACTCCAAAGGAACGTTGGCCTTGCGCCAATGGCAAAATCGGGGATCGTTTACCCAGTGATTAGGGCTATCGAGCACGATCATGTCAATACCTAGTGCCATGGCTGCCGTATAGATGCTTTCTCCCGTGCCTCCATGATCAGGACCGCTGATACCACCATCGACAATGGCTAAAGTCTTGCGTCGTGGTACTTGCGTTGATAGCCAAGGGAAGCACAGGCGATTGCGTAACTCAAGGCTAAGAGAAGTGAATAACTCTTCGACAGAATTGCTGTCGGTGAGGCTAAACGGTTTCAATATCATCCCTCCAGCACTGCCAGCGAAAACCAGTGGAAGCTCTTGCAATGTCTGAATGCTGATAGACTCTCCATCGTAATAATGATGAAGCTTTGACAGACTTACAACCTTCGCCGTCAGTGGACAGTCTACCAAGCGCAATGGAATGATATCGGGCCGCACGATATAGCCACGAGACCGTGGCATAACGAGCTGAGTGGCAACTTCATTCTCTAGGTCGGCAGCTAAGAGGCACTCTAGCACAAAGCGAAATGCCTCTGTGGATCCAAAATCCTGTGAATTGATCTGACGGAGCTCATTCGCGGACGATTCGACAGAGAGACGAGTTTCCAGTATATCGTTTGGCCAGGAGAAGTCGGAAGATTTCGAAGTTTTCTTGAAAACGATGTTGATGGGCTTCCAGGAAGTTGTACCGGAAGCATCGGTGACGGTATCGCCGGTATGCCAGGTGCATTGGAATCTGACTGTATAAACAAGTGTGAGGAGTTAAGCTGGGAGAGCCAAACAATCTATTTGAACATACTTTCGTGACTTTTTTGATCTTGGGCAAGAAGCAAGCCCGAAAAGCTCTCTGCGGTTGCCATGGGTTGCGATCGCGCGGATAACTATAATTGAATTGGCCAAAGGGCTCTGTTGGTTGCAGATTGGGCCTGTTGAAGTCCAGGAAAACTGTGGATGAAGATAATGAGTATCAGACAACTTCTACACAGTATCTCGAATCGCCTTATACATCGAGTAGTCACGGAAGAAAACTAGTGAGCTAGTTAAACTAGCTTACTGGCAAACTTTGGGATGCTCCAAACAATGAACAAGATAGAGAGGGATTCAGGCCGGGCTGGGGGGCGGTGACTGTCTGTGCTGTAGTTAGTCTAGGCACCCCTGTATCCTGGCTGCAGGAAGGCCTCCCGGTCCCCCTTTTGCGGTGCTAACCCTCCTTACATAAAGGCGTGACGTGAGGGAGTCTGGACGTTTATCTCAGGGAGTTACCTCATACTCATAGATCTTACATCTGCATGAGCTTAGATCTTTTGACTATTAATAAACCAAAACTAAATGGATGCACAAATCTATCTTCTAAATATAGTTCTATGCAATGCGGGAAATCGCCAAAGGGGACACAGGTGCTTGGTGTCGTCTTTTCCTGATATTGACCTATTTTTCCCCAGTCCTGATTCAAGCTCCCGCAGCACATCAGATCTAACGTGGAGAAAAAATCCCAGTCACAGAATTAGCTGGTCTATGCACCCCATCGGTGTAAACTTCGATCAGAATGATGCCGCAACGCAAGTGGGCGATGGTTGACTCGCTCTATAGCCCGGAAGGGGGGAGTCAGGGTAAGTAAGACATCATTCGAGACTGAACATTGACGCATGCTAACAATTAGAAGCCGCTTCCTTCTTGTTCCGTTGGCGAGTCAATCCTCACCATGAGTCTTTTGTCGCCAGAACAGTGGACCTTGTTATCCAACCATTCGCTATCAACGCACAAGCAGGAAGCCTCGCGGAGTTTACCTGGCCTGAAAACCTTCGCGAAGGACTGGGAACACATACTAGAACTGTCCAGGAGTTTGTCAACAACGCGCTCAAGAAGAAAGGGGCTTTTACTCCCGTTGGCATCAAATTGATATTGCCTGCACAGAATGGTTTCGTTGCCAGGTCGGATATTATCGAACTGCGAATGCACGGTTGTGATTGCGCGACTGCAGCATCGGGTTTTATGCAACCAAGGCAGTATATCGATCGTTTCCAAATCCAGAAGCCCCGGCACGAACTCTCGCAGCTGTCCGATATTTTATCCGCATGTATTGGCGCTGTATCTGTTAATGAGTCCAGTTTCGAATCAATCGACTATGCTATGCAAGCTCTAGAGGATCAAGTTCGACACCGCCTGGCCCTGGAATTTCTCTTACCAAATGCCATTCCGCATAAAAGGGTAGCACTTGTCCACTGCCCACGCGAACTTCTTACATATGAGGCCATCAGATGTCTAGGTCTGGACCTAGTGGTTCTTGACAGGCCTGGCCATTTTCTGGAAGACCCGAACGGCCCTTTCGCTTACCTACGCGAATCCTTCCATCCAATCGACCTCAACGTCGACGATGGACTACCTCAGCGGATTGTCGATGTAGTCCGAAACCTGAAATTGGATGGGATCTTCACCCGTTACGACTTTTATTCTCGACAAGTTGCCAAGGCTGCAGAGCTTCTAGGGCTCCCCACCAGCCCGTATTCCGCATACTGTATCGCGACGGATAAGTACGCTACACGGATGTTGGACGCTGAGGAAAGTGGAGCCTTTTGCGTAAAGGATGACGACGAGCTGGAGCAGCGGCTGAGGGATCCCGAGAAGCCTCTCAATATCCAGTATCCCGTCGTCGTCAAGCCCTGCCTAGGCTGGAGTAGTCTTACCGTGACAAAAGCACGGGATGAAGGAGAGCTTGTAGCCGCGGTGCGCAAAGCTCACTCGAGAGTCCTTGGGCACGAGGGAGAAAGGCCGATTCAACCTCGCGTCCTGGTTGAGCCCTATGTTGATGGACCGGAAGTTGATGTCAATTTTGCCATGTGGGACGGCGAGGTTGTGTTTTCCGATATCTCGGATGACTTTCCTTGCCTCGGAGACATGGATGATAAAACGGGGGTAACGGATTTCCAGGATACTATCTACTTACATCCCTCAAAACTTCCCAAGATGGAGCAGGATCTGCTCCGTCAGCGTCTGAAGGATTGTGTGTTGCGCATGGGCTTCCGGACCGGAGTTGTCCATTGCGAAGCCCGGATGAGAAATTCTGCGATGAAGTACGTTGAGAAGGACGGCATTTTTGACCTCGCCAGCGATTCCCAGCCGAGAGGCACTGAGCCAAGCATTTTTATGATTGAAGTGAACCCTCGACCACCTGGCTACTTTGCTCTTCACGGCAGTACGTGGACGCATGGCGTGGATTATTATCTGCTCCATGTGCTTTGCTGTGTGCAGGATGAGCAGCGCTTCAAAGCTCTCGCCGTTCCATTTTCCAGGGAAGTTCAGCACTCAATTGCAGTTCTCAATCTCCCGACCCAAAAAGGAGGTATACTCAGATCTCTTGATCCAGCCATCCGGCTCGCCAAGGAAAAGCCAGGCCTCAGGGATGCCATCTCCCTGTATCACAATTACTTTGAGCCTGGCGAATACGTGACTCCCCCGGACGCGGTGGAGACAAAGCCGCTGGCGGTGGTGGTTGTTGAGAGCCAGACCGGACGAGAAGATCTGCTGAGGAGGGTTGAGGAGGTCCGGGATGAGTGGACGCCCGTTGTCGACTAGAGGATGAAGCTGGAGCGTCAGCGGCGAAGAAGGACGAGGTTGATGTTTGGTGTCAGATAGTGCGGATTATGTAATTAACTAGCGCGTATCAGGGTATTGTCATTTTGACACTAGCACGGTGGGCCAGGGACATCACGTAATATGCCAAGGAGATGAGGTCAGCCCTCTCCACCAATAGGAATAAAATACTTCCGGGAGCCTTACTAGCGTAATTTATGGGCAAGCATCTTGATATCACCCACGAGAACTTCAGCTGCAGGGGAAAGAAATGCTCAGTGACACTGTGACACCCTGCTGGCGGATAATTCAGCTGGCAGCTTGCAGGGTACCCAATTTACGTCAGATATCTAGCAGCAAACCAAAACGGAACCCTGGCCTGAGATATATCATGGCCCAGTTATGCCTGAAGAGCTGAAGGTGTAGGACAGGAGAAGATATTGAGCAATAGTTTCCCTCTTCCGATCCACCAATATTTTTCAAGAGGCCGTCGGCGTGTATGCTGAAGCCTCTCATAACTTGTTTCCCTGAGCTTTGTTTAGCTTGACACAAGCGGCACGATGAACCCCGTCAATGAGGAGCCAACTAGGCTGCTTCCTACGGCAAAGCTCCATTGCCAAGCGGAAGACTTCCATTTGAGAATCCCGTCAACTATAGCTCGCGGCAGTCAAATCATAGCGAACGTGGTCACCGTCTCGCTGAGCTTAGGCGACGCTATAGGCCGCGGAGAAGCTGTTCCTTCGGAGCGTTATGGGGAATCGGTGGACAGTGTCATCGCTACCATTGAAAAGGTGGCGCCTTTAATCGAGAATAATCCAGATCGAGCGTTTCTGCAGGAGCTATTGCCTGCGGGCGCAGCTAGAAATGCCATCGACTGCGCCCTCTGGGATCTCGAGGCCAAGTACACCGGTGTCCCGGCCTTCAAACGGGCCGGCCTCTCCACGCCTAAGCCTGTCACCACAGCCGTCACCATCTTCCTCGACAGCCCCGCTGCCATGGCCGCCAGTGCCGCACGCGAAGCCGCGCGACCTCTGCTCAAAGTCAAATTTGGCGGCAAGGACGACGAGGTACGACTTCGAGCAGTACGGGCGGCCGCCCCAGCCGCGACACTTATCGTTGACGCCAACGAATCCTGGAACGTCGAAGATATGCCCGCGCTGTTGGCCATCTGTGCTGATGTCGGCGTCAAGGTGGTTGAGCAGCCTCTTCCCGTCGGTGCCGATGACGCGCTGCGCGATTTTAAGCATTCGATTCCCATTTACGCCGACGAGAGCGTACACGACCGAAACGGCCTGGCAGAGTTGCGCGATCGATACGATGGAGTCAATATAAAATTCGACAAGACGGGCGGCTTGACTGAAGCTTTGCTGCTGGTGAAAGAGGCAAAGAACCTGGGATTCGGCATCATGGTGGGCTGCAGGGCCTGTAGCTCGCTGGCAATCGCGCCATCGCTGCTCATTGCTGAGTATTGCGACTATATTGATCTTGATGGTGTCTTGCCGCTGGTAAGTGACCGACAAGATGGGTTGGTGTATGAAGGGTCAATGATCCATCCTGCGACCTCATCGCTCTGGGGTTAGTAGAGTCTGTGGTCTTTTGTCGGATTCGGCCGTCATACGACCAGGATGGACAGAATAGGCCCAAAATTATGGCATGGGCTGTAGAATTTCAGAATCTTCGTGAATATGTGCATATGAAAGGCAGAAAACTGCTTTCTCCCTGCAAAAGTGTTTAGATCGTTCCTATTTTGTGTATGGCCATGGCTAGATGTAGAAGCACGCTCTGACATGGCCGTTTCGGCTGGGATCGGAGGCCAGGTTCAACTTGCTTGACCTGGAGGGGCGGATTATGCATGTATCACAGTCAGATCAATATATTGTGACGTTGCGTACCTTATCGGCTCACCACGGGCTCCGTAGCACTGACTAAGGCATGTAGAGACATATAACTATGCCCTGGCCTGGCTTCACTTGTGCTTCAGTGTTCTCAACTTATATCGAAATTTAGAGGTTTAGAGAGATCGCAGACCAAGTCGCAAGAATGGCATCCACTCAAGAAACTGCGCCGTATGGGACATGGACAAGTCCCATTACTTCGTCGATTACGTCTGCGGGCGTGGTCGTGTTTGCAGAATTGATGGTCAATGTAAGAACGATCCCGCAAACGTTTGGGCCCTTAATAGTTATCTCGTCGACTGACAGCCTTCCAGCCCAAAACGAAGGAGATCTATGCCATCGAAAATCGGCCAGCAGAAAACGGCCGTGGAGTGATTGTCCGTATTAGCGAACATGAAAGCATCGACGTACTGCCCAAGGGATTTAATGCGAGATCAAAGGTCAACACCTACGGCGGCGGAGCAGCCTCCATGTGTCCCGACGGGCGCATCGTCTTCACAGACTCAAATACGACCGGCGTGTTCTTCCTCTCTGCAGGCGGCGACGTGGAAGAAATCATCGCCGGCGGAACCGCCAAAATCAATTACGCAGATTTCTGTGTCTCGCCTGCGCAACCGCACTTGATTCTTGCGGTACAAGAGCTCCATCGCGAGGATGGCGAAGTGCTGGACCGCATTGTAGTTATCAACACCGAGACCAAGGACGCGAAGGTGGTTGTTGAAGGCGCGGATTTCTTCGCGCATCCAAAATTCAGCCCGGATGGGAGACACATCTGCTGGACGCAATGGGACCATCCCGACATGCCGTGGACCGGCAGCCAGGTCTATGTGGCGGACTGGGCGGACGGCAGCGTGGCCAACAAGACTCATGTCGCAGGCAAATCGCTCTCGTCTGCTGTCTGCCAGCCGCGATGGAGCCCGGATGGCACGCTGTGGTTTGTCGACGAGCCCGCGGGGATGTGGCAGCTGTATCGCTACGACCTGACGTCTAGACGCGTCGAATATGTCCGGATCGAGGGATATACGGCGGTTGAGATGGGCAAGGCAGAATGGTTCCTGGGAAAGTAAGGCTCTGGTTAACTTGTTAACTCTCTTCCAGACACGAAAAAGCTGATATTGAATTCGCGACAGTTCAACGTACGGGTTCCTGGATGAATCTGCCCTCGTCCTCGCATACACAAAGTCAGGCGCCACCGGAATCATCGTCTACGATATCACCACGGGCTCTGCGACAGAACTACCTCTTGGTATCGTCCATGTCGAATTCAATGGCATCCGATGCGTCTCTCCCACCTCTTTCGTGGTGACCGGCGGCACGCCGACAGCGCCATCCGCCGTCTACCTCGTCGACATCACCAAGCCAGGTGCAAAGCAGCTGCTGAAGAGCTCGACGGCCATTGACCTACCTCTGGAGATATTCTCACCTCCACAGAGCATCACCTTTCCCCGTACACACGGAAGCGATCTGTCCAGGCCGTCGCATGCTGTCTTTGTTCCCCCGTACAGCCCCTCGTTCAAAGCGCCGGCCGGATCCTTACCACCACTCATAATCAACATCCACGGTGGGCCGACCGCACATGTCCCGCCCTCTCTGTTGCTAGAGGCACAGTACTTTGCGTCGCGCGGATACGCGTACACGCATGTTAACTACGCGGGCTCGATCGGCTTTGGACGCGCGTATCGCGACGACCTGAACCACGGCTGGGGCATCAAAGAGATCGACGACACTCTGTCTTGCATTGACTATCTCGCGTCTCAAAATCTCATCGATAGAAATCGCGTGGCTATCAGAGGAGGAAGCTCGGGCGGCTATACCGTCCTGCAAGCCCTCGTTACTCATCCAAAGGTCTTCGCTGCGGGCTGCTCCCTCTTCGGCGTAGGAAATCTGAAAAGGTTGCAGGAAATGACCCATAAATTCGAGTCGCACTACATTCTGAACCTACTCTTTCCTCCCGATATCCCCGACGAGGAAAAAGAAGAGATATACAGACAAAGAAGTCCGTGTTTTCACGCAGAAAAGATCGAGACTCCAGTAGTGCTCTTCCAAGGGTCCGAGGATCCCGTCGTGCCATTGCAGCAGGCGCTTGAGATGGAGAAGGTGATGAGGGAAGGTGGAAAAGACGTGGCCCTGATTGTTTATGAGGGCGAGGGACATGGGTTTAAAAAGGAGGAGAACTTGAAGCACTGCATTGAGAATGAGGAGGCGCTCTACAGGAGGACATTGGTTGCCTGAGATACTGGTCATCCATCACACCTCCGTAAGCACGTCATGCAGGTCACTGATCCTTTTCTATTCCCTACTGCTACGATTTTGTGGCTACGGCTATTGTGGTTACTGTTACACGTTTTGTATATGCAGTTCAGAGCTCGTTGGAGGGTTGAATGGCTAATAGAAAACTTGGATATATCACCCTAGCTATCAAACATACTACCTAATCTTTCAGCCAACTGTCGAGACACAGAGACGTCTGACTGATCCAGGTAATACTGGGCACTCGGCCAATTTGTGCCTTTGCACTTTTCCTGCGAAGCTTCGTGCAAATTTGTCGGTGAATATGACACCTCCTATCGGGATGCAGTGCTTGGGCAACACGGACGCAGCGTAATCCACAACTTCCTGCGCTGTGATTGTTGATCCTTCCTCCCGAATTATATATGCGATGATCTCGAGGTCGAGCTCATCGTCACGAGCGACTACTGATGTGACGGCGGCTTGCTTGATTTCAGGATGCGACATCAACCCCTCGTCCACAGACACGGGGAGTACCGTCTCTTTTCCAATTTTGATGAGTTCGTGATAGCGGGCGTGCAGGACCAATTGACCGTTCTTCGGATCCAAATAGCCCTTGTCACCTGTCTTTAGCCAAGGTCCATCAACGTCTGGAATGAACGCAGCCGCTGTCGCGGTGGGATTGTTACAGAATCCTGACATCATTTCTGGAGAGCGGATACAGATTTCCCCTGGAGTGTGAGGATCAAGTTCTTTTCCGGTTTCGATATCCATGATCCTTTGTGCACTGGTAAGTTTCAATTACCTCTCTTTGGGAGAAGTAGTACTTACTTCAACTCGACTTTTGGGGTTAGAATGCCAGTATAGCCCAATTCCCAAGGGCTGTCAATTGGCGTCATGGTGACGATACCGGCTTCCGTGCTCCCGTAGCCAGTTCTCAAGCGAGTGTGGCTTGGGAGCAGAGCAGAAAAGGCCTCGACTGAAACCTTTCGAGAAAAGGTCCCGCCAACCAACACAGTGCTAAGGGATTCGAGGGCTTCCCGAGGTCGGCGACCCGAGTTGATTATTTCCGTGATACCTTCCATTACTGCAGGTGGTAACTGGATTTGGCTGATTTTGAGTTCCTGGATTTTATCCAAGAGTGATTGTGCGTCGTCGACGCAGGTCAAGGCCATTGGTAGCCCACCAGCACAAGCTCGCTGGCACATGTTGAGACTGCTGACGTGGGAGATGCCGATGTTCTGCAACCATGCCGTATCGCGTGGGTCGGGGGTAAAGAGAGGAGCGTCCAGTCTTGCCAACTGAGCAGCATGGGAAATTTCAATGGCTTTGACGGACCCAGTTGTTCCACTGCCAAAAGATCGCACGCAGATCAGTTGCTTGGGGTCTTTGCCTTCATAAGGATTCTTCCAGAGGTTCCCGTCGGCGGTCAACAAGTTGCTAAATCGGGGTAGACGTCCTTGATATGGCTCCAGGCCGGGTGGATCAAACACCAGGATTCGCGATTTGTCGAGCTTCCAGTTGGGCGCTGCCAGTAGAATCTGCTCAAGGAATTCGACGCTGACGAAAAGCCAGCTCACCTGCGCCGCTTCGATGTAGAGACCTATCTGGTCCAGCGGGGTTGTCGGGAGAGGGGCAAAGACTCCGCCCGCGGCAATGACACCGTCTCCAAGCACATAATAGTAAATTTCATTGACGCTGATCAGCCCAACGGCATCATTCTCGGATAAACCAATGTCGCGCAGGCCGACGGCGATACTCTTAACCGTGGATACGTACTCCAACCACGAAATCTTTCGATGTGGCCGGTCAGCATCGATAAGGACCTACGGGGACGTTAGACTTGAAATAAAACGAATGAGAGTATTTTGCCTTACAGCGGAAGCTGGATCCTTTGGTGGACTATTGAACATGCGCGTGGTATAATCCATTTTGGCAATTTGGAAGCTTATCTCTCAATGAGATATTCAACGGTACAGACCTCGAAGAGAATAATAAGCAGCGTTGTATATGCGTTTGAAGCCGTTTAAATAAAGCCTCTTTCTTCGGGAACGGACGTAGGTGCTATCAAACAGCTCGAGAGTAACGTTCAATCAACAGTGTGATTTTGGACCGTCTCATGCAATCATGCACAGCTGCCTCTCAATTAAGTCTAGTGGTCTTTTGCAATACCCATCGAAGGGCTGGGATTATGAAAAGTGTCATGAAGGACTCCAAGTGTCCCAGACTACCTTCAAATCAACAAGCATCATGATCCCATACCAGCTGTTTACGTGAGTTTGGGGCCATTAGGTGGGTTTGGCCCCGGAGATATGCGAGATTCATGGATTTGTCAAATAAACCCCAGGTAGGGGCCGCAGGATAGGACGTACCTGTAACTACAAGGTTATTTGATCCTTTGAGCAAGAAATGCAGGTACGAAAGCTATCGACAGGCATTTTGAATATGTCCGAGAAGTGTTGGAAATATCCTTCCGTTCATCCCATGACATTAGTGTCCGTTTTTTCGTATTACTGGGCGGATATTACTCAGATCACGAAAACTAACTTAAAGCATATAGCCTTAGTTAGTTAAGCTTATTAGCTTTCTTAACTCTAATCTACAGCCCCCCTGCCGTAAGCATCTTGGCATAGTGGGCCCCCGGAACTTTCTTGACTCAACAACAAACTCTAAGCGTGATCTACAAGGCTGTTCACAAAGCAACATTATTTATCTCATTATGCGGAGTATGCTATGAACACTAATAGGTAATAACACCTCTCAGGCCGCCCCATGAGCACCACCAGAGCTTGCTCCACTGGCCAGCCCGTCTTCAAATCTCTCGACCTCTTCCAGAGCCCGGCCAAGCTTCGTAATCAGACCACTCTCCTCTTCCAGCCCCACACTAATCCTGATGAGATGTTTCGCGAGTCCCTTTGACTCCGCCCAATCCAATTGATGAGCATGCGCAAGCTGAGAATACGGAAGCACAAGCGTGAAATTGGTCCCAAAGCTGGGCCCCTTGCATAGGTCAATAGTGTTGTAGAACAGAACGGCGCTGTCAGGATTTCGAAACACGATGCTAATCAAGGATCCATAGCCGCCGCCAGGACGGCGATATCGTTCGTAGAGTGGTGCGGTGGCCACCATTGTAGGGTAGTTAACTTTGGAGATCGACTTGTGGGTTGTGAGGAAGTTGGCGATTGCCAACCCATTGCAGCTTGCCTTTTGGACACGAGATGGGAAATCAATACAATTTCGAAGAAGTACCTTTGCGTCGAGGGGGTAGATGAGATCTTCGTGGCTGCTACTGAGTTTCGCATGTAACTCTTCGTACATCGGCGACTGGGCGTTCAGAATCACGCTATGAAAATAACTTAGTGTCGGGTTGTCAGAAAAGACTCAGAAATGATCAACGTACCTCCCTCCCATGACATTACACGCTCCGCTGAAAATCTTGGTGAGGCTGGTGACAACAATGTCAGCATAAGGGATCACATCCACATTAACAAAGGTGCCAATGGTTTCATCACAGATCACCACGAAGGAATACTGATCAGCAAGTCGACGAATACGATGGAGGTCCGGTGTCGCACATAGCGGATTAGATGGAAGTTCACAGAAAAGGCATGATATCAGGCGTCCAGATGCTAGCGACCTTTCTAGCGCGTCTAGTTCTTCTGATGTACCTTGGTCGTGGAATGTGAAGCGGTCATATCCGCTATCTTGGACACACTTCGGCGTTGATCCATACGGCCATCTAAATCGAGTGAGTCGCGGTTCCAGCAAAACCAGGAGTCTGACTTACCCAAATACAACTGCTTCTGAAGCGTCTGTGGAGCTCGGAACGAGACTCCTTGCCAAGCTCCCAATTGCACACATGCCTCTGGGGTAAAGAAAGACATCTTGTGGCCGGACTGGGTCTTGACTCGACTTTTCTGAACGAGCCCATTTAGCGATCAGATTCTTTATCTTGTCCTTGGTACCAGAGTCGGAATGGTCCCAAGGAACTGCAGGCATCCGTTCTGTCTCATTGCTTGTTGCAGCTGTTTGCAAGGAGGGGTCGAGAGAAACCGAGTCCATGAAGGGAAACCTTTCAAGGCAAAACTCTGCATGACGACTGGAGATGCCGTCTCCCATAAAGCCCCAGAATCCCGCCGCATGTTCCCTAGACTTCTCGGGGAAGAGCACAGCAAAGAAGTGACCCCAGGTAACATTTTCTCTGGAAACGTCCTGAGTTAAACGGAATTCCACCTCCCGAATGGGAAAGGCGAGGTCTGCGGTTTTCTGAAGGTGCTCCGTACATCGCCGCATACCATCTTCAGAGGGAAAAATCATGCATCCAACAGACTCAGCGGCGCCCACTCTAGCAAGAACGGCATCGTTCAACTTCGAAACAATTGCGTGTTGGTAAAATCTGCAGCATGGGTTAGACCATTGCTCTGATACAGAGTGAATCGTGTCATGCCTTGGGTAGTCCGCTTGCAATTTCTGGTGAATATCTTCGTCGCCCTTCATATAACGTACTATTTCGTCCCACGTAGGGATAGAAACGCTCACAGCCTACATAGCCTACATGAGCTTGAAAACTGATAGAATTAGTTAGTCACACTTACATGAATGTCCTTGGGTGGTAGGGATTCCCCCAAGGGAAAAGATTGAGATTTTGGGAAAGGTAGAAGCTCTGAATTAACCATCGTCGCTGTAGTTGAGGGTATGTAGGCTCAGGTGTGAAGGCTTCCAATCCGAATGATTTGCAGTCAAATTAAACACGCAAACTGGGGTATTCAGCAGACAGGAGATCGTTAATATTGATATTGGCCCGTTTCTAGGGCTGGACAACGTAGAGCACATAAGGCTCCGGGTCCGGGGGCTCGGCCAGACCGCAGGGTCAAGAGGCCCGACATGACTATCTAGTCGAGGATGTATGACATTCCACACGTTAGTATAGTCATGCCTACGCTAGGACACTAATCCGGGACCCTTGACAAGGAAGGGCCCTTGACTAGGGCTACCCGTGGAAAACCGGCACTTCAGCCGTGTTGCGCCGGAGCATTGCAGGTCCCTGCATCCCATCGTCTCGGCGTCTCTCTTTATTAACACCAAAAGCTTTCGGGGTGTTTTCTGAGGAAGGTTTCTGGCAAAATATATAACATTGACTCAGGCATCGTACAAGGATTAGACGTGCAAGGACGAAGAAGAAAAGAAAGATGCCTGAATTTTTGGACTCTCCCAAAAGTGTCAAACCATCCACTGTGGATGTACTCCAGTCTCTGACTGGGACCATTGCATGGGGCCGACCGGGCCTGGCAAGAAACGATTTCAGAAGTAAGGCTTTCTGTTTCCGCATCGATGGAAGCAGGCTGATATCTTGTAGGCGATGTGATTACCCGTCCCAGTCTTCGTATGCTCGCAGCTATAGTGGAAACAACACTCGGCGATGATGTATTTCGGGAGGACAGGACGACATGTGATTTCGAGGCACACGTTGCAAACATTACTGGACGAGAGGATGGGATGTTCGTGATTACGGGTACAATGGCAAATCAGCTCTGTCTACATGCCTTGGTCTCGACTCGGCCCTGCGGGATCCTACTCGCAGGCGACTCCCACAGCATCAACTTCGAGGGAGGAGGCACTTCAGTCTTGAGTGGCGCGATGGCTCAACCCATCAAGCCATCTAATGGTAAGTATCTGAGAGTGGAAGACTTGGAGGAGCACGCAGTCCTTACGGACGATGTCCATAAATGCCCAACCGGCATCATCTCGGTGGAAAATACCGCCGGAGGTGTCATATTACCTCTGCATGAACTCCGACGCATTTCAGACTGGGCCAGAAGGCACGGAATCAAGACACATCTCGATGGAGCACGGCTATTCGAAGCGGTCGCCGCCGGTGCCGGAACACTAAAAGAATATTGCACACTAGTCGACCTGGTCTCGGTCGACTTCAGCAAGAATCTAGGCGCGCCGATGGGCGCGATGATCTTGGGTGATCGAAGATTGATTCAACAGATGCGACGGACTCGCAAGGCTATCGGCGGGGGCATGAGACAAAGCGGTGTCATTACCGCAGCGGCGCGAGAGGCGCTCTTCGAGAATTTCGGGACGGGGCCCGAGATCGAAAACCCAATGCTGAGCAGAGTGCATCGTTTGGCGAGAAGGGTGGGCGAGGAGTGGACAAAGCGAGGCGGACAGCTAAGCAAGGACGTCGAAACAAACCTCGTGTGGCTTGACATTGAGGCCGCCGGCATATCAAAACGCTCGCTCATCGAGATGGGTGAAAAGCATGGTGTTGTGCTGGACAGTGCCCGTATTGTTTGCCATCACCAGATTGACTCGAAGGCCATCAGGGACCTCGTGGGCCTCTTCGCCGAAATCCTCAATACACATGCTGGGATAAACGGCGTTTCGGAATTGGAAGTGCTGAAAGGCGGAGGGCTACCATAGAGCGTGGAATCACTGAGCGGAGCGCTCGAGCCGCTGGCTTTCATGGAGAACGAGGGACAAGGTTTTGGGACATTGTAACACTGGCTAGGGCTGACAAGGGTATACGGTTAAACACATGTATGGAATTACATTACTAGAAGAATAGAAATAATCGCAAGGTGTTTTCTGAGCATCTCATTTTTCAAGAGAGAAGAGGATGATTGAGAGGTGAAGTGACGATTGGGATGGAAGATGAGTTTGCGTTGTTTGTCGTGTTTGCTGTGTTTGCGCCTTGACGTCGTCCATCGCAAAGTTCATCTCGATTGCAAGACTTGAAGATGCTGTCGTCTACTGTCTACACCGCGCAATAATTGCCTCGTGGACTGACTGCTGGTGCGGCTCGATGCATCTTGCTCCACGGCTCAAGGCTTACATTATTTTAGGCATGGCTGCGGTATCAACAGGTGCCGTGGTCGAGAGGATCGAAGTGCTCAAATCATGAAGATGAAACAATACATTCAGTGCTAAAAGATACCCATCCAGAAACCATTGCGAGATCATCCTAACCGTACATTGAGAAATAACTATTCCCACCACACTGGAGGGAATTTCAACCGAGCTTGCACGCCACATCCGCCTTGCATTCGAGGAGTTTCTTGGGCGCGATGTCCATTCGTTGGTGTCCCTGGCGTGCGCCGTTTAGCAATGGAAGCCATCTGCCTGACTGTGTTGCCGTCGAGGAAATCATGCATAGTGAGGACAAGATTTTCCGCTCTACAACGAGCAATGAGCTCCATGGCGGACATGGAATCGCCACCAAGGTCTTCCCAAGTTTGTTCAGCGTCAATCTTGTCCATGTCTTTATTTAGAACATGGCTGCACAATTTTCGCAAATGAAGCTCCACGGGATCATCTGGCTTCTGGACTGTCATTGACCCATTGACTTTTGTTTCCAGGTTGTCCTCGTCCAAACTCTCCAAGAACCTCCTGGCTAGTACTCGGTTCATCTTTCCAGAAATCATCAGAGGGATTTGTTCAACCACAATCCAGAATTGAGGGACCATGTAGTGCGGGACTCTTGAAGACAAAAATTTCTTTACTTTTGCCACTTCTGAAGCCGATTTCTCTTTGGCGATCCCAGTGACAACCTTTAGCTCGCTTGCTGATTCCTGCGACATCTGGTTCGTTTTTAGTACCACGACTGCCACAAGTCGTTTAGAATATACGCCAGCGGAGGGTAGTATTACTACCGATTGTCTCAGGGAGTCGTGGCATGCCAGATGATACTCAATCTCTCCCGTCTCGACCCTGCGGCCATGGAATTTTACCTGTGTATCTTTGCGACCGATGAAACCTACAGTTCCGTCTGAGTTGTACTTGACCAAGTCTCCTGTTTTATAAAATCGCCTTCGCTGGCCCGGCTCCACTTTTGCCCAGCTTGGATTTTCGACAAAGGATCGCTTGGTTTGCTCGCCATCGAGGTAGCCCCTAGCCATCACTGGGCCCTCAATCAGCAGCTCACCTATGCATCCAACTGGGCAAAGATGGTCGTGATTGGTAGGGCTTGTGATCCACAGCAGGGCCCCAACACCCCGGCCGATGTTATTGGCGGCACTATCGGCTCTCAAGTCTGTGTTCGAACAGCACCAAACAGTGCACTCGGAAGGACCGTACATGTTGTTCAAGACTACTTTGGGGGCCCATAGCTCTAGGTTTTCTTTCACAAGCGCCTCGCCACCAAGGGAGAGAGTCTTGAGGCCGGGGACGTCTTCCGGTTGGAAGACCCGAACCACGCTGGGTATTAAGCAAGCAGAGTTGACATTCATTCGTACCATGGCACCCGCCAGGTCGTTTACCTTTTCGCATTCGGATGGTAAGCAGAGACACGCTCCTTGGGATAAAGTAACGAAAATGTCGCCATAGCTCAGGTCGAAAGTGAACGCTGCAAAATTTAAGTGTCTGGTTGTCGAGTCGATTCGCATTGGAGTAGAAAGGCTGACGGCGGCGGTGCAAAGAGCACGATGCTCCACCATGATCCCTTTAGGGGCGCCGGTACTACCAGATGTAAAAACCACATATGCAGTATTTGAAGGAGACGACTTCGTCCCGATCGTCTTGGGCGTGGCCGGAAGCTCCTCCGCTAGTTCTGGGCCAATCGCAACGATGTGCTTCATGGTACCCTCGAAAAGAGGACGATGTTCTGGCTCGGTCACGACTACCTCTGCATTAGTAGCTTGGAGAATAGCTTGAATGCGGCTGGCTGGATATGAAGGGTCAATGGCGACGAAGGCACCGCCGGCTTTCATTATGCCCAGCATGGAAACAATAGCGAAGGCGGATTTGTTAAAGCAAAGGAGGACAAGCGTCTCCGGCACCACACCCAAGTCTGCAAGGTGGTTGGCGAGTCTTGTTGAACTCGAGTCGAGTTCTTGGTATGTGAAATTGCCGTCCCACGAGCAAATTGCTGGGGCGTCCGGCGTTTTTTGGGCGATGGACTCAAAGTGCTCATGGAAAGTATTATCAACGGAGCTAGGTACGGCCTTATTCCAGTTCATAACCTTCTCATAATCGCGTTGACTGCAGATATCCAAGTCGCCAATTCTGGATTCTGGATGGGCTTTGATGCTTTCAAGCAGCGTTTTGGCGAATGTATGGGCAACGTCGGCTGTCTGCATCGCGGAGAACTTGGCCGTGCGTGTGCGGACTGACACTGCAAGGGAAGTATCATCCTTGATCAAAATTCGGGCGAGTATGTCAATCTGATGGATTATGTTAGAACCATTGCGAACTATAAAATCACCCCTATTGTAGTAGGTTGCTTACTTCTTTCAATTCTCGACTCTGCCTCCCTTCACGCTGAACTTGTAGGCCAGAGTTGAAAAGCGGTTGATTCTCAGATCCTACCAGCTTCTGAATCTCTGAGATTGACCAATTTCGGTTCTCCCACGCATCGTCAAAGCTTCTCTTCATCTCCAACGCGGTTTGGCCCAGTTGATTTTCGGCATCGATATGTGTACGGCAGAGGAGAATGTTTTCTGATGCTGTGGCCGGCGCAGACGCATCGTCGCCAGTCGTATCGTATCCAAAGGAAACATCCTCGACCCCGGCATAGCAGTTGATCACAATGGCCCATGCTGTTTGGAAAACATTGCGAGGCTCGACATGATATTGGGTGCAGGAGTGCTGGATGGACAGCTCGTTGATGTTGAGCTCAGCAGTGGTTTCTTGAAATTCCTTCGTGTCAGTGGTAGATCCGTCTGGAAGGCCGGGGAAATGACACGGTTTGAAGTCATGGAGCAGAGATCGCCATTGCTTGGTGATTCGTTCTTGCGCGGATGTATCGTGGATGAGCGGCATTGTTCCGGTTCTTCGAGGGTGCGTCTACTGGAGAATCATAACGAGAGCGTTCGAAACCATGGGGCTTGGAAGGTCTATCAAACAATATCTACCTGCTGGAGCACGATCCAAAGGATGATGCGCATTCAGCTGGCTATCCATACTCCAGTGTTGCGACTGCTCGATCGTATTACGCCCCCGAAACGATTTCTCCGTTTACTGGATAGGACAACCTCTCCCCTGTAGCCCAGATGCCTTATGATTACTAGCCGATTACTACTGGACTTAGTCAACACGTTATGAAGGCTTCACAACCCGTCTCCAGCCTTAGACCCCGTAGTTAAGTGATCCGCACCACTAACTTAGAGGACCGGGATCCCCAGTCGCGCCCTGTGGCACCCGGGCGCTAGTCTTTGGGCCCTGATAAATGTGTCGGCGGGCATCACTGCCGCAGATCGACTGTGTCGCAGGGGGTCGCGAATGGCGAACCTCTGTCAAGGCAACGGGTCTGGGCGGCTGGTTGACCCCCCGCCGCTCGCCCAACTGCCACTTCACATTGTCTTGCATCTTCATCGCTTCATCGAAATTGCACATTCCACTCGCAGACTCTTCTTGCAGCTAAATCGCCTTCTTCGTCATGTCGAGCCCGAAAATGGACGAGGATCCGTCCAGATCTCCCAAAACCACACCTCCAGCTCCTGCTGGTGAGCAGCCGGCGGAGCAGAAGCCAGCATCCATAGCCACAGAAACCCCTTCAACCGATGCTGCGAACGTGGAATCGCTCGAATTGTCCGATGAGTCGAGCGGCTCTCCAAGAGTTCGATCGAAGCTGCGGACTTATAGCATAGTCCTGATGCTCTGTGTATGTTAGATCCCTGCTTCGCGTTGTGCTCGCAGCGAGCACCAGTCGGCTGGCTAACAGACAGCTGCACCGTCCAGCTCGTTCTCTTTCTCTCCGCACTTGATCAGACCATTGTTGCAACGGCTATTCCGTCTATCACGAAAGACCTCAACTCCGCCGCCGGCTACACGTGGATTGGTGCTGCATATCTACTTTCCATGTGCGCTACTAATCCCATGTGGGTTCGAATCAGCGACATCTGGGGCCGTAAGCTTGGTATTCTAGGAGCAATCATTGTCTTCGCCGTCGGGAGCACGATTGCAGCCGCAAGCACAAACATGCCCATGCTAATTTCCGGCCGTGGGGTCCAGGGTCTCGCCGGCGGAGGAATCATCTCGCTGGTCTATATCATCATCTCGGATCTCTTTAGCATGCGGCATCGGGCACTGTACATGAGCGCGACAGCACTGGTCTGGGTGATTGCTGGAACCACGGGGCCCGTTATCGGGGGAGCTTTGTCCCAGTATGTGAGTTGGCGCTGGTGCTTCTGGATTAACCTCCCTGCCTGTGGTGCCGCCTTCCTTGTGATGTTATTCTTCCTCGATTTGCACAATCCACGCACGAAGCTCGCCGATGGCCTGAAAGCCATAGACTGGGTTGGAACTGTCTCCATTCTCACCATTGTCGTCCTACTTCTTCTCGGGCTGGACTTTGGTGGCGTGACATTTCCCTGGGATAGCCCAACAGTTATTTGCATGATCGTGTTTGGAACCCTGTTGATCGGTTTCTTCCTCTTTGCCGAGAAGCGCCTTGCCAAATTTCCCCTGATGGATTTACGGATCTTCAAGGATCTATCAAACAACGCAGTCATCATTGTTGCCGCTACACACAGTATGGCCACCAGAGGCTCGGAGTACTACCTCCCGCTGTACTTTCAAAGTGTGAAACAAGCCTCCCCTACCAAAAGCGGTGTTTTGATAATACCCATGATGGTATCGGCATCGATTTGCGATCTGTTAGTCGGCGTCGTGATCCACAGGACGGGCCGGTATCGAGAAATCATATGGATTGGGACCACATGCTTGACCCTAGGGACAGGTCTCTATATCTACCTCGGAATCGATACATCGCTCGCAAAAATCATCGTTTTCGAGGTAATCGGCGGTGTCGGCCTTTCCCTTCTTTTATCAACACCCATGCTCGCGATCCAAAACAATGTCGACCAGGCTGATGTCGCAGTATCGTCGGCGACGTTGGGCTTTATGCGCAGCATCGCAACGTCATTGTCTATCGTCCTTGGTGGCGTTGTCTTCCAGGGTAGTATGGCAGCCCAGCATTCATCCCTCGTCGCCGCCGGTCTCAACGAATCCGATCTCAAAGCGTTTTCTGGCTACGATGCAGCGGCAAACGTGGAACTGATTGCTACCATCGAGGACCCGGTGCAACATCGCGCGGTGCAGAACGCCTACGCCTTTAGCATGCGAAACATGTTCATCATGTACACGGCCGTCGCTGGTATTGGACTATTGGCCAGCCCTTTTATCAAGCAGCGTTACATGAGCAAGGAACACACGGAGACAAAGACGGGAATAGAGAATATGACGGAGAATAAGCGGAAAACCGGAGATTGAGGATAGAGCCAAGCTGGGTTTGACAAAAGCTTTAATATGGGTACTCGAACAAGGCTCGAGTTGTCCGCCATGATTAACCTGAGCTGGACTGATACGAAAGTGGCTGGGCTGTGGTCCCCTTCTTGTGGAAGCACTTAATTTTTCAGTGCCATCAAGGGGAAGGAGGGTAAGGGAGAGAGAGGAAAGGAGAAGCCACATTCATTGCGAACGGCAGAGGATCTAGAATATCTATACTTTCATTGTCTATCCTAGCAGTAAGAGAAACATGGAAGCCAGGATGGAGGCTCTCGCTATAGTCTGCTATTACAAACAGAGACTTTTACTTGGAATAATAATAATAATCAATTCCCATGCACCTTGGGGTTTGTTCTTTTGACTTCTCGTCGCAGTGTTACCAACCTTGATTTGCATCATACAAACGAGCCCTTTTTGACTTTGAGCACCATCTCAATATGGTTCATGGCCAAGGGGGCCTTGTCCTGCTTCGAAAGCAAGCGCGCCGTCTTGACGATATTCTTTATCTGCCTCCCGTTGACTTCAAGCTTTGCCAGAGTTTTCAATTCATTTTCGCTTAGTCGGCTGTCCAAATCTCCCATCTGAACAAAAATCTTCCATACATGAAGCCTGCTGGCGACGTCCAGGAGCGGATAGTGGATGGTCAGATGGATTCGAGACTCAAACGCCGGGTCAAAATCGCTGATGCGGTTACTGGTAAGGAACATAACGCCTCGGTAGTATTCAAGTTGTCTCAGGAAAACTGAACCAAGCGGATGGGGGTTAGCCTTTCGGTTAAGAAGCAGCATTTTCGGGGGGTTTTCTTTTGGTCATGATTCGAAACTCACCAGACACGAGACGGTTGCGCCGTAAATCGGCAGTAGAGCGAGCCTCGAGGAACATATCGCACTCATCGAGGAGTAGAATAGCATTCCACTTGCTGGTTAGTTCCAAGACTTGTTCGAGCGATTCTTCAACCTCAGTAGCTGTCTCTCCCAGCTCGCTTGCACTCATCAGGTACAGCGGTTGGCGCATCTCTTCAGCGACTAAGCATTCTTTTAGTAAGACACAGGCGAACCTATTTTCAGAGGAAACGCACCGGATTCAGCAGTGAGTGTTTTTCCAACACCAGGCTCTCCACTTAGCAACATGATGAAGCCCAAACCTGTGCTTGAAGCATTAACGGATTGCTTCACAACCAGGAGTCGCCAACCTGGGCGGCATTCCCTACCTTTCCCATAGATAATATCATCAAAGTCATCGTCTCGAGACAATTGCTCTTGAACAAAAGCGCGGATAATCTCTTTGTAACCGGGAGGTAGAACAAGCCGCTGAAAAGCATTTTCGTTCCAACGTATTGGGTACACGTTCTCAACGTAGAACTCCGCTAATGACGGGTTCAGTCTTAGTAAACGGCTGAGATAACTTATTGGTATTGAGCTCTTACCCCACGTCTTGAAAGCCAGGCAGTAGCCACGGACGACTGGACTGCAGAGCAAGCGATGCTTCGTACTCAGGGTTTTGGCTGGTACTGGTGTCAAACATGGTTCTCGAGCATGTGAATAGATCGGAAGCAGTATTACAGCCACCTGATATTCCTTCTTTGCTACGCTTCTCAAGTCTTTCCAAGGCCCTCTGGTACGCTTGAAAAGCCTGGCTAGTCGCCCTATAAATCACATTCTGAATGACAGCGAATACTTCTTCATCGGCCGCGTCCGCATGCGAATCGAGTTCAGATCCAATCGAGCCAAGACCTGGGCCAGGCGTGCCATATAGATTGAAGGTATGCGGGTCGATGATGATGCGACTGTTTTCCACCTTGCCAGAACCCTTTGGTTAGCACACTCGACTGCCGGGGGAACCGTGCCCTGTCAGGTATACATACATGGCGCTTCCGAATCTGCCTAGAAGACTTGGCCGTGTAGAATCCTGAATACGACATGTGGCAGAATCCATTGAGCTTCTCAAGTTTCGCGCCTCGAGCGTGGAGTCGATCGACAACGTTCTCCATGTCGGGATGAAGGTGGGCGGGAAATGCGTCGAGATCAACGAGCTTCTTCACTCCTTGAAACTTGTCAATGTCAACTGAGCTTGAGACGTAACCAAAGCTCGATCCGTCACAATCAATATAGCGAAGCTCCAGGGTAAAGAATTCTCCACCCATGTTTGCGCCGTAGCGACTATCAGTCAATTCCATAAGACGATCTTGGCCATCGAACCTAGTGTACACTTCCATGCCAGGGGCAAAGATGGTCCATAGATAGTCAAATGTAATGACTTTGTTCCTGGTTAGGTCTTTCATGGTTTCTACGTGCGGCATAACCTCCTCGCTTAGAATAGGATATAGAATGTCGAGGTGGTTCTTGGCTTCTTGGTCCTGCTCATCCTCGCACAGTTTCTCGAAACGGTGCCATCGATAGTAGAAGATATGGAAAGGCGCTTGGAAGGTAAGCTGCTTTAGCTGGGTGTTGACGCCCTCCAAGCCTTTGAATGTGCGGTCAAGCACCTTCTTGATCAAGGGACTTTGTACCGTGATGGAATGTAGGGCGATTTGTTTCGTTATTGGATGCGGTTCACGCCGGACGATCAGAGCGCACTCCTGAGCGTAGGAGCCGGCTTCAACGTCCGTGGCTGCTTTTTCAGGTACAGACTCGTTCCACGGTGAACGATCATCAGGTCGATATAGCTGCTGTACCTCTGCTCTCATGCCCACACTGAAGTCAGGGACGTAGCCGGGGTCAACGCTCATTTCGGACTATGTTTTGTTAGTAGTCTGCCGTCTATTCGATTTCCTCGACGAGGACCAGCAAATACCAGGCTGCTACTGAACGACGCGACACTCCTGCGGTATGCGAGAGAGCTATTTCCGTCTGACATTTTGCGGTACTCGCAATCGCAGGTTTCCGCGATATTTTTGGCTAACAATATGGAGAATGGTACAGAGCACTAACTATTGCATGAATACGACAACTTCGAGAATTTTGGTCAATCGAGGAATTCACGAAGCCAAACTTCGTTGAATCGAACGTCCCGAAAGTCAAGTCTCCGGTGCCTGAGGAACAGCAGAGTCGCGACGCTAAGCGTTCGTCACTAGTATTTTCGTCTCCAAGGTCAAAAGCGATGCCTATCCCGACATTCTTGGGCACCGAGAGGGACCGTTTCTTTGTCGGGAGAACATCTCAGCAGGGTCAACTTGCATCCGGTCGATCGGCGGTTTCCATTCCGTTGCTAATAATAGACAGGGGGCCTTGAACCCCTCACTGCTCAACGTGAAATATCTGACGTGAGATGGTGCAACGTATTAGTCGTACTGCACGATCCTACATGAGCCCAGCTGAACGGCGTGCTGCAGTTGAGTCCGGTATCCACTGGAATACAGGGGATCCCCGGTGCTGTGGTCCCTAGCGCAAGGAGCTGAAATTCAAGCAATTCAAGCAATTCAAGCAATTTGGTGCCTCAGGCGGCCACTGGGATTAGTAAAGACATAGAAGTAAGGATTCTGGAACCGATCCGAGCTCCATGGAGCATACTAGTAGTAGAACAGGGATACAGACCAGTAACTAGTTACGTGGGCTACTTGCTAGGGCCTGTATCACCAAATCTCGGAATGACCGCCTCAGGTGCAAAAACCACATAGCGGCCAGCCGGTATGCGCTATGATGAGGGTCGTAGAATATCCCGTGCTAGGGTTCGTGGGAATACATTATATAGGCGAAATCAAGTGCTATAATTCCGTCAATAATAGCGAACAGCCTCCAGTAAACAGTATCGGGCTGTCGGCCTATGTCAGTTCGGGGTCAAATTCTGTATAATGTATGTACTGTATGCATTATAAAATTTCCATCCGTTTTTCTGTCGTTTACCTTTGCTGAATCTCCTTGCTTGCCAGAGGCTCTCCTTCACTCCCCTTCCGCGCACTGGCGATATGTTAGAAGCGTGCAACACCAAAAATGGCAGCCGAGAGGTTCTCTCGGTCCTCTTTGGGCCTCAAGGTGCGGTAACGATCAAGTCAATGCTGGAAGCCCGCACACTGTTGCAAGAGAACCCCGACCTCCACTTCCTGCAGAGGACAGTCTCAGAGCTGCCAGAACTATGGTCCAGCCTTTTGGATGTCTGGCCACAACTAGAGAAGCTCCCAGGAAGGACAAAACTGACTGAGCTTCGCGATTTCTTCCAAGGAGGGCCCGCCCCGACTCCCTCCGAGCCTACGAATAACCTTCTCCTAAGTCCATTGACGGTGATTTCTCAGGTCATCGATTTCTGGAAGCTCAGTCATGGATTCGACCATCGAGCACCGATCGGATCCCAGGTGCGGGATGTACAAGGTTTCTGCACTGGCTTCCTGACCGCAGCCGCTATTTCCTGCTCGAAAAGTGAGGCACATTTTCAAGAGCTGGCTTCGAAAGCCATACGGCTATCGTTATGCACGGGAGCCGTGGTGGACTTGGATGCATTGAACCATTCCAGCGGACTGGACTATCCAGCTGCCGTCGCGGTTCGATGGAAATCCGCTGGAGGGCGGCAGCATTTGGAACGTATCTTGAAACAGCACCCTAGAGTTAGCACTATCCAGTCCGATACCATGATAAAACCAGAGTATGCTGACTGAGCATCAATAGGCCTATATCTCTTGTATCAGTGACGCGAAAACGGCGACCATCACGATCCCAGAATCCGAGACGGCCGGATTCATGGCTGAGCTGGCCAGGCAGCAGGTGATCTCAATGCCGCTCGCACCACGAGGGCGATGGCATAACGGGGACAATCTCCACGGACTGCAGGCAATCCTGACGCTGTGCGAGCGCGACGAGCGATTCCGCCTGCCACACGCCGACGCACTGAACAGCGGGCTGCTATCGAACATCACCGGTCAGCTGATCACGGCGGGCGCCTTACATAAGATTGCGCTCCACTCTGTCCTGACTGACCAATCACGGTGGGACCTGATGTTCGACTCCTCCTTCGGCGAAATGAAAGCCCGCAACACCGAGTTCCGCTTTGTCAGCATTGGCGAGAAGGTCGTCGTCCCTCCTCACGGCTTCACCACCGCCGTCAACGGCACTGCCAACGGCACTACCAACGCCAGCTCGCCAGCTGATGCAGTCGTCGAGAATGGGGCCAGCCATGCGGCCCCCCAGGTGGCTACCCAGACGATTCCAAACGGCCTGGGCTTGGACACCGCCAACCTCCCTGATTCTGCGGTTGCGGTCATTGGCATGGCCTGTAGATATCCGGACGCTGATACCGTCGAAGAATTCTGGGACTTGATCAGCTCCGGAAAATGCGCTATTAGGCAAATGCCCGAAGATCGATTTAAGCCATCTGAGCTTGTACAGGAGCCGAGAGGTCCGTTCTGGGGCGGATACGTCAGGCGCCTAGACCTGTTTGATCACCGTTTCTTCGGCATATCCGGACGTGAGGCAAAGTCCATGGACCCTCAACAGAGGCTGGGTCTCCAGGTGGCTTACGAGGCTATGGAATCAGCAGGTTACTATGGTCTTCACTCTGACGGGTTTGATCAAGACGTTGGATGTTACATTGGTTCGGCCAATGATGATTACTTTGACAACGTTCACTCACACCCGATAAATGCCTTCTCGCTAGGAGGAAGTTTGAGATCGTTTATCAGCGGTCGAATAAGCCACTGTCTGGGATTGACAGGCCCCTCCGTGGTCATGGACACGGCATGTTCTGCCGCTGCGGTCGCTATCCACACCGCCTGCAAGGTCAGTCAATTCATATTCATTTGACTCTTCGAGACTGACTTTTCTAGGCACTCCAAACGGGCGATTGCTCGATTGCCATAGCAGGGGGGACATGTTCCATGTCCAGCTCCAGGATGACCCAAAACCTGATTGGTGCTGGTTTTCTTAGTCCAACAGGCGCATCCAAGGCATTCGATGTAGATGCCGATGGCTACTGCCGTGCCGAAGGGGTAGGAATCGTTGTCTTGAAGCCTCTCAAAGACGCCGTGCGGAATGGAGATTTTGTTCTTGGGGTTATCACAGGATCTGCTGTGAATCAAGGAAGGAATACTTCGCCTATCATCGTGCCGGATGGGTCATCCCAATACTCTCTCTACCAAAAGGCCTTATCTAGGTCCGGAACAGATCCTTCAAACGTAACCTATGTGGAAGCCCACGGTACTGGCACTCAAGTCGGAGACCCGATTGAGTTCAGAAGTATTCGAGAGACATTCGGTGGACTTCACCGGAAGGACGACGTTTATGTCGGTTCCGTCAAAGATAACATTGGCCACACCGAAGCATCCTCAGGGGCCGCGTCGCTGATAAAAACGATGTTGATGTTTCAAAACCAGACAATACCCAAGCTTGCGAATTTCAAACGTCTCAATCCAAAGATTGAGCCACTGGGGGGAGATCGCGTTTTGATACCCACACAATCAAGAGACTGGAAAGCTGCGAAACGCATAGCGCTGATTAATAACTATGGCTCTGGAGGAAACAACGCTGCTATGGTGGTTGAAGAATGGACGCCTCCTCCCGGACCACGTACTCAACTTTCTCGTGTTCCGATTTTCATCTCTGGCAAGACAACTGAAGCAGTTCGCTCATACTGTGACATCCTCAGATCATCTTTAGGCGAGAAAGACCTGGCTGATATCGCTTATAATCTAGCCGTAAAGCAGAACAGAGACTTCAAGCACTCACTGATAGTTACGACTGCCAGCGTCCGGGAACTTTCGGCTCAGCTCGAGAGCGCTGCATCTGGTGATACTGAACTTCATGAATTGCCAAATCATACACCCCCGGTTGTTTTGTGCTTTGGTGGCCAGGATGGGAAGATCGCACATATATCGAAAGCGTTGTACGATAGCAACGTGCTTCTACAACGCAATCTGGTACGCAAAAAGCAGATTCCCCGATGATATTGATTTGCTAACCTCGTTTACAGGCTGAATGCGAGTCAATTCTTACTGGGCAACTATTTCTCCCAAGTTTATTTCCCGCGATATTTGACGTTGCCCCGATCAATGACATCGTCACGTTGCACTGTGTCCTCTTCTCGATTCAGTATGCGTGTGCCAAGTCATGGCTGGACTCCGGCTTGAAGATTGATAGGATCATTGGTCATAGTTTTGGCCAACTGACTGCCTTGTGCGTAGCTGGATCGCTCTCTCTTGTCGATACAATCAAGCTCGTCGCGGAGCGTGCTAGATTGGTTGAAGCATACTGCGGCCCTCAAAACGGGATAATGTTGGCGGTCGAGTGCGAAGAGTCAGATATAGACCGTGTCCTTCTTCTTGCTAAGCAACAGTCTCAACACTTTATGGCTGATATCGCTTGCTATAATGGGCCTCGCAGCTTTGTCATTGCTGGCGATGATGAGTCAATTTGTGCAGTCGAGAAAGCTTTAAAAAGCTTGTCAACCAGTCTCCGGTTTAAACGCTTGAGCAATAGTCATGCGTTCCATTCTCGGTTGCTTGATGCAATGATCCCCAGTTTTCTTCGAGCCGTGGATGAACTTCATTTCAACGCACCAAAGATTCCTATTGAAGCATGCTCTAATGATGACTGGTCGAATATTACTACAGAAAAGATTGTTCGACACACTCGTATGCCTGTTCACTTTATGGATGCTGTTCGGAGAGCTGAGCAACAAGCAGACGGACCTGTTATCTGGCTTGAAGCAGGATCCGGGTCGCCAATCGTACCTATGATCAAAAAAGCAGTCAATACAACCCACCAGCACACCTACATCGCCACTGCTCTCCGAGCTTCAGATGCCCTACCTAACCTCGCAAAGGCCATGTGCAGTTTATGGTCAAACGGTGTGAGGGTACAGTTCTGGCCATTTCATCGCTGTCAGCACTCCTCGTACAACTGGATCAATCTACCCCCGTACCAATTTGCCAAAATAAGTCATTGGCTCGAGTACAAACCCAGAATATCGGTCATTGAAACGCCTAACGTACATCCTTTACCCACCAGCCCGAACCCGGAACTGGTTACATTACTTCCCAATCAACCTGTCAAAGGAGAAACCCTCTTCGAAGTGCATCCTTGCCATGAGCTCTACCAGCTTAACACTAAAGGACATGAAGTTGTGGACCAAACCCTCGTCCCAGCTTCACTGTATAACGAGTTCGTCCTCACGTCATCCTATATGCTGTCAGATGCCAAAACAGGCTATGTCCCGCACATATCTAACCTTTCAATGTCCTCGCCCCTGGTAGTCAATCCAGTCGGACGAGTTTTTGTGAAACTAATGGAAAAGAATCCCCATTCAGGATCATGGGACTTCACATTGTTCACTCAAGTCGAGGCTGCGAAGCCACTCGTTCATGCTACGGGATGCGTCACGGTTTCCAATCCAAGCATTCCGGTATCCATCAGTCATCTCCAGGCTCTCCAAAACCTCATGCTTCACCGATGCAAAGAAATCGAAAACTCCCCCATGTCAATTGGCTTTAAGGGCCCTACCGCTTATCAAGCTATGCGTCGGGTGGTGACTTACCTTGACTACTATCACGGGATTCAAAATATTTACAATTTGGGCAATGAGGCTTCGGCCCGTATCACTCTACCACCTTTGCGGCCGAAAGGCATGGGGGTAGGCTTCTGCGACCCGGTTCTGGTTGATAGTTTTACGCAAGTATCCGGAATCCTCGCTAACTGTTTTTCCCTCCCTGAGGATGGTGAGATGTGGGTATGCAACTTCATCAAGGACGTAGTCTTTACCCAACGATTCGTTGAAACGGCGAGGGAGGAGAATAAGACCTGGCTTGCTTATTCTAAGTATGAGATACCGACTCCCAAGAGGTTGACGTGCAACATTTTCGTTTTCGAACCCGAAACTGGCGATATTGTTCTCACAATCATGTCGATTGAGTTTCAAAAGGTTTCCATCAAGTCCTTAAAAAAGGTTCTTGGAAAACTAAATAGTCAGAAGACTGTTGTCCAAAGAGCTCCTGTCCAAGAAGCCCCGGTCCAGCATGTTGCTGAGAAGGCGTGCGCTGCTCGCACAGAGTCAAATTTTCTCCCTTCTGTTCCTTCACCCACTGCAGTCGCCCAACCGCCAGCTCAGCAACCACCGATCAAGATAGCTAATGCTCCCGGAGCACGTGTGGGATCGCTGCAGAAAGTTAAAGAAATGCTGAGAGACGTTCTAGAGATTCCCCTTGACGAGATTACCGAAAATTCTGTTCTCGAGGAGCTCGGCTTTGATTCCTTGCTTGCCACAGAACTTTTCTCGGAGATTCATAAGCGCTTTGACGTTTCAATCTCACACTCGGATTTTGCGACGATTACCAACGTCCGAGAGCTCTCCGAGCTAATCCCTGGAGCAGACGTTTCGCCGAGTTCGACTTCTGAGATCTCAGTTTCGATACCCCAGCCGAGTACACCACCTGCTGTAATCCCACATCAACCAGCACCCGTGGCACTTCAGCCATTGGACAAAGTCAAGGAAATGCTAGTTGATGTCCTTGAGGTTCCTATTGAGGAGATTGGTTCAAATTCTATCCTTGAAGATCTTGGCGTAGACTCTCTTTTAGCCACAGAGATCTTCTCAGAAGTGAATAAACGATTTGGGGTATCAATCTCACACACGGATTTCGCAACCATCAGCGATGTTCAAGGACTTGCTCAACTAGTCTCCGGCGCCGCCATACCTCCGGTTTCAGCCCCTAAAACCCAAACCACTAGGTCCCCCACCACAAAACCAAACGGTGTCCCGCCTCAAGCCGATATGGAAACTGTTGTTTTCGCTGAACGGGATGGGACCACCCTGTCGGCCGACATCTACTACCCTAAAGAACTCGTCGACGCTCAAACCCCGCTCCCGATTGGTGCGTAAACACATCTGCCTTGCGTTAGAATTCACCACGGGAAACTGATCTTTCATTTCTGACTAGCTCTTATGATCCATGGAGGAGGACATGTAATATCCACTCGGAGAGATGTCCGCCATGACCAGACTCAAATACTGCTCGACGCTGGCTTTTTGCCAGTAAGCGTTGATTATAGGCTATGCCCCGAAGTCACGATCCACGAAGGCGCAATGCGAGATGTCCGCGATGCTTTTTACTGGGCACGAAAGACGCTGCCCACTTTACCACTTAGCCGGCCTGATATTCGGCCCGATGGAGACAGAGTCGTAGCGGTGGGCTGGTCATCCGGTGGACATCTCGCGATGTCCCTCGGATGGACTGTACCATCATTAGGAATAAAGCCTCCTAATGCGATTCTCGGATTTTACTGCCCAACAGATTACGAAGATCCCTTCTGGGCCTCGCCAAATCTCCCCTTTGGCCAGAAGTCCGTTCCGCCTCCTGGTCCCGGCTATGACTTCCTCTATGATGGCCTTAATGACAAGCCTATCATTGGATATACTCCACAAGCATCTAAACGTGCCTTGGGAGGTTGGATGTCGCTTGAGGACCCGCGTTCCCGAGTTATTCTTCACATGAACTGGGAGGGTAAAAGCCTACCGGTCCTGATTAACGGTCTCCGCCGTACTGGTGTGAACTCAGTATCAAATCCTGCATTCCCGTCCGTGGAGCAAATCCAGGCAATCAGTCCGCTAGCACAGATCCGTGCTGGGAATTACAAGACGCCGACGTTTTTGATTCATGGAACTCGTGACGATCTGGTTCCATGGGAGTCATCGCAAAAGAGTTATGAAGCCCTTCGTGAAAGAGGAGTAGCTACTGGTTTGGTCATTGTGGAGAACGCTCTCCATTTGTTTGATCTTTATCCGGCGACTAAAAAGAATCCGGTTGCTGTGAAGGGGGTAAGCGATGGTTATAAATTCCTCAGTGCACATGTATAGATTATTGTTTTTTGGTCTGTGTGATTATGTACAGGTTAAAATTGATCAGCTTTGTGGAATTTAATATGTATATGAGCTTGAAGATTTTACCCGCTCTTTACTCTCTATCATCTATGGACCTCGCACTTGAAGACGTTTTCTTGTCCGCCATTCAAAATCCATTCACCACGAATGGCCAGATCGACTATACAGGGAGTCGTCATCCATAAACCCAAGGCAAGGGCCAAGGGCAACAGATCCGTACCTAGATCAAAGTGACGTGGCAGAGCAAGCCATTACTCCAGGTGGACGTTATGGCCCTTATAACATGCAATGAAGCTGAATCAGTCGTAGCTTGTTGAAACTCTTGCTTCAATATTTCTAGAGATGGATCATCAGTTTGTTGTCCTTCTGGATAACTACAGTCCATCATGTTTAATTCAATTTGGGAGGATCAATCCTCAGCTTTTAAGACTCAGCGCGAGCTTTTATACTGCATGTCATGCCGGGATACCTTCAACGTGTCCCGTCCGTTATCACTATTATTATTCCGGTCGAGTCCGGAAACAGCCGTGGCCCTTGATGCAAGGCTTTTATCCCAGGGGCATCGACAACCAGGTGCCCTCAAAGAGTGTATATCTATACCATTAATCGTGCCATTGTCGCTGAGACGGGAAAAATCTCTATCCACGGAGAACATCCCATAGATCATTAGATCCAACGTGTACAGGTAGCCAGTTAAGTTCCTCCAAGCGAACTTTTCGGCCCGCACTTGGTTGAAATATTGGAATCGGTTCCGCAATTTAACGACCTAGAGTAGCATTCTTGGTGTGGGCCCTTGCCATCTAGAGCGTATTAGGACTGTTCCGGCCCGTAGAAGAATAAGTACTCCGGAAACCTAGGGGCTTTTTAGCCACTACCAGGGACAAGCCTTGCGAGGTCAGGCATATTGATCTGGGGTCATATAGAATTTGGGAATTTTGCGTTCTATCCCGCAATAATTAGATAGCACATACATATATACGCAACGCGTCCAATTTTACTAATCATCATCCGTACGCCGCATTGCTCAACGGTCATAAAAGAAATATCGATAAATAGAATCACCTTAGCGCGGTCGATAGTCGAAATTCTCTAATCCCAATATTTAATAACGCCTTCCAACCCAGCCGTGGCAACCTTGCTAGTTTCCTGGGGATGCCAGTCCACGCAAGTGATTGCGGAGCCTTCCTTCCCGCCAGCTTGGATCTTATGCCACATCTTGCCGGTTTTCCAGTCCCAAAAACAGACATAGCCTCCGCTGTCGCCTGAAGTGACAAACTGGCCGTCGGGGCTGATTGCAACGTCAATCGCGTATCCGGCATTATTGTGGCCGCGGAAATTCTTCTTTCGGTTTTGTCGAAACTTATCCGTTGATGCGTAGACCACAATCTGGTTATCTCCGGACTGGAACGCAACATATTTTCCATTGGGGTGAGGAGCGGCACGGACAAGAGCGTATAGGTATGGTTCTGCGATGAACTTGATGGGAACTGGAATGTTATATTCCCATGCACGGAGAGATTTGTCGTCAGAGGTGGATATGAAACGGCGATTATTATCAACGAAGGTTAATGTATTGATGGCAGCAAGATGGTGGTCGTATTCCTGTGTGATCTCCCCGGACCGAGTATCAAATTGTATGATTTTCTTGTCCGACATACCAGCCAGGAATTCGTGCCAATGGTTTGGGTCCGGGTTAAATCGAACAACATGAGGCGTTTTGCCAGTTGAATAACGACCAATACATTTTCCATATTCCGTGTCCCAAAGCTTGATTTGTCGATCATAAGAAGCCGACAGAAACGTCGTTCCAGTTGGGTGGAAGGTGGTATCGGATACGGAGCTAGAATGACCTGAATATGTTCGCAAAAGTTCTCGTTCATGGTAAACGTCCCATATCTTGACTTTCGAATCAGCGGATGAAGAGAGTAACAAGTGCCCTGACGACGGGAAGAAACGCAGCGACGTGATCGGTTTCGTATGAGACTTCCAGGTATGGATAAGCTTCTTTGGTATGTAATTCTTGACGTTGCCGGGTTCCTTCTTGAGGTCGATGTCCAGATCTTGGGGAACATGCATATAGGTCCGTCCCTGGTAGTCGAACTGTTCCGTACCGTGGAATTCTGTCGTTTCGGTCTGCGACATATCTTCCTGGTATGCCGTAGCCTTTTTATCCATAGCAGCCATATTCGACGGGACAATCGCCTCATCAACATATTCTTCGTCACTTGCGAGCTCTTGCCCAGCCACAGCCAGATCTTCCTCATAGCCATGATCCTCGTTTTCATATTTCGCCCAAGGACCCAAGTACGCGCCATCGCCTTCCACAATGCTCGAATCTCCTTTTTTCTGTCGTTTTCTCCTCAAAGCCGCGCTTGCTTCTTTGGAGGGCCGCATCTGCACCACATCTCTACCCCCGAATCGCGATACATTTTCCATATTCCCTACATATGCACCAGCAACACTCGGGTCCTTTGTGTATCCCAGACTTTGGAACGTGCGATGTTGCGTCGTAAACGTTGCATCGCTAATCATAGCTTCCTCCGCATTTCCAGTTAAGACGTTTTTCCGCTTTGTCCCATGAGTTGATCGAAAAGGGTTAACAGGTCCGGCTGCTGGCCGCGATAATTGGTCGTATGTCAAGTTATATGAGAGAGAAGTATCTGTAGGTTTGGGAAGCACAAGCTGCAACTGGCTGGAGTCCTATAACGCGAGGATTAGGTTCTACCCTGAAAGACTTATTCGACGCAAAGGAGACCAAACCTCTACTGGCACGTCGGGAGCGGCGATAACCTGCGTATGAGTTGATTTGGCCGCCACGGCCTTTGCATCGTCGTCGCTAGAGGAATCATAGCTGCCGCCCAAAAGCGAAGCCATGTCAGTATTGTCGATTGTTTGCGCGTTGAGCGGTCGTCCGTCTTGCCATTTCGGATTTGAAGGCGTCGTCGCAGAATGAATTATGTAAGCAATAGCTTTGGGTCAAGCCACAGCCGGGAGCTTAAGCCACACTCATCACGTGAAGTGAGATATTTGCGCCACATGTTTGCTGGGTTTGCACAACAGTGTGTCCCTATACTCCCTACTGACAGAGTCACAGAGTGTATGATTGGAACCGTGGCCATGTCCGGTCTATTATTCCTCCTAGTATAGAGTATTGGGATAGTAGGTAACACAGGGGCCACAAGAGGATAAAGAAATGTTGTTCAACATCACTTTTAAAGTTCTCATTATCCACATTCCGGCATAATATCATATAGCGAAAGAGTAAAAGAGAAATCCTATACTACTAGATACAGTTCCAGGTGCTGTAGGGTAATAAGAAAGGAAGGAAATACATTGAATAAAGTAACATTTGGGGTTTAACCCGTGCCTTGCAGATATGCGAAGGAAACAGGAGCTCCCTGATGAACATCGCAAAGCATATTAGTTAAACACGCTATCGCTCATGAAGAGGCTTCGATAGGCTCGAGGTCCGTATTACTGAATCGCTCCCGGCATCGGACACTACACTAGCTAGGATCAGGCCTCCTCGGGAGCTTGAAGATCATTCGAGGGCTTCGCGGCGGTGCGGTAGGAACGGTGAGGGGCTGGTTGACTGACGATGACTTAGAACGCTCAGAATTAAACAGGTCGACCGTATTTCATTGCATGGCCAGCTTGCTCTCGTAGTCAATGCGATTCGTCGCGGATGAGGGCAACGATCATGCTGTAGAGATAGAAAAAGAACATAACGAGGTGGAACCCTAGTTTGATAAATGATTCCTAGACAAAGGAGTTAGCCTTAGCCCAGTCATCCTCGTAATCAGAGCGATATAGAACTTTACCTTTCTATGGACGTTGAGCTTCCGGAAAATCTCGGTAGCATCCAAAAGGTGCTGGTTTTCAAAGATTCTAGCGCGCGTAGTACGGTCAGCAACAAAAGTGACACAGACGTATAGAGCTAATGCAGTCCGAAACAACTACGGGGTGGCACGCACTTCTTTGCATTGAAGCCCAAGAGGGGAAGGTTGAGCAAAATCGTTAACCAGTATCCGTTAATAACGAAGAGGAAGGTCAGGAATGCATGTACGGCGGCTTCAGGAACGATGTATGCGTTGAGTCGGTTGCAGAGATCGATAGGGTTGATGTAGTCACTACGAAATCGTCAGTCAGTGAGAGTAAAAGCCAAAAAATGATAATTTCGAGATTTGGAACCAACAAGGCGATAGTGGTCTTCATGGATCGCGAATAAAACGTAACACAAAACACACAAAGGAACACTCGTACCATTCCAGATCACTGTACATAATTGTGAAGAAGACCTGTAGGAAGAGGTTGACGGCATTGATCAAAACCGCGAGGAGGTACAACCACGCTTCTCCCGACATCTTGGAGACGAGTCTTTTCGCTACCGGCAAAGTTGGCTAAATCGAAATACCCGCAAGCCGTATATCTTGAGCGATATATATGGGAACGTAGGCGTCCGAGGTTCTGCGGCGAGCTTTCAGAGAGCTGTGAGGCGGCGAGCCGATTTTCGGGCTGGGAACTCGGAAAATAAACAAGTGTGCGATGGAGCGAACCACCAACCTGGCACGAACAGCAGAGGGACAGGGAAAACTGGACGGAGCGACTTGACTGAAGAAACTGGGGCGATCCGACGGGGTTACGGGTCAAAACGAGGTTGGAGGACGAGTGGTTCGAGAGGAGGTGAGGCGATGATGGCGAGTGGGAAGCCGTGCTGCCAGCTGCTTGGAGGTTGAAGCTGCAAGAAACGGCCGATGCCACCCTGAACCTTATGCAGGCCCCGAGATGGCCCCCTTGATGCAGCAGCCAGCCGCATTTAACTATAGAAATGTAGTGGTCTCTTATTCTGATATCAATTTCGCAGCATTAGGCGGTGCCATACTAGATTTACACGTTCAGGAATACTCGAGATTATTTCGACTTGAGAATCGACACTGGTTAATTATCTGGCCACAAGCGGCCTCTCTACCTTCTAAGATCAGCATGCACAGGCACAGGTTTGACATTTCTACCATGGCTTCGCAGAAACATACATTTGTACTCCGTAACGGCTTGGGATTCAGTGCGCTGGTTGGTCAAAGTCCACGCCAGATCAAATAAACGTGCGACCGGCATTCAGTCTCGATTGGAAGCAAATATGGATGACATCGTTGTGTATGCACCACACAGCGTGATTGACACAATGCCATTCATCCAAAGACCGAGAATAATGCCTGTTGATGGGATACCTACTCCGCGTGGATCATTATCACCGCCCACAGAGTTGCGATGAAATATCCCAAAGGCATTCACTCCCTTCACTTATCAGCTTCTCGTCAGTCGAGCTGTGCATGCATCATGGTGATCATGGATTTCTGTAGGATCAGCCGGGGGTTTGTGTCACATCCCTCCAAGAGGTACAAGAGTTCGGAATGGCTCGTATTCAGCCCACATTTGATAACACCGATTCCGAGTTTCCTCACGATGAATGTTGATGCCTGCGCGACCATCTTCTCGCCTTCGCGCCATCCAGCAGCTAAATAATTTGCTGTTGCTTTTCGGATGGAGAATCACTCAAGAGTCAGATCCTCATGAACAGCACTCCGTCTCGACATCTCCTCCTCCCCCGAAAATGCCAGCCCCATCCGCCCAGTACCGCGACAGCCCAGACGATGAGCTTCCGCTCCTCGCTGATGCTGAACCACGCGGGTCGATAGAAAACGACGCTGTTACCCAGATACTCCCCCATAGTGCCTATAGAAAGAAGACTGGGAGATGCCACCCGACCGTATTCGTTTTGCTCGCTGTGATCTTGACGTTTGCGGTTGATTTCGGTAGCTACCTAGGAATCGCGCCTCAGACCCGAATTTTCGAGGATATCGTCTGCAGGAATTACTATGATAAACATGAGCCCGGTAGATTTCCACCAGGCGAGATCCCAGAGGATCAGTGCAAGATTAGGCCTGTGCAGGCAGAAGTCGCCTTTCTTCAGGCTATAATGTCCAGCTTCGAGGCAGTTCCTAGTAGGTCTCTCTGTGCCCACTTACAAGTCCAATCTGAAAAGGAGATCTGCTTCCCGGCGGCCTTACTATCTGTTTCCATTGGCTGATGATCAACTGTAGGTATTTTACTACTCATTCCATATGGTCGCCTGGCCGATAATCCCAAGTTTGGCCGCAGATTTGTTCTGATACTGAGCATAGCTGGTGTCATATTGAACCAGTATTGGACTTTGTTTGTCTGTCTGTCTTCGAGCGTGCTGCCTTTACGAGCGATCTGGTTCGGCTCTGTGTTTACCTTCCTTGGAGGTGGATTGGGCGTGACAAATGCCATGGTGATGACCATGCTTACCGACGTTGTTGAGCCAGACGATCGGTATGCGCCTCCAGTTACCCTCCTCGCCTTTCCAGTGGGATTCATTATTCCTTTTTCCACCCTCAGATAACTAACCGTACATCACTATCTTCTAGAGCCACGGCGTTTTCCAGAACTTCTTTGGCAGTCGTCGTTGCACAGCTTCTGGCACCCTCAATCTCCTCCGGTTTGTCAACTTTGCAGGGCCCGTGGTTGCCATATTTATTGGCATTGCTTATAATCACCATAAGCTTCCCACTTCTTTTTGTATTGCCGGAGACCATTCACTTGCGCCCTCCGCAATCCGCGCTCCAGGAACCCATTCACGCTGAGCACCGTCCTACTGAGGATGAATCGCGACCTGTCAGGGCTTCACCCATCAATTATACCAGGAAACTCGTCTATCGCGCATGGGACTCGTCCCAATTCATATTCCAGAGCCGTTCCATAGTTCTTCTCCTCTCAGCATTCTTCCTGACCGTCATAGGACGCAAGCAAATCGACCTCATCCTTCTTTATGCCTCAACCAGATATTCCATCCCCATCTCCGATGCGGCATATGCCCTCTCCATCTTTGCTGGAGGAAATATCTTTGTCCTCCTTATCGTACTACCCTTTATATCACACTACGTCACTAATAACCTCCGCCTTTCCAGCAAAGCCAAAGATCTCTGTCTATCCAAAGCAAGCGTCATCATACTCACAATGGGCTGCTTTGCGCTTGGCCTCGCTCCCACAGTCGCCTTGATGATATGTGGGATTATCGTATACACACTTGGATGTGCTTTCCTTCCTGTATCCCTCAGCCTCGTATCGACCTTTGTCGAACCAAGGCACGCCGCACGTCTGTACTCCATAGTCTGCCTCATCTCGATGGCAGGCTCTTTGGTCGGCGGGCCATTCCTAGCGCTTCTATTCAACTGGGGGTTGAGTATTGGGCCGGCTTGGACAGGGTTGCCATTTTTGGGGACAGGGATGGTGCATGTACTTGTCGTGATCGCTATTACTCGAGTTAAACTGCCGCGGGACACACTTGATGACGAGCAAGAGGAAGTGTCGGCTCGCAGGCCTACTAATGAATTATAAATGGGTTAGAGGATTGCAGAACAGTTCACATCGGGAGTTATATGGCGCTATTAGTGATGAAATGCTGGGATATATGAATGATATTTGCATGTTGCATTTAGACTTGGGTTTCTCGGGTTTGACTAGTTATATTATATTCGATAGAACTCGAATGCATGTATGCATCCATGAGGACTTCGCGCTTTCTCCTGGGAAAGAGATTCCCATGCCACCGAACACTACATACCCGTGCGTTAAAACACGGGCATGTCTGTTGTCTTGTCACCATACCCAATTAGATCGTCAAAAAAAAAACTTGTCTACAACATGATATATGAGCATATAGGACGCTATAACACATTACACAAAACAGCCCAAGCAAATCCAAAACAAAGTCTAGAAAAGGACCTTTATTGCACCCTTATCAGACATGCTGCTTCGAAAACGATTACGAGCAAAGGGAAAGAAGGAACCAGGAAAATCTATCAAATAGACAATGTAGGAGGAAAATCAGGCAACTAGAACAGAAGAGACTTGTGATAAAAGGGCAAAGGGTGAAGCTTGATGTCATCTCAAGTAATAATATATACCTGTTAGTTTGTCTTCCCATAGACGGTAATGACGCTGCCAGTTGCCATGGCACAAATCAGAGACTAGTAAATAGTATATGCGGTCATCTCCTCTCAACAAGCAAGAAGTGCATAGCGCCGTAGGCAAGTACGAGGAACGCCCCTGAAAACACAGCCAGGCCGATCACGTCACGGACATATGCGAGAGTATCGAAGCCGAATGCACTAAGAATAGAGGCTCCAGGGACTTCAATGTCAAGTCCATATTTGTGGTCGATGAGAGTGAGATAGGTCACTTCGTTCACGATCAACGCTTCAAAGCCGTAATGGAATATGGATAACTATTATCGGACATTAAAATACGAGAGCATTATGTATTTTTGAGGGTCGACTTACACTTTGCAACCATAATGCTGACTTGGGGATCGCGTCGTGATTAAGAAGAAGCCCAGCGAATAGAAGGCTGAACAGCATGACCAGACTACCGATCAGGTTTGCTACTCCTCCATCCCGAAAAACGATTCCGATGAACAAGCAGATACCAGCAGCTGCCAGGTTGAATAAAACGAGGACTAGCATGAATTTGAGAAATTCTGGCCAGTCAGCGATCAATCCGACCATCGGATAGACAATGACACCCATGATGATGGGCGGGATCAACCTCAAGGGGATTATGTCAAAAATGACTTTGGCGCAGAAATATGTGAGCGGAGAATAATAGCCATTTGCACGTTCTCTCATAAAAAGCAGGCGTTCGGAGGAGAAAACAGTTAGACTGGTGAGGGTGCTGAACCCAAACAGCGCTAGCAAGAAGAAGAAGAGTCCCAGTCGATTCTGGAAACCTTTGATGTCATCTGTGAGTCCATAAAAGAGGTAGCCAGAAAGTACTGCCAATAGGATGGCGGTAGCATAGTGGGTGAGCATGAGCATCGGATTACGATATAAATTTTTCCATGTACGTTGCGAAAGAATAATAAATTGACGGATTAGACCAACTCGGGCGTGACCCGTCATATGGCCATGTAAGCCGCCAAAATCCTGTTGCGTTCGAAAATTAGGGTTCCCATTTGCTTGTCGAGCGCCTTCTACCGCGGAAACAATTTCCTCGTGTATTGATGCAGCAACGTTGGAGGACGCATAGCTCGTGATCATAATATCAAGATCGGTAATATAGCCTGAGGCAATGGGGGGAAGATGATCAGGATCATCCATCACCTGTGGAGGCACACTCCCCTGTTGGCGAGAGAGACGAAGCCATTGTTCAGTGCTGGAACTAAGACTTCCAACAACATCCTCATCAGTTCGAGACGTTGAAGGTGATTCCATCCCTGAGGTTCTTTTTCTAGTATAAAGCTGTCTTTCTTGACGTTGTCTAAGCGATTGCCGACGTTTTGGCTTTGCTGGGGCTGTAGAATCTTGAGCGCTTTCACCACTATTTTCAAAGCTTGCGTTTGAAGCACTAGCAACGGATTTTACCGCTCTGAGGCTGCTTGAGGGTGTTTTCGAGTAGTTTGCCTGTACGTCAACGTTGAGCAAAGGCTCTTCCGGAGAGCGTGTAGTGCTAGCATGCATGGTGAGGTCCACCAAGTAATCAGCGATGTTGAAGCCAGGAGGGCAGGTATATCCGATATGGTCAAAATAAGGCTGACAATCTAAGAATGAGCCTGAATAGACGGTTTTCCCTTTCGCCAGTAAAATCAGCTGATCAAATAATGCAACAATATTAGACCTGGGTTGATGAATGGTGAATATGACGGTGCGGTTGTATGTTTTTCGCAAGGTTCACGAGGCATTCGACTACGTTGAAGGCATTAAATGCGTCCTAATCGCTGTTAGAATAGAACATGCGAGGGCAGAATCATCACTCACTAAGCCGCTCGTGGGTTCATCAAGGAACAATATGCTTGGACTTGTAACAAGCTCGCAGGCAATGCTAACGCGCTTCTTTTCTCCTCCTGATATTCCGCGGCCTTTGCCTTCTTCGGAGCCGATAATTTGGTCTCTGATATGGTAAATTCCCAGCTGCTTTTCTACCTCAAATACCCTCTGCTCTTTCACAGGCCTGCTCATACCACGTGGGAGCCTGAGGAGGGCGCTGGTCAAAATAGTTTCGTGGACGGTGAGGGTCGGGAGCATCGTATCTTCCTGGTCCACGAACCCTACAACGCTTCGATACTCACTATCATCCACCTTCTCTCCGTTAACGTAATAATCGCCCTGAATGATACCACGTTTGTTCTTTCTCGCGAGAATATCCAAGAAAGTCGTCTTCCCGGCACCAGAAGCACCCATAATAGCAGTGACTTGACCCGGTCGACAAATTCCTCTGATATTCGAGAGGATTTCCTTGCCATTGAGGTAATACGAAACGTTGTCAAATTGTAACGCCGCGGGTTTGTGATCAGTCATCAGCTTTCCATTTTCGTCGTCCGAGTCGTCCGAAAGCTGTATAGCTGCATACTTGTGGTAGGTGCTCCTCCTGGAGAGGTACCATATGAACAGAATAACAGCAACGATGAACAGGCCGCAGCCTGCAATAACACCAGCGATTAATGGGGTGTTGATGATTTTGACAGGGACTTCGTAACCAGGCACTTCAGTTTTATAAAGACATTCCCCAGCACGACAGCTGAGGAGAATGCTTTCATCTCCAAAAACCTTCCTTATAAGATTATCCAGAGCAGGTTCATGGAACTGACTACCATCTTTATCGCTCCCTCCTCGAGTTGAAACTGTTGAAAATGAAGCGGGCCCTTTGATCTCGTCTCTGAGTAGGTCCGATATATCAAGGCCGTCGCTTTGGCAGAGCATCCGCTCAGGAACACACTTGCATTTGATATGCTCACATGCATACTTTGTTGTGTTTTTGTTGAACCCAACTTCCATGTCCCAGTTACAAGTGTCCAAGGAGCAATAGAATGATTCCTTCTGATCAATCCAAACTATCCAGAAAGGGTGTTAGCATCGGAATCAAATGTAGAACAACCAGAATTGCAACTAACATTGAAAGTTACACGTCTTGTCCTGGGCTGAACATGAAAACGTAACCTCCGGCTTCTGGTCCTTCAGCATGTCAACGATTTTTCGGTTGGTGACATCGCATATCTGATAGTTTTCTTTGACAACCAGAGGCTCTTTATAACACACACCACCCTCACCCTCGGGCATCATAGCATTGCACGCATTATCCGTTTCGCAGACATTGCAATTGATTCCTCCCCATCCATCCTTGCATTTGCAGTATTTCCCTTTACGGGGTAATCGATCCTTGCCGTCGGATAGAGCTCCACACAAGGGCTCAGTACAATCATCTCCCCCAAACCCAGAAGGGCACGAACATTTGCCATTGTATTTGTTGCATTCGGCAAATTGGTGGCACGGGTACTTCTCGAGTTGGCAGTTGAAGCATGGGCAACAATCTTCCGGTTTGTCGCTTCGTAGCCCGAAGCGTGGAGAGATGATATCGGAAGTGGTGTAATTCTCATATGCAAAGGCGAGCCATGATGATGACGATGAGGCGCAAAGCAGTGCGAGGAGTTGGGACGAGGCGGAAAGTCGCATCGTAAGGGCGGGGACCTGGCTGACACTGGCGCCGAGCGGGAGGAACAGAATATTACCAGCCACTAAGCCGTAGGATCGCTAGATATAGAAAGAAAAAGGCCAATGATTGAAAGCCATACGATGAATTCCGCACGAAGCCCTCAGCTTAACAAGCGCCCATGTTGCTCAACAGGGACCGTCAAAATCGAGAGGCAAGGCTTTGGCTGAAATCGGGTGCCCGGTTGGATATGTGAGGACGTTAAGCAAGTAGCTGGATGGCTGGCGGCCCGGAAATGGCTCTGGCGAGTCGTTGAGCAGGAGGAGAGACGCTGGACTTCAAGCCGTTGAAGTTGCAGTGGAGAAGGGGAATTACGTAGGGGCCTGGCGGGCTACTGCCGGGTGATTATGTAACACGCGGGCTAACTTAAACCCGGCCGATCAGCGTTTCGGCCCCGCGAAAAGCCACACTGGAAGGTTCTCCTCATCACAAGCACTTGATCAGAACGAAATGCCGAACGTCTTTCATCCAAACTATCTGCGTTGTCAACTCTAGTCCCTGCTGATTCTGCGCCTGAGCGAACCCATAACAGAAGATGTGGTTCAATTCTCTAGGTGCTATGTTAGCCACAGCTGACGATTTGGCAGACCATCGACCTGTCCTTGCAGACCGCCGAGGAGCCTCTGCCTTGCTTCTCGCATTTACTCAGCTCAGTTGCCCAGAAAGAGCAGAGAGTCAATATAGGAAATACCTCAGCCCGCCTTTTGACAGCCTAGTGTGCGGTGATCTCTAGAGCCGTTATCATGTCCCCAGACATACAGGGGATGAGTGCGGACAAGCCAGTCATTGTGTCTTCAAAGCCAGCTAAAAAACAATGATGCACCACACCAACAGGGACTCGAACCCTGAATTTTCAGATTCAGAGATAGAAGTCTGACATTACGCCCCTGGTGCCTAGTTAGCAGCTGATGGGATGAGGAAAAGGGCTGAAATATTGAGAAGAAAGTCTGCGTTTGGGTTAAACTGGGTTTTTCGGAGCCGATTCGAGCAGCAACTAGATGTGCGAGTGTTAGGTTGACCGTTTACCGTTGACCGTTTAACTACCGCTTTGTTTCAGGGGCGTGGGTTTAACTAGGGAGGTTATTGAGCAGAGGAAAGGCAGCTCAAAAAGCGATGCATGGAAGTGCTCTACGGAAGCAAACAACTTGTACATACAATAGGAAGTATCTTGTACGGAGTAGGTAGAGAGACGCTTGATGACCTTTTGACTGTTGTAGATGCCACTCAAAGCTTGGAGCTTGGCGGCCCGGAGGCCTTTTTATCCATTTTCAAACAGCCCTAGGAATCCATCTCCGTCCGAGTTGGAGCAAAAAGTCGTGCTGGTTCCGGCTGGCGATCAAGCAGTCTGCAAAGTCCTGACAGCAGATTCATATGATATCTCAGTCCTTGCACATCTGCTGTTCCAAGCCAGCCATTGGCCAAAGCTGATGCTGACTGGAGATTTCACAAGGTCCTCCCCTAACGATTCCTTGCCAGCCGAGGTTGGTTGTGACCATCAACCCAACAATGTCTTGGACGAGATTGAAGGGACGATTTAAACATAATACCGACTCTCTCCTCGTCTCCTTGGGCTTCCAATCCCATGGTTGAACCATACTCCGCGGTCTGCGTCCAGATTGTTCGTGTACGGTGGCCTGTCATCCACTTTCCTCTCAGCGACCCGCCTGTCTAACCATCCAATCCCACCTCGCGATTGGACGTTTTGCTCGCAATGTCAAGTGAGTCTATGCTTCTTCTCCGGCCTCTAAAAATAATATCTTCTCGCTAACATTGGTAAATTTCAGTCATTGAAGGGCTTTCGGGCGATGCCGCTATCCTTCACGGTCCCGGCTGCCACCACGCTCCTCGCCTATCTCAACGCAAGATGGTCCATGTTTTACGACGCCAAACTGATCAACGCTGTTGCCACAGCTGTTGTCCGCCGGTTTCTCCGGATAAGGAATGGGCGTGGGAACCTCTTTTACGCACTTGAAGAGCATGCATTGAGCGCAAAATCGGCGCAGCGGCCTTTCTTAGTGTATCAGGGCAAGATCTGGACTTTTAAGGAGACATATGAGACTGTTTTGCGATATGGGACCTGGCTGAAACAGGTTCATCAAGTAAAGCCTGGTGACGTGGTCGCGATGGATTTCATGAATTCTCCAACGTTTGTGTTCATGTGGATGGGCCTCTGGAGTATCGGCGCCATCCCTTCGATGATCAATTACAACCTAGCAAAGGCCCCGTTGGAGCACTGTGTCCGGATTTGCGATACCAAGTTGCTAGTAGTTGATGGCGAGCTGCGTCCCCTCTTCCCGCCCGAGCAGTTGGCGGCATTCAGTGCGCCCGATTTTAGGAAAGGCGGGGGCTCTGTTGAAGTCGTAATCCATGACGACGAGTTGGAGTCTCAAATCATGCAGATGGAACCCACGCGAGCACCAGATTCTGACCGCGCGAACCAAGAAGTCAATTCCACTTGCATGTTTATCTATACTAGTGGCACAACCGGGCTACCCAAAGCCGCTATCATCAACTGGGGCAAAGCAATGACCGCCGCAACCTTTATATATTTGACCATGGGCTTGCGGCAGACAGACCGCGTGTACACCGTACGCTCTACTCCCTGTCCTTGATGTTGTCATTACATGTACTAATGAACTAACTCCAGTGCATGCCGCTATACCACTCAACCGCCGGACTTCTTGGATATATGGCTTGCTTACTCAAAGGCAGCAGTTTAGCCATTGGTCGCAAATTTTCAGCAAGGAACTTCTGGAATGAAGTAAGAGAAAATGACGCAACCGTAGTGCAATACGTTGGAGAAACACTCCGGTATCTACTAGCTACTACCCCTCAAATAGATCCAATAACTGGCGAAAATATGGATCAAAAGCACAATGTCCGAATGGCCTATGGAAACGGCCTCCGACCGGATGTCTGGAACCGTTTCAAAGAGAGATTTGGAATCGATACTATTGCAGAGTTGTATGGCGCAACCGAGGGCTTGTCGATGAGCCTCAATCTTTCAAGGAATAACTATTCCACCGGGGCCATTGGTCGCAACGGCGCTCTAGGGAACTTCATTTTATCCATATCCTCAACTATTATCGAATTAGACCCCATTACGGAACTGCCGCGTCGTGACCCAAAGACAGGTCTCTGCGTACAAGCTGTAAGGGGCGAGCCAGGGGAATTGCTGTATGCCGTTGATGCAGCAAACATCAAGGATACATTTCCAGGGTACGTTGGCAACCAGGAAGCTAACAACAAGAAAATCATTCGCGATGTCCGAAAAAAGGGAGATGCATGGTATCGCACGGGAGATATGATCCGATGGTACCCCAGTGGTCTGTGGTATTTCTCCGACCGGATCGGAGACACCTTCCGCTGGCGAAGCGAAAACGTGTCGACAAACGAAGTTAGCGAAGTTTTGGGCAACCACCCGGACATTCATGAGGCGAATGTGTATGGAGTCGAAGTACCGCATCACGACGGCAGGGCCGGCTGTGCCGCTATCATCTTCAAAGAACAGGCCCAAAATCCCAATTCCGACGCCGTTCTTGAACCGCCTGAGAAAGTCTTGCGATCGCTGGCGTCCCATGCCTCTGCAGGTCTACCAAAGTATGCGGTTCCATTGTTTCTACGAGTCACTAGTTCGATGCAGTCTACCGGCAACAACAAGCAGCAGAAGTCCCTGCTGCGGACAGAGGGTGTCAACCCGACACTATTGCGAAACAGCAAGAGCGCCGATCAGCTGTACTGGCTGAAAAACGGTACATATATGCCCTTTGGACAGAGAGAGTGGGACGAGCTGAACGGCGGCAAGGTCAGGCTGTGATGTGATATGACAATTTTGGTTTCGTCACTTTCCTGTGCCCTCCCAGGCACTAATGAATCTCGCTTTTACCCTTTTGCATTGTTCTGAGTTTTCAATAGTTACCTCCTATGTATACCCTCTTGCTCCATCATTCCTGTATCGCAAATCCCTTTGCGTTGGGGCACAGTTTTCTTTCCCTTTTTCACTGTTTGTAAATACCCAGGCATCACAATCTCAATTGAAAAAGATACTCTGTCCGCGACATACATCATCCTTAGGACCCTGGATAACATTCCTTCCAACCAACCTCAACAACCACACTGTTTTCTTGGGTGGGCACGCTAGAAAAATACCCTCATCACCGCCCAATAACTGGGCTATGTAGAACACGGTCAAAGATCCCAGAGCATCACCAGTAGTAGGGCTCCATGGTAAATTTGTTTCGTTATTCTGTGGCTCGGTCAAAATAAAACTATGTAGGGGCGGTAACAGTCCTTAAGGTAGCCTTTAAATTTTAGCATAACAAGTTTCACGAATGGGGTTATTATATTGTGTTGGTTCATTTGTTCTGTGCCTCGTGTGTTTAGTCACCGCGCATGATGCAGACCAGAGTTGAATCACCTTGATACAGGGGTTGATATCCAATCCCGCAGCCTTGCCTATTATACAAAAAAAAGGGAAGGAACATATTGGCCCTTGAGAGAATATATGAATGGAGAATGCATTGCTCTGGGCCAATAAGCCCAGGGCCAGTTCGCAGGGAGTTTTGGGAGCCCACTGGCTTGCACCGAAACCAACGCTGATAGACTCAGTTTAAATCGGTTATAAGAATGGAACTCTCCTCGGTTCTTTCCATAAACATGTACATCTGGGATAGGGTGGATCAAAAGACGTTTATCTGACAAGATTCTTCTCCGCCAACGCGCCCCGGCCCGTCGCGACTCACATAAATTCTTTGCAGTTTTGTTTGAAACCAGGAGAGGCCCTGTTGAAACCGCCGCCAAGTCCAAAAATCGATTGAACATGGGTTGCGATAAGCTTCTGTTCCGAGAGGGTCAATGCCACCATGTTGGAGAAAAATGGAGGCTCCCGCTGTCGATCTGCGGTAGGGTTTCTGGACAAAGAATGTTCGTTCAAGGGCGATCTGGCTAGAGAGCGATTATCAAGGGAAAAAAAAGGCCTACGGTGGCCTATTGGCAAAATCGCACTCCCATCAGTACGGGCCAGGGTGGCACAGAATGCGTGCAATCTGCAACAAATTTGGGCCGAGTACAATGGTTTGTATCGGCCCAAGTCCCTGTCAGTTCTGAGGGGTTAGCAACGCCGTTTCTGACCAAACAGTTAAGAACCCGGCCAATCTTTCCATGGCAAAAATAACATCTGAGCGAAGGGCGTCAAGAATGCGCGACGAAGTCGGTGACGGCGTGGCTGTGCGATTGAGGTTCGAGGATTCTGTAGGCGAGCAATAATATTAATGTTGGAAAGTTCTTCCGGCATCACCAGAGGAGCCGTCTCGTTTTCATGTGTTCCTTGCACCTTGCGATATGATAGCAGGGAATAATAACTCGTCAACCGGGGCCTCAGTTTGCCGATCCGGTTTCTACCGAAATCTAAGTAGGCCACATAAGAATCTCGATGAGTCGGTCGAGAAGTGAAAAAGCAGAAGATATAAAAGGTCTTTCTTAGGTTTTATCTCAAAAGGGCCATGGCCGGTATCAGTCTCAACCCATCAGGGAGCTGCCACTGGATGTAACGACACATGGCATGTCCGACATCACGGTAACTTTGTCCCCGCAGCAGGCAGCCAAGGCCTTTTCAAGATCTGCTTGGCGCACAGCTCAGGGATCATCTGGTCGATGTATCATGTACTCCATATAGAGTGCTCCATAACATCCAAACCTGTTGGAAGTTGCAGGCATCGTGGCCGGAAAGCAAATGCTCTGGCGGACAGGTGGCGACGCATTAGTCAAATTTATACTGTTTGCTGGCTCAAAAACAAGGAAGCATCGCTTGTGAATTCACGCCATTGGAGCCGAATGTGCGGAGAACCGTGGTCGCGTGGCAAGCGGACTGAGACCGTCGACTGCCGCACGCCCAATAATGATCGGGGCTCGAGAGATATCTTGGTCAAGTTCGAGAGCTATTCATATTAATAGAATGGCTGGTTTTCGGTGGCGCCGGCTGGACGGATCGGAAAGGAATTCATGCCTCATGCCCACCGCCAGCACTGCGGCCACTCATCCTCGGTGCAATTATCGTATCATGGCTGGGGCCAAATGAGTCCGCGGGCTGAGACAGAGTCCCCATAGGGCAGCCGGGGCTTTTCGTGTGTCGCACTGATGAAATTATCGTACGGAGTATGTGAAATTATTGTATTACGGCGCTGCGTGGGAAAAAGGGGGAAGTGCCGACCGCCCGCCGGCCAACCAGCGGGGGATTTGGTTTCAAGCGGTAACATGGCCGTAACGAGCTGTACGCGATCCGTACGCCGACTTCTGCCAAATTTAGACCTGCCAGACCAGGGACCGAGGCTTGGTTGCCCGCGAGATCGTCGCCTTGACTGTCGTGTGAGCAGGGTCTGCTGCTCCCGGGCGCACCTCTGCCCCTGACCAGGCAGCACGGCCGCCCCAACTGATGGAAGATTAATCATTGTGCGGCCAATGCCTGCTGGGTTGAGTGCTCGACCTGCTCCCTCGTCCTGCGAGTCGCGTGCGCTTCTTTGGGCCATCGTACCATGTTTCAGTTTGCGAGCGAAAGTTTCGGTATTCCGTAAAGTTACCAGCAGCTGGTACAGGCTAAGCTCAACGCTAGTATTGACCCCGGGGCTTTATCTGGCGACTTGGGGCCGTTAAGCTTTTGAGCTTAGCCCTTTGTGGATATCGTGCGCATGGCTTGATTTCCTCTTTGATTGCCCTCGGATTCGCGTTCGGAGCAGCAGCATCAATGGCTGTCCGCCTCTTCATTGTTTCAGCGCTGATTGTGTGCCACATGAAAAAAATCCCGTTTTGTCTTTCTCGACACCCCGCTCCCAATGGAGAACGCAGGTGAGCGATGTGGGCATAAAACTGGAGCAGGAACAGCCGCCTGGGCACCAAGGACGAATGGGGCTCTATTGCTGCGAAAGTCACTCTGTAGTAGCCCGCGCAGGAGGGTACATCGCGGCAGGCTCAGCTATCCTTAGGCTAGTTTGCATCCCTGTCTAGCGCGGTAAGTTGTGTTTCAAAACGGGAAAAACCAACCGTACGGGGCCGTAATTTCAAAACCTTTCCATGCAAGCTCGATGTTTCTCCTTCCCTGAAATCACTCTTTGGGCAAAAAGTCCCGCCTCGTCCTCTCTTCACCTTCGCTTTTCCTTTTCTTTCTTTCTCCTCTCTCTCTCTCTCTCTCTCTCTCTCTGTCTTCCTTGCCATTCACTCGCTTCACTCGTTTTTTGTCTTTGCCTTGCGCTCTTCTATTCTTACCTCTTCCTGCTCGCCATCTCTTCTTCCTCGACCCCCGATCAAGCAAGAAATGGGGTCTGCCATCACCAGACATTGAACCTCTTGCAATGCATATCCCTTCGTTCCGCCTGTCGCGCCCGTTTCTTTTCTCTCTGCTTGTGGTTTCTATACTTGCTTCCAAATTGCTTCACCTGTTCCAGCATGTCCATACGATTTCGCCATTGAGATTCATTCTCTATCTCCCCACGTTCTTCATACAGGATGTCGTGGCGATCATCGTGGGCAGGCTCCTGCTCCATGGCGGAAGCGGTGCCTCATCGGTTGCCGCTCTTACTCTTGGAGGGTTCCTCTCGTAAGTTTTCTCGAGCAATGCAAATCGCCATAAACTGACCCAAATCTCTTTGTTTCGCGCAGGTTTCTGATGCTGGGAACCGCCGCCGGCCAACTTGGATTTTTTTATGTTACGGGTGCCGAAATGCAATTCGATTCGGCGTCAAATGTCGCAGGCGATCCGGCTGCAATCCGGCTCATCATGAGTGGTCTCGTGCAAGTCCTAATCTCCGCCATGATACTCATTGTGATCGCCTTCATTTGCACATCGTGGTTGTATAATAAAGTTGGGTTTTGGCTGGCAGCTGTCTGGAAGCTTATGACCCCTGGTAATTGGGATATGCTGCTCCCTACTGTGCGAACAAAACCCGATCAATCCCACCAGCGAGTTATCCGACTATGGCCGTTTTGCTTGCTGACAGGCGTCCTCGCATTGTTTACCTTACTCGCCCTCAGGCCCTCCAGGCCATATAATCACATCTCAGTCACTCTCCCGGTTGCTTTACTACGCATATTCAAAACACCATCTCATGCGGGCAACAAATGCGACCCGACCTCGTTGCTCTATGCGGACCCGTTCCCATTGCCGGACTTGGTCGCAGAGGAAAACTGGGAAACCCCTAACGGTCATTTCAAGGGCTGGGCTCCGGGGACGAATAATTTCTTGGTCAACAAGTATAGTGAATACGAACGGGATTGGCTCTTAGACGACATGCCTTATGGTTTCCAGAGATGGATTGCATCTCCATCTTCGACTTCCTCGAACTCCACGAATACTACTTCACCCGAAGATCACTGCCTAAAGCAATTCTACAACCCCGTCGCTGATCCTCTCCGAATCACCAACCTTGACAGAGCCTTGTATGAGTCGCTCGAGGCCGCCCTGTCTTCCGTACTGATCTCGAATGTCATCCTGATCACAATGGAGAGCCATAGGAAAGACTTGTTCCCAATGAAAGAAGGGTCCTATTTACATAAGCAGATCTTGGAGACTCATGATGAAAAGGCTCAAGATGAAATTAATAAGAAGTTGCGAAAGTTGACTCCTGTTGCTGAACAAGTTACCGGAGAATCTTTCTGGGGCAATCCAAATGAAAAACCAAAGTTCGAAGTTCCTTCTGGCACTTGGCGAGATTCCGCTGCCCCTGGCATGGGAGGCATCAATGTTGTAGGTGCTGTTACGGGAAGCAGTCTTTCCTTCAAGAGCTTCCTAGGCAGCCACTGCGGTACTTTCCCGCTACCCGTGAATTTCCTGGAGGAAGTTACAACAGACGTTTATCAGCCTTGCCTTCCACAGATTTTCCAGTTATTCAATAATGCGAAACGAGAAAATAAGATAACGCCCGCTCATACAAGCAAGAGAGCCGAAAAGGATCCGCATCGCGCCGATATTCTTTCCAGACCTTGGAAATCCGTTTTCATTCAATCAATTACTGATACGTATGATCGACAGAACATCATGAACGAGAAGATGGGTTTCCATGAGGTTGTCACTAAGGAAACATTAGAGGATGAAGATTCAAAATACTACCCTCCAAAGTCCCCTGTGTTAAATTATTTTGGGTAAGGATCCCCGCAGAGATTCTCGTGGACAATTTAAGGCTGACATGCTGTTTGTAAAGCTACCCGGATACAGATGTCAGAATCCCAGTCCGTGATATGATTATGGAAGCCGCCCATAACAAAACGCGCCTCTTCTTGTCTCATTTTACCAGCACGACACACCACCCTTGGAATGTGCCTGAATTTTTTAATAAAACGAAATATATGGGTTCGGGGTCACACGACCATATGAATAGCTTCCTTAATACTATCAATTACGTGGATCACTGGATGGGCGAAATTCTTGGAATGCTTGACGAGGCCGGTATTGCGAACGAGACTCTGGTGGTTTTCGTTGGTGATCAGTATGACCCCCCATTCAGCCCCTCAGACCTTTGGACCAGATACTAACTGAGTATTCAGTGGACAAGCCTTTGAAGAGGATGGGCCTATGACGGGCACCTATAAAAACGGCCATATCAGCAATTTCCGTGTCCCAATCGTCTTCCGGCACCCACATCTTCCGCGTATCAATGTCAATGCCAACGCAACCTCAATGGCTATTCTACCCACCATCCTCGATCTACTCGTTCAGAGCAAGTCCCTGAATCAGTTCGACACCGCGGCAGCTTCTGACCTCATTCATGATTATCAAGGACAATCTATGCTTCGCCCATATAAGTCCGAGCGCAAAGGCCGATACTCGTGGAATCTTAGCATCATCAACTCTGGTGGTGATATGGTGTCCGTGCAGTCCGCAGGCAAGCCATGGCGAGTGATTATTCCGCTCAAACAAGATTTCTCCTACCGATTTACCAACTTAGAAACCGACCCTGACGAACTTGATCCAATTGAAGGTTGGCAAGTACCCGACCTAACGAAGACTCTGAAGCACAAATGGGGTGATGAAGCTGCAGATTGGCTTGTTCAGGCCGATCTAGTCACCCACTGGTGGAAAAAAGAAATGTATCGACTTTACAATTACGATAAAGGAGAATAGACGAACTGAGTGGCCTAATATTTTTTTGCATATATGTACAGAGTTTCTAACTTCTAATGTGGTCGACATTTCGGCCAAATTTTTTTCTTTCTTTGTCTTGGTGGTTTCGGCGAGAGGGGAAGGCGATGGGGAAACGGGTTCTTATTTCTACACCCTTCGTGGCTCGGTTATACTAAGCATGGGCGTTCTGATTTCTCTTTTTTTGAGGCTTTTTCTGGGTGGGAGTTGACATGGTGGTTGGATTAGCCTTCTCTTTTTTTTACTAACAGGACGAGTACAGTGAAAAATAGCATTCATTGGGTGAACAGAGCTTTCGGCCTTGCAGACAGAAATTTTTGCTATCCCTGAATCAAATCTATTATCTCGCATGTCTCAGACGCTTTGACTCTGAAACTGATTTCAAAGGTTTTGCACACACCATTTCTAAAAGCCAATTGCTGATCAATCTCTGGTGAATAAGAGGTTCTTCACTCCGATATCTATCTGGATCGTATAACCTTTTGAAGATACTGCATTTCAGGCTATATCACCAGGCTAAGTGTAGCTCTGATACTAGTTTCTACGCCCTGATAGATGTTCAGGTACATACAATCAACTTGGTGTGGTAGTTAGTTACTATATACAAATGCATTGTGAAAGTCACACATACTCCATCAGAAAGTACAGGGCGAGGGAAAAAACAAAAAAAGAGAGCCTCCTGAAACCCAGGTGTTTAAATCCTTTTCCTGTGTATTTTCCATTCCATATTCCCACCATTAAAAACAAAATAACATACCCAGCTCAAGCATATCTCATCCCAACCCGGCAAATCCTGTGTGTATATATATTCCCTTGAAATCGCGTAGAAACACCGACGAGCCAGGGTACATATAGTATAAATCATGCCAAAAAAAAGTGAGTATTTTTTCAAAAAAACAAAAAAGTCAGCGAGCAATTAGCCAAAATACCCCAATCTCGCACCTTCTCTCCTCACCCCTTCTCTAACCCCGACCAGGCCTGGAAACTCTGCTTCGAGGCCCCTAAGCAGCCGTTCGCTCCGCTCTCTCTTTGCCAGTAGTAGAGTCTCCTCAAGATGGTGGATCTCCTGTTGGAGGAGACGATGGGATTCATGCATGGACAAGGCAAGAAGGTCTTCTGCATATTGGCGGAGCCGGTGAAGTTGGGATTCTAGCGTTTCGAGAGAGGAACTGGATGGGGAGCCGGAGACGGATGGTGAGATTGAGGTCAGGGAAGTTGGTACTGTGGTTGTCGAAGTTGAAGTAGATGTACTGGTGGTTGTGGGACGGAAATGGGTGCCTGGGGCGAGAGTAGTTTGGGCGAAGGGTGGATGATTGAAAGGTGGGAGTGGATTCACATTTGCGGCTGTATAGGGTGGGGGTTGGTGTGGAAGAGCATTCGTAGTTATGGGTGTCGTTGATGCGGGTCCATCCGGGTTAATATCGTGTTTTTCTTCTCGTTCGATGTCTCTTATATGCTGCATGGACATGTTGTTTCTGACATGGTTGAGATTTCCAAAAGTAGCCACGTCCGTTGAATGCCTCTTCATTGCCGGCGATGGAGCCATGTCCACGATGCGTTCCGGACTGCATCCGGATTTGAGAGGTGGAAGTGAAATATTGTTGACTGCGGGCGATGGCATCCGGGTGATATACTCTATACTATGCAAAGTTTTACCATCCTCTTGCGCCTGTGTATTGACTCTGGAATCTTTGTGTGAGGGTCTGGGTACTTTTGCACGACCTTGTTCGCTGTCTGCCTGTTGGGAGGAAGTCCTATCGAGTATGTGATTGTTGATTGCATAGTCAAAATTACGGGTCAAATGGTCCATGGCATTTGCGCTGGAGGTAGGATATCGGGGTGTCAGACTATGCCTTGTTGATGGTGAAGTGGACAGTTGCCGCTTTTGCCCTTTAGTAGGAACAATTGTGTTGGAATTTCCTGAGGAATTTGGCGTATTCCTCTGTGAAGGATGCCGATAATTAGCAAAGAACCTGGCGCACTAATCGCGGTGACAATATGACGGAGAAAAGAGGAAATAGGGGAGAGTAACCAACCCTCTTCTGATCAAATACGTTGTCAGTAAACCCCATAATTTTCCCGCGCGCATCAGCCGGCTTTACCCTTCGCTTAGATGCCGGTTTTTCGGCCTTTACGTACGCTGAGGTGAAATGGCAACACTAGCGGTAGGCGTAGAATTTAGTATATGAATATCACCGGAATTGGGAAATCAGGAGCTTTGAATAAACAGGAATACATACCCGACAGTTACAGGTTTCGAGGCATTTCGGGCAAATCCATAGTCCAGAATGCCGCATCACATCTGCAGAGTTCATATCAAAATGGCGATAAAGTCCGCGGAAGCAGAAAAATGCTGAACAACGGTCGCAACGTCGTCCTTTCCATTCCAAATGGTCTATGCGACACAAATGGCACAATCTGCTCAAAGTGTTTTGCTTAGCACGCATGAGATCGTTCACGGCTGTCCCCAAAGGTTTGCGGCGGTCTGAGGCAGGACTTGCTTCGAGTTGATACCCCAGAACCTGCTGAGCGCGGTCCAGCACAAGTGCACAGGTTTCTTCCGGGACTATCTCAGCCCATGAGTAGCTGCGTATATGTTCGCAACTTCGACCGCTTAAGAAGCAGAGCAAACATAGATCGAAATCTTCGCACTCACTACAACGTAGATGGCGATTCCAGATAGCTGTGCTGCAAAAGTCGCACGTTATAATGGCAGTTTCGGGAACGCGCACAAGGGTGACAGGGGTAACGGGGGGATCTGTGAGGGCCTCCTCCTGGACCATTTGGCGAAAGAGACCGGTAAGGAGGTGCAAATCCGGGGGAATCGAAACCTTGTGGTCATCGCGTATCAAGCTCAACATAGCACACGCGAGTGAAAGGTTTGACTGCGCGACATCTGGGTGACATAGTCGGTTTAAAGGGGGTTGTACGTGGACAAGTCCAGCCTCCAATGATAGAGGATGTAGAATATTCCACACAATTTTGGTTGAGATTGAACCAAGATTCCAAACTTGGTGAGCAGTAGCAGGTGGAAATACTACTAAATCGCCTACTTTCTGTTCATAGACATACAACGGAAAATCAGCTCGTTTCAACTCCTCTGGGTTTAAATTCAGCCAATCAACATGAGGAGAAGCCCCGCGAGAGGCCATAAACGCATCGTATTTGGTTTGAGATTCGAAGTCGGTTCCAAAACAGAGAACTGGGCGGTCTAAGTCCGCATCAGCGCCGATTCACAGGCCCGGGGTGCGAATTACACTTACCGCTCCCTTCAATCAAAAGGTTCAATGCAACTGTTGACGAAAAGCATCGATGGAAACCAGATCTATTTGAACTGTGAGCGAAGAAACCTCGTGTTTAGGAAGCATAAGGCCACAAACGAGGATCCCTCCGAGCCAACATAGGCCATCATTACTTCGCTTCTGGCACACGGAGGTAGCCACTGAAAAAGGTCCAAACGGCCAGCCCATTGCACCTCAGGTGGAAGCAATTTGCGACATAGTTCCAACCAAGCTTCGGGGCATGGCAGGTCGCGGGCATATAAGTTTTTGAATTCTCTATACGATTGCTGGGCAGCATCCGCAAACTTCCTCAGCGTGAAATTAAGATCTCTGCTCGTGCTGCAGTTTCGAATAGGGATATCTAAAACTCCTCGGTTAGATATGTAACTAAATTTTAAACAGGGCTTCCTCGTTCCAGCGCGATAGCCGCCATCACGATTGCCTCCGGCGCAAGGCTGAACATTCCGACGGCGAAATCAGGCTGGCGGGGATAAAACACGAAATATGCATAAGCTCCATACTTTTCTTCGTAGAGTGTTCAATCAGGCCCTCGATGGAAAATATCCTCTTGTCCCACTGAGGCAGCTTCTCAAAGTCCTGGATCACAAACGGGTGTCCAATCTGTAGCCTTTTCGACAACCAGTCCTCGAAACCAGCCGACCCATCGCTAACGGAGCCACGCTCACTTCGATAGTTTGAGCGCGCAAGACATCCGGTGGCAGCTCCGATTGTCCGCTGGAGATCGAGGATGGAGTAACGCGGGAACTCGACGAACGGTTTGCCGAGGGCAAGCAGGTCCGCGGCGCGAATGGAGATCAGCGCAGACGGTATATTCGAGGATTCTACCGAGTGCGGAGCCGTCATGGTCGATGGCACATTGGCCGCCAGCGACACTGGAGTGCCAGTTAGAAGGAGGCCATGGCTGGTGCGGATGGGCGTGCTCAAAGGTCGCGGGCGATGCGGAGGATCATCTGCGGGCAAAGCTTCCCAGCGGCGGGTCTTGGCAACCTCGACGACAGCCCAAGCTCTTTTGCCGGTGGATTTCGAGGGAGCGCGGCAGTCGACGACAGAGGATGCGAAACGAGGTCGATGGGACGAGAATAAATATATCCAACTCTGCGGGCAGCGCGATGATCGACGGGCAAGGGTTTCTTCAACCGAACCATGCGGTTGGGTTTGCTTCTTCCCAGCTCTCGAGAGGGGTTCACGACTAACGCTGATCAGAGTTGCCTCGGGCAAGGGTATCTCGCATTTGGGGATTTTAGTTCGTGATGCTATTCTTGTCCCCTGCCCAAAAAACACGTTGCAGTGGTGCCACTAATAACACTACAAGATATTGCAGATACATTTCCTCCGTCCTTTGCACCGGATAACTCAACACCAGGCGGTCAGCCCGAATTGTCGCGGTTCAAGCCGCTTGGTCTCTCTGCCTGGCTTCCCTGCAGAGCCGATGCAGCACTAGCTCAATTCCCCGTCGCTTTTAACGATCAAAGCGGCATATCGTCCTGCATATAAATTTCACGGCGTCCGATTCGTACAAACCAATGGTCAGTGCGGACCCAGAGATAGGCGTGATTAGCAAGAAGCCATCTCGCAATTGTCGTGGTGAAGGAATTATTCTTAGACCCCCGGCCGCCATTGCGAGAAATGCAGCAAGGATGAGGGATCTCGGGTGTTTTACATCCTATCCCGTCGGGGAGAAAAAGAAAGATACATCGTCGCTTAAAATCTTCTTATATGTGCGTCCAATATGCACAGGCATCTTCACACCCCGTATCCCAAGCAAAAGAAAGGGAGTCCCATGCTCTGTTCCCGGCAAGACTGGTCTTTCCGGGGTCGACCGCTGCAACGGAGGCCCAGTATCGTATTTGATGATTTCCGCTCCAAGAAGATATGCAGTCTTCGGACGCCCAGCCATTTGGGCGGGAAAAAGTCGCCAATCGATAAAGGTTGCAAGCACCAGTCAAAAGCTCGGGTGCAAAAGTGTAGTTCTGGCAGGTTAATTTACTCGAGACACTAGTTATTTATCCAAGATGGTCTGTGATGAGTATGTTCAGGGCTTCGCGATGCTAAGGACTGAGCATTGACCCAAGTAATAACATTGTTATTATGAGTTTCGCTCTCGAGGATCATATTTCAAGCTCCACACTAAAAGACTGCTTTCAGTCTACGAGCAAATCAGGCGACTTGAATGACAAAATGTAAAGGCCAAAATGAGTGTTCCAATTATACCCAATACTAAAAGCTACCTCCTGTTCAAAGTCTCAGGAACGATATCCTCGCATATATCTCGTCTTCCCCAAACACAACCCTTTCCGATGAAGGTGCCGACCCCCAGTCACCGCCTCTCTTTAGATACCCGAATCGTCCTGGAAAAATCCGTCAGGATCCCAGTGATTCGCCGGGTTGCTAAACCAAGTGTCCCAATTTGTGCAGACCCTCTCCATTTCCCTAACGTCACGAGGCCTGCTCTCCAAATGTGCGATGAAATCGTCCTTGCGCTCAAGGATCTGCAGTGCTAGGCCGAGAGACGCATGCCATGCGATGTGGCAATGCATCACCCAAGACCCTGGGTTGTCAGCTCTGAACCCGATGACCACGAACCCGTTCGATGGTAACAGAACAACATCTCTTCGTGGTGGATTGTCAAGCGTTAGATTTATCGCGCTCGGCTGGTACGGGACTTCCGATTGCTGTAACAAGGCGAAATCGTGCCCGTGAAAGTGCATCTTTATACCAGTAACACATGATTAGACTCGCTTCCTTCTTTTCCACATGCGGACTTAACTTACCGGGTGAGCAACCCGAGCCTGGCCGTCATTGCCAGACTCCTTAAAACCAGTAACTAGAAGGTACACCCAGCTGTCGAGCGTGTGATCCTCAGACGGGTACACAACCCAAGTGTCATCCCAACTGGTCCTGTCCAAGCTCTTGACCATGGGCTGTGAGTAGTTCAGATACATCGAGGAAGGCCCAGCCTTCCAGAAACTGACTTTGCTCGCATTGCTTGGTCTTTCAGGCATGACCCAAGTTCCACGTTGTACATCCATTGATGTATCGAATATACTTGCATCCAACATTGGGTCCGGAACTTGCCATGGGTGATAAGGCTTCAATCTGTCGAATGGCTCATCGCGACAGTCAAGTGGGAACTGGTGTCGTGTGCTGGTTGGTAACGTTGAGCTTCGTTCTCCGTAGTAGAGTATTCCTGTCCTTTCGTCGGGAGGGTTGTCAGTTTCGAATCTAGAGCACCCTGTAGTTGGGACGGTGCGGATCCAGAATGCCGCTCCGTTGTCAACATCGGAGAGCGTATTCACAATAACGTGATATCTTTGACCTACGAACTAACTTAGTAACGTAATTAATTATGCTATTACCAGCATCGACTTACCAATTCCAACCACGATGTGATCGGTATCGTACGGCCTCATTGGCACAAAATCTGCACCAATGACAGTGAAGTTGTGGTTATCAATTGAGAAAACGAATGTGGCATCAGTAGAAGTGTTAATCAATCGCAAGAGATATTTTTTGCCCTATGGGAACCTTAGTACGGTCTATAACAGGCGCAGAGGGTAGATGGATTTAACCTTTTGCACCAGGGTGCTATATTTTCTCGTTGGAGCATTGCCGCCGAGACCAGCATAACTACCTAAAAATATTTTAGATTATTGCAGCATGGTACAAAGTGGAAGAGACTTACCTATTCCGTTCAACAAAATGCTGCTCATACGTGGAGGAGGGCCAGTCTGCGCTATATGATATTCCGCGAAGGCGCTTCGATGGATATGGTCAGTCATCAGCAGAGGGTCAATCGATTCATCGTAATCCGAGCTCGATGGGCCATGAATTGTCAGGGGCCCAACCAGGCCATCGGTATACTGCAAAGAATAATGACTGTGATACCAAGTTGACCCGTACTGGATCGCCTTAAATCTGTACGTGAAGGAATCGCCCGGCGCAATTGGGCACTGCGTAACACCTGGGACACCATCGTGCAAGTTCGTGTTGAGCATGCGGAGGCCGTGCATGTGGATCGCAGTTCCGTTGTACTCGAGTCTATTTGTTACGGTAATTTCTAGGGAGGTTAGGTAAAAGTACTGAACAGTCATCAAGTCAAATGGACTGACCGAGATCATCTCCCCAGCAAGCCTCTGAAAAATGAAAACGTTAGTATTGGTATACCTAAAGCTGCTGCACAAACTCACGGATCCAAGGGCCGGGATATAAGCCGTTGAAAAGATTAGCCCGGTCGAATTCCACGCCGTCAAGGTTGACGGTATCGTTTTTCACCTCCAAGTGGTACTGCGAACAGAGGTTTCCGTTTAGAAGGTCCTGTTTCTTAGAATGGGGAGACACTAACTCTTCGAATAATACCCGTGGGCGTGTACATTTCATAGTCAGTAGTGATGCCGTATTTTCCTGGCTCTGGAGCAGGACCAGGGCCAGTCCATTTGAGCCAGTTGCGCTTGTCCGAAGCATCGTGCTGCCATCCCCTCATGGCTGGGTACTGGCATTGAATAACATTATTCGGGCTATCGACATTGGGAGGAGGTGAGAAGATTGGGCCCGGAGCGAGGTTTTGTCTAGGGACAGAGACAGCAGCGGCATGATCTGCCCACAGAGCAAGGAAGAAAAGCAGCTTAAAACAAGCCACAAAGCATGCTTCGAGGAACTTCATCTCGACAAGATAGGACTGAAAGTCGAACCTGAGCTGATGATACCATCTTCACTATCCGAGCTGGGAGAACCAGGGCATATTTATATTTCTCCAGTCTCTAAAGACAGCGCAATGTTGCCGGTTAGGCTATCATCCAACACTTGGGATGCGTGATAGACCCAAGTGGGTATGCATTACTAACTGTTATTCTCCAGCAGAGATCCATCAGGATACGAAAGAGAGGGCCGGAGTCTTTAGTGGATGTCAGATAAGGCAACCCACAACTAGGATTAAGTGCTGACAGCTTGTTAGAAAGGGTATTTGCTCTTGAATCTGGTCGAAGCGAGAACATCGTGACCAACTAGAAATCATGCGCCTGGATGTCGCAGCAGAAGTATGGTATCTTCTCCAATATTCTGGCGTGGCTCAACACGAACACTTGCTTTCCCAAGACAAATCAATGCCAATCAAGAAGCGTTCCGACCTGCAGCCGGTGAGTGGCTCCCTGTCATTCCTCGAACTGGGACCTTGAATTCCGCCTGAGAAGCTGGCGAAATGACTGAATGAATCGAGCTAAACGCTTCCCGGCCGATTCTCCCCCTCCAACGTGGTTCACACTTGGTGAAGAAGGTAGACGTTGTTGGGTGGATAGGCATCAATGTTTGATACTTGTCGAGGCTCTCATCCAATGCGGTTGAGCGCTGGCCCATTTTAAAATATCATGACTTAGGCGAGAGATCAATGCAGATATACGGGTATTTCTTTTGGCAGCTCATCGGTTATGGGTAAGGTTCGATGTGTGCGCGAAGCCGTTGCAAAGCTCCAAGCACATCCTTGCTGCAAAGGCTCTTTGATGGGAATGTTGATATCCTGGGCAACCAGAGAAAGAACACGCAAAGTTGGAAGATCCCAACACTTCCTGAGTCGAGTGTCGGACTTCGAAACAACACCACGAACTAACGAGGCCATTGTAAGCCAAGCCTCACCGACAAGTCGCAACGGTGGCCGCTGACTTTGCCGCCCGGGCGGCGAAGTCTTCCGGCAGCAACGGTAAAAGCTCAACGTCACACATCTGGGAGCAGTCAAGCCTGAAGAAGCCGGATCAGCCAATGTCTGCGCCTCGTATTTGTAGGGGGATGACCAACCACGACAATCGGAAATCCGAGCTGCCCCCTGGTTGACAGCTCGGAGATTTTTCATCTCTGATCCCTTGCAGGAAAGCAGGAACAACAGGCCCTGCGCACCACAGCTCTGACCAGTCCTGCCAAGCTCCTAATGCCTCCATGGATCTCCCAGCATGCCATGCGATTTGTGAATAAATGTGGAACCGTCGAGATTGGAGGGCATTCATATCTTCTTCACTGGCCCATGCCCGCCGGGGTAAGCGATGTTCAGAGCGCTTCCATAGACACTCTTGCTAAGGCTCCACCTCAAATCGTTCAAAATGCCCCATCAGTAGCGAAGGAGATCCGGTCCGGGTCGCCTTCATTCCCTTGCCGTAACTGCTGACAAGATAGGTTGGATGTTAGATGTGGTTCAGAGTCATGTTCGTATGTGGCCAGGGTCAATCTGGTCAGACCCGTTAGTCATATCGGGGATTTTATCCGTTGCGGGGTCACCGCCCTCCCCTGTTCATTTTTTCCGTGTTGTTTATGGCAGCACGCGGGACCAAACGTCAATCTGACTATCTCCCACCACAGACGACTTGGGTTTCTTACGCATGCTCAGTTGATGTCGTGCAGATACTCGCCAAGTCCCTACCTTCTAGAAGGAACCAGAGTAACTCGCGTTCATTTTCATGTTGGTCACCTCGAAGTGGTTGTTGGGGGAAGTCCCGGGATCATTGTAGAAGTTGAGCTCTTGGGCAATCAGACGGTTGTCTGCGCTTACCCAGAGGTCCCCATATTATTTTCTGTGCTTTGGAGCCTTGGTCCAAATGCTCCCCTGTCCCCTGTACTGCCCCATCCGGTTCGTATTTACTCCGATTTGAGGTCCAGACGGCCCGAGGACGTGAGCGCCCCGGTCGAAACTAAAGGCGTCGGGAAGGGCCCAGGGAGGAAAACCCGGATTTTCACGTTTTAACCAGGATTTCCTAAAGTTGGGCGCAAGAATTCGGCTAAATCGCGACGAGGCACTTTACTCTGTAGGCTATCAGCGATCCATGCGAGAAAGAGACATGGCCAGATAATGCAGCAGTTTGCTCTTAATCTCTGCGAGCAAACTGCGTCATTGGGTCATCCTCAGAGCTCTCTGGAGTTTTCAGCTCTCAAAGGGTTCCATGACACACCCGTCCACGTGCTAGATACGATAACACGCCTTTTGGTTCGATCACGAGCGGAATAGCGGTGGGAAGCTGAGCAACCGGCTGTCTCGGAAGCCCTTGGGGGGATCTGATTGAACTTCAAGGCGTTCGTGAAGTCGCAAGTTGCTTGCTTGCCTAAGACCGGTATTATTGGAGCTTGTTGGTAGTTTCACTGCCATGTTTTAATCGTGAACCGCTAGTTAACTAGTTGATTAAGTGGTTATAATTAGAAGCTGGAGTTGGTGGCATTGAGACATGGAGTTGTGATGCCGAATTTCCTTCTGGAAGAGCAAAAGAGCAATCCATCAGAAACTGAATGGTTTCTTCTCGTCTTTGCCAATGAAATACTGCCTGGTTGCCAGTGGTTGGGGATGTTGGTGTTAAATCACTGGTCGTTGCATGTTTCAAGGAATCGCGGTCATGATTGGTGGATAAGGTGTTCAGGTTGGAACAAAGATAGCTGGGCATCAGCAGTCTCTTCAAGGGTCTCCGTGGCAGCAAAGATGGCTAGGTATCGTTCTTGAATCGTCAGCTAATTTGTTGCGATGCATCCTCGAAGTTACGTGATGTCTTCGAGTATGCGATTCCACCTCCCGAGCTCAGATGGAAAGGTTGTGATGGAAATTGTGTCAGACTTGCACCCATAGTGGCAGTCAAAGGTGCATTAGAATACAGTCACAATCTGGGGCATTTATTGGGCTGTTCAGGATATCCCAAAACCCAAGAACAAAATGCGCAGCTAACACAATCCTTGTCACCTACTCTGGATATCACTGGGGTCGCTCAAATCTACACCAGTTCTCCCCTCCCTCCGGGCTGTCTGGATTGAGGTGCTTAATGGCTTGCTTTCATCAGCTCATTCGCTATATCCAGAGGATCAGGTGTTACTGCTCGTGTTTGATTCTCTTAAAAAAAAATAAAAAAAATTAAATATGCATAATACTGGCGCATTCACATATTATTTGCCGCCATTCCAAGGAAAAAGAGCCAATATGTTTCGGAGCCTGGAACTAAACAGATTTCGCTTCTGCCAGGAAGGCTTGGATCAAAAGGCGGGGACGGGACGGGCTGGCGCAATGTCAGGCTACTGATACGCAAGCAATCCGACGATTTCCGTACGAGGCTGGTGATGAGGAGAAGGGGCTTCTGATTTTCAAGAAGATTTTTTGAGCTTGCTGTGGATTGCTTCTTACGCTTGTAGCCTGGTAGTGCATGAAGTAGCCATATTTATTCGGGTTTCATGAGTGCGTGCCCTCCAAAGCTGCTGTGACTTGAGGACCGTTATTTATATTTTACTCGAACCTCAAAAATCTGCTTGTTGCTGCAAAGCGCTGATATACTCAGTAGCTGTGAGAATAAAAGGCCGGATATGGGAAAGAGTTCCGAAGGTATCGCTCACACGTTTAGCCCACCCCGCTTTCCTCTTGATCAAACTTCCCGTCTTTCTTGGCTTTATAAAAGGTGTTTGATCTTGTGAGCCACAGGCAAAGTCACTTTACGCTTGGGCGATTGTCAAGCGTCCGAGACTTGCTCCATAGCAAGAGATCCAATTCTCTGTCATGGTCACCCTCTTCTCCCGTTACGCTTGCGACATTCATATTGAGGACATGCCTCAGAGGTTGATATCCACGAAGTATTGAAACTATCATGTTTGATCAGCACCAAGCAAAACCACTAATAATGCATACTCACATCTTGTCCAAATAGAAGTAATTGTGGGCGTTTTCACAGCCGAAGCTCACATAATGTCATTGTCTACCAAGTACTCCGTATGAGGTATAGTTAGTTAACCGGAACCATTGGTTTCTCGTTGAAGATCAGTGATTTCCGCTCATAGTAACTGTGCATTTGAAAGAATATAGGATCGAAAGCCCAAGTATGTTGGGAGAAGCGGACCTGGCTGCAAACATTCTTGCTTATGGAATCGACCAGATGGCGGTCAAGTCCATCATTTGCGGAAACTAGGGACATACAGCCGAGTGTCGCCTGATGAACCCGCTAAAGGCCGGCTTTGCGACAGGCATAGTGGCCGTTCCTTTGAGACAACTCAATAATAGATAAATGCAGAAAATCTTTGATGGTGCCGTACATCTTCCACATGCCTCTATCGGCGCAGAGAGATGCGAGGTCTACTATTATTAATAACTAGGTGGGGCTAGTTACTTAACTACATAATTGACCAATCACTACGCCGAAGTTTGCTAGCGAGCTCATCTTCTGAGGTGTGATTGGTTGGATTTATTGATTAGCTAATAAAATTCTGTCTTGTTCACTCGCTGGTTAGTCCAGTTCATGTTTTATCTGTTTGTCGCTCTAGTCCTAATCAGGCAACAGAGACGAACGTCCACTCGTCAGAACTTCATCTGAGAATGACAGCAGCACAAAGTACAACCAAACAAACGCCTAGTTATACAAATTTCCACTACCTCAGATCATAATGTTTATATTTCACTTTTCTGGGCTCAAGCTTCCAGATTCTGGCCCTGTGCAGAGTTGTTGTCCTGCTCTTTGAGCACTAGGATGAGAATGCTGGGACATGCTTCGCAAAAACCCCCTTGGGATATATGATATACCACTTCCATAGACAGAGAGTATCTCTCATCTTTATTCACTCCTAGACTAAGCTCTGAGACTAGCATGCCGAATGATACCCATGGAATGCGTTGTTAGTCAGATGTGTTTTGCCGGGAACTTCCATCTCTTTGTACAGGCACACGCTGTTGCTAGGTAAATGGATTGTTACTAAATTTATATTTTTTTTTCGTCCCTTCTTTTCACTTTCACCCTTCTATCTCCCACACTCTAGATATTGTTTCCCCAAGCTTCCAAATTTGAAACACCTGAATACTGGGACAATTTCCGGTTTCCAATATGGAGAGGGCCATTGCTGCTCGGCCTTCGTCCGTCTTGCTGGAAGGCCTAGTCAATCACCTTACGTTGCCCCCGCGTCTTCCGGGAAAACGAGAAGAGAATCTCATTCAAATCGAGCAAGAGCTTCTCCTCCGCCTGCAGGACGCGGCACGCGCCCTACACCAACAGTCAAATGACGGTTTGAGTGATATTTGGGATCGTGTGCGTTATATTCTCGAAATTTGTAAAACTACAAATGCTCGCGGAAAGTTGGACAAGGCGCGGCTGTCTACCGAATTTCAAACGCTCCGACTCGACATCCCTCTGATTTTACATATTGCAGAACAGAACGCGGGGCTTCTTGTTTGGCGTCAGCTTTCGTGAGTATCAATAATGTATTCTTGTATTTTGCTCTTTACTAAACTCGCTTTTCAGTGGTCAGGACGATGTCGTTGTTTTCGAATGCTTTGAAGCTTCCGCTATCTCAGAGAAAGTACTTGCTTCCGAAAATGCGTTGTTGTGGGATTTCCCCGGGGAAGCTATCGCTATTCCATATGCGAAATTTGCCAATGCTGGATTCCAAGAGAGCCTCGCTAGTTTTTTGGAGCAGGCCAGCACCGAGTCCATTAAACGCTTTGCTGCTCGCGCCGCAAAAGCTGGTTCGTCTCTTGCCGAATACCGAGACACTGTAGACCCGTCTATCATTAGCCAAATGCTGATGACTTTACTTGAAGCGAATGGAGTTCGCGTTTTCCCTACATTGTTAAGGAAACGGGTGCGCGACGATGTTTGTTGGGCTGTTGGGGCAGAAAAGCCTTGGAGACGTTCTGCATTCTGGCTCGTGGTTCGAATTGGCATTGAACGATATTTATGCTCAGCTTGTGGTGATGCAGTCAAAGTGGTCCTGAGTGAAGGGAAAGAAGGAGGTTGCAATGGCGAAAAAGGCAGGGCTCACTACAAGTTTCTGCTTTGTGCCCTACTCTCCGACCTTTTACAGGACTCACTCGGTCATATCGCCCCGGAACTGTTGGAACTCTTGAAGCGAAAATTAGCCCGGCGACTTTCGAAGCTACAGACGGACCAAAATAAGGCTCCTGCCGATGTTAAGCCTTTCTATTCGAAAATGTTCTCTGATATCTCCCCGAAATTCCACGCATCCATTCGAAACGCGGTCGAACATCTTGAAAATGTCTGGTCGGATATCAAAGTTCGTACCAAGCGACCAATCCCGAATCTTCCACATGTTGCAGACAAGAAGTCATGCATTCTGTCGCTTCCGAACAGTGCCAAATATCTGGAGCAAACAATATCGTATCATAAAATGTGGCATAACTCCTCAGCGCATGATCACCAGGCTAAAATTTTTCATAAATTTGAAGTACCTGGGGACAATCGCTTTAGAACTTTTGCTTCCCGTTATTATCGACTGACAGACCTTGAAGCGTCGAATGCCGAGTTATGTCTCATGAGGCTCGAACAAAAGGATGCGCAAAGTTCTCACTGCACTAAACTTGCGGCAAGAATTGAAGAATACCTCAATACGGTGTCTGACGCCTATAACAACAGCCCCGAACAGAAGAGTAACATGATACTTAGTGTTATGAAGCTTTGGGTTGCCCTTGATCAGTGTGCGACTGCTTTGTTTGGCTTACTGAACGATTTCCATCCTGGAATAAGGCCTGAAAGCTTAGATGTCTTACAGCTACCTACGCTGTCGGAAATGATACATCTTCAAAGTGTACAGGAGTATCTCCGGGGACGGTGCGAGAAATCCTCTTACATGACAATCTTTGACGACCCCGTAAGTGGTTGTTTCGCTGAGAGGTACTATGATGATTCGACGGATTCCCAGAAACTGCAAGAACTTCACTTGGAAATTGAGATGAATGCTCAGGCGGCCCTCCAACGAAAGGAAATTGAATGGCAGGAGTTAACTGCTGAATTTGAAAAACTGGAGAAGGATATCGCAACCAGTAAATGTGCGGTTATGACAGATGTTAATGGGGCAATCCTCCACGATGACAAACGTTGCCGAAAATGCTATCTTCAGCGTTGCTCTAGGCGCATGAAAATTCGGGCCCATGAAGATCCACTTCCGAACAAGGCTTCCGAAGCAAAAGCTGTTATATTTGAGCTAGCCTGTCCCGGTTCTTTCAAAGCCTATCGGAACGCAACATGGACATTACTTTGCACCCTTGCACTCCCGGATCGAGCACCAGCGCCTGAGCCAAAATTGTTACTTAGCGAGTATTCTGAACTTCAAGGACATACGAGCCAGGTCTCTAGAGACGTTTGCCTGGCATCTCCGACGAAATCATTTCTATTAACGCACTACAGTGAACTTCGTTTCCCGGTTGACTTCGATGCGGTTTGCCATCCAAATGGGTTAAAGCTTGCATATTTTGATACCTCATCTAAGCTTTGGACCAGCATGCAATTTCGTAAATCGACTTTTGACCACCATTTTCAAATGAAATTACCACCCAATTCGCCTTTTGCTTCTATGGGGTTTTCTGTTGGTTCTACCAGTCCATCTTCCTATGAGGTTATCGCAAGTCAAACGCAGTGTCCTCCAAGATTGAATATCCATGAATTCATGGCATACAAGAGCCTTTTTTCTGGCAATACCAGGCGGTGGCCTGCAATCCTTGTTGAACTTGGCTCTGCGAACTTGAATCTAAGCTCTGAGGCCACCACTTCTCTTATCTCTCAACTAGCTGTCCAAGCAGGTTCTGCTGATGAGAGAGATCACCTTCGCACGGCCCACAAGATTTTCCGTGATATGTCATTTTGTTGTCGACTAATGGAGCAAGTATCTCAGCGACTGGATAACATAGCTTCGAATTGGAGGGAAGTCCATTGTATGGACATGCTCCTAACGCTTATTCTTAGACTTTGCGCCCTTGCCCCCCGTTCTCTACATCGGAGAACTATAAATCTGCTTGGCATATCTAAGTCAATTCTCTTAAAATGGATTGTACAACTTCGAAATGAAGTACATCAATCGACAGATGCTGCTGCCGCGGAACGGTTCGCTGGTTACTCTTTCTGGGCAGCATTGCTTTATAGGAGGACCTTTTCTGTTTACTGTGAATCTTTCGAATCCCGTCCATTAGGGGAGGATCAGCTCCGTTACTTCATTGAAGCTTCTATCACAATGCAAGACAACGCTCCAAGCAATCTCGACGATTTACCGCTGCTGACAAGGAATGCCCTTATCAGGGATCTAAAATTGGCACATAAAATGAGATCTTTGCTTCGGGAGTCACTCATGGAAACGCCGGGGGCATTTTACTCGGCAATTGACGCCCTCTGGCCACAACCTGAAGGCGCTACCCCTCGGCAGTATTCTGATCTTGAACACTTAGACAATCCTCACGGATGGGTGCGTGTAATAGTCCCTCCCTCAGAAATTTCAAGACAACAAGCGATATACTATCATCTACTCGAAGGTCATTTGATAGTGGATGGTCAACCCCTTGGTAAATTACCTGCTAAGCACAGAGACTCCCCCGTGCTCGAGCAGTTGTTTGGCAAACAAAGGCTGCTCTTTTATCCATCTCCAATTATTGGAATGACGTATAAACTCGCATTTTTGATGGAAGGACATGAGATTCACCTCGGCTTTCGTGACGGACAACCCATAGTTCAAGCACGGATACGAAAAGCCATTCTTGAATTCATACCGCCCGATATCTTTGGAGATCCGAAAAATTTTGATTTACCCGGTTCACTTGTGATTGGCTGCGTCCACTGGCTAGACTTGAAGACTGGCGTGATGGAAATAAGAAGACGACCAGATATATGGAAATCAAAATCGAGCAATTGGCGCCTTGATACCGTCGCTCGTGAAGCATGGCGGAATCGAAAACCCTGGAGCCCGGGTAGCGTACTTATCGACCCTCACAGCCGGTTGTTCAAACTCATCGCCCGGATATTTGACCATTTTGAATACCGCACCGGTTTGACTGTGTTTCAGCCACCGCGTTGGAAACTATCGGTTGAACTGCGGCGCCTAGAGTTGTCTTTTTATGTTAATACCAGCGGTTTACTCCACTGTCGAGAACTACAAGCGGAGGTGGACCCCAATCAGGATGCCGGAACGTGGTACGGTTTAGAAAGTAAACTCATCCTCCGCTGTGTCTTCAATCCTTCGCGTCGCTCCATTCTCGTCCCCATGGGAAAAGTGCAAGCCACGCGCGACGGTTATCTTGTCAGTCTCAGAGTCGAAAATGAAGGGAACTACGGTAGGTTCACCATCAATAGCGTGCTGGGGCGACTTGACTGCCCAGCTGAGCCTTTGCTGCTGTACCAGAAGGCGCAATTTCATGCTTACACCTCTTTTGCCCTACCTGACCCTCTTACCGGGCGTACTGGCACAGAAGAGGCAATTCACTGCCTACGTTCGGCTTTCTGTCAGCCATGGACTACCCTAAATGCAGGCCCGATCAGCACTTTGGAAGCCATTTCAAAACTGATTCCAAAACGAGTTTACTACCCAAGCGGCTTAAAAACTATGCAGCAGGTGACTTGGGATCCAAATTTGACAGTATCGATGCAGCACGACGGATTCTGGCCTGTCATCGAAGGCATTATCGAAAAGGCAAAGACTCTTGTATCCTTTTCGCTTAAAGGAGAAGTTGATATGCTTAATTTAGAATTTCCAGGAGACCCCTTTTTGTTGAAACGCGCATACTGGAGACGGAATTTGTATCAACGCGCTGATTCTGGCTTCCCGCAGCTGAATCCACCAGCGGATTTACAGTACGAAGCACGGCATCGATTTACCAAAAGTATTGCCCGTTTGAATGTTTTTGAGACTGTTACCTTGATTAAAAATTGGTCGCCGGATATGTGTGCACCGATTGATTTGGCTACTACTTTTGAGAAATGGCCAAACATCGGAGGCTTTTCCGCAACATTTGATAAGGTCCTGCTCTCGGACCTACTTGATATTCAATTCGACACACTTTGGGGATCTCTCGTTGATCTCTGTCGCAAGGCTAGCCCAGAAGAAACATATCGCCTAATGTTTGTATTTGGCACAGTGTCGTTTAGGGCGGATGTTGATACGGATCTTATTCGAACACTGCTAGCGTTTGCGATCATTGAGAGTCTGAAAAATCTCGAACCTCCGCAGTGGCCGTCTTACATGAATTTCCGCTTCAGGCAGCTTCCAACCGTGCCTTATCTCAAGGAGTTGATTAAACACTGTTGTGTGAAGTATGAAGGAGACGAACGCAGCCTTTTCAATGTTAGCTATAAAACACGGCGCAAACTCCAGGCAAACCAGCAAGCACATGAGTCTCAGGTTGAGAATGACTGCACATTTCTTACCCGAACTTCTCATTGCACAATGGCCTTGCCCTGAACCAAAACTCGACATTGATACACTGCCAATTCTCGTTGACGTTCCGCGCGCTTTAAACATTATCATTCCAGAATGGCTTCGCTTATTTCAAAATATGGAGCTTTCCGATTATCTGACGAAATCGCAAGCTATTCTAAGCGCGCATTGCTCTTCGCAGCGCTTTAAACCTCTCCTTGGCTACCCAGATGAACGCCAAATCATAGGACCCGAGCCCAGGGACACTGTGAATCCGACGCTCTCGTGTAGCTTGCTGCCTAAAGATTGGCGTGAAATATCGGAAGATAAACTCCTACCATCCTTTGACAGCCATGCCAAACAACCGATTGTTACCGCCTCTTGCAAATTTCAACACAGCGGTGAATTTCCGCGCCAGCCAAATTCGTTGGACAGTGGCGCCGAACCGCTATGTAATGAGATTGAAGAACTACAGATATTGTGGAACGATTTAAGCACTCCGATTCCATGGTGCAAAAACAATACTGCTCTGATATGATGCAGAGTATTCAGGCTCTAAAGGAGCTTGCGTCCTCCAAAAGAGAAGATGAGGGGTGCCCAGCGGAGGTAGAAACATCGCCGCTTGACTCAGCTAGAGATGAAGTTAAACGACGTTTTGATGAGATCAATCGGATCCTAGAGATATTCGATTGCCGCTCCGTATGGCTTAAAGCTGGGGGCATGTGGCCATGTACCACACCAGTAACACTCCTTGAACAGCTGCGTTCCTCCTCCAAGGTGACATTTGGGAGTCAAGTGAAGGAAATCTTGACAGCGTATGCCGTATCTATCGTGGCGTTACAGCGTAGTCTTCGAATGGAAGACGCTCGGCTTAAAAGGAACCAACAACGCGTCCAGGATGAACAGAAGAATATTCCCCATGTGAACTGGGACCCCATAGACCATCCTGATTGGGTTTTGCTCGAGATAGAAGCAGATATCGCTATTCGACGAGACCAGGTGGATGTCGCCTGTGCAACGATCTCGCCGTCATCAGGGGCCAATTCAGTGCTGCAAATGAATATGGGACAAGGTAGATTTTTTTTGATTTTCGAACCCTTTCATTCACAACTGTTGAGCTGATGAAGATTAGGTAAAACATCATGTATTATGCCGATGGTCGCCGCGGAGCTAGCAGATACGACCAGGCTCGTAAGGCTTGTCGTCCCGAAGGCGCTTCTCATTCAAACCGCCCAGTTACTTCAAACCAGACTTGGAGGTTTGGTTGGCCGCGAGATTAGGCATGTTCCATTCTCGCGGAAGACTCCTACCAGCTTAGCGGCGGCTAAAACATATCTTGATATCCACAAGGAAATTCGGGATTCTTCGGGCATTATCGTCGCACTTCCTGAGCATATCCTTTCTTTAAAATTGAGCGGACTACAAAGATTATCAGATTCTCGTATTATCGAGGCAAAAGCCATGATTAAAATTCACAATTGGATGCAAAGAACATGCCGTGACGTACTCGACGAGTGTGACTTTACTCTTGCGACAAGAACCCAACTAATCTACCCGTCAGGTTCACAAAGCGTTGTGGACGGTCATCCAAATCGGTGGGAGACGGCCCAAGAATTACTTCGATTAGTGTGTAGTCATTTATGGAATCTACAGCGAGATTTCCCACAGAGTATCGAGGTCATCGACAGGCCAACAACCGGAGGATTTCCGGTCGTATTCTTATTACGGAGGGACGCAGAAGATGAGCTAACCGCACGTTTGATCAAGGATATCATGAAAGGCCAGACATCTCTCTTACCAATCAAAGACTGCAAAATGCCAGATCGCCTGATCATCAAGTCTTTCATATCTAATCAAACTGTGCAGCCGGTGATCGCCGAAACTATTGGTAGAATATTTGGTGACAACTCGGTCGCAAAGCAAAATGTCTATCTTCTGAGGGGGTTATTTGTGCATCGACTTCTTCTGCTGACCCTGAAGAAACGGTGGAATGTGCAGTATGGGCTTCACCCCGACAGAGATCCAATTGCCGTTCCATTTACTGCGAAGGGCGTACCCTCGGATCAAGCTGAATGGGGGCATCCAGATGTTGCGATTCTTTTCACGTGTTTGGCTTTTTATTTTAGTGGCCTTACTCAGGCACAGTTACGGCAAAGCATCGAACATCTAGTGAAATCAGACGACCCATCGAGTGAGTATGATCGCTGGACTCAATCCTCTAACACTCTGCCGGATATTCTTCGCGAATGGAGCGTCATTGAATCTGACGATGAAGCGCAACTGATTGAGATTTGGGAGCATCTTCGTTATCAAACCATCGTTATTGATTATTTTCTGAATCACTTTGTGTTTCCCAGACACGCGAAGCAGTTCCAAGTCAAACTTCAAGCGTCTGGCTGGGATATTCCACTATTCTCGCCTGGAGCCCAAAGCCCAGCGTTGACAAGCGGTTTTAGCGGCACCAACGACAATAGAACTTTGCTCCCTTTGAACATTAAGCAACAGGACCTTCCTATGCTCTCACATACCAACGCTGAGGTCTTGACTTACTTGCTGCAGCCGCGTAACCGCAAATACGTAGTCGCTGCAAATCCTGTGACTGGGAAAAGACTATCTGAGAAGCAACTACTTGAATCGCTGCGGGACGGGGGAATTAGCATGTTAATCGATTCCGGGGCCCAAATTTTGGAAATGGATAATTACAGCCTGGCAAAAGAGTGGTTGCAAGTTGCCCATGAAGCTCCAGCCGTGCTGTATTTTGATTCTGATAATAAACCTCTCATTCTCTACCGAAATGGCTCCCGAACTCCCTTTTTAGCGTCTCCCTTTGCTGAGAATCTAGGGAAATGCTTGGTTTATCTTGACGAGGCCCATACCAGAGGGACCGATCTTAAAATGCCGCGGGAAGCTGTTGGTGCGCTGACACTTGGTTTGGGACAAACTAAAGACCACACAGTACAAGGTTAGTCTCATCTTCCCATTTTTAAGGGGAATCTTGTTAATTGGTGCATGTAGCTGCTATGAGGTTGCGTCAGCTCGCTACTACACATTCTGTTGTATTCTTTGCCCCTCTAGAAGTTCATCAGAGTATCCTGGATCTTCAAGGAAAACAGCATGATGACAAACTCGATTCAAATGACGTCGTCTGCTGGCTCTTGAAACAAACTTGCTTGGGAATTGAACAAATACAACCTCTGTACTATTCCCAGGGCATAGACTTCTGCCGTCGTGCGCAAGCAGCCTTGGATAATCCTCAGTTTTTGACTAGTCCGGCGCAACAACAGGCATATTGCAATATCCTTCGACAGGATGAGAAGCAAACGCTGGAGCAGCTTTATAAACCAGTCTTAAAGGCTAAGGCTACCATGCCCATAACATCATATGTTCCTGAGCTTGCGAGGTTTATCAAGGAGCTGAAAAGGCGACGGAGAGATTTCCAAGATTTTGGAGGAGCAGTGCATGGGTCAGCATTACAAGAAGTTGAGCAAGAACGAGAGGTTGCGTTTGAGGTTGAGGCAGTCCGTGAGGTGCAAAGACCCGTCGTATACACAGCGCTCACATTCCCAGGGCTTCACCCAGACATTGCAAGCTTTGCCATGACTGGTAAGCTTTCCGGTTTCGTTGGCTATCAGCAGGCATTTATTGCCCTCAAAGATACGGCATTAGGGAAAAAACACGGAATCAGTCCACAAGCGGCCTCGTCGAAATTGTTCGTATCGAAGGAATTCATGAGAACGGTGAAATTGCCAGCGGGCTGTCGCAATGATAACTTCTTGGTCAGTTTTCGAGATTTATATGAAAGCGGGCAATACTGACACCCTTTCTAGCGCCCTGTGAACTGGTTGATTTGGAGCTTTGAGTTGGAAGCAGCGGTAATCATAATTCCGGAGGAAGCGGAATTACTTATACCCATGTTCCAGCAATTTATGGGGCGTCGTACACATCTGGTAACTTATGCAGCACCGATAACTCGCAAGATGCTGCATTTCAACGATTTGAACTATTATGCATTGCCCGCGCTCCCAAATGGGTGGAAACCACCAAAGTGGTTAACCATTCAACTAGGCATACTATCAGGACGAGTATATTTCGAGTTTGATGATTACGAGGAGTTGTGTCAGTACCTTGGCATTCATGAAGCAATTGGGGATGTTGATGATTCTTTGGAAGCCTCCGATTCACCTACATCGCCAATAGTACCCAATGGGGACCATGGAGCGGGTTCTCTGGAAAACGACATCGGTTCCAAAGGGGCTACTAGCTTTACTGGGAAGCCGCTGGCGTTTCTCCAAGACTGGTTAAGTCTAAAGCGCAGGGGCCAGGAATTCACACATACACCGATGGGGTATGTGTGCCAGGGCAAACCTCTACACAAGGACCATCCATTCTTCTCCAAACTCGGCGATGGCCCACAAACTAAGGCGGGACACGCATTAGTAAAACCAAGCATGCCAAAGCAGAAGCCCGTGGAATCTGATGACGGCTTTGATTCAGGGTTGGAGTACGATGAAAATGAAATGTATTTTGATACGAACGGGGATGAGGAAAATAATAGTGAAGCCTCAAATGATGAAGATGGCAATTAGCATCTATCACAGGGCGTCAATATGTGTACATACATAGCTACTCCTGGATAACAATCAAAAGTGTCACCTTCAATCTCTTCTCCAGAGACCCTGGCCACCTCTTGTTGATCACTTCAAGCCACTTCTTGTGCCTGACCATCAACTCAGCATTTGTTCTCAATTGACAATTCTCTCAATCTATCTGTAAGTTGTAAATTTCATGATCGTTTAATACGCGCTCAGCAGGAAGCAACAACAATAATTTCATCCATGCGGCTTGTCTCTCTAATCCACCCAGAATCAATGCAGTATCGTGGTCCATTTGATACGATCCAAAATTGTCTGAGAAAATATAATCACCAACTCTGATTCACACATGGTGACCTCTACAGAAAGCCTTCATCTTGGTTGTCAAAATAGAGTTGTGATCGACCGTTGAAGCCGAGTTCGGGATTTAAGCTCCCGGCCGAGCCTGCCGAGGTCCCCACAGTGCCGACTGGCATGTCCCGACTCCGAGATATAACAACAGAAAAGAGCACGGAAAGGTTTGGTAGCTTTACAAGGAGGTGAACCTAGAACTTAAGGAAGTCGTTGTATTTTCGATTACACTAACCATGCATCGACTTAGACACGGCTTATTTCCCTCTCCTCGGCCTTCGCGCCGTTTCGCAGACGGCTTCCTTCGTTTTTCGTCTTCGATGGCTACCTCCACAACTTCGGCATCGACAATTGCAAGCAGCTTTCTTGCTAAATGCAGATCTATTGGCCCACAGACACGTACGCAAATTCTTGACGCCAACCAGCTTCAGCTCTTTTCCTTAGCCCTCCACCGAAACAACATATACTCCAACACACCAGCATTATCCAACGCCGCACCGCCGCCGGGAGGGACACCGATTCCGCCAGGATACCATCTCATTTACTTTACGCCTGCATTTTTAGAAAGCGAGCTGGGGGTCGATGGAACCGATGCCTCTTATAATCCAGACGCTCCGTTTACTAGACGAATGTGGGCTGGTGGAGAGGTTCAATGGCCAAGGACGAAAGAGGGGAAACTAAATCTCCTACGGGTTGGCCAAGAAGTGCGAGAAACTACGACTTTTTTAAGCGCTGAGCCAAAGGTGATCCGAAAGACCGGGGAAGAGATGATAGTTGTTGGTTTGGAGAAGGTTTTCGAAAATGAAGATGGTGTCGCGGTTGTTGATAGACGGTGAGTCACTCAGGTCATAAATTCTTCATTCGCCGCGCGCAAAAATCAAAGGAGACTAAGTGAGCGCTCCCTATTCGTAGGAATTGGGTCTTTCGAGAAGCACTTAAGCTCCCATCTTCCACGGAACATCGCCAATCGCCTCCGCTGCCCTCGACATCGAAACCTCCACCACCGCCAAAGCCCTCTTCTTCAACCACCATAATACATTCACGGAATCTTTGTCAAACACCTGAAACCTTATTTCGAATGTCCGCATTGACATTCAACGCACATAAAATCCACTACTCGCTTCCCTGGGCTCGTGAAGTCGAAGGGCACAAAGGGCTTGTGGTTCATGGCCCACTTAACTTGATATCAATCTTAAATTTCTGGCGCGATGTGCGCGAAGAGCATGGCGGTGACCCACAGCTTGTTGTACCAGAAGGAATCAATTATCGAGCTACCAATCCGCTCTATGCGGGAGAAGAATATCAAATTGTCCTTGAGGAGGACGGAAGATCCACCAAGGCGAATATATATAACCCCGACGGGGTTATCTGCATGAACGCTGATATTATAGGGTAAATAGCTACAATGGAAAAAATAAAGAACCATCAATTATTTTGCCCATGTCAGAAAGTTCTGTATGGAGTAAGGGGAGTAACATTAGAGATGATCCTTGAGTTTGCGCAAACATTGCAAACATCAACTGTTTTTCGTCGCAATCTTCAAAAAGACAAACAAACGTGCAGACCAGTGTCCCGCCAGCTGTTCTACCTCTCTTAGTAATTCTGGGGCTTGGATTGTGAATCCCCTTCTTGTTATCACCCCTGTTCTCTTCCCATTGCCAGTGTGTACAACAAGTTGTGGACTGGTGAGCTTTGGAGCTAGAGCTGCCAGCCATGTTCGACACTGTTTGCAGCTACCCTCTGACCTCGGATCTTTTCTCCCAAGCCATACACCCTACAGAACCGCTTGTCTCTGTAGGCTTATCATCCGGCCATGTCCAAACTTTTCACCTACCTCCACCATCCGAAAACGGCAAAGCTGGGTACGGGCATATCGATACATTGTGGCGGACGAGACGCCATAAAGGAAGCTGTCGGAGCGTGGGATTTGGGATAGACGGAGAGACGTTGTACTCTGCTGGTACAGATGGATGGGTTAAAGCTGCAAGAACGGAGACTGGAAGGGTAGAATGGAAATTTGCGGTACCAAGGATTGGCAATAGGTAAGGGCGGGTGCCTTGGAGGTTCTGTTTCTTTGTATCCTGATTGAATTGCAATTGAGATGCTGGTTATCAATGCCTTTTGCTAACTTGCGCTCTTGAATGGCCAGGTCTGATTTTCAAGTGGACTGTCCCTCATTGCTTCACGCGCTTTCACCTCAAACGCTGCTTCTAGCTACCGATTCCGGCGCTCTACATCTTTTTGACCTCCGGGACCGCTCTACAGAAGTATCGGCTAGACCCCAACAAACCCACCATCCGCATGACGACTATGTCTCTTCCCTCACACCCTTACCCCCTTCGGAAACAAGCACATCTGGTTACAGCAAGCAATGGATTACAACAGGAGGCACTACGATCGCCGTCACAGACTTGCGGAGAGGAGTATTAGTACGAAGTGAGGATCAGGGTGAGGAGCTAGTCAGCTCAGTCTATGTGACCGGACTTAAAGCGGGAGGCACCAGCAAGGGCGAAAAACTGGTTGTTGGAGGAGCTAATGGGATTGTGACCCTCTGGGAAAAGGGGGCTTGGGATGATCAAGATGAGCGCATTATCGTCGACCGTTCTCCGGATGGTGGAGAAAGCCTAGAAGTACTCACAAAGGTGCCTGATGAATTGGGGCATGGGAAAACTGTGGCGGTGGGACAAAGCGATGGACGCGTACGATTTGTGCAGCTTGGCCCTAATAAAGTCATCTCGGAATTATCGCACGATGAAATCGAAGGTGTTGTGGGATTGGGATTCGATGTGCAGGGTCGCATGATCAGTGGCGGCGGCTCTGTTGTCAAAGTTTGGCATGAAGCCGTCGACGATAAGGAGGACGATGAAGCCGAATCGGGTGAAGAAGAAACCGGACCTGAGAAGAAACGCAAGGGGGACCGGGATAGCAGCGATGACGACGACGATAGCGATGACGGAGTGAAGGAAAAGGGCAAGCGAAAGAAGAGAAAGAGAGGCAAGGGAAAAGATCGATCTGGAGGGGTGCATGTTATGGCTTTCAAGGATCTGGATTAAGCTGCTGTCCGCTCAAGCTCATCGAATTCCCTGCAGGGAAAAGGACCTGTCAGAGACCATGCTTTGCTCACGTCCTCCTCTAGAACAAGCAGTTCTGAGCATTCTTTGTGCTACGGAAGCAACGGGCAAACTACATTTTCATATTTCCGCTTTCCCCCCAAACAGTCCATTGACAGCCCCCAGCTCACGCCTCCATGCTCTTCTGTCCTATTTGCCGCCTGAACCGCCAAAAGGCAGCCTTGTCCTCCCAACTCGCCCCCGAAGCCCTCTCTATTGCTCCATCGTGTACAAAGCCCCCCGCCGTAGCCTCTCCTCTCTCTCATAATAATCTCATGCCCACTCGCTACACCCGCTGGATAAGGATTGACGAGCAAGTTCCTGAAGGATCAGAATAGAGGAAACAGAAAAGCACTCACACTCTCAGAAGAGGGAGAGTATAACACAGGTGCTGGTTACGGTTGTTGAGCATCCCCCTAGAGACCAGAATAAGCAAATATCATCAAGACAGTTTGGGGGAACCAAGCAAACCACACTTCTGACCACCAAGCATGGTGAAAATCAATGTCATTGATATAACTACCTTACCAATCGACTTCCAATGTTTGGCGAGCTAGGAGGTAGTCTATCTATCATTCTGTTCTCTCTCCACGCCTTTCCCAAGCCCTGTCATTCTTTCTTTTAAATCAGCCAACTTGTTCTCTTCTTCTCACTTGTTCATTTTACCAAATCCATCCACTTTCATTCTTTCGCCCCCCATGGCCCCAATATCCTGGTGAATTTGCTCGCAAATTATCTCCTCCCACAATAACAGCGCTTCTTCACAGCTACGTACGTTCAGCATGCAATCGCCAACATCCAACCTCATTGTGCCAGAGGCCAGTGATGTCTCTACCTTTGGTGATTTTATAGATCTCGATGATTATGATATTCTTGAGCATTACTCCGAAAACATGGATGAGCATGAGTATTATCCTATCTGCCTCGGAGAAATTGTTGAAAAGAGATATTGTGTCATGCATAAATTAGGCCATGGGGCCTTTTCCACAGTCTGGCTAGCGCACGATCTTCAAAAGAAAGTCGATGTTGCTCTAAAAATTATGACTGCTGACTGCGAATGGAATTATGAATTTCGCATGCAAAATGAAATCATTCAACGTCTTAAGGATACCGATACCTCAAATCTTCTTTTGTATCAGGATACTTTCTCTCTACGAGGTCGTGATCCCGATCGCAATCATCGCGTCCTCGTCTTCCCCGTGCGGGGTCCGAGTCTAAGCTCACCTCACACAGACAGAATGTCAATGGCTACTCGCATGTCCGCTGCAAAGCAGCTGTTAAAAGCCATAGAGTCTCTCCACGGGTGCGGAATTATTCATGGGGGTAGGTCAACTTTAGCTTACTCGATTCTTTTTTTGATACTTAGTAGTTTACATTGATTTGCTATTCTCTTTCTCTATTTACATGCTAATGCATCTCCGTGAAGACGTGAGCAGTGGGAATGTTTTGTGGGATATGGTCCCTCTGGACAAGTACAACACGGCTACGAAATACAAATATCTCGGTCGACCCGAAAAGGCAGCTCTACGACCTGGAGCTTGGAAAGCCGGAGAGCTTGTCAGTGAAGCAAAGATACCTCAATCTTTGCTGAGAGCAAAAGTATATCTCAGTGACTTTGGCCTTGCAACAGATGCCAATATCAGATCATGAATAAGTGGCGGCCGACCAGGGGATACTGTGCTCCTGAGAGAATGCATAAGTTTCCAGTCAGCTTTGCCGGTGATATGTGGGGTTATATGTGTATCTTTATGAACTTATATTTTCAACATTCGATATTTAATCGGTGCCTTGATACCATAGTTGCTGTTCTTGGCTCGATGCCTAAGGAGTGGAAAGGCTTGAAAGAGGAAGCAGAAGACAAGTGGTATGATCAGAATATGAGAGTTGATACTAAGGAAGTATTGGAACAGAAGTTCAAACTCGAACTTGCTGATGTGAGTACAGCTGAGCGAGGTCATATAATATCCATTATTCTGGAAGTGCTTCGCTATTGTCCGGGGGAACGCCTTACTGCTACTCAGCTTCTCCATCATCCTTCATTCAAAGCGGTGATGAATACGTACTGCCTCTAGCATCTATGCATCACATACATGCATGACATATTTGTTGCCCTGTTCATCCTCCTCTATTATGTTCTGGCTTGTATTCTCTTAAAAGTTCATGAAACTACAATAAACCAAAAACGCAAGTGACATTCTACCCACTGGATGGGCTCTAGTTGTTACTGGGAGCCTGGGAGATATCTCTATGGCCACCCACTAGTTAACTAACTACTTACTAAGCCTAGTTAGAGTTAACGAGTTAACTTACGGGAGAAACATTTGCCGTGACTGCAATCCGTTCAGTTTGGTTTCCGATTCCGCCCAACGCCAGCCAAATCCAACCGGCCTTGTTTCCAGAAAACCGGCAATGGATTAGATAATTTTCTTCAGAACATTGCTAAGCGGGTGGGGGAGGTTTAAACAAGGTGGAATACTTGCGCCATGTCGGGTCCGAATCATATATAGGCGTTGTATGCGCAGACGACAAATGATCCGTACATCCCTTCGTCCCCTCTCCGTCGCAGCTGGCTATCAGAGCTATTTATTACGCCAAACAAGAACTTTGGCAGCCATGGAAGCGTTTGAATACAATGCCAACCCGGCGCGGGTCGTCTTTGGATTTGGAACTATCAAGCAACTTCCCGACGAGATCACTCGCCTGAACCTCTCTTCCCCGCTCCTCCTATCCACGCCGCAACAGGTTCAACAGGCCGATGATTTGAAAAGCCTGTTGAAGGGCAAGGTGGCCGGTGTTTTCATTGAAGCCACGATGCACACGCCCACGCATATCACAGAAAAGGCACTTGCATACGCCAAAGCGCAAGCCGCAGACAGCGTCATTTCCATCGGCGGAGGAAGTACCATTGGACTGGGGAAGGCTATTAGCATCCGTACGGGCCTGCCACATATCTGCATTCCTACCACGTATGCAGGAAGTGAAATGACGCCAATCCTGGGTGAGACGGCGGATGGCGTTAAGAAGACTAGGACCGACCCGAAGATCTTACCTGGTACAGTCATATACGACGTGGATTTCACAATGTCGCTTCCCGTTGGAATGAGCGCAACTAGTGGCGTGAATGCCATTGCCCATGCCGGTAAGTTGTTGGATTGTCGCCTGAAAGGCCTGTGGTGGAGAATACCCGTCGGGATCATGGTGCTGATATACCTCCTCTCAGTCGAAGCGCTTTATGCTCGTAACGGCAACCCAATCATCCGCCTCCTTGCCCTTGAGGGTATTCGCAGCCTTGCGACCGCTTTACCCGAGATTGTTAAGAACCCTTCTTCCCGGGATGCCCGTTCATTGGCCCTCTACGGTGCCTGGCTTTGCGGAACGTGTCTCGGCAGCGTTGGGATGTCTATTCATCATAAGCTGTGCCATACGCTTGGCGGCAGCTTCGACCTTCCCCACGCAGAAACCCATACGGCTGTCCTCCCACACGCCATCTCGTACAATGCGCCGTCCATCCCAGATGCGATGAAGGCCTTGGCGGAAGCTCTTCCCGAAAGTAAGGGCGACGCTATCCACGGCTTGAACGTGCTCTTGTCAAAATTACAAGTGAAAAGGGCGTTGAAAGACTTTGGAATGAAGGAGGAAGACATTGACAAGGGTGCTGATATTGCCGTTAGCAACCCCTATTGGAATCCTCGGGAGATCCAGAGAGAACCAATTCGGGAGCTGATCAGACGTGTTTGGGCTGGTGAGGAAGCGCGGGCAAATCTATAAACCAGATCATTTAATCATCTGGACACTTTCACTACGAAGCGGACCTGTTCAGAGTATTGAGTATATGCGCATACATAGATGAGACTGGCCAGATTGATAAGATAAGATCAAACTTTCAATGACGTGTAATCAAAATACAGCCATCACCAGTAATATTACCAGCCCTTGGACCCCTCCAACAAAAACTCAACTTCCGTTTGTCAATCAAGGGCGAAACTGGCCAGCGAACACCGCAGTGCGTAACTCGTGTGCTCAGGCACTCTCCCGAAACAAAATGGGAATACCGGAAGTTGCGCCGGTGCTTTCTACCCCAGATGACCACATCCTCGAAGCAACCGAACCCATCGTTACCCCGCGGACGCACAAATCTGATGAAGAGCTGCGCATCACATACGATATTGAACGCACAATAAAGGAGATCAAACAAGGACGATGGCGGAAAGTTGCTCTACAGTTTCCCGACGAGATGTTACCCGACGCCCCGCGTGTCTTCCAGCTGCTAAGTCGGGGTCTAGAATGGCTGGACTTTCCGCAGCAAAGGGTTAAAGCTGCCCAAGGCACTGTTACATGCGCATGTGGAAGGCCATCGAAGAACACAGCAGAGGGTGTGGATGTTGAGGCCGTCGCAGAAGCTGTGGCGAACGATTTGAACGTCAAGGACTCGTTGGATGGTCTGCCGCCGAGATTATACATTTTAGGGGACACCTCCTACGGGACCTGTTGCGTGGACGAAGTGGCTGCCGAGCACGTCGACGCCGATGTCGTAGTTCACTACGGTAGAGCGTGCCTGTCTCCCACGGCGCGATTGCCCGTCATACATGTGTTTACCCACAGGCCATTGGATCATGGGCTGGTCCTCAGGGCGTTTGAAGAGACTTTCCCCAATAAAGATGAAAGAATTTTGATAGTTGCGGACGTTACATATGCGGACCATGTCGAGCCGATCGCCTTGAAACTAACACAGGAGATGGGTTATTCAAACGTCTTCGCTACCAGTGTAGTGCATGATCCCGCTTCACCAGTTCCAAACAGGACGATTCCAGACGCTGTTCGAGGCGACTCTGAAATTTTGAGAGAATGGCAGTTGTTCCACATATCAGACCCGCCGACATCGCTACTCCTTACACTGTCATCTCGAGTCGCGTCTATTCGTATATATCCCACGGACCAAGAACCTCCTTTATCTAAACAGCCTCCAAAGCCTCTCCTTACATCCACGGCAGCAGCACTTCGCCGGAGATATGCAATTATAACATCTCTCAGCACGACGCCCATTTTTGGTATACTTATCAATACGCTCAGTGTCAAGAATTATTTACCGATGGTGAAACATGTCCAGAAGCAAATTGCTGCGGCTGGGAAGAAAAGTTATTTATTCGTCGTTGGTAAGCTGAATGCTGCCAAAGTGGCTAATTTCAGCGAGATAGGCGGATGGGTCGTCATCGGATGCTGGGAAAGCTCGCTTGTAGACAGCACAGAATTTTGGAAGCCAGTCATTACGCCCTTTGAGTTGGAGCTGGCTTTACAGAGCGATGAAGATCGAGTCTGGACTGGGGAGTGGCGAAGTGATTTCCAGGCCGTGCTTGATGGTGCGAAGGCCGGTGAGGGCGGTCAGCCCAATGGCAACCGCGTTGAAGCTCAAGTGCCCAACAGTGAAGCCGACCATGACGATGGGAGCGATGCCTTTTCAGACGCCGAAGAATCCGCACCTCCGGAATTTGACCTCCGTACTGGGAAATATGTTTCCGTTTCAAGCACTCGTCCAATGCGATCGCCACATGCCTCAGCATCCGTAGCAACGCGTGGTTCGATTGAAGGCAGGAGTTCCAAGGCGCTTACCAAACGGGCAAATGGGGATCTTGCGACGATTGCCGGAGTTTTGTCGCCCGGCGCTGAGTTTTTGCGATCAAACAGAACTTGGAACGGGCTCGGGAGCGACTTTACCATTCAGTATGAAGATGACGGCATGAATGAGGAAGGGAGCCCGGTTGTCGAAGGCCGGAGCGGTATTGCTCGAGGATATACTGTCGGTGAATTGGAGGAGCGTCGATAGATAGCCACGTAGTTACCTCCATAACCATGGGATATAATGTATTGAATACCCTGAACTCAAAGACCGGAACCTGGCGGGTAAATGTCATTAGAACGTAGTTGGTTAATATAAGTAAACTAGCTGTTCAAGTCGATTAGTTCGTTGCAACTGTCGTGTGCCTAGTTACCTGTATGCCGTCACGCGATATCAACGTGGCCTTCGTGCTCACCACTCTGTGTACTTCGCTAGCAAGGGCCTGGCGTGTGTTGCCGTCGGTCTGATCATGATAAATAGTGACATCGTGCTCAAGTCACTGAACGCGGCTCCTTAGGGTTTAAGCTAGTCGGTGACGGTCGAAGGCGGAGATTATTAGTGAACGCCAAGTTGATATCGAAGAAGTCCTTGACGAAACCTCTCTCGGAATTCAGCAGATGTCGACCAGCTCCCGCGTCGCCACTGTTTCACGCCCTTGACCCTGGGACTCGAGCGACTGAAGGCCCAAAGAGTGCCATTTCGTGCTCGTTGGGACTGCAGACCATGAGGCTTGGGTCATGCAGCTCGAGAGCCAACGGCATCTAGTTACCTCCCTCCCTCGTCTTTCACCTTTGCTTTCACAATTCCTCACTTCTCACCATCCACATCCTGACAACGCCCTTCCATCGATCTTCGTTTCTATGATGCTCCAGTTGCTTCCTGCTGGCGCCACACGTCATCATCCTCACCGTTCCTCAACCTCCCTGCTCGAAACATGGCCTCAGACCTTGAACAGAGCCTTTGCCGGCTGCAGATAGGCGATTCAAGTGAGTCGGATTCGTACGCCTCTCTCGCAGATTCGACCGAAGAATTTAGGGATGACATGTCATCGGTCGACTACGAGCGTCCTCTCTCCACCCTCGAACGCGTCTTTTCCACCCACATCCCTATCCTCGAGTCCTTCCTCCTCCAAGCGCCTACCGATACCATATTCCGTCTTTATCATACCTCCAATTACCTACGCACGTTCCTAAGGTCATATCCCACGGCATGGCAGTATCTTTCATTTCGCCTTCTTTTGCCGTCGGGCACCCAGGTGCGTCCTGTTACTGCCGGAACGGATGCTCAAACTGTCCAGCGGCAATCGAGGCCCTACGCCCTGGACCAGTTACTCCTCCACGTTGTTATACCATTCAGCCCGATATTGAGAAGCTTGGATCTGGATAACACTGCCGTTTCAGGTCAGAATCTTATTTCGACCGTGCTAAACGCGAGGAGAGATACCCTCGAACATGTTTCCGTTCGAGGTTGCAAAAACGTCTCCTTGAAGTATCACATCATACCGTATCTCACCATGTACGGGCTGCAGTATGATGCAGATATAAAAACAAGATCAAGTTCATCTCAGAAAGTCAAACATCTTGCCCTCAAAAGCCTCTATACCTACCGATGCAGACATCATAGACGACGCCCTTACCTTACTTCATCTTTGCTCCGAAGAGATTCAGATTCTGAGCCGACCCACGAGTTAGTGAACCTCTGTCATAAGCTTGGAATCTGGACAGACACCGCGTGGTGTACCACTCCCGCTGGGCGCTGTTTCCGGAGAAGGGGTTATGTCTCGATGCGTGTCCCGCAAGGCACTCCCGAAGTGTGGGTGGTATTTGATCGGCTATGGCGGTCTAAGAACTGGATAGGATCCGTTTCTGATACGGGGGAGCCTCCCAAGCGTGACGGAAAATTATGGGAACATGATGAAACCGGATGCTACGGCGAGGCTCTTGGGACCAACAACGGACGTCTGTACGGTGAGGGGAAAACAGTGCCCACACATTTGCGAAAGAGCCACAGAAAATTCATCGAGAACATAAAGTGCAATTCATGCATGGAAGAAATTCATGAGAGGTGTGAGCAGTGCAGTGTTTTGATGCACTGTGTTGGCTGCCGAAAAACACTTTGTTATAGCTGTGCGTATAGGACTCCATACCTAAAAGAACCAAAAGCAGAAGGTGAAGGCCCGCAAAATAGCTTCTGGTGGGCTCCTGGCGCTACTATCTCACCATGTTCAATGCAAGAGCCTTCTGACGCCCAGGGCAATGCAACTGGAACTAACAACAACCCTCAGCAAGGCGGCCCAACTCCAATAACATACCCTACACTCAAATTTCGATGGTGCTGCACTGAGCCTACATTTACAGGTGGTGGTGGAATTAGCATTGGACAAGGCCGTGATGTTGATCGGATGCGCGCAGCGCCCCTCCCCAAAGCTCAAGGCTGGGAAGACCCTGAATATACATCGAATGAATGGAACAAAGCATTTCCAACCTATGCTTATGGAGATCCATCCAAGCGAGATTATACCCTTGCAGAAGGGCATTTGGAAATGATGCGGTGGCTGCTAGGCCCGCCAAACCACCAGTCTTCACAGTGTCCTCGCAATCTATGTCACGAGTGTTTTGAATCGCCTCAGTGGAAAGTCCATTGCAAAGCCTGTTCAAAGCCTTTGTGCATGGAACATGACCTACGCGGCCTCCGTCTTCGGATTTGTGGCTATCGGGACCTTTTCATGGAGAAGATCACTATTGATTATTCACCAAATGCAAATGCTGCACATGGACGCGAAAGACAACCAATTCCACGCCCCTCCTCAGTTCCGGATTTGCCTACGAATAGTCTACAAGGTAGTAATCTCACTCATTTCGACGTTCCACCCTACCTACAGTATTCCACCCCTCAGGCAAATAGTCTTACCAACGAGAATCACACGCGGAATTCGACAGCCAGCTCAAATAATCATACTCGGGCCTCCTCGCCATCCTCTGCAGTCCTTGAATCGCCCCTAAAAATGGAAAAGTGGAAAGGCTGTCAGTCTTTTTTCTGTCCGGAGTACGGCGTGGCTGGGGATAAACGACAACGCTGCACGAGTATCCTGAACGAATGCACGTCGTGTTCAGTCCACGTCTGTCAGGATTGCATCCGTGCATATCCGCCTTGTACATGCTCCTTTTGCATGAGCAAGTACCTCTGCCCCAATTGTCATTCGGTGGCCGTCCAAAATGGCGCCTGTCGTCGCCTTGAAGAAGAGCGGGCAAAATATTTACAAAAGCAAAGGGCTGGGCTCGAAATGCTTGATGTCGCGCTAGAGCGTCGTATCGCAAACGAAGTTGCTGGGTTTGCTGGCCAATTTTTCGGCGGATTATCCAGCAGCAGCAGTCAAGTTGGATTCGAACATATTGAAAATATTGAACACAGTGGCGAATTTGATATACACGCACCGCCATTTCTAGATCAATATGATGGTGTCCCCCAAGACGATGCTAACGCCCAAGAGCAAGGTTATGGCTTTGCGGATGCCCAGCCTGTTCATCCATATGATGAGGAAATTGATCAGGGAGAGAGTGGATCAGAGCGAACAGATGTTGTGGTTGGTGAGATTGGTTAACCATGGGACTCACCTGTTTCTCATAAATAACTCTGGCTCCAAAATCTCAAGGATCTTTTTCCTTGATTACGATTAACAGCTATGATTCCCTTGATTTTTCTCCCTTACCTTTATCATCTCCTTTATACAAATTGATTTGCTCACTAAAGCCTGCTCTTTTTTCCTATCCTTCCCCTCATTTACTCTAGAGGCAGAATTCTCGAAATAGTTGAATCTGCATGTTACTCAAAATAGTGTCCCAAGAAGAGATCCCTTTTGATTTTGCCGTTATGGAATGGAGGGAGCATCTAGCGGCTCGGTGTAATATTTCTGGTTTTTCAAGACTCAAGCTCTTTGTTTTTTCTTTTACAGTTCCGCGTGGTATCATTCTCATTTCACCCAGGTTTTAATAACTGCTGGTATTATTGCTTCTATAAGAAAATTTAATGCCATTGACTTGCATCTCTCAGATGTTTCGATCCACTTTTTATGGTAAAACATGATGACTGATTGAATTCCATGAATCTGTCAAAAAATTTCTTCAAATGTCTCCCTGGCAGTTGGAAGCATGTTGGGAACATAGACCTCCCCACCATTGCCTTGAGCTGGTATGGGAATGTAACACAAGGAAATAAGTGTTAGAGACGAAGGGCAAGGAGTTGGAGCTGCAAATTCATAATAAGTGTTCATTGTCTCTTGTCTAACATTAGGTAGCAATAAGTGTAGCTACATATAGAAAAATTCTTCACAGGTATATCCATTTCACAACGAAAATAAGGAAAAATGAGATCCTTCAAGCTTGTGTATGAAACTGACTTTCCATCTGAGCTAGGATATATCATTAATGGGTGTCTTTGGGGGTTCGAGTGCCCTGGGTAGCACGGTATCTCTCAAGTTGAAAGGTATATCATGAAATTAGGCTGAGAAAAAAATAGCTCAGAAGCGTCCTTAGATATGTGATTAAGCGTGCATGCAGACATTTTGTAAGATGTCAGAAATACGCATATATAACGTCGCTGAGATATCGGAACGGGCAAGTGAACTTCAAGGATTCGACAGGATCCGGAAATTGTACCAGGGTGCTTTCTTCCGAAGAAAGACTTGCTTAATCGACTTGGTCGGAAGCGTCACACGAATACATAATATGTTAAAAGGGCATCATTGTCTCATTGATCCGTCTCGCTGGAGCTTTGTGCATCAACGCAGGAATTGCTTTCTATTTCAAAGTAGAAAATTCATCGTGAAATAACTTTCAAGGCCTTTCTATGGCCGCGAGTACGCTGGCGGAAAAGGCGAATGATCAAATGATCTTCGGTCCCGTGGCTGCTCCACCGATGTCCTTGGTGATGGCTGGCCGTTATGCCCCCGACGTAATGCTGGTGGTGGTTGTGTTATTGGTAGTATATCGCTGGCTTGTGTCGCCCCAGTTACGTTGGAATAAATGGATGTTGAGAAAGATCGTCGCGAAGGTGCCCTGGAAGAACGTGAGGAGTAAGGCGGTGGAGGCGTTTCGGTAGTGGCAGTTGAGGTGTTTCCAAAGCTACTCGGCACAGAAAACGTCGACGAAGCGTCTGAAGAGCGGTCACTTGCAAAATTGGTTCGTGCTTCATTTACCGCAAAGTCCAAAGGGGTCTTCTCATCGAGCGGGTACTCAAAACTCCGCCGATTGGTCAACGACTGAGTCTGCTCGAATGTAGGAAGTTTTTCATCGCCAACAATGTCGGCAGGACGGGATGTGTATCTCGGGGGCGGTGCGTAGTCGTCCACGTCAACATCGCCCGGGTGGTCAAAGTTGCGGCGAGCGGGACCAACCGCCATATGGGGGGCGGGAGGCGACTGATACCGAATTTGGGTCTCAGGTGGCGGAGGGAGTGTATTATTCTGATGCCTATTTCTAGGGATGCAACACAATATACTGGCGATGGACGCCATGCTGATCGTTTCTGGCTGGAAACAGACGAGATTGGACGAAACTGCAGGCTATAATTCAAAAAGAATACCTTCAATAAAACAGACAAAGACCGTCCAAATCGCTGCGCATGAATCAATGCAGACACAAGCAGAGATCAAGGCAACCATGAAATCTCAAGAGGGTATCAGGAACTCCATCGTCGCCTTCCATAAAGAGCGTGAGTAGAGACGATGGAAGTGTCGATGGATATGACTGGGAGCGCCTGTTGTTGCGACACGCCAGAGAGGAGAAGAGCTGGCGAGCCTGGGAAAAGACAGATCGCAACGGGTGCAGTCACTCCAGGGAGCCCGCGCCTGGCTCATAAACCGATGGCCTGGAGTGCGGGAGGCTGCAATCCAGTGAGGCTGAGTCTCCCATGTTCGTGCGGTATGCCCTGATACGCAATACTGGCCACAATTGCACGCTATTATTGGCGGTGAGGCCTGGTATTTACACAGTCTTACGAAACATGACTGACGGGCAACCCCGCAGTCACGTGGAGCTCTGGAACATTATTTTCCCGGTATGGCGTGTATTATCTCCGTTATCAAAATTACAATCGTATTTTCAATATTATTTCGATTGACGACGGCGGTGATGCGCTGATTTGGGCCGAATCGGATACACTGCCTTGACTAGAATCACTTGTTGTTACCCGCTGTACACGCATTTGCACTTGGCGTTGAAGCCCTTTTGAAGGTGTGCGTACACCCCGCCCATCACTATCGCCGCAGATATTCGATTCAGATGTCTCCCCTTCCCCTCCAGGGCTTCGACGACTATGCCACCATAGCCCAGCTCGTCCAGCCTCCGCAGATCCCTCCGCATCGCTCGCACGATCCGTCGAATAATCAAAAACGAACGGATCCCTTCCAGTTTGGCTCTCGATACCTTGAAGAGGGTGACAACGTGTTTGAATTCAACGCCTGGGATCATGTCGAAACGGATGAAGATTACAAGCAATATACGGAATTACAAATAGCCAAGCAGCGCGAGGAGCCAGTCTCAGACTTTGACCGTCAGCGGTTCAATTCTGACCCCGCGAAATGGTGGAATCTATTCTACAAGAACAACACGAGTAACTTCTTCAAAAACCGGAAATGGCTGCAGCAAGAATTCCCTGTCTTGGTGGACGTTACCAAGGCTGATTCTGGTCCCAAAGTCGTCCTAGAAGTTGGCGCGGGAGCGGGGAATACGGCGTTTCCGATTCTGGCGAATAACTCCAACCCAGACCTAAAGATACATGCCTGCGACTATTCCAAAAAAGCAGTTGAAGTAATAAGATCGAATGAAAAGTACGATGAACAGTATATCAAGGGCAGATGTATGGGACGTTACAGCCGAAGGTGAGGATTCACTCTCGCCAGGGCTACCAGAGGAGTCGGTCGACGTGGTTGTGATGGTGTTCATATTCTCTGCTCTGGCGCCGGATCAGTGGAAACGCGCTGTGTCGAACATTCTACCCGGGTCCTGAAGCCAGGGGCCCAAGTTCTTTTCAAGAGACTACGGTCGTGGCGACTTGGCCCAAGTGAGGTTCAAAAAAGGGCGGTATTTAGCGGAAAACTTCTATGTCAGAGGTGACGGGACCAGGGTTTATTTCTTTGAAAAAGCCGAACTTGCACATATTTGGGGCAAATGGTGTCCACAAGCGGGCTTGCCAGAATACCAGGAACTGCCCCTCGAGGATCCCGAGGCTAGCAGCGTTGGAGAAGGTGCTGCATTTGAGATTGTTGATCTTGCGGTGGACCGACGGCTGATTGTGAACCGCAAAAGAAAACTAAAAATGTATCGATGCTGGATGCAGGGCCGTTTCCGAAAGAGGGAGAGTCCACCGAACGGTGCCCGTGTTATGTTGACCGCAGCTGAAAAGGGCGAACCTGGAAACTGACACAGCATGGACCAGCATATCATTTCCCTTATGCCGTGGCCTAAGATTATCCTGAGCTCCGTCTTCCAATATAACCTTTAGCTCCACGTTTTGCAAAAATTCTGAATTCAACGCCTCAGAAAGGGTTATATGCTCTATTGATGTAAACGAGGGCGGCTACCACGGGTCTGCCATATTTCTCGGTGACGTCCTCTTTTCCAGAGGATGGCCTCACCTGAATTCACATAGTAAGAGCTGTTGGAACACAATATCTGCGATAGATCTCTTGCATCTAAAGACTTTTATAATGTTGACAGGTGTTCAAATATTAAAGTATCTGCAAGATGATAAAGAAACAGCGTATTTAATAGAGTATAAACTTTCTTTTCTCTATCCCCATTGCCCACCATCTACCTAGCTATCAATGAACAAACCGCTTAAAGCAGCATCTTGAAGTTTAGAACAAATCAAACAATATATACAAATATAAGTAGGACATCGAACCATGGCTTATCGGTTTCGGGGTCCGAAAAGTCTCATTAGCTTTTTTATTCAAAGTGAAAGATACAAGCAAACCGGGAATATTGGGAGAAGTATGTCAGGAACTTCGAAATATCCATCGCGAAGGAGGTATTATTTATTGAATTAGTAAGTCAAAACTGGGCATTCACCCTGAGCACGGACGAAAGCCCCAGCAAAAAGATCCTGCATCGCATGATAATGGAACAAGATCCCGCCTAAAACAGCTAGATGCCAAATGTTATGGCTACCGCCGATATAATCAAAGAAACCAGGGCGCCAGCGCTCAGGAATTTGGGAGGCGTAGATACAGGCACCGGTTAGGTATACCAGAAGACTCTTCATTATGGGAGAGTAGAAATAGAATGGCCAGGCTAGGCCACGGGTAATGCTTAATTGGACCATTGGCGCGAATCCGGTTAGGGCGAGGGTCACGTAGAAGGCCACGCGCGCCCACGCCATATCGGCACGATTGAATGTGGGGTGCCAGGGGAGAATGATGCCGGCGATGCCAAGGGAGGAGGTCATGAGAATGTATATCCAGCGAGAAAGGGGCTCGCAGTAAAATGCCGTGTATTCAGTGGTAACAATGGAGGCAGCGACAAGAAAGGATATCCCTGTGTAGTCCACGCAGGCGAAACGTTCCATAAGGGACTGCGACGCGATGCCATTCATAGTGTGCCACACTGTACTGCACACAAGACACTTGCAGGCCGCGATAAAGAATATGGCGGCAATCGCAACGTCAGCCTTCGTGCTGAGAGTAAAATTTGGACTTAACGGGTAGAAATAGAATGCCACAGCCAGAACGATGATTAGGCCAATCAGATGCGACCAGATGTTGACGAGCTCGTTTGAAAAGGTGAAAACAGACGTAACGCACTCGATCTTGGATGTTGTGAACCGGTAGCCGTCTAAGATATGTGGGTTTACTCTCCAGGGATGCGGAAGATCCGCATACGTGATAAGACGTTTTTCCTGGGCTAACTGAATCGCCCGTTCGATGTTTTCTCTCAAAGCAACTTGGGCGTGCCGCGCACGCTCGCGAGCATGATGTAAACCCGAATCCACAGCCCGCCAACCATCGTCAATGGCGCCATATATGCCTCTATCCTTGACAGCGTGCACGCTCGCTTCTAATTCTGACAAAAAGTTCTCCATCAGTCGCATACCGGCTTGGGCTTTCTGATCCAGTGTTTCTTTTGTCGCAAGGGCATGGCTATATTGTTCCTCTAGCGTCTCCACAACGATTTTTGCGCGACGCTTTCCCCCGCCCATTAACTCCCCAGATGCATGGCAGCATTTGTCTCGAACAGTTTCCAAGGCCGCATACGCTCTTTTCAAGCCGGAGTCAATGTCTACCATGTGAAACTGTCTGTATTCCTCTAGCCACTGCAGCCGCCGTTCCATGTCAGCGAGAAAGAGTTCGACCTAGGAAAAGCGGTCAGTAAGGATCATCAAAGAGTAAGAAGTACGGCTGGGTAGGCTACAGACTCTGAGAAATATAGCGTCGGCATCGTAATCGCAGGAAAGTCTCCGCGCAGCATGAAACGAATGCCTGCGTCTCCGATTCCGTAATATTGCCGCGGGCGAGAGTAATCCAGTGGCTGCATTGATATCGTTTTCATTTCCGTGAGATTCCACCGTCATGGACGGGCTTGCACAAGCCATCTCGTAAGTCGGGGTATGCAAGAGCAAAAATCGCTTTTATGAAAGGGGCCGATGAAGTGGGCAGCGATAGGAGCACCAGACAATCAACTGGAGGGGAATCGAGTAGTTATCATGTCAGAGGGAAGAAGCAGTAGACACGGGTGTATCGGTAGGGAGGATATGGACGTTAAAGAATTCCAGAGGACGACTGGCAATCGAGGAAGCTAGTGGAAGGGGATCCTGCAGTGAAAGTGGGGGTTGGGATCGTTGAGGGAATTCTAGTTGAAGAGAGGCAATCAGGTCGTCCGCTACGTGGCGTCGGATCTTCCACCACGACGAGAGGCGTTTCAAAGGGGCCTTTCCATCGCCGACGCCATTCGTTCGCGGATATGCCCTTGTTCTTGAAGTCGCAGATTCTGTGATGTTTCTCGGCTCAACGAATTCCTTTATTTCGGGATCGTCACGGCCGCTAGTCCCGATACGCCGTGATTAGGTAAGCCGGTTGAGCCAGTTCAACTCTTTGATGAAGCTTTGATGAAGACCAGTTGACCATCATTGTGGCATCCCTGTATGACAAACTCCTAAGGATGGCCGTCAACGAGATTGTTACAGACCCCTTGCTGCTCCCGGTTCTGGAAGCGAGTGCGGAGACTCTTACGCAATGCCAGAATCTCTTAGCCTGCCTTGACCCGACTGCTGTTACCTCCCCGCTGCCGCAAGAGACAGTTTTGACCATCTCGAAACAACAGAAGCTCGTGTTTGCGTTGCTTTCGCAGCTTCGGGGGCTGAATCGTGAGGCTATCTTGAACGTCCGGGCGACCAAACAAGCCACCGCCGAGGCCCGGCAGGAAATCGATCGGCTTCACCTCCACCTCCAAAACTTGTACTATGAGCAAAGACACCTTAGCGGAGAGATTGCCGCCTGTGAATCATATGAGTAAGCCCTGTATCAGTCGTTCGTGGGAGATACGTATAATTAACGCCTCCTTAGCCACTCTTACATGTCGCTTCCCCTAATTCCCGTGGAAGAATTCCTCGCTCTCCACCCAGAGCATGCAAACTCTGACGCAAACGAGCTCATGATTGCACGAATAAACCATGAACATGCCGAACGAGAGAAACTAGAACAAGCTAGGCAGGAGTTGTTGAAACGAAAGCAAGCCTTGATAGCTGAGAACAAGAAGCGAAAAGACGACCTTGCCAGTTTGGATTTAGATTTGGAACGTTTCATTGATGTGAGTTCTACCTTTTTGGTTTCTCTCCTTGTGGTCATTGGATTTCGGGTTTAACTCGGGTTTTCCAGGCTGCGAAGCCGATCCAGAAGCTTTTTGAGAAGGAATACGCAGTGGGAAACCGCAAAGCTAGTGTGGATGAGAGATGATTTGGCTCCCTCGGCTCGATTCGACACGATTTTCCAAAGCCGTCACAGCCTTTCCCGGAATGGAGGACTCGAAACCCGACTCGACGGCCATACCTATTCCAGGCAGCGACATAAGTACCTCGCATTATTCCGAAGCTCCTTCATCTCTTCTCGAAAGCCGCGCTCAAGAATAGGATTCCAACTGGGAAATACCCGGCTGCGTCCAAGGACAAAAGACTTCCCTGGTGCCAATGTAATATTGGAATCATATGAAGACGTTCTGCGGGAGAACATGGGGGAGATTGGTTTACCGTTATTATTGACAAAGCCAGGCTCACAGAAAATGGCTCCTGGGGGTGGAGCTACCATTCTTTGGCCACGATCCTTTTAAGCAGAGGGCCAATTGCGTTTCTGAATTCCATATTCATTTCGATATTCAGACCTTTCAGCTCATCACGTTTATGTATACAGGTCTTCATTTAGGAATACAGAGCCCTCTCAGTTATGCGGGTGTCACTAGTTCGGACCGTAATGACAGTTGGGAATGATACTTCCAAATGCACATGATTTAACAAAGCAAATATAAGGATCCTAAATGATATTTGATATGCAAACGACAGTCAATGAAATAGTCGTAATAACCCAACAACTACCTCTTACTACTTCACTCAGATGTCAATTGTGCTATTTTTGCTCGTCAAATGTGAATTCCTTGTTGCTTGGTTGGAGCCTCTCCCCCTGGATTTGCATTGAGGTGTTAATTCACATCACCGCCAAGCTACTATCAGTTGTCCAGATCAACCTCCAGAGCACTCGGTAGAGCGAAAGAATCAAGTCGACTTTCCACTCAGTCTCGAAGCTGAGCGGATCATGACTTGATGATGCCGGGTGAACATGGAGGCACCGGAAATCAGTTCTCCAAAATCAACCCGATTAAACCTTCCGAATCGACAACCGGCGTCATGACAAAGGAGGGCAGCATGTCCATTGCCCACCGCGCTCCGCCGCCTGAGAAACTGGAGTCGCTACGCACCAGATCACTCGTGATATCCGCATTCTGGGCGGTGATCGTATTCTTGGGGCTTCCGATGTGGTGGAAAACCACGTCCATCTATCGCGCTGGACTCCCTTTCAATGAGATGACAGATTGGGCTGCCGGGAGGGTAGGCACATTTCCCGATAGCACCTCCAGCAGCGAAGAACGAGATCTAACCTGCTGAATTATTATAGGCCTGTCGACCGGTGTTTCCACTCCACATCCAAGTGCACGCGCCTTCGATCCATGGCCAAGATGCGTTGAATTTGGTCCAGTCGACACAGCATGCTCTTGATGACTTGAACGACTTCTCCGCGCATCACCTTCGACTCGAGCTTGTCGAGAGCTTACACGCCTCCAATGCCCAGTCCACAGATCATATTCTATCTGATATGGTGGTGAAATCCTCGCCAAATACGGCCCTTACCGTACGACTTCTCCCCCGCGAGAACGTTACAGCACCGACAGCTCGCCTGCACGAATATTCCGAGCACTTGGACATAATCTATCCGTCGAGCCAATCGTCGTCGTATTCCTCTCTCGCCACGTATATTGCTAATGAGTTACAAAATCTTTTTAGTGAAGAAAAGGCTACATTACAGTATATTCTCTCCAAGAGCAATATGCTGGGACCCACGCTCCAGCCATCCATTACTGGCAGAATATCGACACAAGGGTCACAGCCGGCACATAGCAGCAATAAAGAGCAAAGAAACCCCGTTATTAATTCTTTTTCTTCAGAACTGATGGAATCAATCGCCCGGCGCATTGGTCGATCGTTCAAATACGCCGACACTTACCATTTGAGCTTCTCGCTTTTTACTCCGGGAACCCAGCCTTCCTCCTGGGACATCGAGCCGGCATTGCAGGAGTACTTGGTACCATTACTAAAGGCCTTTTCTCCCATTAGCAACTTCTCCATAAATACCCAAGTACAGCTCTACGCCACATTTTCACCCACGTTCACACCTCCAGAATACGAGGAAAGCCGTGGAATATGGACTCTCAAAAAGGAAGATCTTAGCGCTTTTATCAACGCGGCAGAATGGCCCCTGAGTCCAAGCATCGGTGGCGGTCCCACAATGAACTTCATCCTTTACGTCCCTGCAGCAACGCAGTCACCGCTACTCGTCAAGGAAAGCCTGGCAACAAGCTGGCTAATTCCCCAATGGGGTGGAGTAGTGATCCTTAACCCACCTCTCTCTGCTACTACTGAATCACCTACAAACCCAGCCCATCTCACCAAGGAATCCCTCCATATACCCCTCTCTGCATTCTCCCACCAACTCCTCGCTCTCCTCGGCGCCCCTTCCTCTCCATCTTCTCTACCCTTACGGCTCCAGCACCTGATTCGGATGCAAACCGCATCATTGCTTCTCTCCGCGTCATCTACGATGGGATCTCTCGCACGACTCACACGCTCGCTTCCATCTATCCCTATCCCTGCCACCGTCGCAACCTCGGTATCCCGCACCCTCTCCCATCTCTCGTCCGCCTGCGACTTTTTAAAAAACGGAGATTTTACCCAGGCGCTTGCAGCTGCACGTGTGGCCGAAAGAGAAGCTGAAAGGAGTTTTTTTGAGAAAAGCATGGTGGGGCAAGTGTATTTTCCAGACGAGCACAAAGTCGCAGTCTACTTACCGCTACTGGGACCGGTTGGAGTTCCGCTGGTGCTGGCGCTGGTGAAGGAAGTCAACCGGCTAGTGCTAATGTGGAGGGGAAGAAACCAGTAGGAGCATTACCTTGGGCCCCCTGGCTTCTACCGAGATCTCCATGTTTACTATATGTTTACCTGTTTTAAGATCTTCTGTGATTATAACCTGTCTTACTATTTTATATATCCCACAATGCAGCCAAAACATTTTGATAAAACTATTTCAAGAATGTATTAAAGTTGAGTCTGAAGTCTAAACCAAAACTAGGGTGGGTGTATCTCCAAAAAATGCTTTGAACGCTAACACGAAACAATACTCCGATAACTGCACAAACAATTCAATTTTTGTTGGATTTTTCTTCATCCCCCAGGCCTCAACGTGTTCTCATTTTGGTATCTTCTTTGCGTTGGCTGGTGTGGCGTTTCACCAACTGGATAAAACGGACTTCCTCGGCCATTTTGAAAGCCAACCCTTTCCATCATCTCGCTAAAAGTGGTGGGTGGGCGGGAATCTCTCGCGCTGATATTCCGACTTGGGCGAGCATTCCCTTCATTCAATTGAATAGGGCTATATACCCGGATATTCTCCGTATTCGATTGTTGGCGCGGATATACTTGAGCTGGCGGGGTGACTGGCATGGTCGAGGCGTCCGGAATGGTCAGGGTTAATTTGGGCGCAAAAATGCTCCGTACGCGTGTGCTCGCGCGCTCTCTTACGGAACGAGACTTTTGTCTACTTCCTAAACCTCCTTGATGACGAAGAAAATCGGTGCGTACGGAGTCTTGTGCGCTGGAAGGAATTGGGTCTGAAATTGAAAGGATAGCGTTGTCATCGGACCCTCGGCGAAAGTAGCTAGATTTGACAGACGAGCCCGCATTCTTTTCGCGACGTTTCTGCCAATAAAAAAACGCCATGCTGAGTAAAGCTCCAGCTATTAGTCCGGGGAAGAACCCCGCTGCAATTGCAGCACCAGGGAAGGCCGGGCAACTGGAGTTTCGATCTGATGATTGGCTAAAACTAGGAATCGACACAGGGGTTGTCGATACTGTAACTGTTGCGGGAGTCGAGGTGGAGGTCAACGTTGGTTCAGGCGTCGCGGTTGACGTTGGCGAACTGGTTTTTGTTGTATCGAGTTTACATCGACCATCATCACATAAATAACCATGTGGACAACAGGCATCCCCACAGCTTGAGAGAGGCTCGGTGAGCTTGGTCGTTTTGACAACGCTAGACGGATCAATCAAGATATTCTGTTTTTGTAAATCGCAGGTTATCGGTTTGATAGTCGTGCAGTCCTTTCCTTCCGGACAACAAATCAACGTCGTCGAGTCATCCACACTCAAGCACGTCGATGATTTTGGGCAACAGAAGTTGGATGGGAGTTTCGAGTCTGGACAACTTGAGAAATCCGGATCCCCGCAGGTATTGGCGAGTCTGACTGAAAGATCGAAACCAAGACCTGTCAAAGAAACGGAAGAGACAGTTAGGAAAAGCGACTGGAGGGCACAGGCGAACGTCAATCTTGATTGTCGCATCTCAAAGGCTAAGTCTGGAGTCCGAGAAGATCAAAAGTTGGTGCGGTAGGCTATGTGAGCTGGCCAGCAAAGTCAATCACCTCGAATTGATTGAAATAGCCAAAATGACACAGAGAAAGGCAACGTCCAGCTAGTCAATTGTAGGGACTGTAGAATTGAAATAGCTGCAAGAATCAACAACGACTGCACGTAAAAGAGTCATTGTTGAGAAAAAGAAAGAAAAGAGAATCAGGGATAAGAAAAAATGGGCCACCTCAGTATAAGAGAGCGGCGACAATCTCCATAACACAGCGACTGGTCTGCCCGATGCTCCTGGGCGAAGGAGCCAATCCTGGGCCTCGCGAGTTGGTTATTTTTGGCCATTCTGAGGAAACCTGAGAGCCACTCAAGCATGAGCTGCGACTGAAAGCCAGACGCACAGTCTATAATTAAGCGTTGCACCAGCTCAGGGATGCGGGCGGCTGTCGAGTCTGCAGCGTCGTCGGATGGAGTGGTTGGCCTGCAGTTGACGGCCAAAAAGTGTTTCAAGATGCTCTGCGTCAGGTGAGGAGGCGGCGAGGGAATCTGGGCGTGGTGATTGGCTGGGGTCGATAGAGCCCATGCTAGGCCCAATGCGACTAGCGCAGCTTGGCATCAATGAAATCTTCCAGCATCGCGACTTTTGCTCTGGCGGATCGATCTCGACGATTGGGCTGCGAATCCTTTGGCGATGGTTCATTTTGATTCTTCATGATACTCCAAAGGTTATTACGGCCACAGCTTGGCCTGCGCTCCGTGCCTGCGAGAAAGGTTGGCTTCCCGCTCCAATTGACTCTTATCGCCGGTGACTGACGGAGCTCCTTGACAGGCTCTCCTCTCTCAATCCCATGCCCGAGGCCTCCACAACATCCCAAAATTGACATACGGAGACAACTTCAAAGAAAATGGCATTGCGGACCTGCTATCGCCGGACGGCTTTGATATGGCGTGGACCCAATATCAGGGCTTAATGATCGACAAATTGAACTCGATAACAGCCGGTACGTGACCAGCGGGATAACCTTCCATTTAGCCCGCAAGATAGGTCGTAGTTTTGGAGATGGGCTTCTAATAAGGGCATACAGGAACGCCTGATGAGGATGTCCCCCCTGGCAACCTCCTACTCAAGTATGCTCGGGACGCCAGCGCGGCTTCACTCTTCAACTACGCCTCGATGGCACATAACAATCATTTCTTCTTTAATTGCCTTGTTAGTCTATTCACAGCCCTATCTTCTATAGATACAGCTCTCTTAGCTAACGCAAATTCTCGCACAGTCTCCTGAACCAGTTCCCATCCCCCAAAATCTCGAAGAATCCATCAACGAGTCCTGCTCATCGGTAAAGTCGCTCAAGGCGGAATTCCTCGCAACCGCCAACGCCATGTTTGGCCCGGGGTTTGTGTGGCTAGTAAAATCGAAAGATACCGCTGAGTTGAGGATCCTGTGCACTTACATCGCCGGCTCGCCCTATCCCGGTGCCCATTACCGTCGTCAGCCCGTCGACATGGCAACTCAGACAACGGGGGTTGCTGGAGGTGAAAATCCACAAGCGGTCGGGGAGCTAGTGAATAAGCAGTACGGTTCAATGGGGATGTATTCACAGAAGCATGTCCTGGCACCTGGCGGTGCTGACATTGAGCCTATTCTCTGCGTGAATACTTGGGAGCACGTGTGGCTCCGAGATTGGGGTGTTGGTGGCAAGGCTGGCTATCTCGAGGCTTGGTGGGACAAGATCAACTGGCATGAGGTGGCTGAGCATGACAGGAAGGTTGGCCCACGATCGGTGATGAGTGACAAATACAACCAGCCGAAGAAATATACCTCCAATTATATTTGAAAGTTTTTGGCTCCGGGTGTGATTGATTGTTTTAAGCGAATGTATCATATAAATCTGTATCATTTCTTTTCTCTTGTTCGAATATATGACGTCCAGGTTTCTTGTATCAATAACCGGATAAACTCTAGACGAATGGCTCCCTGTTCTCCGATGAAGAGGAAAATCTATGCCGTCACCCAGAGGCCAATCCAAACCGGCCCACATGCATATGTATCGCTATATTCACCTCCGTCGTTCCACCTCAAACACCCTCTTCTCAAACGCTTCAATCATCATTGCCGCCACCTGATTCTCTACTGCACTCATCATCGCCGCATGCATCGGGTTCTTGAACCGGAAATTCACCGCCAAATCCACCTTTGTCAATTCCATCCCCACCGCTCTCCCCTCCAGCGGCTTCAACTTCCATATCGTATCCAAATACTCAAACACGCCTCCGTCCTTTCCTTCTTCCCCTTTCCGCTGAAACGCAATCTCTCCGCTCCGCGCACCCACCGTCCACGTAGCCTCGTCGCATTCGACTTTGGAGTGGAAGGTTTCGCTTAGCGGTCCGTACCCGACAGTGAGATAGGCTTGGGTGGGATAGCCGGTGGCGCGGTCGCGCGCTGTGACGGTGGATGCGGTGAGGAGGGGGAGGAAGTCCCGGTATGACTCGACGTCGGAGATGATGCGGAAGAGCGGGAGAGGTGGGAAGGGAAGCGTTCGTGTGGCGGTGAGGGTACGAGGGGCTGGTGACGAGAGCTGTGGTGCGAAAGAGGAGAGGGAGGGGAGGTTGAAAGCTCGAGATTGAGTCGATAATCGGGGTATTGTTGTGGCCGGTTTTGTGAATTGCGAGCGCAGGAGCGGCGAAAATAAGGATGCACGGGGAGCAGCCATGGCGGAGAGGTTTCTCGGAGGAGGAGAAGCGGTTTCTAATGCGAGGAAGAGGCACTGGCCGTTTATTTTGAGCTCTTGGTAACGCCCTTGATGTGTTATTGCATGGCTTGGATCAACGAGGTATGGAGGCTCAGGACTGCGAAAGATTAGGCGAGGGTTTTGATTCCGCTCTCATCCACGGCCCTGAGACTTCTAAATCACCTCTGCCCCAATCGCTGCCACCGACTCCGGCAATGCAGTCAGTCGAGAACGAATCGGGGCTCCTGTTCGGTCGAAATCCGGCACTGTCGCTTGAAGGCCAGAGTCAAAGCCGCGCCGGGCGTCAGGAACGGGTCGGGAAAAGTTACCACCCGATGACTAGTTTACCGTTGCGATCCAAACAATGGACGAATAAACTCGCAGAGAATGAGCAGGTAACAAGCTCAAGTTTCTTACGTGTGAACACGGGGATATGGAACAATTTTCTCTCACTGAAAATATTGCTAGATCTAAAGTTGATTAAGTTTTGGTCAGCATGTCCTACCACATAAACCGCTGCACCTGTCCTGGCTCCTGAGGCCACTCGAACCCCTTGTACAGAAATATATAGCCCGTCACTACGTTTATTGTCATGAACCAAATTCCTTCAAGGACCAAAGGTAGGTATCGGTGAAGATGCTTGCTCGCGATTTTCTCCCTCCTGGATTTTAGCTGCAGCAGATAGCTTGAGGGAGGGATATACAGGCGCCATAAAACCCAAGGGATGATAAAATATCGTGGTTCAACAAGCGATGCGGTGATGAGGCAAAGGGCGGTTGACACCAGCCACACGATCACGAAACTGACTCTAACGGTAGAAGTAGCGGTGTCGGATTTGGACGTTGGCGAAGGTTGAAAAAGCTCCGCTTCCTTGGTCGGCGTAGAAGCGTTGACTTCCATTGGCCTTTTGGAATCAGGCCCGAAGCCGATTTTAGACGCAGAGAGTGTTGGACCGAAAATCGAGACAGCCATCCATGCGCATAAAAAGTAAAGAGGTGTGACAGCGTATTTGATAAATGGCTTTCGAAGTAGAATTCGAAAAACATAAAACACGTAATGGCGGTTGTCGGCAAGAGTAAATGGGTGAACAATAGTGTTATAGTGGACTGCGATGAGCATAAGGATCCCTGCGCAGACTGCAATGTTGATTCGAGGGAGCTTTTCGAAAAGGCTAGCTTTGCTAGATTTTGCGGTAACGACCTTCCAAAAAGTTATAGCCCATGGCGCAAGAATAATAGGCCAGGAAAAGAACATGAAATAGGGCCAAATGTATAGCATCTGAAGAAGATGTAAACCAGCCGTGTGAAATTCTTTATGACCTATATACGACCGTCAGCATTAAGCTTATTCTCCAAGTAATACAAAACCAACCAAGAACAACGCTCCCATTCCAGAGAACAAATGCCCCAAATGCACCAACGAGGGCCAAGTAAGGCAAGAGTGCGAAGAAGATGATGTGAATATTCGCCAATGCTGAAACTGCGATCGACAAACATGCCTTGAAATAATCTGTTGCAAAACATCAATACCAGTATTGTGCTAAATGAATTGGCCTGCGTGAGACCTTACCCTCGAAAAACGCCTCGCTCACTGGTGGATCATAAATTTGTTTGAGTCCCCAGCTAGACTTCACGATCGTGGCTATATCTGACGAACGGCATTCCGCGTGTAAGCAATGTAAGATCTTGACCACTTGTAAGCCACCCAGAAACACTGCAGCCCAAAATAGATTCGTTTGGCGAATCAGAAGAGACGCCAATCCACAGAGGGTGAACAAGACAGTCTGGTGCGAGAACAAAATGCTCCAGAGCGTATCCCCGGCATCGCCCACGCCTATCCGGCCGTTGAGCAAGCGAGTCCGCTCCAAATCCCGGCGGTAAACCTCCAAAACGACGAGCAGCGCAGCCAAGTCTGTGTAATAAAGGCCCGAGAAAAAGAATATCGGGGGGAACAGGCAGATATTCAAGGCTGTGAGACAAAGGTCCCAGTCAAACTTCCTTTCCGTCGAAGCAACTCTTGTAGAATCTAGCGAGTCCGACGTTTGTCTTATACTTTTGAGTACACTCCTTAGCGCAAATGGTAAGGAGTTAAGTAGGACCAATCCATTGATGCTTCGAAGATATGAAGCTGACAACGCCACTGGCTTATGGGATATTGAAAATCCTAATGCCCCGATAGCATAGGAGATTAGGTATAAGCCTGGCGGAGTTGTTATTTTCGGGTCCCATTGCTTCCACTGATGTTTCCAATATGCTTGCGCTTGCCGGACGTGGAAAACCTCATCAAGATATGGATTGGTGACAATAGAATTTAATTTATTCAACCAAAAAAGGATACACGTTAATAACACAGCAGATGTCAGTGAAGCTCTGACCAATCGTCCTCGAACCATTTTCAGAGGCTTCTCATCTGAGGAACAGCCTCAGAGCAGGTGAAGCCAGACGAGATGTGAACGCGATCAAAGTCTCCAGCCGAGTTACTAATCAAGCGCTGAGCCAATCAGAACGGCAGATAGCCGCATCACCCTAGCGGCTATTGGCTAGTTTACCTGAGGGTTAAGGGAGGATGTACTTTGCCGGCTAGTTTTATTACCTAATCAGGACCTATGGCGCAACGGTAGCGCGTCAGACTCCAGATCTGACGGTTGTGCGTTCAAATCGCACTGGGTTCATTATCTTGCAAAGTCCTTGACGGATATAATTTTTTTGCCTGTCTGTTTTTCGAAGGAGTCCTCTAAGGCAAGTATTCATTTGGAAAATGGCCAACTCAATTAGGAACTCAACATCTATTAACATATGAAAGTATGAGGGGACTATAATTACTAGAGAAGCTAGCACATCACTGACACATAATCACGACATTAACACCCAGCCCGGTCCTCTCCGTTGCCACAGACACAGCACATGAATAACAGCAGTCATCACCCTTCCTGATCACCGCGTGTCTTCCAGTCTCCGCACACCAAGCCCTCGCCAAAACCTCTTCATCCTCGCCCATAGCGTCAATCACAATGAGCTGATTCGCCGGCGGATACTTGTTCTTGAGATCCGCTGCCATAATAAGATTTTTCTTGTACTTCTCTGCCTGGCGCTGGTGGATGACATGGGAGCCAACGCAGGGTGGTGCGGCGACAAAAACAGGGTTCGAATACAGCGTACAAGTAACTTTTCGTCCGTCGACCTCGAAATCGATCGAGGCGCGGTACTCTTCCGGTGGCAGATCCGTTCTCGTGGTTGACGCGGCGCTAGAGTTCGGTAAGAGAGTTAACTGAATGTTTGAGAACTTTACGCGACGCGGAGCGTTGTACTGTCGAGCAGGCGTAGGAGACGGCGCCTGTATCCATTCGTCCGGGTCGGTAAAGGATTTCAGGAACGTGTCGACAGTCTCGGTTCTCCCGTCAGGCTCTTCGAAACCCAGGCTTTGGAAGACACTCCGGTTATTCGCGCCGGTACTGACGGGGACGGGAACCGAAACACTACGTGTCTTAAGGCGAATCCAGCCACTGAGTTCCCCTGTGGGTGCAGGAAGTGGCCCGATCCAACCGCAGACACTTTTGACATCTTTCATACCGCCTAAAACCCTACCCAAGACAGTCCTCCTTGGCCAGTAGCTCTTGTCCTTCACAATAATGCCATTCTCCCAGTATGGCGCGGAGCCAAGTGATTTGATTGTAGGTGAGGAATGAACAAGGCACGACATGACTCGGTGTCTATAAATCTTTCCGGGCAACACGAGGCCGTAGAGCCAGTCGTAGATGTCCCAGCTGGGAACGGGTTTGGCAGCAATAATCTCATCATACGCCCCTTCAATAAAGCTGCGGAATTCGTCCATGTACGGCCATTCCATTGCCTCAGCAAATCGGATGAGAGCTTCGGCTTGACGCTGGTTTTGGCTTGCGTACAACGACCACGCCTTGGCTTCATCTTCTTTCACTCCCTAACAATAAATTATCAGCCTCATAACCACATTCTCCCTTTGCCGATTTCTCACACTCGACTAAGAGCAACTTACAGCTTTCGGCCCTTGAATCACAACGTTTTCCATCCACAAGGCGGCCAAAACAATGGTTGCTGAAATGGCATCAGTAACGATCCCGGTGTAGCTGGTCGTAGCAGGCTCTTTTCGAAGACGGATAAGAAGCTCTGCACCCATCAACATTTGGAAGAGGAAGTTCTTTAATCCGATACCAGTAGTGGCCGGGTTGAAAATATGGTTGCAAAAAAATCGTTCTTTAGAAGCGTCGAAGAATCTAGTGGAAGCGTCGTGAAGGCTGCGTGTCAACGACATGCAAAGGAATGAGATCCGACCTTGACGTGTTCCACCCGCCATGAAACCAGATCGCAGAAGAGCTACTCTACTTTTTGTTAGAGAAAGGTCTCCTTTATGGCGAGGTAAGCACACTTACTGTGGTAACGCAAGTAAATCTTTGAGCCCCTCATCATCTTCAAGTGCGGGTTGGCTCCTCAGTTTTCGAAGCCGTTCTACAACCTTGGCCAGTGGAACCTCGGGGAAAACATTGTCGGCTTCGAGGCTAATTTTAAGCACGGGTTGCTGCAAGAGTTGATGGGCTCTATATTCCTCGGAGTATCCACTGATGGTAATGGTTGCAGGATACTTCCCCTCATAGTACGCGGACGTTTCACAGTCCATATCCAGGAATGTGTTGCCTGGATAGCTAACACTGCCAACTGCCATCATGCCTGAAGGCGGTCAGCAATCAATAGAGCTACTGATTTAATCCAAACTTACTGTAACTTGGATGAAGAAACGTTGGAGTCCCATACTCCCTCGCGGTAAGATCGGCCTGGACCAATCCAATGTAAAGCAGTCGGATGGCATCGATATTTCCCGGTAACGTGTACGGGCTAATAGACAGGGCACCCTTATTCTTCTGCCTAAGCGCGACATTCAGGTCGTCCATTTGCCTCTGAAGCTGTGCGGGATCTCTCAAATTCCGGCTATAGGCGGGAGGGGATTCCGACGGGGTATTCTCTGCCCAGTCTATCAAATCGTTGAATCCTTGGGTAAGATTTGAAGTGTTTGGAGGGCGATTGACAGCGTTGGCCCTCGCTGGTTGACCGGTAGTATTGCCCGCGGCGCTTGACGACTCATTTTGGGCTAATAGATTTGACGTTCAGAAACAGTTCAAAACATAACTAATCATTTAAGCTTACCATTGGGCCTAGGGGTTGTGGCACGACCAGGAGACGAAAAGGTCCATGCCGAGTTGGTATTATCAGGTGCTTGTAGAGTTGAAGTCTGGGACGAGGTCGTGTTATTTGCGGTCGTTGCTGGGTTAGTAGTGGTCTGCGGCGGCAAGGGGGACTGGGTAGCAGTCCTCGGAGAGGCGGTTTGAGGCGGCGGAGTTGAAATTGGTGCCTTATTTGATTGCGACGGTTGTTGGGCGGGCCGAAGTGGAATAGTGCTAGTTGACCCCTCTGCGGGAGTTGATACGTTGATCAAGGGAGGAGAAGAGAAGGAAGGAGGTGAACTGATATTGGAAGAAGTAAACGCCGGGGAAGAGGTGGTTGTGGATGATGCAGAGAACTGGGTCCGGCGAGCCCGTACATCTGCCAAAGCACTTTGCGCGACATTCTTGCCATAATCTTGAGCAAAGCCAACCGCATTTGTCAGAGCCTCTTCGGCGCCCTGCATGTCGCCCATTCTAGACAGGATCCGTCCTTTCTCCAGCCAGCCCTGCCATGATCGAGGGTCTAGCTGGATTACGGTATCGGCATCTTTCAATGCAAGGTCCAATCTTGGTGGGTTGGACATTGAAAGGGCCGTGGTTTTGCTTAAAAGCAAGCCGATGTCGTTAGGTGCCGCACGCAAGGCTGCATCGTACATGACCACAGCTCCATTATAATCGCCCCTCTGTGTGAGCTCATCACCTTGGGAGCGGAACGGCTCTCCTAACCGGACGGTATTTGGTTGGAGGGGCGCCTGAACTTGTTGGAGTGGCGGTTGCGGTTGGGCTTGGGGCTGGGGTTGGTGTGAGTAGGCCTGATGAGACGGCGTATATGAGTGCCGATTTTGTGCATACTGCTGCGGTGTTTGCGGCGTAGGCGTGTAGGGATGCGAGCCTTGACCATAAGGAGATTGCTGAGGATTGTAAGTCGACGGCGGAGCAGCTGTCATGGAATGGCGCGAGGGCCGGTCGTCCTTTTTCTTCAAGCCGAACAGCTTCCTCATGATTGCAACGAGCCGCGAACAATCAACAAAGAGCGAAGGAGAGGGCTAACGTAGATGCACTGGAAGTTCCTCGAACCCAAGGTGACAGAGGACAAAAGGAATCACGTCAAGTTTCAGATATGAAGAAGACATGGAGTCAGATTCTTCACTGTGCCAACCCAAGCTTCATGGAGCCTGATGCCCTTTGACAGAGCCTCCAGTCAGCCCGCAGATCGAATCCCCGCACGCCCTCCAAGGGCCTGTGAAAATAGCGCGTTCAAATACGAGCTGCATTTCGGGACTGGAGCAAGCCACGCTCTCTGCCGCCCGTACCAAGGCCTGCAAAGCCTGGCGCTCCATCATCCTGCCGTAGTTATCAGGTCATTTCGGAAACTGAATCGATCTCTCATCTCTTGAACCATCGTATCCCAACGGTCTGAAGCTCGTGGAAGCTATGACTCTGTACCAAGCAACTCATCGTCACTAGTGAGCTAGCTGCACCCACAATTGTGTCGTTACGGAGTACGGAGTTGATGCTGCGCCACTCGCCTTTGCTGATGCAGTTCGGGATACCAAGTTAGATGACGAACAGAGATGGTTTTTGAATGACATTGTGTGGACGAGAAGACCTTGGTTCCATCCACGACCTTGGAGCTTTTCATGCGAACCTGCCAGGACGTGGGTTTATCTCCAGCGGCCGTGTCGTCAAGATCCAATGCCAGTTTAATATCCAAATGACTCAGCAGAGCGCAGTCTTGATATCAAGCAGCCGGTCGATGCAAGATCTTGAACGGAGCTCATGGCGTTCCCTCTGCCACGAGGCATTACGCCTCCGGAGATCACATTTCTATGTGAAATGGAAATGGTGACAATTGTTCCACGGCAGCGTCTGGAAGGTCTCGAGCTACTTGGTGTAAGTAATCAACACCCTCTTCTCTCCGTTATCTGAGCTCGATGCCCAAAATGCGGGGGATAATATCAAAAGCCCGGGAAAATGATAGAACTCAATTAGGATGTGCTAATGGGCCAGTACTCTAGGGACCTATTGAGCCACTGATTCCACCCCGTCGTAGCTCTTTGCCGCTCTGGCTTGCCCTCCTCTTGAAGCGGCAGCGCCGTGCAAACATCCTCGCCCCTCCATGGCTGAATAACGAATGGCTCTCTGAGCTTCTCAGGATAGAAACTGACCATGATACATTTTTACCGCCCCCGCCGCTTGATTGCCCTGCTTATACTGGAAACGTTGCGCGTCGAGACGGGCGCCGGGGCGGACCATCGGGAGCTACACGTACACTAGACGGCCAAAAGTACATTCCTTCTCCTCCCTTTTTACTTCAAAACACCGTAGACGATCAAGCCATAGCACCGACCAATCCCTGGCTACCCTACCATTGGCTAGAATTGGCGACAATGCTACTAGACACGGCGAGTGACGATCTCGTGGAGCCCGATCAGCTGCGCCGCATCATTCGAGATGTCAGGGAGCTACGCATGGCGAAAATGAGAAAGTTCACTGAGCTTGTCGATGTCACCGCAATCGGTGGTGGAGAGGGTTTACCTTTGACCGGCGTGGGAGCGATGGAAATTGGGGAAGCTAGAGGTTTTATGTCGGGAGCTGCTGAGACACTGAGGTACGCGGGTTCTCTCTCTCTGTCAACCTTTTATTCGCGCCACTGACTACTTTTTGGCTAGACAAATTGGTGCATCGAAAGAGGAAGCGCTGAGAGAGCAGGGAGAGTTGGGCGGCGAGATGCAAAATGACTACGATGAAGATGATGAAATGGAAGATCTATGAAACACATCCGGTTCTGCATCCCGTTTTCAAAGTAGAACACGGGCCCACTGGGCTGGAAGCGCGTATACAGGGAGAGCGGCCATCCCCAACAGTTCCCGAGGTTAATGGCCACGCATCTACTCATGGGTACGCCGCAGCTAAAATATTACCTTTCGAATCAGGATCGCATCACAGTCCTACAGAGCCAAGTTGAACACTAGGCCTACGGTTTAAGAGCGACGGCGGACTTCTAGTCGCTTTGGGGTCTTGAACAGTTGAACATAGGAAACACAATCTCCCTACGGAGTACGCAGTTCATATTCCCACCCAATGTACAGAGCCATGGGATGTACCCATGTTTCAATAATTGTCAAGCTCTGCTGTGGCCACTGGTATGTTCAGGGTATAATCTTCGTTTTGTACATACAATTGCATCTACAGGCATTGTGTGACGTATTCTTGCCCTTCTTTAAAGGGTATCAGCAGTTTGCTTCAAGCAAGTTGCCTCACAAAAATCCAATAAACATGACAGTTTCTTGACAGTCTGCCTTGTGCCCAAGTTGCTTATGAATGATCAATATTGTCACGTCTTCATGCTAGCGTAGAACGGGGTTGGAAGGGGACTAAAGAGGAGTGTGAAAATTCCTACCGAAAGTGATTAGTTGTGAAGGGTGGCAAAAGAATAGTTCCTAACAGCTGTATGGGGGTATTCGTACCGAATCTCTATTTCTACCGCTTGAAAACACACAAGAAAGCATCAAGAAGGTCCCAAGACTTTAAGTAAGCATGAAGCTTTGCCACAGAGGGCCGACCTTTTATCAAGCCAAACCCCGACAAAACTTATGCAGGAACGCTCGGTGTTAGGGACAATGCGAAACGCTAGAATATGATCGATTTTCGGAATTTCCGCAATTATTGACTGGTCGCATGGTCTTTCTCCAACATCTTCCTTCTTGCGGCAAGGATCATATCGTCTCTGCGTTTCTGCAAAAGCCGCTGCCTCTCGCTTTTGTTCTGCGACCAAGCATTCTCCGATCGTAGGATTGTGCCAGACCCGGAGTCCACAGCGCTAGTATCCCCAGAGATATCTTCATGCAATCGCGAGCTGAGGTTGTATCGGGTGATAAGGTCCTCCGTCGGTCGCTTGGAAGGAGGCGGCGACGATGAAGTCGCGGTGCTCGCAGGACTCTGAGCCGCGGGTATATTCGGCTGGAAAGAAGGAGGCGGCTAGAGAGCAAAAAGTATTAGCCAAAACAATATCTGAGGAACAAACAAAGCATGTATTGATATAATATCGATTCCATAAACGTACATTTTCTAGCCCCCTCCCCGACAATACCCTTTCTGTCGTAGCAGCCACACTCCCCCCGTTCCGCTGTAAGTCCCACATGACGTCCCTTCGACTTAGCTGTGGGAACATCTGTACAACCTGCTCGACCTGCGCTGGATCGACGCGCGGGCGGCCATTTCTATCAGATCCGGAGGCATCTCCGGTACCATCGCCCCGCGAGAAAAACCATCGAATGACGAAGAAGGATACGACGGCAAGTGTGAGCAGGGAGGGGATGTTCAACGACGGCTCGACGTCGGCCATGTATGATGAATCGACAAGAGAAGAGATGAAGCCCAGAAGTAAATGAAGGTCTGTTTTAATCAGTTGAATGTTTGCGAGGTTTCGTGGATCGCGTGCAGTGATGTCGAACTGGCAGTTAGGCTGCAACACAGGGGAGGGATGGGAAATGAGAAAAGAAAGATCTAGATAGGGGTCAGGTCAAAAAGGGGTGAAAAGAACAATAGAAATCAAGCATGCGATCGAAATCCTCTTGGAGCTCACAGAGAGCAAAGTTGGAGGTCAGGATGACGGGGAACAGAATGCCGGCAATGGCAGAAATTAGCGGTGAAGTTTAACTAGTTAGTTAACTAGACTGCCACCAGCAAGCTTCCATCTAGCCACAGGCCACCTACGGAGTATACAGGTGGGCTAATACGGACGGATTCTTCATGGAGTTTGAACTGGAGCTTCGGATCATACAGAGTACAGTGTCTTCAATTGCATGCATTTCCCATACAAATCCACACAAAAAATGGACAGCTCGCAATTGCTTATTACTTAGAATATGCTGCCACTCCCAGCTTGTCGTGGATGTATGGAGTAGGTGGAATTCCCATGCAAAGTGTTGATGTTCAAACTGCCATACAGCCAGAACTGCATGAAACTTCGTGTGTTGGTCATCTATCAGACTAGCCATAGAGTCCCCTGAAACAGGTGCGGATTTCAAGCTTTGGATGCTGATAAGGACGTTAAAGCGAGTCCAGACTCCCTCTATGATTTCCAGTTGATTTCAACATGAAATTATGGTCTTCTAACTTCAATTGGAAGATAAGTGGAGAAAAACACCACTGAAAGCTTCTTATCCTTGCGATTCCTTTTCAGAACCATAACAAAGATTTTATATTAAGCTATAACAGGTGGAAGCCCAAATATTTCAAAAAATCCTTATAAGCTTATAAGGACCTTATAAGAACCTTATTATGGCCATTATAAGGTCCGTTTAAAGAACTTGATCTCAAACCAAACAGGCCCTTAATGGTTGGTTCAATCACAGAACCATCACCAGCATTTAAGCTCACTTGCAGTTACAAGTGCGAAATCTCAATCTTCTGACTTTTTGTAAAATTGTTCACTTGACTCATAAATCTTGATTGTTCTGAGTTATTCCATAGGCTATAGCTAGATTCCCATCCCTGGGAAGTTGTTAAATGCTCACTCCCAAACACCTCTCATATACATCATATCACATCGCCCAGAACCAATGCCAAAACGCACCACAATCAATACCCACAAAACAACTCACTTCAAATCTGCGGGTGTTAATGCTTGAACCACACTTGTGCCTTCACTGAACCTCGTTCTGAAGATCCTATTTGCATTCTGGAACATCCCATCTTTTAAACTAACAACAATGAACTGGGACCCTTTGAATCGAGTTTTGATCAAACGCCCAATATTCTGAGTGTGGGACAGGTCAAGGGCTGCATCAACCTCATCCAGGATGTACATGGGTGCTGGCTTGAATTGGAGCAAAGCCATGATGAGGGAGATTGCAATAAGCGACCTTGGCATTTTGTCAGTTTGACTTGAAACGGTATGAATCGCACGCAAAGGGGACATACCGTTGACCTCCACTGAGCTCTGTCAAGCTTTGCTTCCACACTTTTCCTAAGCTGACTTTCACTTCCAACCCGTCAGTTATCTCCTTCCCTTCAGGCGGATCCAGTTTTGCGAAACTTCCGGGAAGAAGTTCTGCGAATATCTGACCAAAGTCGGCATTTACTTTAGTCCAGGTCTTCTGCAGCGCCTCTTTTTTATATTCATCGAGAGTGATAATCGTCTCCTCAATTTTCCTCTTATCTCGTATAACTGTACGCATCATGTTCTTCAGCGAAGCCTCCTTCTTTTCTACGCTGTCGATCATATTCATGACTTTGGGGTTAATCTTTTTCTTCATTCCCTGGAAGCGTTCAGTCAGATTGCGCAGAGATGCCTTGCACTCAGCAATGTTTTGTCCCTTGAAGTCGTAAGGGGTGTTGGGACGCCCGAAATTCTCTTTCTCCTCCTTGATCCAATCGTATTCATTCTCCATGCCGCCTACCGACTGAGCCGCATGGTGTTGGTCCTTTTGGAGCTTTTCAAGCTGGTGGCCTAGTTTCTGCAACTCTAGTCCGTCTTCCGTGATTCTAGCCGCCTTGGATCGCTTTGCTTCTTCGAGGTCATGGAGTTCGTCATCAAATCGTGTTAGTTTCGCTTGTTCATCCTCAAGCCGCGTTTGCGCATAGTCATGAGCTTCCTAAGGATAGTTAGTAAGAGGTTGTCGTCCAGCCCTCTCAGATAACAAACCTTGCATCGCTTCTGTTCCCGTTTTATTTCTTCTACTTCCTGCATTTGAGCTTTTAAAGCGGCGTCTGCCTCCGCTAGTTGCTCTTCCGCAGTTGTCAAGTCACTGCCTGCTTGTTCAGAGTCAATCTGTGCCCCTTGAAGCTCTTTTTGCAGCGTCTTAACCGAGATGGAGTTTTTGGTTAGTTTCTTCTTCAAATTATCCAAGGACGCCTGCAACTCTGCTAACTTGCTGTCCTTATTGTCGTTGAACTCGGACATGTCCTTTTCAATTCTCTTGATATCCTTGGTTGCCTCCGCGTGCCGTGACTTAGCATCAGCGATGTCCTTTCTGAGTTGCTCAATGTTTGCACGCATTTCTTCTACCGCATGGATAATCTAGGCGATGTTAGCAAGCCCTTACGTACAGTATGGGCAACAATGTTGGTCTTACCGAAGACGACGAGTTTCCATTGATCTGTTCTTCAGTAAGCTTTATTTCATGAAGTTTCAAGTCAAGCTCCTGCTTTGTAGCCCTAGCGGACTCCATTTTCCTCTTTTCTTTTGCCATTGTCTCCTGAAGAATACGGAGCGTTCGTTCTTTATGACTAAGTTCAGACATGACTTCGTTTAATTTCTGGAGGACAAGAAGCACGCCACTTGAATTTGGTGAACTGCCCCCTGAGAGTGTTCCTGAAGGGTCATATACATCTCCCTCTAGCGTCACACTCTTCATGCGTACCGAGGGGTCAAATGTCACTGTTTTTGCAGTGTCCGCATCCTGGCATATAAGCGTCGTGCCGAAAACATATTGCATAGCGGCGGCTACCTCTTCGTCATATCCAATTAAGGATAGGGCCAGATCGACTTTCCCGGGGACAAGATTTTTCGCTGCACCGATCTTTTCTGCTGATGCTCTGAATGCGGCAATTTTATTTAGCGGAATTATGGTGACTCGTTTTCGGAGTTTGCCGTTTTGCAAAAGCGCAGTGGCTGTGTCCGTTGTATCCACGACAACGTTGTATAGACGTCCACCAGCACAAACTTCAAGGGCTGTACCAGTCTCAGACTTGTCTTTATTCAATGTGAACAACTGGGCGACTAAGCCTTTCACCTTGGACCGGACGAAATTGGGATATGGGTCAGCGTACGTGAAATCAATGTTAGCAACTCTTCGCTTCAACGAATCAGCTTGACCGCGAAGCTCACGTATTTGTTTCTGCAGCATCGATTCCTCTTGGTACATTTGCTCTTCTTTACCCGGCTCGAATCCTTGCTTAGCGAGATCCGCCTCCAGCTTTTTAGCATGCCTTCTTAAATTGTCGAGATCCTTGAGCAATCCTGAATTCTGCTCCATCGCTTTCTTTGCCCGTGGCTCTTCCTCTTTTATACGCTTTTCCAAATGGGCAATCTTCAGCTTGGATTGCTCCTGTTCTGTAGCAGCTGAACTAACGCGGTTGCGTGCATCCTGCAATTGACCCTGGTAGCCGTTTTCCTGGCCTTCCTTGGATGCTACACCGGTCTGCAGTGTCTGAAGAAGTTCTTCCTTCTGCTCTACCTCCGCGGTTTGTGCGTCCAATTCCGCCTTTGCAGAATCATATTGAGCTTGCAATTTGCCATAAACCTTTTTCTTTTCCTGTACAAGCGCTTGCACTTCTTGAACGGCTTTTTCTGCATCTGCCCGTTTCTGCGATTCTTCGGCCATGCTGGATTTCTTCAGATCGAACTGCGTAGAGAGTCGGACCATCTCGTGAGAGTGCTTCTTCACCTCATCTTCTAGTGCTTGAAATTTACCGCCTTTACGTAGCTCCTTGTCCCGCGCTGCCTTGACCTTGCTTACATCTTCCTCGAGATTTGCAATTTCGCCTTTCATCCTGGAAGTGCTAGTTTCCAGCTCGTCAATCTTACGCTTCTTGTTTTCCAGTTCTTCTCCCGCCATTCGTAACCTTTCACCGTTTCTCAGATAATCGTGCGCAACAACCAGTCGAGTCAATCGTTCTAAATCGCTCTGTGTTTGTTGGAAATCAAGAAAAGCTCTCTTCTCTCCCCTAAGTTTCTCCAGCTTGGGTTCAACCTCCTCCTGCAGCAGGCCTTCAATTTCACGCACTTTCATCTCTTTCTTGGCCATTGTCTTCCCTGCTTTTTCCTTTCGATCCTCAAACATCCTGGTGCCAGCTGCCTCTTCGATCATGGACAAAATTTCCACGGGTTTCATATTCAACACCTTCGTTATTCGTCCTTGCATAATCAAAAAGTTTGGATTATTGATATTGAGCTGCACGCTTTGGAATAAATTCTGGACTGTCTGCTGCTGCGCCCTATGACCATTGATCAAATATTTGCTGGTCCCGCCTAACACGATCTGCCGAGTCACCGATATACTAGCATACTCCTCGAAACCAATCGGCGACTTGGTTTTATCACGATTGTCGAAAACGATTGTCACGCTCGCTTTCGTTACGCCTGCTTGGCCACGTTTGTAGATTAGGTCTTGAAGGTTTTGTGCACGGACGGTGCTCATGTTCGTGATCCCAAGGACGAAGCATATTGCGTCGAGGATGTTAGACTTCCCACTACCATTGAGACCTGTGATCGAGTTGAACGATTCATCCCTATGGAGGTAAAACAGAATCAGCGTAGCCCTTAATGCCACTTGTCGCCTCGATTTAGGAAGAAGCACTCCGAGTTGAACGTCGAGAATTCGTCACCGGAGCTTAAAAACGTACCATCCTGATATCACCGTGCGCACAGCGTAGGATTTAAAGCCCTAGTACGGCCATCAAGCGTTAACAATCTTTCCCGGTAGCAGAATGCGGCCTGCTCACATCGATAATAACCTCCACGATCCGCATGTTTGTCTTCTGCCGCGGCTACAGCGAATTCAAGCAAGCTATCAGACAATCTCAAAGCAATAAATTAAATGAACGGCAAAACAACTAATAAAAAAGAAAGGCAGGGAGGTATAATGCTCTCCTTCAAAGCCCAAATGCAGCTTTCAACCGTGGGCGGTCTCGTCGCGGTGTGTTGATGATGCGGGTCCAGTGTGCCCAGCCCGGCGTATTTACAAACTTCCGAACTTAGTTTAGTGTAGATGAAGACTTCCATCCGGATTATGTCAGCAGGCCAGGGTAGCTACCCAAAACTCATATTACGATCAGACAACGACTACAACAGGGGCAGAGATATAGACGATAACTTGTGTTTGAGGGCTGCGTCTGATTGTAGAATTTGAAAGGAGTTAGCCTTCCTTCGAAGAAAACAGCGAAAGTTTTGCAGTCTTCTCTAGCGTCTAAAGGAAGGAATATATATTAGTTTTGACTACATCCCAATTCCAGGGTATAGGCAGGATTAAATTGAGTATCCTATGCGTTCAAAGCCAAGAAAGATAGCTTTAGACAGGATGAAGTTTTGAATAAAAGAGCGAGGACATTTATTGTTCGCCGACCAAAGTTGTACCCTCCCGGAGGCCGTCGACCACCAAGTCATGGCCTTCAGCCCTTTTGTAGATATCCCGAATATCATCTGTTTAGAAGCGTTAGCCATACGACACCTCCTTTGAGTGTAGGGATAACACATACCTGTCGTAGTCTCAAAATGGCTAGTCGCATCGTAACTCTTGGATATATAAATATTATCCTCCACGCCACTATCAATTGGCTCATACAACGGAATCGGAGGACCCATGAACTTCTCTTCAATTTTGCCTAGACGCTGGAAACCAGGCTCTAATTCGAGATGATGGTTGGCTTCGTTCTCAGCAATGGTGGATACAATGGCGACGTAGTAGCCCTTTGGGCAGACGTTGTGAGCAGATGAAACCATCGCAATGTAAACATCTAGATTAATTAGCAATCTGCATCAAACAGATTAAAGGGGTCTTAATCTTACCGTGCTTACGGCCGATCTGAGATTGCGGGATAATGAGCTGAAGAGAATCACTTCCATCGGTCTTGTCGATTGGGTGGTTCAAGATACAGATGGCCTTGAGGAGGTATCCAGTAACTCGAACCTTTCCGGGGAAGTAGGATGGATCTGCGATAATCTTCTTGGTCTTAGTAGTAAATCTCATTCCTGGCCCGGGCTCTCCTTTTTCCTTCATAGTAGCTTTTATCCCCGAGACCTTGCCGTTTTCATAGAGGATCTCATCCACGTCGGTATTGAGCATGTAAGTACCACCATAGATAGCGGACAAGCGGGCAAATCCCTGAGGTAATTCACCGAGACCATACAGAGGGTAGATATAAGGGGATTTTCCATAACGAGCCATCGAGTTTACATATAGGCGGATCCTGTTGACCGTCTCACTTGCTCCGCCAGGTACGCCGATATACCCATCCGACTGGTACAACGCCATGGAATGACCGACGAAATCGCGGGTAGAATCTTCGAGTCCGAATTTATCGTACACCTCCTTCATAGTGCAGTTGGCCATGTTAAGTCCTACTAGCTAGTAAGCCCCCGTTAAGAGAACATATCAGAGAAACTTTGCAAACCTTGATGAGTACTTGGGTTTTTCTCATCAAATTCACCAACCCATTCTAAGAATTTCTTCGCACGGCGCTTCTCAAAAAGGCCCATTAATGATGACCGAAGAGCTTCCCCAGCATCTGATGGGACCTTCGCAACCATTGCTTTAGAACCACTTCCCTGCTGGACATAGCTTCCAGCAATTTGTCTGAACTCAAGGTATCTTGTGACGTCGGTAGAGACGAGGATATTCGTCAACTCTCCATTAGACATAAGTAGCTTCGGGACGAGGTCGACATTCCAATCATTGACCCTGCCATATTTCTTCCAGGGTTCCTCGCCGGGCTTCAGGTTGCCAAACTTTTTGAAGAGCTTGAATATCGTTAGAGATTGGATGAGAATAGGAGTAGGTGTAGTAAACGAACTGTCTCTATGTTGACTGAGGCTGCTTCACTGTGTATCCATCAGCAAGTGGGATCTTCATATTTGGGAGACAACAGGCAAACTAACGCTCCGTAATGATCGTTACGATCAATATGCAAGACCTTTTGGCCCTTGACGCTCAGAACACTAAAGAAAATGATTAATACAAGTCAAATCAAGCGATAAAATAGGTGAATACCCGGAAAGCACACATTCCGTTAAGCCTAGAAGTCGAGCACCAAGTCAACAGCAGTTCAACGAGTTGTAAGTGGGGTAAACGGACCTGTGCCTAACACAACAACGTCATACTCGGGTGCAATATCGTCCATGGCGTCGAGTGAAGACGATAACGTTATGAAACCAAGATCTAAGTAGATGGAAACAGGAAGCGAACAATTATAGGAAGCAATAGAGGTGTAATTGGAAAAAGGATGATGGACATCGAAGTTGGAGATCGTTGCTTGATCTCCCACTTCATTCGGTCCGATTATGGTTTGACGCTAATGGGCCAGAGGCGGTCTGCCCCCTGGTACCACGACAAGCACAAGCTTCCCCAAGTCCTCAAGCTCCCATAACGGATCACAACTGTCAGCTTGAAACTGCTGACCTCGGAGCTCTTATCCATGGAATACAGTATAGGAGTTCGCATGATTCAAGTATATATAGCCAAATCATTATTGTATTGAATACTGTACATTTGTATTTTTACAAGAGTAATTGTTATTACACCTCATCTGATGGCAGGCTTGCTGAGTGTACGGAGAATCCTGGAAAGAATTGTAATTGAATAATCCGAACATGGGCATCCAAAGCCAGACCATCCGAGTTATATTAGATAATTTTAGAAGCTCCAGGCTCTGGTTTGTTGGCCGAGCCCAGCTCTTCAGGCCCCTCCTGTTCCGCCGCGATACCATCAGCATCCTCAAGCACTTGTTCTTGGGACGGTCTGTATCCGGAGTTGTAGAGATCACGAGCTTCGTTCCAGGCATACCATCGCTCGCGAAGGACATGTTTAATAGCATGTTGCGTAGTTCGAACCTATACCAGAACGTTAGCGGGCGTAACAATGAACAACTGGCTAGTATCCTCGTGAAAGAGTTAAAACGTCGAGTCAGGAAAATCCCAAATTCATCTCAATAACCAAAGGGGTTTAAGCGGTCCCAGAGGCATTCATATCGGCGAGTGAAGGTAAGGGGCTCATCATTTGATAAAAAGAAAATAGAGCAACTGAAGGGGAGGGCTTCTGGGTGCTGACCGTTTTATCCCGGTTCTCAGACTCGAAGTCTCCGTAGCCGGCTGCCAATCGCTTTCTCTCATAACTAGATGTCGCTATCCGGTTACGTTCCCGAACAGTGACCCACCAAAGGCAATGCAAGTCATCCCAAGACTTCTGCCTCAGCTCTTGGATAGTCCAAGCACGACCTTTTTCAAAGAAGTCAATTAGCAATATATTGGTTAATCAATAAGTATCATCACATACCGTGAGCATATTCATCTTCTGGTGTAGGGATAGTTTGTTTGTCTTGGCCGAAGAAGCCCCAAAGTCCATGTTCAGGATTAACGGGCCGCTTTTCATGCTGAGTTGCTGGGATGGGCTTCGGCAGATCGAATTTCGACACGGGCAATGCCTGTTTAGGCCCAGTTCGGTGGATGGCAGAGACGCCGCGATGTCGACTGCGATCACGAGCACAAGGAGTTGAGGAGCAAGAGAAGTGTGAGCGTTGGGATTTGAAGGTGATTTTCGGACAATACAGTGCAGGGGCAAGAAAAGCTGGGGGCAATTCGACCAGCGACGATCCCCCTTGCTGATACATAAACGAGAGAATTGATTTGGATGCCATTGAGTCAATGGACGGCTTTTTGGGGACGTGTTGTTGAGAGAGACACGGTTGCGAGGTTTTCAAAAATAACAAGCAAAAATTTTCAGTTCAAAAGCGAGGGGTCCCGTGACGTGTCACGTGGAATTTCCCAGCCCCCTTTGCTTGGCGTTTGTGTTTTGGGACTCGCTATCACGAATGCGCATGGGAGTTTTTACGGAGTACGGAGTAGCTAGCAGTACCGCACGGCCATACGGAGAATGCGAAGTTCCAGAGTGTACCAGCAGTTGAGGTTCGTATATGTAGCCTGCATCACAGATTTGTGCGGGCAGTGCAATCAACTACATTCTTCAGCAACGGAGCGGGCCTTGAGGTACCAAATTTGGATTAAGACCTGCCCGTTCCCTTCAAACAGGCTCCTTTCAGCTGAAGAGAAGACAGAGAAAAAAACGATTTGGCAGAGAATCCCGGCGCTGAGAGCGATACTGTTCTCCCGGACTCCCCGAGGAATAATCAAATCAGCGGTGCTAGCACACCCATCTAGCAATAGAAGGATGAAATCCTGATCATCAATTCTTTTAGCGTATTCAGCACACTAAGTTACACCTCCCTGAGCCAGGCAAAGGCCACTGTACTAAGTTCCATAGACTGTTCATCAACAGCGGCCTTTCGATTCCTCTGGAGGCTTTGTTATAGACAGTTCATCCCTCATAGAATCCGACGGCGGTTGCATTTTATCCCCGTGCACAATTATCATTCTATAGGCTCGAGTCTCTGTGTCGAAGGAAAATAGCCTAGCTCATCATGTCAAGCGCTGTCTTGCAATGTGTGACAGTGGTGGAGTTGCAAATGTTCCTCCGCCTCAATGGTTAGCGCCTGGTCCGTGCGCAACCCAGAGCCGCGCGCCTACTAGTTAATGAGATCTCACAGCTTTCCATTGCAACCGTCTGGCCGCAACCGGTGAACCTCTGTTCTCAAGCATAACAGCATCAAAAGGGTCTATCAAAACACACACCAAGTTCTTGTTCCAAAATATCCAGTATCGTCCGGTGGTGTGAAAGCTCTGCCATCATGAACCGGCCAGGTAAGAACCCTCATCCTGTATCAAATGATCATGCGACGTGCAGAATCAATCACCCAGTGTGCTTTTGTTTCCCACACCCAATGTACTGTGGCTGTTGGATTGTCCCACAAACTGCGATTGCATTGTTTTTGGCCTTGTGGCAGCCTTTCAAGTGAAGTGGTTTCAGCACCAAGCACGAGCTAATCATCTGGGATTATCATAGGTCCTGGCCAACAACCTTTTCGAGGGATATCTGGTTTCCCGGCTCAGCAACAGCAACAGGCAAGACCGTCGAACCCTTCATTACTCTCCAATCGAATGCCCAATGGTAAACTTGGTGAGGCTCAATGGGGTACAGGACCTTAGAGAGGTGCGCTTTCACTCACATTGTTTTGCAGGCAGCGCTGCAACCTGGGGGTTTGGTGTGCCGATGGGAGGTGCCCCGGGATTACAGAACAATCAGCAACGAACTGTGAATACTATGAATACATTTGCACAAAGTATTGGCGGGTCTCAGCCGGCCACGCCTTTAGATCTGTCGTGAGTTACAAAGTCCCCTATCTTTCCTTTCTTTCGCATTCCTTCAAACACTTTTTTTCCTCGCCAGCCTACATGGGTTTCTTTTTCTTTTTGGCCCTATTTTTCATAGTTACGGTCATTATGCCTCGATTCAAAAGGCATAGTGGTCGTCGCGATTCATCTGTGCGCAATCTGAAGACGCTGACCATAGATATCAATTCTTCTAGCGAGTTTCCTTCGCTGTCCAGTGGATCTCAGCCAGCCCAAACCCCAACGCCCGGACAAGCAATTTGGAGTACCATCAATCAACGGTCAACTCAGCAAAATCTGATCCAAAGACAGCTGCAGCCTCCAGTGTCGTCACAAGCACCCTCACGAGCTTCGCAAACACAATCTAATCAACCTTCGCAATCCCATATTACTCGCGACGACCTATTTCCCTCAGCTTCCCAGTTCGCGACGCAGTTAGATGATTTTCGAAATGGTGGCCAAGGGATAAGTGGGCAGCTTTCGAGTAACACCCAGCCTCAGACGGGCAATATCGAGGAGTTTCCCCCCCTTGGAAAGCATGCGGCAACTGATCTTGGCCAAGATCGCAGAGAATCTCTAATCCAAGCAGGAAACTTGGCAGCATACGGGAATACAATGGCCTACCCTCAAGGTATCCCAGGACAAGGGAGAGCGTCAGTGGGAAGTAATTTACAAGGCCGCCGGGATGGAGGTAGCATCACTTCGCCGGGGCCCTCGGCGTCAGGTTCGTGTATTGACGTATGGGAAATTCCGCAATAATGCATTTGTTGACGATGATATTGTGTAGCATCGCGATCTCCTATTGGTCCAAATCAAAACGGCACGGGTAGTCAAGAGCAGGAGGTAACTTCCAGACTGGTAATTTCTTCATCTCCAGTATATCTAACCGTTGAAACAGGATTCCACCAGCATTATGGCTAGGCAACCCACTACTCGTCCAGAAGGGTTCGCTGAACAGGCACAGCAAACAGCCGCTTTTCCAGAAGAAAATCAGCCCCAAGAAGCAGCCGCGACAAGTCAAGGCACTGACCAAACTCCCCTCGCACAAATGAGTGATCGAGATAAATTCGGACTTGCTGGATTACTCAGGATGATACATAGTGAAAGCCCTGACGTTGCGAGTTTGGCGATAGGACAAGATTTAATGAGTCTTGGATTAGACTTGAATCACCCGGAGTAAGGACTCCAGCATCTAGCCCACATCAGATAACTTTGACGTTTATGCTCATTCTAATGGCAGGCCCCTTCATCCATCCTTTGCTTCTCCATTTGTCCCCTCGGGTTCTGGGGTGCCTCTCCAACCGGATTTCACCCTGCCTGCATGCTATAATGTTGCAAACGTACAACCGCTTCAAACTCGCATTCCAAGCTTCACCGACGAAACGTTGTTTTACATATTCTACAGCATGCCTCGCGACATCATGCAAGAACTTGTGGCTGAGGAATTAATGGGCCGAAAATGGAGATACCACAAGGTCGAGCGTGCCTGGCTCACTCGCGATGATTCATATCCAAACCCTGTCGAAGTTGAAAGGGGTGTAAGCGAACGAGGAGTGTACCTGTGGTGGGACACGGCCACATGGAAGAAAGTCCGGGTAAGTCAATACTTGAGCTGTCTCGATTATTGCCCTCCGTATCCTTTGGAAAAGAAATAGCTGACGTTCAGTCTCCCAAACCGCAGCGCGAATTCATATTGCGGTACGCTGATCTGGACAATCGACTTGACCCTGGACGAAACCTCATGCGCGGAATGACCTTTCCTCAAGCTTCTTGATGTTCTTATTCAATGATTGACGACTTCTTGCATTACGGATGTTTAGTTTCTACTCAGCTACCACGCTTTGCGGATGTCCTTTACAGCTTACTGAGCATCAACCCAATTGAACTAATAAGACCTGTAAATTCCCCTTTGACTGACCAATATTTCCGAGAGTTCTCATCCAAATGGCGTGTTCTTCAGGGATCCCTAGTCCCAAAACAGGGCACCTAGTCTCTATCCTCTGGTATTGCCTGTATATGTATTATCGGTTTTATGTCCAATCACTTAAAGAAGACCAATACAATGTTGCTCTACTGCAGACATGCCGGCTGGATGAAAATTTAACGTCTATTTCTGATTCCCATTCCATTGAAGTGTATCTCTGAGTATGGAGCATATGGCACCGCGGGAAACGAAGTTCATATATCCGAGTTCAATTACCGTGTCGTAGATTATCCACCATCACAACTTTTGCACTGCCGGATCCGTATTTGCCTTGTCATGCATTCCGATCACGCACACCTCGCCATTATCTACTCTGCGAATCTCAGCCTTCAGCATTGCTAACCTCTTCCCCATGCTGACGATTTCACAAATGACATCCATCTCCACACCTTCTGGCACTGGGCGCAGATATTTTGCCTCTAGAGACCGGCTCACACCGCCATAAGAGAACATCCCTGGCTGTCCGACGCATATAGCGAGTACTGTGGTGAGAGCATCAATGAGAGTCGTCGCACAGCCACCATGGAGGTTGCCCAGTTTGTTGCACATTGATGGAGCGACAATGCAGCGGAAAGTAGCGCGGGTAGGAGGCCCTAATGAGGCCGAATGGAAACGGACATGCTCTCGTAGAGGCGTGTCGTAACTCTTGAGACCGGTTAGTTTTTTTGGACTTTTCTCCGTTGGCAGGATGCAACGTACAACGCCATTGGGATCGGAAAAGCTCTCCCATACGGTCTTTACACAGTTTGGGAAATTTTCTTTAGTTATCTCCATGGATTCCTGCTTTCTCGTAGCTTTCCCCGGTGCAAGTGAATTGTCACAGGACTAGTATAAACTGTTACGGATCTTCCTTCGATTTGGTCCAGGTATTCGTGGTTATTCCGCAACAGAATATGCTATGCTTATTTTCAGTCAATCAAATGGATGCTCGAAGTCTGTCTACTCTACAGAGGACACGCGATGGCTGATACGATGAATATATCAACAGCTGAGGCTGACCTCGGTCAAACTCGGTTGCAAACTTGCCAAACATCCCGAATACGAGCATTTCGCTTTCGTTTAGCACATGACATCGTGTCCCGCGATAAACGCGCTTGACGCGTCGCTTAAATAATCACGCGACGAGCAATGTCACTACGAGAAGACTGCAGACAGCTATATTGATCATTTCTTCACCATCAACCTTCGAGAAGGGGTAGTCGTGGCGCCCGGCAATTCAAAGGTGGTGCAACATAATCACCGTGCAATGACTGAATCGAGAACTCTCCGGTCTTCCAAACGCCGAAAGCTCTCAAACACAGCGCTAGTCAAAGACGACGACCGTTCAGACTTTCTCCACGAGGCAAAGGAGTCGGTAGAGCCTAACGTGCAGGGAAAAACCCGATCGAGCAGCAGGCTGAAAAAGGCCCAAAGCAATGGTGCTCCACCCAAACCGTCATCGTCGCGTGCACGCCAAACGGATCCCCAGAAAGAAAACACGGGGAAAACAACAGCAACGAAAAAGCGGCTGAAGCCCGTGGCGTCTGTTGGACGGCCAAAGGAAAGGAATAAGGACCTTGAGGATGAGAGTATCTGGGATATTCCTATAGAGGTTGATACGGAGCAAGATGGTCAAGGACAGGACGGGTTGGTTGGTGCGCTTCTAAGTCGGGCATGTGGACCTCAGAAGGATGTCGAAGATGCAGACTCTTCCGCGGTTGCGGCACAGTTACAACTCGAGCTATCTAGAAACCAGCTTGTTATACCCCTTCCACAGTTACTCGAGGATACTCCGTATGCAGCGAAGCTTCGATCGTTCTGCGAAAGCCATGGCCTTGAGGACATGACGAGATCCCTTGCTAAATTTCTCCTGGAAAAATTAAACGGCACGCAGCTTCTTCCGCTCAAAGGGTTAGCGGCCGAATATCAAGCAGTCTACCAACTGATTGAGCAAACTATCCTTGCCGGAGAAGGAAACTCCATGTTACTTCTCGGTGCTAGAGGCTGTGGGAAAACCGCGCTTCTGGAGACTGCTATTTCGAATCTTTCAAAAAGTCATAAAGAAGACTTCCATGTTGTTCGCTTGAATGGCTTCCTTCACACGGATGACAAAATCTCCCTAAGAGAAATATGGCATCAGCTCGGGCGTGAGATCAACGTTGACGACGATTTGAGCAAGACCTCGACTTATGCGGATACAATGGCATCTTTGCTAGCTTTGCTATCCGAAGTGCCCAACGATGCATCCGATGCTTTCACCACTACTAAGTCGGTCATAATTATTCTAGATGAATTCGATCTTTTTACATATCATCCGCGCCAAACACTGCTCTACAACCTTTTTGATATCGCTCAAGCCAAAAAAGCGCCTATCGCAGTTATCGGCCTAACCACGAAAGTGGACGTTATGGAAACCCTCGAGAAACGGGTGAAGAGCAGGTTCAGTCACAGATACGCTTTCTTACCGCGGCCTCGGACCTTGGCTGAGTTTTCTGAAATCTGCATGGCAGGATTGAAAATTGACTCTGTTGAGATACAGGATTACTCCTTGCAGTCAAGACAGTCTCACCATTCCGACAATATAAGGAGCATTGTGAAGAGCCCTAAATTCCAGACTCTATTAGAGCAATGGAACGCTTATCTTGAAGTATGTTTCCCTTTACACATCCCCGCTCTATCTGTAGAGTTGACTAACTGCGAACCAAGCGCCTCTGGGACGATAAACCTTTCCAAACACACTTGAAAACGATATTCCATCGCACAAAATGCCCCAAGGACTTCTTTACTAGCGCGCTTTTGCCAGTATCAAATCTCGCCTTAGGGCCCTCACACAAACCTTTACTAATACCAACCGCCAATTCATTCACCTCCGATATACTCTGCCCCGACCCAGCACCCTTCCCGTTTCCGACAGCTTCGGCCACTTCAACGAGCACTGTCTCATTACCAGTGTCGCTTTTGCTGGCTGCTACACGCTTAACAGCTCTCCACGATCCAAATTTGAGCTCCCAACCCCAGAGCCTAATTCCAGTGACCCTTAGCTTCCCCGCTGTATACGCAGAATACGTACGGCTCCTCACGTCGGCGAAAGCTTCAGCCTCTGCGTCCGGTGCTGCCGCAACACCTGGCCGGATATGGGGCAAAGAAGCCGCGAGGGAAGCGTGGGAAAAACTGATTGGCTGGGGACTGGTTGTCCCAGCCCCCGGAGGTGGTGGGATTGGGGACGGGAAAACGTACAAAATCGAGATCAGTTTCGAGGAAGTTGTTGACGGGATGGGCCAGAATGGTGTAGGCGCTTTGGGGCGCTGGTGGAGGGACGGATGATCAGATTCCTTGCCGCGACAGGTTTGCGAAGATATGCTTCCTTTCCCTATGGCGTACCAACCAGTGAACGACCAGCCGCCTTAGTCAGGCGGCGACGGGCAGTCTAACCGTCCGGTTCCTGCGTATTTGGGCTGTCAGATCGAGCGGTGTTAAAATGGCAACCTATCATATCAGATCCAATCAATCCAAACCGGACTATGAAAACATTGTCCGAACTCCGTCCCCCCAACTTTGTGCTCTCGGGAATTTCAGAGCTCGCCGGTCAGCGCCCTGCAGCTATATTCTTCAGTTCGGCAGTTCACAGGGAGCCAGCAACGAACCCAAAAAGCGCATGCCGCAGCTTTCCAAGCAGCACCCCGTACGAATTGTGCATATATAGACAACCCCAGAATAATAACCCTGATAAATGACCCTAATAGACACTGACACATAATTGTCTCAACCCTTTTCTAAACAGGAAGCTGTGAAAGCCTCTCCAAATTTCAATCTCAACCACCCCTTTTTTTCCTGCAATGACATCGATCCCAGGTATTCCATCAGCCGCAGCCGTTCCTCGCAATTCGTTCCTCGCAATTCCGATCCAAGTCCACTCTATCGGCCGGTACTCATCACTCATCAAGGCGATTCGTCCGTCCCTGAAAGCCCGGGTAGCGATAATAATATAAATGGAGACCAGCTGTGTTTTGGAGGAACAATTCCGCAAAGAGATAATGGTCAGGCTCTCATGTAATTAGCATGGATGCATTCACCCGTACTTGCGAAACCACAACAGAGCACAATTCTACAGAGCATGTCCGGTCCCGATTCGTTTAGGAACCGGCCAGAACAGCTTCACATGTCACTTCCCAGGAGAAGGAACAAAAAGGAAACTGATCTCACACCAAATGACCATGCTGTCGGGTTCACTGGATAGCGGTAACTCGTGCATCTTTGACATGCAAAATTTGTACGACAGCGGATGAATCTTTTTTTTTACTTGTCACATTTTGCCATGCAGGGAACTTGTTGTCTTTGTACGCGTGGCTTGTGAGACGGCAGCGTTAGCTAGTCCTTTTATCGACGCTGTTAGACGGAATGCGTGTGTCTCGAGGAACCCAAAGGCTGCCAGAGAATGATATCTATGCATGACATTGCGTGAATAGGTAGAGCGAGGCCAGTGATAGCTCGAATATTGCTTCCGTAGGGAAGGATGTTTTTTCCATTGAGAGTTGCTCTGGAATGGAATCTTCAAGTTCAACGGGTTTGTCGAACGTTTCTTTTTCGCTTGAGTCCTCCTCCACCCAATCATCCGCATATTCGGGGCCAAAACTGCTGCAATGAGTCATTCGGAGTTGAAACCTCTTCTGCGTGCATAAGCTGCTCTCTTCTTTCTTTGCCTAGACCTGGTCACATTCTCGATCCATCACTCGAACCCCCCCTCTTTCAACTTCCGCTCAGCCGCCTACAAATCCTCATAAGCTGGCGATCAGCAGAACCCCTTGAATTCTGATCAGGTTGAGCTCGATCAAGGGTGCCAAGGTATGTATGTCTGAACATACATGCAGATATATGCACCACAGCTTTTTGCACTGCAAACAGCACATCTGACTGATTTGAAGCATTATCTGCGTTTCAATATGACTTGCATGGTATCCTTGTGATCTGCATACGCAGTTTTGATCGCAAGAAAAGCAAATTCCTGAGAATCTGCTTTCGATTTTGTATTATTTTGCGTACAGATCAGGCAGGTGCTCAGAGCTGCCTCCGGTGTTCGTATTGGCGGTTTGAGTCTGTCTTGCTGGTTGGGTTTTTGATGCCATGCATGATGTTGCAGCTGGGGCGAGTTTGCCGTAGGTCCGTGAGCACTCATACGTATTCTCACGATGCATGGTTTGGCATGCCATGCCGGGTCAATCTTCCATTCCGCTTCGGGGCCTGGGTATAGTAGGCTCGATTGGCTGGTGAGAGTCACCGTCCACTTACCAATAATCTTGCCCCAATTTTCGTGTAATGAAACCAGGCGATGATATCCCATCGCATGAACCCGCAAATGTGCCCTCAAGCAGTTTCATAAGTAAGACCAGCGGGCATGCTCCGACAGACCCTAGCCCCTGACCTGTATCGCGTGGGAAATACGACTTTGACAGGGGATGCAAGCACGCAGGTCGACCTTCAAAAATTAATTCGCCCATGATTCCGACAACGGGGACCTAACGAGCTCCCCGTTGAATAGGGCGAAGTTGATAGGAAAAACTAGTTTCAAGAAGAAACAGAAGAAACAAAACAAAATGATGGGCTGGGCCGATACATAGAGCGCCCCTTCTCCCGGATTTAGTCCACAGCCGTATTTCCAGGTTCGCACATTGGCACTGCAAAAGAAATATCAATGCCTTAATAATCCAAAGTTTGAAATATGAGATTTTGAACTGTCCCTGCAAGGTTTCCTGTTGCCCGCTTCAATGTAACGTGCTTGCTCGAACACGGAAGAAAAGAGGAAACGGAGAAAAGCATAGTCGCAAGCGAAGAAAAGCAAGTGCGAAAATTCTTGAAAATGCCGCTCGAGGTACATTTCTTGACGTCGAGCTGTTTATACCGGATGTATGTCCGGACATACATATATACAACTATCCGCTGACGTGCTCGAGAGCTGTTTGTCGATACTCGAAAATGGCGTGATCGTACAAATCAAGACGCATGTTGACGGCCTGAGTCAACTCAAGAGGCAGTTACTCTCCGGAAAAAAATGCCGGATACTGGAGAAACTGCTGTGGCCGTCTGAAAATTCCAGCATCGGATGGCTCCCCGATTGATCAAAGCTCATGTCGTACGAAAGTGGTTGCTCAAGGACAGGGTCTCGGGGCTTCCTGCGCACAGAAGAGCGACGGGTTAGTTATCAGTCGAGTCATGGGGTTTGCTTCACTTTACCGCCGTTTCTGTAGCTAGCCGACAGGAAAAGACGAGCGAGTTCCCGGGATATGTAAACGAATTTCAGCAACCGGGCAACTCCCTCCACCTGCACATGTGTCACTCGAAATAAGCTTCCGTTGTTGCACGTCCTGCTTGGGATAAACCAGGAAGAGAACCGCGTTTCTCATGTTGGAGGCCAGACGCTTTTGTCGTGTATGCAGCTCGACAAGGGCCCCTTGTGGTAATCCATCGTGGCCTGTGGGCGATCCGCCGCTGAGCACACATGTCCATGTGCATTTGTGATCAGGAATACCGACATCTTCTCCCAGTATAGAGCAAGCTTGCATCATGCATTGTGTGCTTCGTAGCAGTGGCCTGCCATCAAGCTGGGAAGTGAGTGAAGAGCTTGGGTGGTGCAGGTGCTCCTCTATCGCTCTCAGCACACAATGCCGATGCAGGAGCATTGTTGAACGAAGGACGGCCCTTTCAGCAGGAGGCTTGTCACAGTTTCCCTCACGCCAAATGCTCTCATGTTCGCTGCTTGGACAAAGCTAAAGTAGTGCCACCTTGGCCGGCCTCAGTGCTCGTGCAACTTGCTTGACGCATCAAGCCTTGGTCTTGGTCGATATCCACGCTGGCGGGAACAATATTCTCCGCTCAAGGAGCATGGACAGCCGTTGACTTTGTTCGTCCTGTTGGAGACTCTCCCTCGTTGACGTTACATCCGTCCCGACAAGAGGACCATAACGTTGCGGAGCCCTCGTCCGCTTCTAACTACAACGAGGAAACGGAGGGCTCGAGACAGCGAATAAAACTCGACAACAACGCTCGAGCCGTGTGAGCGACCCAACCCTGCGGAGCACCCCATGTGGCTGTCCGTATTTTGAAACCCCGGCTGGGAAGACCGTCAACCAAAATGGGGAACAAACCATTGTTTGGATCCCGGATTAGACTGGTTGTACGGAGTTTGCTGGTCGAGTCGGACATGTCTGCCAACCGACACGGCGAGCCCGCCAGAGGAACTTGAAGGCAGTGGAGAATTACGTGTCCATATTCCCAAAGCGGTGACGGATGGTTCCATTTTTATTATCATGACTGTTACCAACGACGAGTGAGAATGTGTGTTCCCGTCCATGCATACAAACGAGAGTCGAGATCAGCGACCAGTGGATGTTGATTCGAGGCGGGACGTCTTTGTCGTTTCTATCCCCGTATTAAAGCCGTCGAGGCGAATAGATTCTAAATTCTGGGCCGCGGCGTTGAGATCCTGCAGTACCTCTCGTTCTTGATACATTCAACGAGCTAATACGCCTGACAATTCATCAGGCTAAAAAAGTTTTGCGCATGGTTCCATACCACGTGGGTTCTGGGATGCGTTTTCCACTTTTCTGATTCTGAGTCGGTCGGGACGTGAAGCGGCTGGACTATTTTACCGCTTTGCAATCTCAGCAGCTTCACCGGGCGTGAAAGTACGCGACGCTATTCATAGTTTAGTTGTTTTTGACACCAACCAAGGCTGCGGGTCCCCATCTGCAAGTCATCACCTGAATGCCGGAATTAATCTTGAGCTTGAATTCGAGAGAACAAACACGGTCTGTCCTCACAGTGTCAACAGTCGCGTATCTCAAGTCAATCATCAAAATAAAAACAACCGTATGGACCGCCCAGAGGCTCTGGATCCCGTGCCTCCCTGCGGTGGAAATCCTCGCGTGGCAGAGTGGGACAGCCAACGAGAGCCGATCATTAGCCTTTTGCGGGAAAACTTATCGAAGCTCCACCGGGCCACGTGGCAGCAACACGCTCCAATCTGGCCAATCATAATTCGCCGTAATACGAAGTTTCACAGTCCCGCCGGGTCCTTTACAATACGCAGTACGGTTTTCATACGGGGATTCCTAGTGCCCGTATCGTTGTATTGATGCCCTGAGCCATGACTCGTGAAGATTGAAATCGGCCAAATACAAAAGAGGTGAGAAGTGATCGCTCTGGTGACGAAGGACTTTTGCTTGAGAAGCGCAAGCACCAACGGGTTGTTTATATGGCATCCGTAAGTGGGAGGGACTATCCGAAGACTCGATCACTGACAGAAGGGAGAGAACCCTTTGCATCTCTCTTCCACTTGAAAACCTCAAGGTATCATCAGGAGGGACGACCGTGAGCTTCTTCGCAACGCCGGTGTATGGAGGGAACTGCTTGCCTGGCAACCCAATATCACCACCCGGCTTTATCTCGGTTGAACAACGACGAGAGCCTTTTTATTAGGCTTCTCTCACCGCCAGGGAGGGCGTCCATATGATAATGCTAGCCCATGATGGACAATATTATCAAATGCTTTGCTAAGCACCAGACGTCAGCCATCTCTCTCAAACAAGCATTGGAAATGCCTCCGACGTCACATGTCTCTTCCAGGCGATTCCCTGCTTCCGAGGATGGAAGACGAGACTAGTCGGTTCCCCGGACACGAAGGCGATCCTAAGACACCTTTTATGATTATTCTGCGCAATAATAAGGAATACACATCCTGCCGCTGGAAGGAGGAAAGTTCTCCGCGCAATGGACTCGTATCGGAAGGACAATTCGTCGGGGAGTTCACCGTTGATCGTCGCTGGCTCTTTTTCTTCAAGCAACCCCGTTGAGCGTGGGAGGGCTGCAAAAAAGGGTCCTCACCCTCCAAACAGCCAATAGAAGAGCGGAATGGGAGATCGAATTTTCTCCTTGGATCTTTGATCCAATGAAGATCGCTGTTCGTCGCTGTCAACGACAACCCCGAAAACAGGACCCCTGTCCAGAATTTGCCCGAGCAAAGATGGTGATCCCAGAATGCCAGATGAAGCTCGCAACTTGAGGAATTTGCAAAAAAGGGGGCCCTCGCTCATCAAATCGGAACGAAGCGGCAACACACATGCAGATGCAAGGGCGTCTCTTTCGTAATCATCTTGTCAGCGGCAAGGGAGCGCGGAACAAGCGTTTGACTTCGCTTAACAAGCCCATGATATGTTGCCAGGTCGAGGACTTTTTGGACAGAGCACCCCTTGAGGTCTTTGAAACTTTCCAAACAAAGCTCAAACAATGACATTCGTGACGTCTTTGTTGAATGTCTCATAAAGACGAAGGTATCCTGTTGCAGCTCAAAAGCTTGGGGGCTTGTCATCTGTCCTGAACGACGTATGCGAGAGAGCAAGGGCGGTTAAATTCATCTTGAACAGCCGCCCAAAGAGTCAAGATATTCTCAGGGCCATCTGCCATCACTCTCCAGACGCCCATCTCACTCACGCAGCACGTGCTTTCCCTTCGAACGGCCTTGCAGGGGCGTATTCCAAATCCAGTCGAATCACAGCTCTCTTGACCAGGCCATTGTCACTCGCCAAGGGGCACCATTGCCAAATCAGGCCAAGGAGCAACACTCCCCGTGATGCTTTGGGAAGTAAAATACGGCCGGTGAGCCAGAACGCCTTGTTGACGAGGTAATTTTTACACAGCCACTGAGATCATGCATTTTTCGCATCGTGGTAATTAATAAAGTCAATCAGAAATAATGATCAGATTTATCCCAGCCAGAAGAAGTCCAGAAAAAATTTAGACTCGCGCTAGAAAATTCTGGAAGATTGCAGGGAAGCCAGGGGTTTGATGTCCATCACCTTTGTGCAGCCACTCCTCCAACCGGACTGCAGAAGCTGCTCCAGGATCAATTGACAGCGGAATTCGTGGACAGAACCCTGGTGCGACCTTCATGTCAGCAGAAGGGGCTGCAGAATTGGGAAGGTCCAAGCATCGTTTGCGCAGGATCTGATGCTCCTCATTATTTTCTTCAGGTCAGGATGATTATCATTGATTGGAGGCTGAGCGTTTGAAAGGCTTAAAAGGATCACACCCTTGGCGTTGCTTGTTGAAAGCGACGCAGCCAGGGACAGCCTACAGGACAACGTGTTCATACTGAGCAGTTTCTCATGACTGGTTTATCTCGTCAGATTGAGGACGTCTGGTCTCAGGTCTGCTGCCTGCAACGTGCGGTGGGTGACGGCAATAATGCTCGCTTCACTCGAGAGGGACAAATGGTAATTTCGGGGGAGGTTCTCTCGAACTGTGGAGGTTTCTTTTCCATCGGAGCAAATGAGCCGAAATTGGATGATCCTCAATTCCTGACTCAAGGAGATCCAGCAGAACCCAAAACAACTAGTGGAAGGCTAAGGCTGTTTCAAGACGTCGTGTTTTAAGACAGTGGGGTCAAGGGCTGCACAAAGTGATTGGTGGGCTGGGTCGCTTGTCACCACAGCAAAAAAGAAAAGGGGGGAAGGGGAGAACCGGCGGCAGAAGCGGTTCTCGAAAGAATGAATTAATGGATCCTTTGTAGTTAAGGCTTGGTTAGCGCTTGATTTTGAGGTTCGCAGACGGAGAAAGCCGAAAGCAAAAAATGAAGTAAATCCTCCACGCCGCATTCGAATTTCAAAGACAGTGGAAAAGGTGCCTGATTCCATAACTACCGGGGAACAGCTTGCATTTTCCCAACTCCCCTTCAGCGACATTTTTTTTTTTTTTGTTCAGCCGGGAAAATCGATTCTGGCAGACGCCAATCAGATGGACCGGCTGAAACTCAGCCCAAAGGCGAGCCACGTTTTCGCCTTGCATGCAGCGCCATCCCTGCGCCATCTCGTGCTCGGGGCGCGTGGTTGTTGGCGGTGGGCCCGGCCGGCGTTTTGGGTTTGGCAGTAGGGCTTGTATCCCTGCTGAAATGTGACCAGTACAGTCGCAGGACACGCGTGTATTTCGCTGGTATTACCGGCATCGCAGTCTTCATGTCCAGCCCTCAGCTCGAACAGGACGGGGACACAGGATCACACTACACGGACAGACGCTGACGAGTGCTTGAGAAGGGTGTTTGCTGGACTGCCTTTTTTGTGGCATTGCAGCGCCTGGAGACTGGTCCTGGATGCGTGTTGGATGGCACAGCACGCTGCAGGGCATTGAAGGGCAGCTTCATTCTCGACAAACACCGCATCCATCAAGTTGGCGACAATTCATTCACCTGCAATGCGGTGCTTGGCTTGTGCAACCATCAACATGTCCTCAGGCCAAACGGACGCCTCTCCCACTGTGCAATCGGCCAGAGGCCGTGGATGGTTTCAGGCAAAGGGCGAGGGTGCCTTCATCTCGTTTGAGCAGCGTTGGCAGCCAGGAACATGCTGGCAGCTCCTCGACTCTGGCGACAGACCCCGTTTGAGGCCTTGCATTCCCTCGTTGGCCGCTGTTGTTCAGAAATGCGACGAGGTGATCACCGAGGCAGATCCCTTGGCGTCGGGGACCGTCACGAAAATACCGTCGATACCGTACATACGGCCGTAACGATGACCGGTATTACATCCCAAGATACACAAAAGGGGAAGCCGAAATTTCTTCTGCGCTTCTGCTGGCTCTGATTTGATTGTTCTTTCGGCGCGTGGAAGCAGTTCGAGTGGCGTCTGCTGCGAGTTGTGGATGCGGCGGCCTTGACTCTGCTGCTTCTTTTCTTTCTTCCTGCTTTCTTTCTTCCCTGTCCTCTCGTGTCATGTTCGCCGGGCCGCATGCGCCCAACCAACTCAATCCACCCTCAGCTCCACCGCCGTCGACCTGGTGCTCGCTGTCTGCAGTGGGACATCTAACAAGTGCTTCTGATGCCCAGATCTTTCCCCATAAATAACAAACTCAATTTATGTCTAATATTATTTACCCGTAATCTTGTTTTTCTTCTCGATTATTATTTTGTTCTTCCTGTCCTTCAATCCTGACTCTTCTGATCCTGTCATTCCCCTGGCCCCCCGCCAGTCACTGCTCTATGTCGCTGATCTCATTGGAGAAATAGGCCACCCCCCCCCTTTTTTTTCGCGCAAGAACGGATTTGTTTTTTTATCTTTTTTATTCTTTTTTTTAAGCATTTTTTTGATATCGTGGTAAGCAAGACCACGGCCCTGGCCTTGACCCTTTTTTTCTCTCTCTCGTTCTTCTCCCTGGCCTTTCAATGAGCACTCGCTCCGCCCTCGACAAATACCGGGAAGGATCCAAGACTCTGCCTCATTCTCATCGTTCTTACATTCCCCTCGATCACCACAATCATATCGCTTCTGCCTCGCATCATCGAGCCAGCACGATCTCGTCCTCACGCCTTAGTCGACGCTCGCTTGCTGCGATTGCCCTGGAAAAGACGTCTACTGCTTTCAACAACCTGGTCTCGCTTGGTGGCGCTTCCAATCCCTCCCTCCGGTCTTCTCCCGCCGCCTTCAACGGTAATCCGCTGAAACATCCGCCCAGTGCAACGTCGCCGGCAACAGAGGACCCTCCGCGAAACACCTTTGAGGGGAGGAGTGGTCAGCATCACGAAGGTGGTCGTGGTGGTGGTGCTGCGGATCATCTTGGCTCTCGTCTCCCGCTCCACGCGGAAAGCAACGGGGACCCAACACACCCAAGCAACGTCCCGGACTCTGCGGCATATACCCAGGGCAACAATAGCGACTCGTCCATTTCAAACAGACGGAATACAAAGAGCGTGGGACACTCTCAGATGCCCAGTGCCAAAATGCATCAAACGTCCTCACGTCTGCTGCGCATGACCAGCGATGAACGGCCTTTTTGCCGTGATTTCAAGGACTTGTTCTCAACGCTGATGGTCAGCCTGAAGCTGGAGAGCCATCGCGTGCGGTTTTCCAAGTTTGATCACACCTTCATGTCCGAAGAAGCGATCAATAATCTGGGCTCTCTGAAATTCTCGCAGTCGAATCGCATGCCTGACCCCAAGGATCCTAGCCGCATTGTCACCACTACGACTACAACGACATTCTCCATGGCCAGGGAGATGGCTCGTTCTGTATGTCAGCGATTCGTCGACGCTCGCTTCATCGAGCCTGTCGATGGCCGTGTCACCGCCCAGTTCCCCTTGAAAGGCGCTCTTTTCCAGCTGACCCCCAAGGGTATCCACATTCTTCATCGGTTCTGCCAGAGAAACGGTATCACTGCTCGCCATGTCATGGATGTTCTGGAGTCCCCGCGAAATACGATGCAATTGGTGATACTAGAACGGGATATCCAAACCGATCAAGTATCTCGGGACCGGGCTACCATTGAGGTTATCTTCCGTCGCTTTGCAGGAGTCGACGGCCCCAATCTCAAGAACAACGTCTCGAGCTCCGATTCCGACTCTGTCAGTGACTACGCAAGCGGTACGACAGGTGTGAAAATGGCAAAGGAGCGCAAAATCGGAGATAAGATTATTCAAAACAGTTTCACGGGCAAGGCGGCGGCGGATTGGATACTAGACTGTTGTACCGCGATCGACGGCCGGGAACCTGTGGAGATTGCATCGATGTTTGTGAAATATAGTTTGATGTATGCGATTGTGGAAGACAAGGCATACATGCAAATGAACCCTGGAGCAACCACATTCCAACCAACGAAATACGCCATATACGGCATAACGGAGCATGGTCAGAGGGTGTGCGGATGGATTGCACGGGATAAAGTTACACCCAACTCGATGGATGGTCGCATTGTGCCACGGGACTCGAATAATGCTCGTCTCAATCACATTCTGCAAGATCCTGCATTGAGGCTCCTCTTCCGTGAATTCCTTCGAGATTCTCTTTGTGAGGAGAATCTGTCCTTTTACCTCGATGTGTCGACTTTCACTGCCGATTATCATCGTTCAGAGAAGACTGGCACGTTTGCGAAGATGGATGCGGTACGGGAAACGTTGGCTAGCGCCTATGGTGAGTTTTTTGACATTGGCTTGGATCTTGTTAAACAGTTCCTAATGATTTCTAAACAGGCTTATACAATGCTTTCCTTGCACCTGGGTCTCCATGCGAACTGAATATCGAGCATGCTCTTCGAAATAGTCTCGCGAGTCGTATGACAAGGGCGGTTGGTGATGATGCAGCGATGGTCCAGAGCCTGACGGAAGTTGTCAGCTTGTTTGAACTCGCACAAGTTTCGGTTTTCAAGCTCATGTCGAGTGTACGTTTCGCTTTCGTTTTATTCTTCATGGATCTCTAATAACCCGTATTATAGGATTCCGTACCTAAATTCGTCCGTGATCCAAGATATGCAACAATCTTGCAAGAGCACGACTTTGAACTCAATAGCTCTGGTCGATCTTACTCTCCCACTCCGGGTCCCATCCCTGAACGTTCGATGAGCCGAGCGGCGAGATCGTGACAGTGAAACCTTTTATTCCGTCGTTCTCATGTCACTTTGCATTTCTCATTTGTTCTGCATTTGACAAGACGAAGAAGACGCTTCTTTCGCATCGAGCCTCGCAGAAAAGCACCGGCGTTTCGTCGAGTCGAAGAAGAGAACGACTCCAGCCTATAGAATTTTCACTAAATGAGTATGACGACGAAGAATTGTATGCGCTACAATGATTGGATGTGTTCTATTCACCTCGTTCAGCACCCTAGCTATACGCTTCCTCCGTTACCGGCCTGATGGGCAACACTTGATCAAATACTCGCCCGCCCCATGCACTGTTCGTCCCGTTGTTACCCGCAACGCCTACAACGCTCGCGCCGATGGGCGGATATTTTACCCGGAACCATGGAAGAAACATAACTGCTCAAGGGTACTCCGCTCTATATGGAAGAACTTATTTCCCATTCTCGTATTGTGAAGCATCCCAAGTCTCTGGTTTGTTTTGCTTGTTCTGCTTTATAAGTATTTCTAATTTATTCGACTTCCTTTTTTTTTTTATTTTTTCATTGACTCGACGGCCGTGAAATAAAGCATACATTTGGCATCTTTTCTTATCTGGATTGAAATTTTCGGAACGGAAACTTTGGGCGGGTCAGTTGGAAAGCCAGCAAGCAAAGCAGCTCTTGCGGAAAGATAAAAATTTCCTTTTTTTTTTTCTTTTCCTCCCCCTTTCGGTGGAGGGTCCTTTTTCCGATTCCCAGGCTTGGTTTAATTGCTCTTTTTCTTTTGTCGATTTTTTTTTCATGCGCGCGCATAGCAATCTCGAATATCTTGCAGGTAGTTTTCCTCTGTTTTCACTTTTTTTTTTTTGACTTTGATAGACGCATGACATCTTAACGATTCCACTTTGTGTCGTTTTGTCAAAATCTTTTTTTGTCTTCCGTTTCCATTCCTGTTTTCGTTTCTCCGCATATTTTATTTTTTTTTCTCCGATTTGTTCTTCTCTTGTTCTGCTAATATTTAATAAATACTGGCAGAGTCAAATTGACTAGAGCATTTGGATGGCGTTTTCTTTTGTTTTTTATTTTTATATTTTTTTATTTGGCAGATATAATACCATTTTTATTACTCTCTACTCCATTCTTCTCGAATACTTTACTTGCTATTCGACTATCATTTTCCTCACGACTCGTGTCTTTCCTATCCGACCTCCTGATAGCAAAACCGATTACCTCGCTTACTCAGTGGGCAAGGCCTATAATTTTCACCTCGTTATCATGTCAAGATATGCTGGGCTCATGGAAAGAGTAATGGTGAATAGCATTGGAATCTTTCACAAGCTATATGCAACTTTCGAAAAGGCCATGTATGTAGTCTACAAAAGCAACAGCCCAAATTCAATACCAACCCTTTGAGGAAGAACTCCATGCCTTAAAATGGCCCCCATGAAATTTAACACATTGCCCGCCAGATACAACTGTAACAATAACCTTCTTCGAAACGCCTTGGCTCACTCACTTCGAACCCCAGCCTTTGGCTTTCATTCCTTCTTCAATAGCTCCCCAAATACCTTCCACGACCTCTCTGTCTCTCCATCTCGTCCGTCCACTCATTGCACCACCGTTTGCATTCGCACTCTTCTCATCCCATCTTTCCACCGCAAACGTACGCACACCACGCCCCCAACCCTTGACGTCCCGGGGGACTTCCTCCCCTCTCCAGCCAACGTATATACCAGTAGCATGCTTAAACAAATCCGGCGGTGACGACCATTTGTACGATTTAAATTGCCAAGTTTGTCCCGTGGTAAATACAGCAACGACGTTATTCCAATACTCGGGCTTGAAATCCGCCGTGCTGTCAACGAGAATGAAGACGGTTCCGCTACGAGATGTATGCGGTTTGGCGGCGCTTGAAGAGTCGTTGAGGGAATGGAGGGCACGTGAGATTTTGAGACGGTTGGCACCTGTGGATTTGGAGAGGGTGGGGTGGTCCGGCGGGATGTATGTGCCCTCTTCGAGAAAGGTTTTGATATTCGACATGCGAAGGAGGGAAGATGCAGATGGCGATACGAGGATGATTGGATTAGGTCGACGCGATGAGCCCGAGTCCGATTTCTTGGGGATGAGACCACGACCCGGAGCTGGAACGGAAGATTTAACGCCTGGTTTTCCACCGCTAGTTGGGTACGGAGCTGCGCCAGCCCTACTTCGTCCCAGGAACCGTTCTGCGACTTTCCGAACGTGGGAAAAGTCCTATACACTAGATTAGCAAGCACATCCTAATGATCAATTTTCCGTGCCGAAGCGTCAATTGGAAAAAGAAGGGGAAAAAAATGAAGTCCTCCTCACATTTGGCCGAATCCCTCTCAAAACCGAATTTCTATCTCCCATTTTCCTCTCTCCATTATAGATTTGCTGTAACCTTGGATCAATCACTTTCATCGGTCTCCCACCGACCTGCGTGATCGCCGGCGCTTTTGCCAACGAATCAGGCACACCCCCCATCGCACCCGACGCCACTGCAGCCTGCGCAGCAGCGGCATCAGAGACACCGGCCAATCCCACCCCCTCTAAAGGCTTGATATACTCGCTCTCCTCCGAAGCGCCCTCCAGCCAAGTAATCAAATCCAACCGTTCCACAAACACCAAGTTCAAAATCTTCGTGCGCTGGCCATCCTCTGCTTCTCCCTCCTTTTTGCCCAGCGCATCATTGAGTTCCTGCGCGGAGGAGATATACTCTGGGATAGCGACATCCTTTTTCTGCCATGCAAAATAGATACTTCGAAGGTCGATCGGCTGGTTGGCTGCCGTGGAGACGAAACGAGTCGGTGTGGAGAGGGGAATGGTCTGCGGAATAGGTTGTGTGACGTACAGATGGGTCGCCTTGGTGAGGTCTTCAGTTGCATCGTCGATGGAGAGGTCTGGAGAGGTTGTGAGGACGGGAGAGCTTCCGGAAGCGATGGCGCGCCGAAGCGCAAGGAGAGGATCTGAGAGGCTGGGATCAGTGGTTGCCATGGTGGCACTGGTTGTGCCCGGCAATGGAAGACGCCGAGGCGGTAGTCTCAGTCTTATGATTAATGCCGAACCATGGAATAAGGTGAAATATAAAAGCGATCAGTGTGCGGCAAGGACCAATCCGTTCAACAGAAAGTGAAGCTCTGGATGAGATGGCGTTTGGCTGAGAGCTCTGTCAGTCACGTGACTGGGCTGGCGCTAAACTGCAAAACGGAATTTGGGAGTGAGTATAAAAGTTACACGGGAATATCAATTCAATATCTCATAGCGTGTGAATGGCCAAAGATATTGTTGACCCACTGAAGAATAAAAGCAGCTGCCAGATACCTATAACACACAATAGCCTCCCAGAAAAAGCAAAGAGTCCCAGAGATCAGTGCGCTCTGGCAGTCCGTTTTCCCATGCCAGAACAACCCAGCCCAAGAAGCCCCCCATTCCACAAACGCCGCTTTGTCCTGAACCCGTCCCAAGGCTAAATCGCAACATGAGTCTTTCATTTCACACTTCCCACTAAAAACGCCGAACATCGAAAAAGGATGTAACACCGAAGCCCCCGCAAATACCAATAATCGAACAAATCGCAGCCGTGAAGGAGATAAACACTCAGAATTCGAAAGTGAAGCAAATGTCGATTTCATCAACTTCAAAAGATTCAGTTATGATGAATTAGGTTGATGGATGGATCCTTGGATCTCGTGGAAAAGATGAATTCGACGGACTATCATTGTGCGAGTATAACGGAGGGGCATCCTTCATAACAACATCAGACATCAGATCCCTTTCCCGATCAGCAGCCTCTTCGGCTAAACGCATAACCTTCGTCGGCGTTTGCTCAGTTTCCATCGGGTTAGTACCATCAGGAAGATGAGTAGAAGACACTACTTGTTGGTAGCCCCCAACGATTTGTGTATGAACCTTTTCAGTTGTAGGGGTAGTTAGGTTCCCTCGTCGACTCATGTAATCACCCAAGCTCATCCTCTTTTTCACAGGACTTGGTGCCGTGATTCCCAACCCCGGTGCCAAGGCATTTGGAAACGCCTTGGCACTCAAGGGAGACCGAAAGTGGGATGATTGCGTGCTGCTCGGTGTATCAGTTGAAGAAGAAACAGGTGGGGTGGAAAGCTGCATTTGAGGGGGTTTAACACGAAGCTTCGCTCCCTGGTCATTCGGGATGTGACAGACCAGGATATTATGTGCGGCTGTCGATGGCAAAGGGAAAGGCGGCGGCTTAGCCATTGAATCCGACAGTTCGCCTGCTGGCGGGCCAGGAGATTGGGAAGGGGGATGCATCGACTTTTGAGGGGTGATGCTCGTATGCGCATCTTTCATCTCGACATCCTTCAAATCTTGAGAGAGCGGCGATTTGATCCTCGTGAGTTGTGACGCACTGGCTATCTGCTGTTTGGTCGGTACGCACTGCGATCGGTTGGATTCATCGAGGTGTAATCGATCATGGTGATAGCGAGAAAAAAGCCGTCTTGTAAGTGGAACGAAGTCGGGCCGAGGCGACGATTTTTGAGAAACAAGGTGCGGATAGACCTCGTCTGAATCGGTTTGAATACAAGAATCAACGTAATGTACACGAGTCAATGGCGATCCAATTCGCGGGGTGCTAGCAGCAGATGTTTTCGGAGTGGAGCGGGACTCGCGATGGGAAGTGGCAGAGCCGGGAGATGCCTTAATTGAGGTACCAGGTGATCGGTGCGCGGGGATGGTATCGAGCCGGGGAGGTTTGGTTCCTGAAGATTTCTGCAAATAATTAGGAACGAAATCACCGTTTCCACAGGAGGCAGGGGTTAAACCTACAGATATACTATTTCCCGCGTTATTACGTCTCCTTTTCTTCTGAGCATGCTGCTGATCCTGTTCTAATTGCTCGAACTTCTTCTCTGCCGCGGCTATCTTTCGTTTCTCTCGCGCTGAAAGCTCTGTGCCATTCGCTCCAAATATATCTGTTGCATGATTCGCGGGTGATAGATCTCGACTTTGTGGCTGATCTCGAACAGATGCGGACGTAGATCGCTGTCTGGATTGATCCTCGTCTTCACCGTGTTTCCGAATTTCGCTGCCAGCTCGACTGTTGGTTGCGCGCCCAGTGCTGGCCGGAGATACAGTGCTTTTGGTTTTGGTTTTCTTTCGCCTCCCATTAGCCTGCTTAGCTGTCGACTCAGGCGGTCGTGGTCGACATCGCCGGTCAACGTTCGCCAGTAAACACTGCTGTGAAGAATCACAAGCGCAGCCACCAAAATGTGCCAAGACATTGCTTATCGCAATTGCAGCAGCATCAGGGATGCCCTCGTTGGGATTCTCCTGTTTCACGAACCCATTGCTGGTTGGGAAGAGTTGAGGGTCTAGGTACCATGTAGTTGTAATCTCTGAGTCACTCGAAATATCTTGATTTGCAACGAAACAGAAGTGATACTCGATTTCATTTGTAATGAAAGTTTTCAGAGTCACATTAGGTCGACAAGACCGGCGGATATACCGAAGCAAAGTGCCTTCCTTCCGACTGTCGATATATATCGGAAGTTGAGGATGGAAGAAAACAAAAGGTTCAGGGTGCCGTAACTCCTGCCATCGGCTGTTCGGGTCAAGACAATAATCACGAAAATGTCCGACTTTACCTCGAACCTCACCAACGATCTCGTCTTTGCGTACATCCTTCTCAACTTTCAGAAACCGCACGAGGGGGTGGCAATCCAT